TATGGATGGGGGGACAAGAAGCGAGCGTCCGCGTGGATTTAACTCTTCGGCCTTCGGCCTCAAGATCAACCGTCAGAACAGCAGTTCGTTCCCACTTCCGCCGTCATTTCTGGGGGATTTAACTCCCAGAAGCCAGGTCTCACTGACTTAGTCGTCAGAATTAACTTCCTTGCAGTCGTCGGTCACATGTCTCCCTCATGTGCATGGTGAGAAAAGCACTTGGTGCCCATCCTCCGAGCCCCTTTCTAGGTCTGAACTCCGCCTCGAGTCTCATAATTTGACGTTGGGGCCGACGTAGACTTTGTCGAAAGCCTAACGAGAGAGATAGGAGTAGATGCAAAACTTTAGGGCTGCAACAAGATCCGAGAAAGGCGTTCTCCTCCTCGCGGTCTAAGGTAGACGAAGGAGACGATCAGCGATTGCCCCAGGATCAGATGTCCACTGGGGGCAGTAATTCGCCGTCGCCTGAGCCGGGGAGTAAATGCCATCCCGGACACTTGAGGCATGGGTTTTATTCCTCTACTCCAACGCAGGTCTATCTTGGAGGATCGTGCGGGGTTCGGCGGGCGGCCTCGGCAGGGCATCAATAAATTCCCCGGCGGCAATTGAGGAAGGAACAGCAGAGCCGCCGCGATGGGAGCCCCCGGGCTGCTGCTGGATGATCCCCGCCGGCGGCGTGCGGCAGAGGGTCCTCCCATTCACTACGGCTGCGGTCGCCAGACGGTGAGGACATTGATTGGACGACCACCAGGAAAAGGGATCCTGCCGACCGGTGCATGTGGTTTCGTGGCCTCCGGCACCGACTGCTGCGAGATTTCAGAAGATTGGTGGCACTTTTCTACCATTGATGCAGGAACTGGCCGATGACGACAAACACGTTATCAAAAGTCGCATTGGAAGTAGTTCCCTTTGATAATCGTATTGATGATGATATAATGATAACATTAGTTATTGTAGAAAAGCAGGAAAATGAGGATATTTGGCTCGTCTTTTAGCCCAGGAAGGCTCAACATGGAATGCCAACAAAACCCGGAACATGGAATCTCTCAGCCATTTTAAAACCCAAGAATCAAAACTGTGTGCGTTCAAGTCGATTCATGGATCATAATAAATGAAGTATTGATTCGTATAGAGACAAAAAAAATGAAGCGTACCGCCATCCACCTTGATCTCATATCTTTGGTTCATGAGGAACGGAAGTTAGTGTGGCCTATTTTTTAATTATCCACATTAGCTAAGGATCAAGAGGAGTGGTATCTGCTAAGGAGTGGTATGTGTTAAGGATGAAGGCGTTTTGAAGAACAGACCTAATCGTAGGGCGACTTTGTCTGATGATTTCACGTTGACTTGGGAAAGACTATCGATTATAGGAGAAACCCACCAATGATGTACCGAATTTTATTTTTCAGAAAATGGTTCCAGTTTATCCATACAAATGGCCACACATACACCATACACAGCTATGTATTATATATATATATATATATATATGTACAGAGAGAGAGAGAGAGAGAGAGAGAGAGAGAGAGAGAGCTTTGCGTACGTAGATGCCCCTCCGTCTCCTCTCCAATCAATTACCTAATGGTGCGAAATCAGAGGGGAGTAAGAAGTGAGCGAGATCCCGTGAGGTCGTGATATGGTCACGTTGGGGAAGTTTTCGGTTGGCGACCCACTGGCCGTCGCAGGCCTTAGTTCCGGTCCCCACTTTTCGCCCTGCGAGGACCACCTCCGTTGGCCACGGGAAGGGCCATCCCTCCTGCAGTCCCTACGGACATCGTCTGTCCTGTCCTCCATCCGGGGAGAAATTATTAGGTGCAGCTGGGGGGATGCACAGGATCCCTCGACCGTACAGATTCATGTTCATCGATAATCTATTACGGAGAGGATGATGACCATGCACCAGACAGTAGAATAATGACTACTTGAGAAAAACTGTTGAATGATCTAATATTTCATTTTGGAGAATATTTTCGAGATAAATCGTCAGCCGCAGATCTTCCCCACTTGTTTGCGCCGGCTCCAAGATAAAAAAATTTTACTGATTGTGCCCACGAGACTCTGAATCATTCAGTCTGCAGCCCAAACAGTGGGCTCCATTATTTTACGTAGAGAAGAGATTTTCTGCCCTCGTTTTTTACATGCAATCTTTGGCGAGGGTTGAAATATTTGGTATTAGACAAGGTTTCAAAAGCTTTTTCAAAGATGATGATGAACTTCGATTCACACTCGTGAATCTAAGTACGGGATTGATTATTCTGAAGGACGAACCGATGTTCTCTCTATTAAGGTCAACGCTTCAAGAAGGAGCCAAAAGTCCATAAGTTATTCTCTTGATGTGAACATGAAAAGGTTGTAACGAGAAACAACAAGATAGTGAGTGAGAGAGAGATTTGGCGCCAAGAGCGGTCACTCTACAGCCACACAGTGAGAGAAAATTAAGAAGAGGGAAAACTTTTGTTCCTCATTATTATGCTCCAGATCCGACCGATGTACTCTCCATTGTCCTAAACTTCAAGAAGGAGACAAACATCCACGAATCATTCCCTTGGCGTTAACATGGACGGTTGTGGTGGTGACAGAACTGGAAGATAGCGCGAGAGAGAGAGAGAGAGAGAGACAGAGAGATAGAGAAACAGAGTGAGAGAGTTGGCTAGTGCTAGAAAATTAAGAAGAGCTGGATGCTATTGAAGATCGACATAACTTAGCTTGAGGACAGATCCATACCCTTTTTTTCCTTTGTACGCCTAATTTTGATGCTGTAACTCGATAAAGAATGTCAACAGATCATGAGCCCAAAGCATGAAGAAATGAGATAGGGCCAAAGCCTTGAAGTTTACCTACATCATCATCCGTGCCCATTTCTAGTAGTTAATCACTTGTTTGGTTTTATGCTCCAAGAAACGTTCTAAACTTAGGAAAAATCCCCTTTCATTTGCTAGATAAAAAAAATATATTGGTTGAAATAGACTCCAACATTAACCATTATCAATAGCCTCGTACTAACGACAATCAACATTACTTAAGATGCATTTTTCTAGGAGGATGCTCTAAACCCCTTAATACCCTCTCATTTCACACTAATCGCTCGCTCTGCCACAATATTTGTCTTCACTTTGTCTTACTTTTCAGGGTACGAAGACGGAAAAGTTGCTTCTTTTGTCCTCCATCTCTTGCTTGAAGGACAACCTCAGCATTGACTCGCAGTGCCCATTTTTGTGGGCTGGGGGGTTAGCACTGCCGTAAGGCCTTATTCCATATGGAAAATATTTTCTATTTTCATAATACTAAATCTAGCAAAAAAAACGAATTTTTTCCTTCTAATTTAGAGAGTTCATAAAGCTACAATTCAAGAACCAGATCGATACCTGCAAAAAACATTAAATAATAAATATCCACACCTCGCGTGAATTAAAGACTTTAATATCTGTTACTAGCTCTTCGTCTCAAGTGATCTGGCAAGCACTAGCGTGACGTTAGGGCGGCGAATTTGGAGCGTTGAGAGCCCCCCCACCCTCCCGTGTCTAGAAGACGACTGTCGAGGAACCGTACGTGAAGTAACTTTTCTGGTTTCTTAGAGAGAGAGGGAGAGGCGTGGCACTGACGTCTACAGAAAAGGTAACCTCACCCCGAAGTTACCGTTGGTCAGATACGTAGAGCACTGGGGAGCAGAAACCAAATAATTCGCTTCCGCGTCTCCGAAAATCCAAACTCTTTGGGATCTGCGTTTGACGGCTGCTAGGCGATGGCGCCCATATCGAGGCTCACGTGTCAACTTGCCATCGGTTTCACTGTTGTGGTGCCCTCCTCGGAGAATAGTTTCAACAGGTGGCTACCAAGAAATGCTACCTCGTAAGCAGATCTCTGCCCCCTGAAGCTCCGCGGTTTCCAGAGTGGTTTCCCGGCGAGACGGCGGCGGCGGTGGAATCCTTCCTGTTGGGAGTGACGGACTGACATTTCCTCCGCCGCCCTTCCTGCTCAAGTTCCTATCTTAGATTTCTCCGAGGCATATTCCGGCCAGAGATTCCCTGCCCGAGGGGCCCAACAGAAGCCCTTTCCCCAAAAACAGGCGCCGCCGCCGCCGTAGGTGGACGCGTCGTCCCCGTCGTGCGGCCCACCCCGGCGTAGCTTTCGGATGGCGGGACTCCTCTCCCAGACCGCAGAAGGCGGATAGAGAGCGGACTAGAGAGAGAGAGATTCCCCTCGTCTGGATTTTTTTAAAAAAAGGGAGGAATCATCCCACGATAATAAAAGGACACGAATTCAGCGATTCTCTCGCTTTTTTTTGTTGGAAGTTTCGAGGCCAAGGTCAAGAAGACGATGCCTAAGAATTCTTGGCTGGACCCGGTCTTCTACTGCTCTCCCCGCCCCATAACCAGCTCAATTCCATGACGAACATGATCGGCCGCAGCAAATCCGGATCTTTTGCTGTGCTCCGGGGAAGGGAAGCTTGAAACCCAGTTAATTACCTGGTCGCAAGATATCTCAAGGCAGAGACGGGAGAGGAAGGAAAGGGAAGGTTAAAAAAGAAAAGAAGGAAATGGGGAGGATGAGGACAATTTGTTAGGTGAACTTGCAGAGAGGAGGGAAGAGGATACAAGCTTTCTGATCTCTTCGAGCCTCCTCTCTATTACTGTTTCATCACAGAACTGTGATCCTCGAAACCCGTGAATCAGCCGCCTCTCTCCCCACCCACCCCTCTCTCTCTCTCTCTCTCTCCCGCCTCTTTGCCTCCTGGGTTTCCTACTGCGAGAAGCACCCTCCATTCTGGCCTTGGAGAGGTAAATGCTCATGATTCGTGGGGGTCTTTGGGGGGTATATCCCACGTGAGCTTTGCGAATCGAGGGCAGGGCCTGCAGCTCGGCAGAAGAGATCGATTGGAGGAGCTGTGCTAATCTGCCTCCACTGGTAGACACAGGCTGGAAGAACCTCGCTGGGTTTCAGGCAAACAGAAGATAATCCGGCTATCTCCACATCTCCCACAGCAGACGCCTCTGCCAGCAATGGCCACCGAGCATTGGGAGGAGGACATGAAGGTGACCGCTAAGGACCTTCGCAATGGCCTTGCTGCCGCCGTCCAAGGCATACAGTGGAACTACGCCATCTTCTGGTCTGCTTCAGCCAGCCAGCCAGGGTACCAAGAAACCATCACCTCTCCTGTTTTTCCTTCATAAATCTCCCTCGGCAGATGCGGGTTATCGCCGGAATTACGGCATTGATCCGTATCTTCCGGATCAGCTGCCCTCTTTTTTTCGGTCATGAATCTATGCTTCGCTCGTACTCAAGAAGTTTAAGTTGGGAGATCTCCCGATCCGAGGATCTCCCAGACGATTTGGACCATTCTTAGTGGGATATTGCTCTCCAGCACGGACTAATCTCCTTCCAAGTTCATGGAACTCAGTCCGCCTTCTTCCAACACTTACGGAGAGATATATGCTTGATACGGACAGACATTCGCTTCGACTGATGAGCCCTCGGTGTGGAAATGAGGTCCAACACTTACGGAGAGACTACTTTCTTCCCTCTTTTGTAGATTGTTGGAGTGGGGCGACGCGTACTACAATGGAGATATAAAGACGAGGAAGATGACCCAGTCTCTGGAGTTGGAAGACGATCGGATGGGTCTAAAGAGAAGCGAGCAACTGAGGCAACTTTACATTTCTCTTTCGGCCGGTGACAGCGATCAGCAGGCTAGACGACCCTCTGCCTTACTTTCACCTGAGGACCTCTCAGACTCCGAATGGTTCTACCTACTCTGCATGTCCTTTACCTTCCACTCTGGACATGGGTATCTTTCTCTCTCGCTCTCTCTCTCTCTCTCTCTGACTCATTTTCTCACATTTCGTTTCTTGCTCTACGCCTAACGCGGTTTTTCAGCTTGGTTGGAAGAACATTGGCAACGGGAAGCCATATCTGGCTCACTGATGCTCACTCCGCAGAAAGTAAAATCTTCACACGCTCTCTTCTGGCAAAGGTCTGATCCCTGCTCAATCTCCTGCCCTAAGATTTTTCATCCTCTTTCTTTTTGGGCTCGTGCTAAGCTGATTCAGTCGTAACTTTTGATTCTTCTGTCTTGCTGATGATGGACGGGCTTCCTCATCTCTCAGAGCGCATCCATCCATGTACGTTTTGCTGCTTCCTCCCCGCTGATTTAAAAATGCTTCCGTTCTTTCAGTCCTGCGCAGATATCAACTCTGTTTCTTCGCTGTGTTTGCAGACTGTCTTCTGCTTTCCCTTCCTGAATGGTGTTCTCGAACTTGGCACGGCCGAATCTGTAAGTTCAGACTGTTCTTGAACATGAATGGAGGAGCCCGCTGCCTGCAGCAGATAATCACTTTCCCTTCGATCACCAGGTCATGGAGGATCCCGATCTCATACGGCAGGTCACAACCCATTTCTGGGATTGTCAGAAGGCGGCCTCCGCCGAAGAAACTCCGTCCGGCGACCCCATTTCTGGGGAAGGCGTTGACCGAGTGGTCCACGACTGCGATCTCGACATGCTAGACCCCTTGCCGGCGGGGGAGATGCTTCAACTTGCTGGCCCTCGGAGCCAATCGGAGAATGGATTTCAGCCTCTCTCATCCATCAAAGTCTTCGAGCTTAACGGAGATGGGGACGATGGGCTCCAAGCTGATTCCAGCGAGGAACTGGAGACATTTTCTCCTGATCACTGTGTAGATATTCACACGGATGAATCGGCGATGATGGACGGACCGGAAGGGATGTCACAGACTCATAGCTGGCAGTTTCTGGATGATGAACCGGCTAACGACTGCAAGTGCCCATCATCGTCAGATCTTCAGCCAGTCCCCTGTCCGAAACAAGAAACAAGAGACTATGTGAATGATCCCAAAGCATGTCGGAAGCTTGACTTCTCATTTGATGCTGGGGCCGACAGTCTACACTATAAGAGGACTCTTTCAGCTATTTTCGGAAGCTCTGCCCGACCAAGAGCGAAGCTGTTCTTCCCAAATGGATCTTGCTCATCGAGCTTTGTGGCCTGGAGAAAAGGAACAAACATCGTCCTGGGCACCCGAACCGGTGCACATAAGCAGAAGCTTTTGAAGAAGATTCTGTTCAATCGTCTCGAGATGCGTGGTGGGCGTTCGAGTCCTCCACAAAAAGACGGAAGGAAAGGCGCGATGGAGAAACCGGAGGGCGACGAATTCTGCTCGAGCCCCCTTTCGTCTGAGAGGAGGCAAGAGAAGATGAACAAGAATTTCCTGATCCTCAAATCTCTCTTGCCTTCCATAAACAAGGTACACCACTCGCGATCCACCCAAGCTTCGATCTACCCAGTAACAAGATGCGGGAGGAGAATGATTTTCTACAATAAAGCACACTTTTTTCTTGATGGGACGCCATTTTTGACTTGTGGGCTTGTTCTTTTTTTTTTTTAACCATGTTCTCACGCAGATCGACAAGACCTCTATTCTGGGAGATACGATCGAGTATCTCAAGGAGCTCGAGAAGAGGGTGGAATTCCTGGAGTCACACATGGATCCAAAGGATCTGGAGGTGAAAGAACTGAGCAAGCATCCGGATATCACAGAGAGAACATCAGACAACTACGGAAGGGATGGAGTTGACTCCGACGGCAAGAAGTCTTCCGTCTGTAAGAGGAAGGCGAGCGACTCCGACGAACAGGGCTTTGAAAGCCACTGGGTCCTGTCGAAAAACGGGGACGCCGACGTCAACGTGACCGTGGTCGGGAAAGAAGTCATGATCCAGGTGACATGCCCATGGCGGGACTGCCTCCTTCTGGAGGTTGTGGATGCGGTAAGCGGCCTCCATCTGGACGCCCACTCGGTGCAATCATCCACAGTTGACGGAAATCTCAGAATGACCATAAAATCAAAGGTTTGTGCGACTTCAGATTGCTTTCTTCCATTCATCTATGCCCACCCATGAATCTTAACTCCCTGAAACAGATGACCATCTTGCTGCATATTTGGCTGCAGTTTAGGGGGATCATGGTGGCGTCACCAGGGATGATCAAGGGTATGATTCACAGAGTCGTCAGCAAGTGTTGAAGGCGAGTGGCGCTTCTCCAATCCTCTAGATTTCAGGATATCGATTGACCAGTCGGGGCTCTTCTGTAGCACTGTTTCTCTCCTTCCTTCCTTCCTTCCTTCCACTAGCTGGCCGTATACTTCTAGGAAATAAAACTAATGTTGTAAGCTCCTAATCAAGCCTCGACACTAGAACGCAAAGTGCTTCCAGCATCCATCACGATGGAGCTAACTGGGCTTGTTGCTACGTCTCTAGAACGGACAATCTTCTTCCTAATCGTCAGATGTTGGCGTCATAAGATAATAACATTTGAAAATATGGCCTGATATTGTTTGCATGATAGCAAGCCGCCTCAGATTGCGTGAACCAATTTTAGAACAATTGAAAGATAAATCTGTGTTCTCGATTATATCATGTTTAGAAAGCGCCATACATAGAGAGCCCACAGCGAGAGAGAGAGAGAGGATAATGGGAAGTAAAGAATATAAATTGTGGTCAAATTACATGAAAGAAGATATGACTTATATTTAAAAAATAATCACACTTAAAAAATAGTCAAACTCCCCGGGCCAAGGAAGTGATCGACTACAAATATCTGGAAAAAAAGGAATTTGACTTACAGGAGAACTAATTAAAGATAAGAACATAATCATTAGAGAGCGGCAATCAATAAAGAGGACAAATATCAAATGATGAAGCTTTCTCTCTAATGGGAAAATGGAGTTTGATCAGGGTGACGATGTAAGATATAACACGCGTAGTTTGATGTAAAAATAGCTTTTTCACGTGTTGATGCAGACGTAAAGATCTATGTTGCAATGAAATTATTCTATTTTGCAAGGCGGTTGAGACGTCATACTACTTACACAAACATGAGCCTAATCTAGTTTGACTTTTTTTTTCAATAATATGTTGGGTAAGTTCAACATGAATGAGATTGAGACCAAAAATCACACCTTGGGATCGGCGTCGTTGATCATCTTTGCAAGAATGCCTCAAGCTATTAGATGACTGTTGAAAGACGTTTAAGAGACTTTACAGTAACTAATGTACGCGACTACACAGGCTTCAGTGCCGGCTGAGGCACGACGGCGTGTGTGGACAAGGAATCGGGTAAGTCCTCCCTCCGGTGATCCTTCTTACTCCTCCGGCTTCCCCGGTGGGGTGAGGGAGGAGAACTATGAACCAGCCCAGAAGATTGATTTCTTCCTTCGGCTCTCGGAGATGCCTCCCCCTGCTCCAGGTTCTTCTACCCATCGGGTGAGTTGTTACCATGGCGGGACTCCGACGGGCTTCCTTCTGCTGCGCTCCGTTCAGAAACGAGCCATCTCCGTCTTCTCTGGGTCGTCACAGCCGGATTCCGAGCACCGAGCTTGCCGCTCCGCCGGGAGCTCAAAGCGCCCTCCCTCACCCCCACCGGAGTCCCGCGGTGCCCCGTCACCCGTCTGACGAAATGCGCGTGAGAGAGATCACGGCGGAGATCTCCGCCCTCACCAAGCGCGGCAGAGGAGAGCAAGCAGTGGAGCTGTTCAAATCCATGCTCGCCGATGGCGCCCCACGGCCGAATGACGTGACCCTCCTCTGTGCAGTCCGCGCCGCCACGGCGACAGGCTCGGCGGAGAGCGGCGGCGGAGGAATCCATGCCCTCGTGATCAAGCTTGGCACCGACGCAGTTGTCTCTGTCCGCACGGCCCTCATAGGACTCTATTCTTCCCTCCACGATGGCAGGAGCATTCTGCGGTTGTATAATCAGAGCAAGTCGAAGGATCTGGTTCTGTGGAGCGCGGCGATGTCGGCGCTGTCCAAGAACAGCCGGTCGCAGGAGGCTCTCGATGCCTTCCGACAGATGCTGCACTGCGGCAATACGACGCCGAACTTCGTGACCGTCATGGTGGCTCTGTCGGCAAGCGGATGTCTGAAATCCCTGTCGCACTGTAGGGAACTCCATGGATACGCCGTCAGGAACTTTGAGACAGAAACAAGCCTTCAGAACTCGCTGGTCGACGTGTACGCCAAATGCGACAGGCTTGACGTTTCCATGGTGATCTTCGGCAGCATGGAAGCAAGAGATGGAGTCTCTTGGAACACCGTGATCTGCAGGTGCACCGAGTGCGGAAGGCCGAGAGAAACGCTCATCCTGTTCTTGAAGATGATGCGTTCCGAGGCTAAACCAGAGGAAAACGTCGTCAGGGTCGTACTGAATGCTTGCTCACAGACGGAGGAGATCGAGTTCTTGCTGGGCATCCACTGCTACGCCGTGAAAGCTCAGGCATCTACTTCACCCTCACTGGGGACCGCACTTCTCAGGGTGTACGCAGAGTTAAACAGAGTGGACGCCGCTCGAGCGCTGTTCGAGGGCCTCCGTCACAGGGACGTCGTCGCATGGAGCACCATGGTTTCCGTTTATGAAAGGTCCGGCTGCCCACATCTAGCACTGGAGATGTTCAGAAAGATGCAGTCAGAAAACGAAGAACCCAATGAGATCACATTTGTTAGCTTGCTGCGAGCTTGCTCTTCGGCTGGAGCTCCCCATCACGGCAGAGGCCTGCATGGCCACGCGCTCAGGCTTGGGATTTGCTCCAACGAGTTCATAGTATCGGCTTTGATCGACCTGTACTGCAAACTCGGGATGCTGAGACAGGGAAAGGCCATGTTTGATGCCCTAGAAAACAGAGATCTGGTGTCTTGGAGCTCCATGATCAACGGGTATGGAATCAATGGCCATGGGGAAGATGCAATCAAAACTTACTTGGAGATGCTCGAGCAAGGTCTGAAGCCCAATGGCGTCATTTTCGTCTCCCTCCTGTCTGCGTGCAGCCACTGCGGCCTTGTTGATGAAGGCCTGAGTTGGTTTTACCAAATGGAGGGCATGTATGGTGTCAGACCTGAGCTTGCTCACTACTCCTGCATCGTAGACATGCTCAGTCGCCAGGGGCGGGTCAAAGAAGCTCACGAGTTTATCAAGAAGATGCCATTGAAGGCTGACGTGAGCATATGGGGGGCACTGTTCACCGGCTGCAGGGCATCTCCCAATGATGTTGAGGTTGCAGAGGTCGCGGCAGGCTGGCTAGTTAGGTTAGATCCAGGTAATAGCAGCTACTATGTGGCACTGTCTAACTTGTACGCCAAGCTCGGGCTATGGAGAGATGTCGAGAGGATTAGACAGTCTCTTGGAGAGAAAGGACTGAGGAAGACAGTAGGGTACAGCGTAGCCTGCTCCGGGGAGCGCCATGGGGATCCGAATGTGTAGCTCCTACGCCAAGAACTTCTATATACCACTCAAAACCTGGGATCAAGAAATTAATTTATATGATGGAAAATGGGCTTGGAATATTTGAGATGCTATCTAAACTCCGTCAATAGAGGCCATATGAATAATAACCATTATAAATCCAGGTTTTCTGATGAAGGAAGAAACTGTTTGTACCTGAAAGGCAGGAGTCAGCCTACAGAAGAACAACTTCATGAAGAACAGTAAAGCCTAACTATTGTGGGCTGTAAAAAGAGTGGAAATAGGATGAGCATACTGTAACCAGTTCATCTGAGGAATTTTCACGAAGAACAGTGAGCATACCTCATCACGCTAGGCGGCTGATGTAAGGGGATGCCATCCCTGAAAAGCAGGTACCAAACAACCAAGTGATCGATCTCTGAGAACTTAGAATGCCATTACGGGGCATCATTATGTAACGCCATGTAAAGCTTCATCCATTTTGAAATATGATTAGTCTAGTTCAGATTATGTCAATGCTTTTTTTTCTTAAAACTCTCTTTTGTAGAAGCTCTTCAAGAGGTTCTTGGCGAACAGTTTCTTCCCTGGTTTCGCAAAAGTATTGCTTATATTACCAATAGTGGTGGCATGAGGAACAAACCCTCTCTCATTCATTTCCGTCAGCAGTCGCCTCACCTCAGCACCATTAGAGACCTTCGACCAGCCACTAACTAGAATGTCATACGTCGATGAACTTGGTGTTAAACGCCTCCTCTGCATTTCATTAAAAAGCTCTTTGGCTTGATTCATCATTCCAACCCTGGCAAAGTCACTGATGAGTGCGTTGTAGGTACCTACTGTGGGAACAAAGCCTTTCTGGACCATTTCGCAGTACAGCCTGATCGATTCCTTCTTGTTGCCCTTCTTTGCATGGCCAGAGACCATGGTATTGTAGGTGATGCTATTCGGGATCGTACCCTTTTTCTCCATTTCGATCAATAGCTCCTCGGCCTCTTGCATCAACCCAGCAGTCGAGAGACTCTGCAGCATTGTGTTGTAAGTCGCTACATCTGGTATTAGTCCCTTCTCCAGCATCTCATTATACACGGCGAATGCCTTCTTCAGATGCCCACTCCTGTGGTACCCCAGAATGAGGGCTTTGTAAGTGAAGATGTCTGCTTCAATTCCCTTTTCCACCATATCCTTCACCACCGCCGTGGCCTTTCCCGTCGATCCAACAAGGCACAGACTGAAGATGAGTGAATTATATACGGTTCTGTCAACAGCAAGTCCCATCTTGATCATTTCATTGTGCATTCTAAAAATAGAATCGATGTTCCTGGCCATGGAGCATGAACGAAGGACCTTCCTATGAGTAGAGGGATCTGGGTGCAGTCCAGCAGAAGCCATTTCCTTCAGAAAATCCATTGCTTCCTCCACCTTCCTCTCCGCCAACAGCCCCCCAATCAAAGCATTATAGGTGGTGATATTAGGGTTCGTCCCAGTTTTTGTCATCTCACTTTTAACATTAAGTGCCTCCTCCACCTTTCCTTCTCGGCAGAGAGAACCGATCATAGTATTGTATGTGACATGATCTGGAGACAGACCCATATCTAATATCTTGGTGTAGAAAGACATCGCCTGATCAGTTTTGCCAAGCTTACAGAGACAGTTTATGAAGACGTTATACACGGCAACATCCGGTGTCAGTCCTTTATCCATCATTTGTTGCCCAACCCCGAAAGCAGCTGATACATCTCCTGCTTTGAAGAGACCATCCATTAGAGAAGTGTAGTTGACAAGGTCAGGGACCAAGCCCTTGTCGACCACATCCTTAAATAGCTTACAAGCATCCTCCACCCTCCCATTTTTCCTCAACCCATTAACCAGTACATCAAGCACGAACTCATTTTCTCTCAGGCCATCTTTCACCATTTTCTCGTAAATCTGATGGGCCTCAGCTTCTCTGCCATTCTTGAAAAACCCATCAATCATCGTGCAGAAACTATAAATATTTGGGGGGACGCCTTCTTCTTCCATGATCCTAAAATAATCAGAAGCTTCGTCGAGCATTTGATTCTTACAGTATCCATGGATGAGGGAAGAGTAAGTAACGACATTGGCACCAATGCCCCTTGTGAGCATTTCACTCACCACTAACTCTGCATCCTTCATTCTCCCAGCCTTGCAGTATCCATCAACCAGTTCAGAGCAAACAACAGTACGATTAACACCTTGATGATCTGAAATCGTCTGAAATATCTCTTCTGCTTCGTCGAGTCTTCCCATTTTAAGATACCCATAGAGTAGCGTAGAGCACAGAACCTTGTCAAACGGGATGCCCCGGACGGCCATTTCACACTGAAGAGCAAGGGAGTTCGAAAATCTTCCATCTCTGAAGCAGGAATGGATAAGCGTGGAGTATGCAACGTGGTTCGGGGTCACACCCATCTTCTCCATCTCCCTGAAGAGCAGATAACCCTCAGAAAGTCTGCCACTCCTACACAACCCATTTATGAGGGAGCTGTACGTCACAACATCAGGCAGAATTCCACTCTTTACCATCTCCTCGTACAATGAGAACGCGTCTTGAAGGCCATCTTGCCGACAATACTCACCAATGAGATTAGTGTATGTCACCACATTAGGTTCCATACCCAAAGTCCTCTCTTCCAACAGAGTCTTGGCCATGTCCAGCTCCCCAGTTCTGCAAAATCCATTGACCAAAGTATTGTAACTGATAACATCGGCCGCCAACCCTCTGTTCCGCATATCCTCCATCAAGCTGACGGCATCACTCACTGTCCCCAGCTTACAGTGCGCATCAATTAAGGTGTTGTACCCAACAATATCCATGTCGATTCCGCCGCTAACCAGCATTCCCATCAAGGATTCGCCATTTTCTAATGAACCCTTCTGACAGAAACCCTTGACCAAGGTGTTGCAAGTGATCGAATCCACCTCGACGCCCCTCTTGACCATTTCTGACAGCAATCCAACTGCGGTTTCCACCATACCTTCCTCACAGAGGCCCCACATGAAAGTGTTGAACGTAACAGCGTCGATTTCCTCTGATCTGAGCACTTCCAAGCCGATTTTCAATCTACCCGCCTTGCAAAGGGCATGGATGAAGACATTGTGGGAGAATACGTTCAATGTCTTGTGACAACGGAGCAATTCCGCGTACACGAGCTGTACCTGAGGAATCAGCCCCGAGGAATTGAACTTGAACAGAAGCCGGTTCCACTGCCGAAGACTCGGGTTCAGCCCGAGCTGCCGCATCCTGTAGAATGTGTCCTCCGCTTGCCAAACTCGGCCGCACGACAAGTAGGCCTCGATCAGTGTAGTAAAGAAGGAGGCGTAGAGTTGCGCTTTGTCGCGCGGGAAAGATGGGAACGGGACGGGAGGATCTGGGTTGCTTCTGAAAGAGGAGGACGCGAACAAGGAGAGGAGCCGGAGGGATCCCCCGCGTTGGGTAGAGAAGGAACTAAGATTTCTGACCCGCCCAAAGACCGCCATGGTACGACGATCAAACGCAAGTGCCGGGCAGCGAGTAGGAGAGCAGCAGCCACAGCAGAGGAGAAGAAGCAAGAGACCGCCCACGGCGGTGGAGGCGAAGGAAGAGGCTACCCCCAGCGGCGGAGGCCCCTCTCCGAGCTTCCCCCGCGCAGCGTTCCCTGATATGAACCAGTCCTCACCAATCCAACTCTGTATGGACCTATGATTGATCCGGCGTCGCTGGCCCAGTTCCAATTCGAGACTATAATTGACTGATCGAGGATCAGCGAAAATTACCGCGAGCCCATCAATGAGCATTTTCTCGTTTCTCAAATTAAAAATCCCCATTTAAAATTTCCAGAAATTAGCTAGAAAATGGAAAAGTCTCCACGAAGAGTGGTTATTTTCACGATTTTTCTTCTCTATTTAATAAGGTATAATATTTCTTCTATTTCCTTCTGTTCCTAGATCAATCGGGTCATCTAGCAAGCACTTTGTTCTATTTTATTTCGACGCAACAAGAACCTTCAGGGTCGTCTAGAAACATAAAGATCTTATCTTTAAGCTCCCCGGAATCACTGACCCAGCATTTGCTCAGCACAAATTATTATCTTGACGAGGAATTATTTTTATTAATGTGATAATCAAATTGAGGGTCTAAAAAAGTTAGGAACCGTCACCTTCGTTCAGCGATCATAATTAATTACTCTTGAGAGAACCTACGAGTGTGGGCCTCACAACGTCCTGTTTAGTCAAGCATCCATCCAATTTTCATGGGGATTTTCCTAGTCCCATAAATATACTGATCGAGAGAATTCACCCTTCTGGGCAATTATGAATTTCTGATAAAATCTTCCCCAAAAGACGGCATCTTTCAACCTGTTCTGATGCCGACGGAGCTCATAACTCGAGATGATTATGGCGGCATGAAGAAGAGTGTGAGTTAAATTCTCACTTCGGTATGGGAAGTCAACCCCGGGGAAAACGAAGATGTAAAATAAAGTCTGAAATATTTTGCATACTTGGAAGTCAAACTCCTTCGAATCTTTTTTTTTTTTTTTTTGAAACTAACCATGAGATAGATAGTTTTCGGTCTACCATCAGTAGGTCGTTTCACATATGTAAAATAACCCTGCTTATGCGGTTCATTGAATGCATTACCAACCACCAGAATTTCAATGCAATGTGCATTGGTCCTAAAATAAACCACCTATAAGCCTGTAGTTCCATCCGTTTCATTTCCTTGGTGACATCCTGCTGAGGAGCAGGGCAGTTGTTTGGTTTAAAAGGCGAGCCTAGCGATGAAAAAACCACATAAAAGATCTGAAAACAAGAAAAGCTTGCAACTTGAACGTTGAACTGATAAAAATATGCAAAACCCACATCAATAATTCATTCGTCTCCATCACAAGGTTTTGGAATCGGTCATCTCTTCAACGTGCTATTATTACTGCCATTGAAGGAGCAAAACCTCTCTCTCTCTCTCTCTCTCTCTCTCTCTCTCTCTCTGAAAAGCAACAACCAAATCTTGAACTTCTTCGTCAAATAAGAGCTCAGCAAGTTAAAATCATGCACAACTGGCAACATTCCTCAGACATGCAGATTTGTTCACTGGTGAAGTAGATTTATAATTCACTAACATTACCGAATTTCATTATTCTCGTCCATTCAAAGATGTCGAGCATAGTGGATAGGATCAATATGGGAGAAGAGAGAAGCCTATATCTGGAATCACACTATCCTTGCAACCAGCAGCATACATCCCATAAGACGCTGGCCATCTTGACATATGCACTATAAACTCCACTAAACCCAATCATATTCACAGGTGGGTCGGGAACAGAATCAAAAGCATTGAGGTGAAATATATAAGATCAATTACAGAAGGTATGGCCATCGTGAATAAACTTCATTCATGGCAAACAGCAACATAAATAACCAACCGAAATAAAACAATGACTCATTAAGACATCACAACATTCCAAAGACATGAGCTGTGTTGATGCGAACAGCATTAGAAATAAGAATTCAATAAGCCCATACTTACACACCAAGTCAAGGGGCCTAATGCAGACTCCCAACAACTGAACATTTCCTTGTTTTTCTCTCTTTTTGGTTTTTATATACATCTAAACAAGATGAGCCCTAGTGTCACGGCTATAAATATACACAGGTGATAGAGATCCCCTAATTCCAACCTGTGGGATTAAATAGGACTCCAGGTGATATGGTTGAGCGACTAGCTGTACAGATAAGACTTACCAGAAAATATCATCAACGGCCACAGACGTAGATGGTAATGCCCTTTCCTCCTCCAATTCTGTCTCTGTCTCTGGTTCTCCAGATCCAAATTCGGGAGAGTCAATGTCAGACAGGTTCTTGAGGTCGACAATGGACAGCTCATCCAGACGCCGAACGACCAGGTCAGCTGCACTGAGCTCATACACGGGGTGCTTGCTGGCGACAGCTACACACTTCATCCTGGCATCATGAGCAGCTTCCACAGTTGAATTTGAATTCCCAAAGATGATGCACCGCTCCGGTATAAAATTGAGGAGCTGCGCTGCATATACAAACATCTCAGGATCAGGTTTTCCTCTATACACATCCTCCGCTGTCACAATTGCATCGAAAGATCCCTCAACGCCGACAGCTTCAATTGCAGCTTGAAGGTACTTCTTTGGACGAGTGGAAGCCACCGCAATGGGAATATTATTGTTCGCCAGGGCACTCATGAACTCCTGGGACCCAGGTCGCAATTGATAGAACCCGCCTTGCAGCCCTTGAAAGATTTCCTCCTTTCGAGTGGCCAACCTCCGAAGCTGTGAGGGGTCTCTTGACCAGCAGAGAACCTCAGAGATGGCTTGTTCGTTCTTCATACCCTCGATTCTTCTCAATATGAAGGCCGGGGGAGGCGATTTCCCCTCTTCCTGGGCCAGCATAAGCCATGCTTGCTTCTCCAAGTTTGCATCATCTTCGACGATCACACCTTCCCATTCAAGTATGACACCCAGCCATCCACAGCCCATCCGCTCCAGCCGGCGCAAGGGGTTATGCAAGGCTGGATTGTCCGCCTTGTTGGGGGGTGGCCACAACCCATTAGAATCTAGACCCACACCAACGGAGTAACCCAGGTTTGGAGGCACCTTGTTGCCTTCTCTAGACCAATTTGCCTCTTTTGTCACCTCCATTGCCAGGGACTTCACGGTGGAGAGGCAGAAACCGCCGGAAGACCGACGAGACGTGGGCCGAGAATGGGAAAATGAAAACAGCCTTTGGCATCCATCGGACCGCCGCCTGGATGAAGATACATCCCTGGAACAGGTTCCTCCAGACAGGGGACGGTGGCCGATGAGGGACGTCGTCGAAGCAATCGAATCCACCATCGTATCACCACCACGAACAACCGCACAAATGGAGCTCCCCCCGAATCGGATTTCTTGACAAGGAAGACGGTAGAGGCGATCCCACGCTCAAAGAATTGACGGAGCAAAATCCGAGCCTTATCCTTGGCAAGAACAAAAGAAGAATCACTACTCCGCTAAAGCCCCATGTTGAAGCCGACGCCGGCAACACAACCAACGGCCATCGACAGACACACAATGACAGAAACACAGTCCAGACGAGAGTCTAACCAGATCTCGCCACCAACAACCCTACAACCGAAGGAAAACCACAACAGAGTACCAAATTTGGCGAATCTAGCAAGAGCTACGACCCACAAGCACAAGGATGAAATCTTCTAGGGCTGCGCAAAAGATGCAGAGGAAAAGGATGAACGAGAAAACCTGATGAAAGTATCTCTCCTTCCCGGGAAGAACGGATGGTCAGGAGCAAACCCGTCGGCGCCCAAGCAGGAACAGGTATCACCGATGGGACAGAGGAGGAAAAAATCCCGCGAGAGTTCTCCCTGAATCCCTCTCCTCTTATATTATTCACTCTCTTCCGGGGGGAGGAAAATAGGAAGCCACTGAATTTTCCGGTGGCGACACGTCTCCCGCCATTCTTCGGGGCCACGCGGAAACCGGATCTCCCTGTATTGGGTGTCCGTACCCATTATAGAAATCTCTAATAGTGTAGGGTTGTGCGGCCACGATGGCCCCGTAGATCGCTCTCTTCCCGCCGCGTGGCCTATTCTGGCGGCGGAGCGGTCGTCCACGTCTTTCCGAGCAGGCTCGAGGTCTACCCATCGGACGAACAAAGAGTGTTGGATGCTGGAACTCGATTGGTAATCTACCGGCTTGACGGGTCTGATTAATATAGACCCACATTGACCGGTCGGCTGGACTCTTGCACTATTCCTTGCGTGCACGCTTCGACTGTGAGGCCACACGTCTATCCTCTCCTCACGTGTTTCATCTAGAGAGAGAGAGAGACAGAGAATCTTGGACTTTGACCCTCCGTTTCAGAGAAACAACGAAGTTTATGCATATGGGTAGTCGCCAAGGCGAAGGATTTACGAGCCTCCCCGGCTGTACCAGTGTGATCATGTTGGCGTCCAGGGTAAACGATAGAGAGAGAGAGAGAGAGAGAGAGAGAGAGAGAACAAAGTTTATAAATCTGGGTAGTCACCAAGGCGAAGTATAGAGAGAGAGAGAGAGAGAGAGAACAAAGTTTATAAGTCTGGGTAGTCACCAAGGCGAAGTATTTACGACTCTCCTCGGTTGAACCAGCGGGATCATGTTGGCTTCCAGGGCAAACGAGAGCGTCTACTCTACTCCACGTTCCGCATCTCGGAGATCACCGCCTCCGGCGGGGGACTCTCAGGATGCTTCTCTCCGCCTCGACCCAACTCTCCGAATGCCTTCCCCGGAGCGGTTCCTTCGGCTCCCGGTGGCCCAGGGGCTCAAACAAGGTCTTCTCCTTCGTCGTCAGAGACTTCGAAGGACATCTGCCGCGTAATTCAGTATAGTTTGGTGATTCTCTGAGGAGAAGGAGGAGGAGATATATTTTCCGGCGCGGATAAGATCTGTCACGATGTGCTTATCTCAAGACGAAGAGCCCAGATATCTAAGAATCTTTGGAGAGAAATGTATACGACAGATTCCTTGAAAGAAGTGATATATAATTGGAATGTATTCGTTCTGTCTCTTTGTTTTTTTCTTTTTAATTTTTATTTATTTATTGTTAGAGAGATAAAGCATGGAACTATCAGTGGGCAAGGGCCCCCCAACCTCTGTTGCAACTGATATGCATGCATCGCATCCAACGTGGCATGCTACATACCTACAAGGTGCATGAGACAATAGACAAAGTGAAAGGTAGAATGCAACCCATTGATTGTAGAGGTGTATCTAGGTATTGCAATAGTAGCACACGTCTTGTGGAAACTTTATGAGTGTGGTGAACACCACATTTATTATAAAATGGACACATCTATCATAATATCTATGTGGGGAATGACATCAAGAGGCATGACATGGTATGTGACTTACACTAATGTGAATATTCTCATAATGTACCAAACTTGAACTTTAGCACTTGTTGTAAATATGGCTTGTCTTTTAAGACGGCTGCATTTAATGTTGATGATGAGGAGCCATCTGTCATCCAAGTTCAAACAAATTCACACAAAAAATGATTTTAGATGTAAGTTAGTGTCACATGTATAGACATGTGTGTACTCCTTAGAAAGATAAGTAAAAGATGAACACAATGCAATGTCATGTCAAAATTATGATCTTTTTTATTTATTTTGATTTATAAAAATATTAATAAGCATATTTGTAGTTCAAATTTTAAATACAAATGTGACCCAAAATGGGCAATTATCCAATCATTATGAGTGACCGTTATTGGCCCAATATTCCTTCATATAAAGAGGCCATTTCAGCCCAAATAATATGAGACAAAAGAGAAGAAAAAAAATCAGAGAAAAGAATTTTGATGCAACATTTTTCCTCTAGAGAGTCTAAATAGCAATCCTTCATCCTTGAGCATCTAAAGGAAAAGAAATATCAACTACTACTTAAGCCTTCAAATTGTACTCTTCACAAACACTTCTATAATGAGAAATCAAGCCTTTGGAAGACTAGGAGTTGAATATCATAAGAATGGTAACTCATTTATACTGTTTCTTAGGTTCAAATAGTAATTGTTGTCTTGAGTAGAGCAATAAATCTCTCAACTTAGGCACTCTCAAGTTATTCAATTAAAAGAGAGGAGTGGGCCTCCTCTATATGGCCCTTAGAGCCTTAAATCTAAAAGAAGATTTCTTAGTGAAAATTGAGTTGTCTAGAGTTGTTAAATCCAGTGAATGTAGTTGAAGCTTGTCGTTTAGTGTGTATTTCACTAAGAATTTAGTAGAACATAAGCATGAAATCTTTGGAGAGTATAACAAGTCAAGAATCAACACCCCAATTGTTATTATTTTTCGAGCGAAACTAAACAAAATGTGCATGTCAATGATCTTTTGTTTAGTAGCAAAAAAGCTCAACCCTCTAGTCCACAATGATTGGATCTTGAGTTCACAAGATCAAAAATGACTCAATGAGTTCACAGGATACTAGAATCTACTAGTAGAAATAAAGAACTGTTAGACGGAGAATAAAAATATATTTAGTAGAAATAAAACCTCTGAGGCTACATGAGGAGTTTGTTATAATGCCCTTAGCAGATTAGAAAAATGAGAGAAAAATAAATAAATTTAAGACCTAAGATTTTGACACATTTAACATATGCTCAAATCTCTTTACTCAATCATCTCAGATTAAATTTAGGCCTAATTGTGTCTTCATGCATCTTGGGGCTTTGATACACTTGAATTGAACTAAAATGATTTGTACTCTTATTGAGCATTAAAAAAATATCTTTTAATTTGCGTAAATATTTATTTTGTTAGTTTTGATCATCTAGGTTAAAACCTTTTGATAAGCTTTTTTGATATGCATGTGGTGTTTGATAGGCTTTTTTGGGCTACATCATCTCTCCACCTTTATGACTGACTTCTCATCAAAGATCTCTCCCCCCAACTTCCAAGTTTATTTTATTAATTTTAACTTAATTAAAATTGCAATTATCCTATTTTAATGTGTATTATCCATAATATCTGTGATGGTAGTTTAATTCAAATAAATTCGTTGATGAGGGAAGCACTTCATACTCAAGAGTAGCTGAATAAATAATTAAAATAGAAGTGCTCAAGTAATCTTTTGTACCGGGTATAAATGAAATAAATAAAGTATTATTATGAGTTTTTAGTAAATGCGCGTTAATCTGAATTCCTATCGGGTCCTATTCGATAAACGAGCTCCGAAAATGTCCCTGGTTCCAATTTTTTGGGGAGTTGGGTTGCACGAGGGAGATGATCTCCTTCCGCTTCTTCGCCGCCGTGCAGTGGCGGCGGTAGCGCCGGGCGGCTTCAGCTCGCCGGTATGGTTCTCTTCCCTTCTCTTTGTTGCGCTGGTTTGTTGGTTGGATGGAGATTAGGGTTCCCTTCCTAGCCGGTGGCCGGCGGCGGGCTCAGGGGAGGTTGCCGGCGGATTGGCCGGGCGACGCCGTCAAGATGCTCAGCAAACCCTTGGTTAAACGGAAGGCCATGTGGGGTGCGAACTCGGCGCTTTCACTGGTTTCTGGAGGTGATATTTCTGGTTGAACGCCACGGCGGTGCGGTCAGACTGTGCCTCCGCCTTTAGTGGTGGCGGGGGTTGCAGGCTGCTCGCCCTGGCCCTACAAAGCGGCTGCTGCCAGGTGGTAGTGTGCCGGGCCGAGTTAGCCATTGGAAAGCTGAAGAAGATGGTCGAGCAAGGTGACGCCATTAGTCTAATTCGCGCACTCCTGTGTCTCGCTGCTGGTTGTGTTTGTGACCAATCTAGTTACCTTTGGGTAATACTCTTTTCTAGTCATGGTGAATAAGCAAGGAAAAAATAGCCATTCTTTATCCAGTTCAATACCCTCTCTTGGAGCTCTTTTCGGACGCCATTTGGCTGTCAATGCAGAGGCTGAGGGCGTTTCGTCATATCGTTCAATCTTTTCTTGCAGAGGTATGATTTGTGTCATTTTGTCTCAGTTTGTTCATGTCATCATATCTTACCAACTATGTCTTGTTTTCCTTGAAGTGTTTCTAAACTTGAATATTTTCTTATTATAATTAATCTTGATGTGAATAATTAGATATGAATTATACATTTGGGACTATCACTAAGTTAATTTTACTTAAATTGATTCACATAAGTTTAAGTATTTAAGATCATGATATCTCTTATAAGTATAAATAGTAATATAAATATGTGTAAAAAATACATTAAGAGACAAATAACTTATTATCTATAAGTAATGGGTCACACAACTAAAATTACTCTCAAAGCATCTTGTATCTATTTAAGTCATTAGACGACTCCTCTGTACTAATCTAAAAGGTTAACACTATTTTTGTGACTTCATAGATTTAGGTATGATTTCTAATTTATTTTTATTTCATTTTAGATTCTCCACTATCTCAACACTATATATTTAATCACCAATATTTATTACCAACCTTTTGACATAGTAAAGAACTAAAGAAAAAATAAATATCTTCATTATGTTTAAGATTAAAAACGTGATACTTCACCATATGTATGTCAATACTTTCCTCCTTAGGTCAGTTTTCAGAAATAGTTGAGAAAAAATTAATTATTTTTAAATGTCTTAATTACTAGTTTGTAATATTATACTAATATTTTTTCATTCTATTTTATCATATAGTAAATATGTCACATGAGGTGAGTAGATTTTTCTTTAAAATTTCATTAAGACGGTAAAACTATAAGGATTCAATCTAGATTTTTTATAATACTATAAATTTCAGGTGTAAGATGTCTCATCATTCTTGTCAACTTTACTATTAATTGCATAATGATATGAATAACCATTTTTCCTATGGAATATGATCTGCCAACATAAAGACTAGCTCCAAAAGTTGGCTTAATAATAAGGTTTTTCATTAGAGTGGGTTCATCATGATTTATTTATTATTATTTTTAAATTTATATTTATGTGAATTTTTCTGTACTCTACATTCAAACAAGAATCTTGGGTTTTAGTTATGGGTCCCCTTAATCTATTGGAGCTGTGAACTAGTGGAAAGGCGGCTCAATTAACTATCCGTCCAAACTGTCACCCCATCTTCCCTGCACGTGGTCTGTTTTGTCCGAAATCGATCCAAGTCGACAAGGTGGTCCTGCGTGACGTCACTGTCGGTTAGGCACTGGTCGTCTGACGGCTATCGCCGTCGGAGACGTGCTGTGCCGGATCAAGGTGCCCGTCACTGACGTCTCTTTGCCGTGCGCTGGTCACCAGATCCCCCACTCTCTCCGGCATTTCCTTAAATTAGGCGCAGCTGTCTGCCCTAGTTTGTGTTTCACGTGTCGCGCGCTGTCCAGAGAGAGAGAGGGAATGGGAGAGAGAGATAATCAACATATACTTCGTGCCTACAAATGAGATTTCGTTGGCCGACGTCATCGAAGGAATCGGACAAGGCCATGTGAATTTCATGGTCCTCTCGCTGGTAGGATTTCAGTGAGGATGAACGCCGCCATGGGGAACCTGGATATGGCGGTGGGAAGCATCCTTCTTGCTCTGATCTCCGCCGGTATCTACATCTTCTTGATATCGCCCGCCGCCAAGCGCCGCCAGCTGGAGGTCAGCGGACTGAGAGGTCCCGTCCCAGAATTCCCTCTAGGGAACATCTCCGAGATGAGGAAGGAGAGCCGAGCTCCTGCTCCTCCTACGGGGCAGTCGATGATCACCCACGACATCCACTCCGCCGTCTTCCCTTTCTTCTCTCGGTGGCGGGAGTCCTACGGTACGCCGAATACGAGGACCTCTCATCTTCCCCAACCCATGGCGAGTGCTTGCAGTAAACATAGAAATACCTCGCTAATGATACCACATCTGCATACTCAGGGAAGGTCTTCGTCTACTGGATGGGCACGGAGTCCTTCCTCTACGTTGCAGACCCGGACTTCCTGAGCAAGATGACGGCGGCCACGACGGAAAACAGCTGGGGGAAGCCCAACATGTTCAGGCAAGACAGGAGACCCCTGTTTGGAGAGGGAATGGTGATGATTGAAGGCGAGAGTTGGGCCCATCGCAGGCACATAATCACCCCAGCCTTCTCCACGAGTAACCTCAAGGTGAGTGATCTCCTAAGATTGATTTCAAGCATTGTTAACCCCGTTGTTGTTCTCTCTTCGTCGGATGAACAGATTTTGATATTTCTTTCTTTTTCGTTCTGGAGTAGTATATGCTGGACATGGTTGCGGAATCCGCCTCCACCATGATAGACGAGTGGAGCAGCTTGCTGGCCTCTGGACGCCGGGAGATAGATATGTACGACCATCTAACCAGAAAGACGGGGGAGATCATAGTTAATATCGTCTTTGGGAGGAACGACGGCAACGGGAAGGAGGTACTCCGGAGGCAAATTGACCTGAAGTACCAGTTATTCAGAAGCAAAAGGCTCCTGGGGGTGCCTTTCAGCAGACTGTTCCATCTCAAGCAGACGCTGGCCTCAGAGGCGCAGGGGAGGGAGATGGACAGGCTCCTATTGTCCTCGATAGAGTCCCGGAAGGCCGCAATGGATTCCGAGGAAGCAGGGGCTTTTGTCCCGCGTGGAGACCTGCTGGGGCTGCTTCTGACGTGGAACCAGATGTGTGCTGATCACGACTCGAAGAAGCTCACTCCGATAGAGATCGTCGGAGAGTGCAAGACCTTCCTCTTCGGCGGCCACGAAACCACGTCTGTAGCTCTCTCCTGGACGTCACTTCTCTTGGCACAGCATCCCGAGTGGCAGACTATTCTGCGTAAGGAGGCCGAAGAGGTCCTCGCTGATGCACCTCCTGACTCTTCCGCGCTCGCTAAATTGATCAAGGTTTTCCATCTTCTCTTTCTCCTCATATTCTCCTCTCCCCCCCCCCCCTCCCCCCATCCTACTCTCTCTCTCTGACCCTAAGTTCTTTCTTCTTCACGATTTAGATGAGATGGGTTATGAACGAGGCGATGAGGCTCTACCCGTCGGCCATCGCGCAGCGGCAAGCGAGGCAGGACGTCCGTGTTGGGGAGGTGGTCATCCCCAAGGGGACCAACATCTGGGTCGACATCCTCGGGATGCACCATGACCCCGCACTCTGGGGCTCCGACGCCAACGAATTCAGGCCGGAGAGATTCAGCGATAGCCTCCACGGAGGCTGCAAGCACCGGATGGGCTTCCTCCCCTTCGGCTTCGGCGGCCGGCTCTGCATTGGCCGGAATCTCGCCATTTTCGAGTACAAGATCCTCCTGAGTTCCATCCTCAGAAGATTTTCCTTGGCCCTCTCCCCTTCCTACGTTCACTCTCCCTCCATGATGCTCTCCCTCAGGCCCTCCCATGGCGTCCCCCTCATTCTCACCCCCCTCCCTGTAAACTAAACTGGTCTCATTTGTGAAGACGATCATGGTAAATATCTGCCTCCTCCCCCTCATCCTCACAAGGTTTTCCTTGGCCCTCTCTTCCTTCTTCTCACCCCTCCTCCTCCCTCCCTTTCCCTGTAAACTAACATGTCTCATGATGTACCTGAAATTGAAAAAACTGACCATTTGATCATGTTCTAATGCAGTGTGAGTTGAAATGAGCTTTTAAGTATATGAGATTTCTTCGTCTTGAATCTACATAGTTTAGAAAGCTCTAAGCTTTTAGTCCATAAAGATTCGACCCTAAGCTCACAAGATCAAAAATAGTTCTATAAGTCTATAAGTATACTAGAATCCAAAAGTAGAAATAGAAATTTGTCAGAGAGGAATTGAACTAAAAAATCTATTGATGTAAATATAAATAACTCTTAAGGCCACAAAGAACCATTTTACAAGGCCCTTAACATATTAGAAACATGTGAGAAATAAGAATTGAGATTCTGACATAGTTAACATATGATAAAATCTCTTACTAAAAACTTGAATAAAATTACGATTCAGGTCATTCTTGAAGTGGCATTTGCCCTTGGAACCTACTGGTGTGAAGATATTGTTGGTATCATTTTATTGTTTGGATATTTTCTCGAGTTTGATGTTTAATCTATGATTTGCGTCTGCCTAATCTTTCATATATATAGATCTACCAAAACATATTAATTTACGAAACTGATATTTTTTCTGCTTTTTCATGGAATTGAACCATGTCAGCAGTAGTACAGACTGCCAAAGGCTTGCTTGTATCTCTTTGAATTATCAAGTTACCCTAGTCTGTGTTATTTCATCCAGTCAATTCGCATTCTTTGATCTGTGAATCTCAGTCTTGTCCCCAAGTCATACTGCAGTTGCAGTTGTCTGTGACATGGTTTCTTCATGCGAAGTAGCCATGCTCTATATTGCATGACTTAAGCGGGATTAATGCCAGAAGAGAAAAATGTATGCCTTCAGAGAGGAAGAAGAGGTCAATCTTGCTCGAAATCTGAACGATCATGTAAGCGATGGAGCGATGTTCTGTTCAGGCTACCAAGGTCTTCTTACATTAGTTCGCTATACACAATTTCCTTGATGTGGCAATGCTATGTAGCCACATATGTCCTCTCGTCAGTACGAAGGAATATGATACACAGTAGGATTCGGCTGTATTTGTCTCAAAGTTGGGCCTTCAGTCAGTCATGAGTTTTGGCATTTTTCTTCTGTGGGCAGTGGGTGTTAAACATTCCTTATGTCGGGTTTTGGCAGGAACCCTTCTCTTTATGAAACTTCACACCATTACTTGTGTGAAGCGTTTCTGTTGTTCATGAGTTTGAAATAATGTTGGTAAACACTTCCAGTAGTTTATTGAAACTGCTTTATTTATTGTCCATTTTATTTTCTTATAAATAACGTCGAATTAAAATTTAGGATTATGACACACAGTAGTTTATGGCCATCACGTACTGAAATACACCCACATGTTGATATTTTTCCACCAATGATGATGACGATGATGATGATGATACGTGATAGACAAAGCAGAAAAATCTGTCACCTCAACTTGCTTGGACGTGGCAGTTTATGGTGTTCTTCGTTGCTACGCACTAATCACTATTTTAGCCACGGTTTCTCAATGTTTTATCCTATTTCAGAAATCACTTTCTATAATTCTAAAATCTTGTGATAAATGTGTCACTCTTATAAGAGGTAAATGGTTGAAATATTTTTCACTTCTCATATTTCTATTAGTTTCTCTAACCAGTCATCCTTTTACTAGGTTCTATATAAAAGCAGATGCGACAATCGGTTGAATGAGATTACTGAAAAGGCATCTGCTGATAAACGTGAGGTACTGCTATTCTTAATAGATTGGAATTGATTTATTGCCATCTTTTGGTTTATATTTTCTCTCATCCGTTGGAAACTGTTATTCTGCTAGTTTGGAATTTGATTTGAAATTATGGTAATTCAATTTTGTTTTATCTTTTCTTATTTTGGATTAGGTTCTATTTGTGGGTATTAAATTTTATAAGGGGTCATTTGGCGGGGTGGGTTGCCAAAGTTTGAGCCCAATCCCACTAGTAAAAGTATAGTCTGAGGCCTGCTCGAATCATTAGTGATGCTAAGTCCATTTCTTTTGGGTTTCTATGCTAAGTTTTGACACCTTGAGTCCGATTTAGATAGATTTCTTCATTTTAGATGCCCTTGGGCTCTTTCTTTGGGGCTAAAAGTTGTAAATTAGCTTGTGAATTTACATAGTTATGTAGAAGTTTCTATTAATAGTATGACCTATTTAAGGATTTCACGTACAGTTTAAGATTACTCTTTATATATTTTCTGTGTCTATTTTAACATGTTTATGAGATTAGAGTCCATCGTGTTCGCTTAAAGCTCATAGAGGAACCTGCTTAATTCGGCTACACCAATGATGTTGTGTTTGGATCACTTACTCATAGTGGAAAAATCACCATGTTAATGTTATGGACATTGTTTGAGTTATTTTCTTTATTTGCGTTCTTTAAGGATGGCAACCTCGTAGACAAGAAGGTGCTGCTGATTGGGATGAAGATAAGGGTAAGACACTGTAGTCAGTATTTTTTCAATGCAACTGGTCTTCTCCTTTCGCTGAAATATCATGTTTTCAATGATGTTGTGTTTTTCTGGGTTTCAAAAATGAATGTTGAGCTGATGGATCTATCTCTGTGACTGATGGGACAGACCCTATGCACACCATCCATTGGTGACCAATTGATGGAGCTTGTATGATTATTCTGTTGTGGACTAACTAGTAAAGATAATTCATGTCAAATAATTATAGATCTTTTGCATCATGACATTTGTATCTTTTATTCAAGTGAAGCTGCCTCATAATAGTGATAGTATGAAATATTTTTTCATTTACAAAAATATTATTTGTACCCTCAAAAACCTCCATCATCAAAATACATATGCAAACCATTGTCATAGAGAATACATGGATGACTAGTCTTTATGCAAAACATGTAACGACTTGCCTCTTCCACCTCTACATGAACATAAAGATCTAAGACCTTGACAGTTGATCTAATACTTGTCAAAGTATCCTACATAGGCTAGGACTTAATACAAACAATCTCATGTATCCATACATGAAACCTTAGTAGAGAGGACACAAGCTCAAAATGTCATTATTTAATTGCCAAAATTATCATGAATCAATAATTAATAAATAATGTATTTTTAGCCTTAACTCATGATAAATAGACTTATATTTATATTAAATTATAAAAAGTAATTTTTAATTAATTAATATTTTTAGCTAATTATGTGATTTTTTATAATTTTATAATCCTATTTTTGAGATAAATTAAGAAAAATAAATTAAAATAAAAAGATAGAAAAAGGGAGGGGACCCGTCGGCCAACTGGGCCCGCAAATAGGTCAGAAGCATAATCAGGGTGAAGCCGCAAGCAAGGACTCGAGCAACTATGGACCGAATGGGGCACGTGTCCATCATTCCCCTCTCACGTCATCGGTGGCTAGGCGATTGTGGGGCAAAAGAGTGGTTGCACACATGTGAGAAATGAATTCATTATTTCTAAATTTGACATTGGTATATATTAATCTCAACATTTGATGTATAACCTTTCTTAGAATATTTCAATGATTATAATACATAAAATATCTTTTATTTATAACAATGAGATACCATGATGATATTATTTTATAAATGTGTTTGAGTACTTATTCATTCTCTTTTATATAGATAGGCGACCGACACAAGTTCGAATTTTACCAGAGCTTAAATTTGTATTTTTATCTAATTAAATTGTAACTTTCCTACAAATCGTCAGTGAAGGATTAAGCTGCCACAATCACTCGATCATCGACGAAAATTTTGTCAATGTAATTTGTAGAGTATTATTACTAAAATTACTGAACAATTAGTAATAAAATGCTCATAGATTCATCGAATGCATTATATGTGATCATACTAAAATTCGTATTATGATTGTTGAATCATAATTTTATTTAAGTTTCACCAATAATATTCTATGTTTGCACATTTCAGTATATGTTAGTTACATGGAACCAAACAAAGTTCTCAATACATAGAAACAAAAGGACTTAAATTTACTATCTATTATGTACCCATGATACTACATCATTAATTCCAAATATTTTTTATATGCAATTAATTGATTGCATGTAGACTTTTCATTCTACTACATAATATTTTTCAAATATTAATGAATCCATTTTCAGAAAATTATTTTCAATATTTTGAATCACAAATGCTACATTATAAACATTGAGACAATAACTGAAGGCATTAACTTGATATTCTTATTTTATTTTAATTTGGATAAATTTTGATTAGGACATCTGGATTTTATTTTCATGCATTATCAATTCTACTTAAAACTATCAAATCCTAACCAAACTTGGTCAAATTAATATGGCTGATATATATACATTGTATTTTTATGAAATATGTATTTATTTCTATTGGTGATATTCTAATCATTAACTAAAATATTGTACTGGTTTTCCATATGTTCAAATTTCTGCCTAGTTTTGATAAAATAAACGTTGAGAGATCATATTTAAATTTTTAAAAAAAGTTGAGTTTGATTTCTATGTAAACGCAACATCTTTCTAATGACTAATTAGTTTGGAACAATTGTCTTTACCGCCTTACGATTTAAGTCATCTCTTTACTTTTTCTAAAAAAAATTGAGAGTCCTTTATTATTAGTCAACCTTGACAAAGCTGTTAATTTTGATCACAGGTAAAAAACAATTATATTTTATTAATTTTAACTTAATTAAAATTACAAATATCCTATTTGAATGTGTATTATCCATAATATCTGTGATGGTAGATTAAATCAAGTAAATTCGTTGATGAGGGAAACACTTCATGCTCAAGAGTAGCAGAATAAATAATTAAAATTCAACTGATAAAGTAATCTTTTGTACAAATAAATAAAGTATTATCCATAATATCTGAGTTCCTATCGGGCCATATCCGGTAAACGAGATCCGAAAATGCCCCTGTCCCCTATTTTTTTGGGGAGTTGGGTTGCAGGGGGGAGAGCCTCCTTCCGCTTCTTCGCCGCCGTGCAGTGGCGGCGGTAGCGCCGGGCGGCTCCAGCTCGTCGGTATGGTTCTCTTCCCTTCTCTTTGTTGCGCTGGTTTGTTGGTTGGATGGAGATTAGGGTTCCCCTCCTAGCCGGTGGCCGCCGGCGGGCTCAGGGGAGGTTGCCGGCGGATTGGCCGGGCGGCGCCGCCCAGATACCGAGCAAATCCTTGAATAAACGGAAGGTCATGTGGGGTGCGAATTCGGCGCTTTCACTGGTTTCTGGAGGTGATATTTCTTGTGGTCAGACCGTGGCTCCGCCTTCGGTGGTGTCGGGGGTTGCAGACTGCTCGCCCTGGCCCTACAAAGCGGCTGCTGCCAGTTGGTAGTGTGCTAGGCCGAGTTAGCCATTGGAAAGCTGAAGAAGATGGTCGAGCAAGTTGACGCACTTAGTTTAATTCGTGCATTCCTGTGTCTCACTGCAGGTTGTGTTTGTACTAATCCAGTTACCTTTGGGTGATACTCTTTTCTAGACATGGTGAAGAAGCAAGGAAAAGATAGGCATTCTTCATCCATTTCAGGATTACAAAATGCAACACTTCGGGAACAAAATGTCGGCAGAAAACATGCCAACCCGAGTTCAATGCTGAAAATGGAGCATCTGAAGAGATTGGCCACGTGGGCAGGTGGAGAAGCTTCGATACCCTCTCTTGGAGCTCTTTTCGGACACCATCTGGCTGCCAATGCAGAGGCTGAGGGCGTTCCTTCAGATCGTTCAATCTTTTCTTGCCAGAGGTATGATTCGTGTCATCATGTCTTACCAGCCATATCTTGTTTTCCTTGAAGTGATTTTAAACTCGCACACTTTCTGACCAATCCACTTACCTTTTGCTCATAATCTTCTCTGACATGGTGAAGAACCAAGGAAAAAATAGCCCTTCTTCCTCCAGTTTAGGATTAAAAGCCTGATACTTGGTCACTTTTCAAAGATTAGATCATCAGGACAGGCGTTCAACGACGCGAGAGCTGCCTGCATTAGACATACCCTACATCCAATATCATAGAAATCCGAATATTATTTCATCGTACACATTTTTCCGCCTAAGATTATCCATAAACGTTGAATTTGCGTGTACCGTTCATGTTCATCTAATGCTGTCAACTGTGGGGACCCACCCGTTGTAATAACTTTGCATTAAGTAGCTAGAAACCTGTCGAAAATTAGATCAGCGGTCATGATTGGTGCTTTGGTCACCAGGTTGGTCCTCCTTTTGCAAGCTTGGGCTTAATATTTTATCAAACTTTAGGTTTGCAATACCAAAATCTATATCAACATTGGTTACCTGCGGTGATGGATTAGAAATGGGAAGGTTATGTGTTTCCCCTTCTTTCTGGCTACTCATTGATGTGAGTCTGCAGATGGGTTCTTCTTGAGTATGACGAATTTGACTAGAAGAAAATCACTGGCTATAGAAGATTGGAAGCCATGATTTGGTGTGTGGAAGGATGTGTATTGGCCATGCTAGTTCTCGAGGTCTTTGTTTATTAGTTTCTAGGAATAAAAATACGGGGCATCTAGATGACTCATTCTGAATGCTCGCAACAGTGAAGATAAATGGTCACTTGCTGCAAACAAGTAGAAAGCTAAAACCTGCAAGTGAGAAGACTCAGAGGTCTTGTGAATGTGAACCCATGGATTCATTTCGTCGATGGAAGCTGATTATGTGTGTTCTTAGTTCATTCTGTCTGCGGGCTTACCCTCCCTTTCAGATAATCTGTATAAATAACCCTGTTGTTTTTATATCCTCAGGTGCGAAACAATTCTCCAGCCTGGCCGCAACTGCACCGTGCGAATCGAAAGAAATACCGCAACTGGGTCAAAATCTCGAAGAACATCTGGCATTTCCCGGAACAGAATAGTCTATACATGCAATTTCTGTTCGCATAGGAATTCAAGAAATGGTACCCCAGTGGGCCACGTCAAAGACCTATTGGCTTCGAGACCTCTGCCCAGCGGTGGATCGACGAGTGTAGATTCGTGTTCCGCTGAGAGAATTGAGAAAGATTCTACCGTCAAGTCAGCCAGCCCTGCGCGGGCGGCGAGCAATGTTCCTGCTGACGACTGTCCTCAGACACCATCCAGCGGGGTTGATGTCTGTCTGTCATCGAAGCAGAAGAAGAAGAGAGAGGCGGCTCAATCTGAAGCCGCTGGGCCTGGGAAAGACGGCGGCGTCTCCGGCAAGCGGCGGAGGAAAAGGTGGTCCAGTGTGAAGGAGATCGCTCTGAGCGGTGAGCGGGAGAGAGAAGGGCGGATTAGCAGCTTGCCCATCCCATTTCTTATGTAAGCCGGGCAACCCTTTATGAGAAACGGCGTCTTCCTCATGCTGTATGAATCCGAGATTCCTTGTAGAGATTATGAATCTGTGATGGGTTTTTTTTTTTATTGTCCATTTACGATTGAACATGGAAGATCGTCGCTGGTTCTGGTTTGCCGAATTTAAGCCAGCTAGTTCCGAGCCGTAATTAGTATAATCAGAAGCTCCAATCACCCCCGAATGGGGGGGATAAATCAGAGACCTAAGTCGATATCGGACTTCCCTCTGGGTTTTTCTGCGGAAGAGCCGGCGCTGTGTGTCTGCTGCCGCTCGATGGATCCGAGGACGGACAAGCTGATCAGGAGAACCACCATGGTGGCCACCTGCACCGCCGCCTACCTCCTCCTCACCGCCGACTACGGCCCCGAGGACAACGTTCTCATTCCGGTGAGATCTCCGCTTCTTTCTCTCTCCCTCCCTCCCTCCCTCCCTCCCTCCCTTTCGAGCCCCGGTTTCAAACTGGGTCCTTCCTCTTCTTCTGCTTCTGGTTTCTTGCGGTGACCTAAGTTTTCTTCCCGCATGTCGAGAGATGCAATCGACCCTCTACTGCTTGATTTTTCTGTGAGGAGCGGGGAATCAGAAGATACCCTTCATCTCTGTCACGGAACCCACATGACCCATCTCTGTGATTTCTCTGATTTCTCATTGCAGGTCAGGGCGGCATTGAAATCGATGGAGCAGTCTGTGAAGAAGCTCGTCACTGGTTCGAACAAGGAAGCCGGAGAAACTGAGAAGAAGGAGAAACCCAAAGCGTAGAGCAATCTCTCCGGCTGAGCCATCCTCAACGTAGAGAGTCCGTAGATCTCTGGACATGAGCTTCCTCGTTCTAGAATGAAGCTCATGCCGTAGCCACCATACCCTGGCCGACTGAGCAGAGAGTTTTCCTCGAACTGCTTGTGTGCCTTGTTGTCTGGTTCGAGAAGAAAGCAAGGATCTTCGTATGGGCTTTATTGCCGCTCTTTTTTTTTTTTTCCCTACAAGATCTTCTTGTGAGCTCATTAATGATTAATAATATGCTTTATATAATTATTAAGATATAATCCTCGCATATTTGAGAGTCTTTGCGACATGAATCCTCGCATATTTTGCCGATTCATGTCAGGATTTTAGCTGATATTTTCGATATTAAATAATAATATTTTAACCTATAATACAGGGACTAAATATTGTACGTGTACGCTGTAAAAGGGTAATTGTGTCATTTCATACGCATGGATCGTGGCCGCACAACGTTTTAAAATTCTAACCCTGGGTCTCTTCTTTGGCGCGCAAAGACGTTGTGTGCTCTCTCGCTCCCACTCCGCGCGATCGTTGCCGGAATGGGGAAGAGGCGGTTTGCGCAGGTCGGTTCCAGCGAGGAGGAGGAAGAGAGCAGGTCGGGAGATGGACGGTGGCACGACAGGAAGATGCAGATGAAGAGCGTAGAGCTTGTAGAGTCGTCGGCGTCGGTGCAAGACCAGAACTGTCGCGGAAATAAGAGAGATGACGGGGCAGAGGAGCGGGAGGATGGGAATGGCGATGCGCGGCCGGTTGGTAGTGTGATCAGAATTTCGGGGAAGGGAACGGAGATGAAGAAGTATTATGCCGCGTTCGAGTACAACGGAGATACATACGAGCTCGTAAGATTCTGGGGACGCTTAACTTTTAACTCCTCGTCGTTTAGTTTTCTTGTTCGCATCTAAACTGAGTGTAGGGTTTCCGTTGTTTTTCTCTGTTTTCCTAGACGAAGACGGACCCGTGCAATGCTTTCATAGGTCGGGGTGAGTTTCTTTCGTTCTAACCCGTTCGTGCTTTTTTTCAACCCTTCCGACTAGGAGGATTCGGTGCTCCTGACTCCCGAAGAAGAATGTGAGAAACCGTTTGTTGCTATAATCAAGGTGGTTTCCCTTTTACTTTTCGTATTTGGCTTCTTCAGTTACCTTGAAAATTTTAGTTTTTAAAGGAGACGTGGCTCCTATCTTCATATGCTCTGCCTGAGTTTCACTGATAAAGATCAATGAAGAGAAAACCAAAAAGACGAAGCTTTCAGCCTATTGACATAAAAACACTATAGGGTGCGCGCTCCCATCTCATGTTTGAGACGTCAATAGTTTATAATGGTTCTGCCAGAAATTCTTTGCAGTAACCTCAACAAATTTTGTTTCCTATTTCTTGGCATTGGGTTTTCCATGCAGACTCCATAGGTGTCGCAGTAGCCGCGGTTTTGGATACTCTTCAATACAAACTTTTTCTTCACATGATTGTACCTCTGACTGTATATTAAAAGCTTCTATGCACAGTGCAAACGTTATGTTATGCTTGTGAAGCTCCAGTGGGAGAAGATATCTTCTCACCACATATAGAAAATTGGCCGATTTTCTGATTTTTAATGTTTACTATGACGAGATTGAGAGCCTGCTGTCATAGTACTTTGCAAAGAAGCGTAGTTTACATGATGTCTCCACCAACAATCTCGTCTGGTTGAGGGTGAAATCATGTATCTTAGGGCTGACTCCATGAAATAAGATTCGTCTCTCCCTTCTGATTTGTCTCTTACGTGTTTACATTTGGACTATTTTTTTTATCTTCTGTATTTTGTGCTCATGTTTTAAGCACCCCTTTTCTTCTGGTTAGTTCATGATATATGACTTTTCTTTCACAGGAGATCACGCAGATTTCCACTGGCAATGTAATGGTTAACGGGCAGTGGTTATACAGGCCTGAAGAAGCAATGGAGAAAGGTGGTGGTAATTGGTTGACAGTTGACTCCAGGGAACTCTTTTATAGCTTTCATTTTGATGAGGTTCCTGCTGAATCTGTAATGCACAAGTGTATAGTGCATTTTGTGCCACCACACAAGCAATTACCATCTCGTATGAAACATCCAGGTTTTGTCGTGAAAAGAGTTTATGATGCTATTAACCAAAAGCTTCGGAAAATAACAGACAAAGGTTTTGCGGATGATAGTCAACAGGAGATTGATCGATTGATGAAGAAAACTCAAGAAAATTTAGGAGAACTTCCAGATCGCGATAATGATTCGAAGGAAAAATGTGATATCATAAATAAACAGATGCTTCTAGTTGATGCTTCTAATGCTGGTAATGAGTTGACAAGATCTCCCATTCAATCAAAAGAAAAGAATGCTTCAAATTTATGTTTAATTCTGAAGCAATGTCGAGTTTGCACTGGGGACCGTTACCGTGATAAGTGGTTGGAGAAACTCCTTCAAGGAATTCAGTTCGTCTGCCAGTTAAACTCTATGTTGGTGAAAGATAGTGACAAGAGAAAGGATTCTACCCGTAAGACAATGACCATCTCAGGAGTAACCAGTGAGGCAGACACGATGATTTCAAATGTAGGTGATCACTCCCTCCCTCTCTCTCTATTCAGTCCATTGATGGAAAATTTACGATGTAGTTGTCTTGATTTTCCTAGTTTAGTTTAGGAATTTTTAGTCATTTATGATATAGTTCATGGGGTAATATAATATCCCACCTTGGAAAGTTTTTTCCTCATTTGGCTTTTTGAGACATTTTCTTCTACAACTTTCTCAGTCAACTTCTGGGAGCTTGATTGTTGTGTAGGGGGGTGAGCACATTGTTTGGCCTGATGATGCTGTCCTAGCTGTCGCTGCACTTGAGAAGGCTGTTCATGAAGCTCTTTGCTCTGATTTTCAGAAATATAATCAGAAGATGCGTCAGTTGGATTTTAATCTCAAGGTCGGGAATAGCCTTTTTTTTTTCTCGATTTTGGCTGTTTATTTCCAACCATGTTTAAAATGCTTTCTAGTGGCATGCCAGTTGTGTACACATTGATTTTATGAAAGTGTGGATAGGCATGATGTCTCTTGAAGGGCTCCTTTACTTCTCTATTGACCATGGATTGTAGCGGTAATGATGACACCGAAATATTTCTATTTAGAATCCGGTTTCACTCCTTGCTGTTTTAAACATGAGCTAAATACTTCGTGTCATAGAAGGATTGGTAACTCCATAGGTTCACTCTGTGCTCGTTTTGGAATACAACTGAAGTGTTTAGACGCATGCCCTTTGACATCAGGGGTCCTTTTGTGGCCCATGATCCCCTGTAAGGTGTGTGGGACGTTCTGTCATACTTGTCTTTAGAGTCAAAGTTTGGTGAAATATGTCCTCCCATGATGTTTCTTTTATATCTTCTTAATAAACTAACAAATTTCAAGTGCTAGTGTTGGTTTTAAAAAGGATGGTTAAGCTATTAAAAAATTGTTTTTTGCTTAGACAAAATAACTATGCTCGTTGTTGATGTGAACAGTATAATTTTTAGTAAAGAATGATAATTTTTTTAATTGTAAATGTTGACACCATTGATTCAAGTTAAGCAATGGAGACACCTACGATGTAAGTTGTCAATCCTTGCAAGTGAATCATAGATTTTGTCTGCAAGTGGATCAAAGATCATGTCTACAAGAGTCGGTCCTAGAAGTGAATCAAAGATCCTGTCTACAACTGTTAACGTCTAGAACATGAAGCTAAAAACAGTTGTAGTAAAAATAGAGTTGTTATGTAAGAGTCTAGTGTCAATACCTATATAGGAAACAAAAAACCGTGCACCGAGGATTGATATTTAAGAAGCAAGTGTCAACACCTATGCTGAAATACAGAGTATTTTCCATGGATAAAAAAAATTGAGGCCGAAAAAAGAAAAGCGTCACCATCGTCATCCAGAGGTGTTGACACTAAGATGTTTGAAAAGGAAAAATTGTGAATGTCAACATTTGCACGAGGACCAACACCACTAAAATCACGGCAGTATTACTTAAGACAACTGTAAATGAATTACTCTTAAAAATTGACCATTTTGTGTTCGTTGGAGGAGAAATATTTGGTTGTAGTTATCTAGGGACCTTAGGGTATAAATCCCAAGAAAATGAGGTATTTATAAGCCTGCATGAATTGAAAATTCAAAGCATGGGAGCTAGTTTCTTTCATATTGTTTCAAAAGGTCTTCATCTGACATAAAGTTAAACATCCAAGATTTACCTGTGTTTTACAAGCTTTAGTGTAGATCATGTAAGTTAGACTTTCATTTTCCTTTCTTTATAAAATTTAGGTTTGCTACTGTGGAAAAGTTACATGTGTGAAGGGTGGGGTTAGCACTTTGAGATGCAACTGGGTGTAAGACCTGGAGCATCCTGGGAGGGCGACTTGTGAAGACCTGGAGCTCACTTCTATGCCAAGAGGATTTACGTCTTTGGATGACTTGTGCATTGAATCTCCCAGATCCTGTTCTATTTATGAAAAGACTAATCTAATGGTCCCATATGTTGTTTCTTATGGATTGGGTTTAGAGCTTAAATTTTGAGGGTTACATAATCTCTGAATACATTAAATTCAAGTAGAACTTTTTGACTTCACATTGTTTAAGTTGAGTCACAATTTCCAATTTTCTGTCCGAGATGAGCTTGGAAAGTATAGACGTATCAAAGGTCCGAAGATGGTGTCGGGCAATAACATGCCTATCTTAAACATTGTATAACTTTTTAAAACCCACGCTTCAATCCTAGAAGGCTCTCATTATCTGGGAAATACTACATATGAAAATCGCAGACGTAAAGTTTGACATAAGAATGCATAAACTCCTCCCACTTAAGATGTTGCTCAGGGAAAATTTATACAAAAAAAATGAATGCGATCAAGAAACGGATAGAGACCGCACATCCATTTCCAGTTTTTATTCCATCGTCAACATAGAAAGTGATTAATAAGGTTCTCAAACTTTGTAGATTTTGTCGGTGTGTGAATTTATTCTTCTATGTTATTTGAGTATTGTGACAGATGAAGTTTATTGCCACTGAGGTTTTGATGAAATAAGCACTAGAGGAACGAATTACTAATTAATTAGATTATTGAACAATGAAACTTGTAATTTTGTATTATGTGAAACGGTCCTCCTTTCCTAGCATTGTCTGTATTTGCTTCTCCTTAGAATGTCTTGAAAAATTCGTAGCTTTATTCATTTCCTTTGTATTTCATTTTTGTGAAGCGTGGAAGCATTTTTTTTTTATTGGTGTGGCTGCATTAGATTCAACTTTTATTGGAATTCTCCTCCATAGGATTTAGTTCAATCATATGTAGGCATCACATTTTCTTGAGATATGTTTCCACATCTTATGCTACCAATTCTAATGCTAATGATTTGCCATTAATCTGCTTTGGCTTGAAGAACTTGATTCCAAGAGCTTGTTATAAAACCCAGGTATAAGTTTTAAAGTGAGCTGGTAAGGCAACAGCAACTCCATTAATGTGCTTCTTCAACAAATCTACATCAGAATGGGTGAACCCTCATGTCAGACAAGGGGATTAGGCTGTTGTAGTAAAGCCCATATTGTAGATCTGAAGAGGTTAATTGCTTAGAAGTAAATGAAAGTTTGCCTAGGACAAATATCTAGTGAGTGAAGTTTCATTTGGCGATCATGGCCTTTTAATTTATCATTTTAAGGTGTGCATTGTTATTGTCGAATTTCCTTCAATTCCTGCATATCCTCGAGGAAAAGCCTTTTCAGGTAGAGAGAGGGAAAGGAACTTCTATTCTAATGAGGGAAATATTCTGTTACATCAATTCACAACAGAGGTCTGGTATTTATATCAGACCCCTCGTGGAAGGTTCTGGACATGTGAACCTTACACTAGGAAGGGAAAAAGACAATAAGACAGACATGTAAACCATCACGTGACACACTAAGGCAGAGTATTTTAGCAGTTATCAATTCGAGCATGCCAAATTCTTTGTTAGAATTGGTTTTGATTCATACTCAATGATTTTCATCATATCCTGTTCTCACATCACTTCAGCATCTGGTTGCATTACGCTTAAATATAGCTACCATTTGCATTCAGGAGTTTCAGAAACCGTTACTACCTTCTATTGTCGTAATATGACTTTGGCATCCTGAGGTCTGTCAGATGTCTGATATTATTTTTTTTCCGTTTACAGAAGAATATGCTGTTAGCTAAACGTTTACTGAAGAAAGAGCTGGAGCCTTCAGTGCTTTTAAGCATGTCTCCAAGTGAGTTGAAGGTACACAATTTGGTAGCCTGGACCGTCTACTTTTCAAGCCTTGTTCAATAAGTCTAGGAGTTTACATAATCTTCATCTTCAAAACTCGTAGCAAACAAGATCTATCTGATGCCCGTCTTGAAACACTAGTCACGTGTGATTATGACATCCATAATCACCTCTCTGATGTAATACAATAAAATCCGAGCTAAATGTGAATTATATTCTCTCGCATATATTGAGTTTGCAGCTGTCTTTTTTTTTCCTTTCCAGAGGATTCATAATTTACCCTGCTAATTTATTGTAATTGTCAAGTCAAGCTCTAACCCTAATTTTTCATTAAAATCAATAATGCAAACCATCTTGAAAATCGTTTTTTTTATTGCAATGATACCTCCTAGTTTGACTGCCTGCATTTCTTACGATCCACCACCGTTGAGCATTCTGTCTCAACGTTAGTTCCAAGCTCACGTCTTGAGGCGGCTGAAATGATGATCTATTGCAGGATGGATTACTCGCGGATGAAAAAGATACCCAGAAACCTGAGCAATCAAGACACATGAAGGTTACCCATTTGACTGTCGACTAGTGATATCACATAAAGAGGCTTGTACATCAGTCTCTCCTGCGCTAAGCTCGATACTCGCCTTGTGCTGGCAGATGACAGATGCTCGATGCTCTAGATGCTCGGAGCAGAATGCAGGTGTTGTGGATATCATCAACGCTGGAGGATCCGGTGAACGATATCAGGTCTGTCGATTATTCTCTTCTTCCTCTTCTCGTGCCATTTTACTCCTGATAGTTGTATTCTTGGTCACTCCTTTCTTTCATTTTAGGTTAGCCATCTCTAGTAATCCAACTGTTCGATATAATTTTGTAGTGACCGCAATACTACCTACATTTAGACATTATCTCTGAAAAGCTTGCAATATGTTGACTTTTTAACGGAGATAATACTTTCATACACTTTGAAACGAGGAAGATCGACAGACATTGGATTTTCCTATACTTAAACATGCTCGCATTGAATTATGTGACGCATGTGACAAAAGAGTAAGTATCGCTTTCATTCATGTGCTTACATTGGATTTTGCTGAGTTTTGACTTTGGCCCCCAATATTACCCCCTTTTTGGCGAAATGGGTACCCATCATCTTTGTGACATCCCTAGCTCTTTGGTGAGCTCAGAAACAGGTCAACGCATGAATATGGCGAAACCGAATCGTCCCTAGCTCTTATGATATTAGTTATCAGCGTATGAAATCCTCCTGGGTTACTGGAACATGGGCGTGCCTTTTGTCCTCTCTGGTTCGACGATCGGTTTACTAAAAACGGTGGGTGGTTTCCTCTGCGTCATCCATCCAGTTGGAGTGCACGGGGTGCGGCCGAACGTGGTACGCCCCCGCGGACGAGGTCGCGACGTTGATCTCGGACGCGCCGCCGAACGCCGCCGGAGATCTCGGAGCCAAGATCGACGCCGTTGAGAAGAACTCGATCGGGCCTCGCGTCCCTGAGAACCCCGCCGCCGCAGCCGTTCTTCCCGAGTCAACGGCGCCTAAGGTTCCCGTCGCAGTAAAACAGAGGAGGCCACTTAAACAGGCCTGAATGGACGACGGGGAGACCATCTCCCACTGTAAGGAAGCTTCCCCTCCCCTCCCCTCCCCTCCCCTCCCCTCCCCTCCCCCACAGGTTCTCTGTTTCTTCCCCGACCCCTGCTCCCCTTCTATAACTGGCAATCGAAGACCCGTTGACCTGCTGTTCCTTTCTTTTGGGAAGATCACCGGCACCGTTTATTGGTTCAGAGGCCCTATCCGCCACAAGAAAAATTGAGATGGGCTGACTAAACTGCACCTTCCAGCGCATCCCAATTAATCTCTCATTTTGGGATTTAATCTGCTCATAAAAAATATCCATAAATCCACACCCCAAGTGCTCTTGATTTCCGGGCAAACTGAACAAAATGTGCAAGTCAACGATCTTTCATTTATTCAGTAAAAGTCAACAAGTAAAAAATCAGGATCCAATCGGAAAGGCATTCCAATTGGTCTTATTTTTAGGGAAATTATTTACCCACTAATATCAAAGAACCCACCCACAAGCTTATTGACTTTTAGACAAACCCAATGCGAGAAGTCAACCAAAAAACATATTCCGACCGGAGATTAGGCAGACATTAATATCAAAGAATCCACAGGGCCCTTGATCTCTAATCAAACAAATGAATCCACAGGAGTCAGTAAGAAAATCATTCCAATTGACCTTATTTTGGAGTACATTTGAATGATCAATAACAATGAATCCACAGGGGTCGTGATTTTTTAGATAACCAAATTGTATGGAGTCAATGGGAGAGTATCATATCTCGATTAACCTTATTTTTTGGAAATAATCTCCTCAGATTTTGGACGAGCTCCATCCAGAAAGGGAACCGTCTCCGAGCTTAGAAAAGGGGTAGGCTCGGAGGAAAGCGAACGTGCAGCCACTGCCTCTCGTAAGCGACCACGTGGGCCCATCCATTTTCGGCTGCCAGTTCGATCTTAAGATCGTACAGCTTCCGTTTTGCGGGTTCCCCCTGTTGGTCGATCATTCCATTCAAAATCTGCCATGAAAGGGAAAAAAAAATAATATTAATAGTAAGCAAGAGGAGAGGTAGCAGCAGAGAAATTATTAGTGAAATTCTCATATTTTATTTTACTTCCCGATAATGGAAAATATAAAAAATATGTTCAGGAACTTTCGAATAGAACCACCATTCATTGATCATGAGATTACTAAATCACGGCTAGTGTTCTTTTTTTTTTTCTTTTTTTTCTTCCATACTCGTCAGCAACTTCCTATAAATAGAGACTGCATGTAGCGTGAATGGGGAAGAATCTTAGCAGAGAACGGAAAAGGTGAGCTAGCTTCGGAAAGAAGGTTACCTTCAATGCTGTGCCAATCCTTCCAGACTTCCTCTCCCGTATGACAGAAAGCATGCCATATTTGGACGATTTTACATCCACCCATTTCTTCAGCTCTTTGAAATTCTCCTCAAAGAGAACCTTGGCGCCAAGCTCCGATGCGCCTCCCCCCGTTTCCTCAGCAGATCCAGGGCTGCCCTTCTGCTCGATACAAGACATTAAGGGAAGAAAAGTCAATGAGACCGGAAGATGTGGGCAAACCAGCATTTCTGTCGTGCCATAATTTCCCAGCTTATAAAAGGAGTGGTTTATTTTGGTAGGTTTGAGAGCATCAGCAAAGTCAACTTGAATAAACTATGTGGCTCCGTTTTTCACCTCGGAGGAGGATTCGGTTTCGGAGAGCGCTAGTCCCCTCTGGTACAACGCTTCGGTCAACTGGTCACGCGTCAGCTCCATCTTCTTCTTGATTTTCTGTAGACGCGGCGAGAATTCGTGAAAGAGAAGTATGCAAAATATCCATGTGAAAACACATATCAGCCGATAGTTGGTCCGAAATCAAGAAGGAAAGGGCGTCCACCTCGGCCTCGTCCTCCTCCGGATCAAATTTCACTGAAAAATACTTAGCTAACTCCTCCTTGTCAATACTGTCGATTACATCATTAGCCGCATTTATTATCTGACATATTAAAATAAATAAAAAAGTCAACCTTCTGCGAGAGAAAAGTTGAGTGAAAACATCATTCAGGCAGTGTGAATCGATAAAAGACGAAACTTATAGAATCGGGCAGCAGAGCATTCACTCCATGTAATCACAAGGCAGACATGAATATAAATTATCAATTCCCTTTGATCCAAGGATATTGAAAAGGTTCAGCTGTAGCAAGGATCCAAACTAAATAAATCAGAGAAGATTGTTATATTCGGTGAAACCTCCAATAAGGATGATTCCAACTCTTTCAACATGAACTACCAAAAATACAATCATATTTTCCTATACAACGCTTATTTTTCCTCAACTTGAAACGGAAACGTTCACTTCCTATTACAGCGATACACTGTATAAATGCTAGGAACTATAAAACGCTGAAGGTATACATAATCTGGAACCGTCAATGAAATTTCAGGTCACCAAGGATGAATTTCCGACCTCGAAAATTCACAAGAACAAAGCACATTTCAAATCCCAATTTCTATCACCATTGATGGAGACTCAAATTAGCAATGGAGATGACAATAGACGTCATTTTTCGCCACCAACATGACTAATTTTGATCACCTTCACAGACTTAAGAGTTCTTATAAAGATGCGACCCTCTTCCGAAAGAAGAGAAATAAAAAAATTGATGCCAATTGTTCGCAGGATTCCTTGCAGGATAAACTCATGCAATTTTCATGAAATCATGGCGAATATTAACAGGTTCAGCCAGGTATCTGTGTCGTACAATTTCCAAATTAATGCAGAGTTGCTGATATCGTTAAAAAGTAATTTTAAATAAAAGCAAACTGAAACCGAAAAAATACCTCTTTATTGTGGCTAATTTTGTCGTCATCAGGACCTCTAGAGATCAAGCCATCTAAAATTTTGGCAAGCAACGGTGTATATTTTGGATACTCTGACTGCATGTAAAGACGAATGAATGAAAAAAAGCCACATTGAATTAACAGTGTTGCAAGGATGATGAAAAGACTTCAAGCAGAAAATTACTAGAAGATGATGAAATACTGCAATTCGTAGTCTAATCTCCAAATCCAAGGTTTAATAGCGGGATTAAGTACTGATAATAGAGAATCAAAACCTACTTTATTAACACTAGATATTTAACTGATTTTACACCTTTTTAGGCATTCCATTTTAAAAATAAACATAGAATACCTTCAAAGAATTAGATAATTCCTTCCATGCTGACTTCTCTTCTTTGTTGTCCTGTTTCAAACTGGACAGAAACTTTATTTTCGCATCCCGAACCTGGTGGAAAATAACTCTTAAAAACAATTTATCCAGGAATTTGAATAAAAGAAGGAATTGGAAAGGACTCATCTAAAAATTTCGTAAAAAGCAGAAACAAAAATATAGCAAGAAAGGTTTTGGACCAAGCACCATAGCACTAGTAGGTTTTCTGCAGTTATTCCCCCTTCAATGAATTAGCTTATTTCTGCCATATTTGGTAGCGAACATAGGATGTTGCATCCAAAGATCCTCAGGTTAAAGCAATATCATATCAAAATAAATGTTAGCTTAAAAAGCAGTTAATCGTCTTCCAAAACTAGGATAAATAATATTGGGCTTGAGGATATTGTTAGAATTTGTTACATGCATCAGATGCAATAAATGACAGAGGAGAAGACGTCCCTGGATACATAAATGGTCATAAATAATCACGAGTGTTTCAAGATCCAACAGAAACACACATGAAAGATAAGTAAACAAGAGCATGTAGAAGAGAGATTTCTAGCTCACTAGCACTGTTATATGAACCAAAGGTGATCTAGAATAAGAATTACCTCTTCTTGTAATCTCTCTGGAACACTCTTCGCACATGTAGCAGAGTCCATTCCTTTTCTCTCATCAGTCTTCAAAAAAACATATGCACCCAAGTTTAGTAAAATGAACAAGTTTGGAAGAAAAGTCTGCGGATAGATCGCTGCAGTCTGGCAGAAGTCATTAGAGATATCAAGAGAGAATAAAATGGAAGTGAGATAGGAAGAAAAAAATATAGACCGCTTAAGTTCAAGAATTAACGCCAAGTGTAGTAACCTTGCTGGGTGGGACAATGCAGAGTATCCGATACGATACTGGAGACTGCCCATTCTTCTTGCTATCAAGGGATATCTTCCCATATGAAATCCTACCATATAACACTGATCCTGGCGGGGAGTTCTGAAAGAGATCCGGAATGTCATAAATCAATGTAACATGTTTTATCACAACTAACCTGAGAATTCATAGACGAATTACCTTTTTAAATTTTTCGCTACTTGGCGTAGCCACATAAAATGCTTCTTCTTCACTAAAATTGTCGAGATGATATCATAAGGACCAAAAGACTTTTACGAATCGTTAATAATAAGAAATAATGAAAGCTAAATATACCCAGGGACAAGTACAGATGATTTGAAGATGCCATCTCCTGTTATTGGGCCATCTGGTTGAGAGAAAAAGTTCAGTTGTACGAAGTCCTGTATCGCAATAATCAAATAGTGTGAACAGACTTTCATGTCCCTAAAAAAAAAAGGGAGCAGTGCTTTTCATAAATGATAAGTAGACGTGCACCAAACTAACTAAACCTGTAATATAACTCACACATTTAATCTATCAAACGCCATAGTACTAATCAAAACGGCATTGACAGACTGACAGATGTTATAGAACAAAAATGGAAACCACAGAGAGCACTAGATGAGAACGTCTAACAATCATCACTCAAAAAGTTGTAACGTTCTAGTGGAGGATATTTTAATACGGCTGCAGTCAACAAATGCTGCATTTAATGTGAGATATTTGGTATTGTCCGACTCTTTTTCCTTTTTTTTATCTTCTTCTAGTTCTGTTTTAATATCATTTCTATATATGCAGCAAAAATGACAAGGTACGTCACATCCAAAAGCTCAAAGCTGGTTAAACTGCTTAGGTATGCACCTGGTAGTCTTAAAGAAAGTACACAGGATGAAAAATAGAACAAATTAAAAAAATTGGTGATTAGCAGTAACAAAAATTGAAAAACAATGAGCAAACCCTATAGAATAAACAAACGAATGGAGCCCAATGAAGAAGGAAGATCTTTGACCAACATACAAAAGTTACGTTCATATGTAGACACATTTTTTCACAGGCATTTGTTTAGCATGATGGCCTGAACCATGTAGTAGAACTTGTTTAAGCACTTAAGCAGACAGCCAAAAATCAATTAACATATTTGGCAAAACATTGACTATGTCCTTCATGTTGGGCATTAATTGAGACTACAGACGTTGTCTACGATACAAAAAACTGCAACATACGGGTTACTATAGTTTCTTGTTTGTACAACGAAAGTATTTCTGAGTAATATAAAGTGATACCAAGTTGGCATTTAACTTAACCTTTCAAATATGCATTTACCTTTTTCTCCAACTTTCTTTGAATGAACAGGACTAGCTCTTTCATTTCTTCCAAGAAATGAACATTGTCATGCCTGGAAACCAATCAATTAATAAATAAGAGTAATGACAAAGGTATTGGCCAACCTTTTAATAATACCAGAGGCTGACATGAAATCAACAGCACTAAACATGGTCGATATGATACAATGGGAGATCCCTGTTATGTGCTCTAATCTTATTTATCAATATAAAACTCACTAAACCGTGTTTATGTTCTCTTTTTCGGATGAGTATCTACCATGCTCTCTATTGTCATCATCTTTTTCACTTGTCAAATGTCGACATTATCTAAACACAGTAAAAACAATACACAGAATGGAAACAGTAAATTGACAGGAGAGCATTAGGAAGCAAGCCATCTGAAGAAGAAGATAAATAAGAAAAGGAGTATTTTGGGAAATCGAGGGCATATAAAAATGTACAATATAAAGGTTATAAATTCACTGCTCTCGAAATAAGTGAGAGTCTGCTAGTTAGAGGATATATGGATGACAAGTTTTCGTGCCACTGGTAGAGGAATATGTGGGGAAAATGAATCAGAAATAACGGAGAAAAAGAGAGAACAGCAGAAAATGAAGCTCAACCACTGCACGACAAAATATGTTTGTAAATTATATGGTACTAACGCGGCACCATCCACTTGAGCTCTTTGTCTCACCATCTAATTCGTTTCATTTATGGCTATGAAAACTAGAAACAAGGTAACTAGATAAGGATCCAAAAAATTGGTTGTTTGGGTGCCAGCATCCACATTTTCCTCAACAATGGTGCTTTTGTGCTATAAAAGTATATCACCATTTTAGATCATTAAACATATAGAATCCTCTCATTTCAATCTCTCCCTTTAATCCCAGTCATTGGAAAAAATTAAATGATGAAGATGAGTAAAAATTGAAAGAATGGACATGATGTTTGGCATGCATAGAAATGTATAGTGCATGTGTGTGAGCATGGTTGCCTGATATGTGGACAATCAATACACAATATTGCTTCTTCAAAACGGATACAATGGCCATAAGAAATTCATCAGCTTAATTTACAGTATGCTGATCACTTGGTGAATATCCAGGCGCATATCCAAAATGCAGTAGGATATAAGCAGGATCTTGAAATGAAATATATTCACAATGATGCATGTGTGACTAAATCAAGACATACTTAGAACCTGCTTATATTGAAAGGTAACATTGAAGCTCTATACCCCAGAGCTTCCAGTTTTGTGAACAAAAATATCTCAACTAGTAGGTTTCTATGTATACAACCACACATGCACAAATACCACATTGAAAAAACGATAACCCTGTTAATCAACGGTGACACATCATACCTTATGTACAGCTGCAAAATGTAGTCTCCCTTCGGGATTTTCACGTAATTTGGGTATACATCTCCAGTGGCATACACGCGCTTAGTAACACATAAGAAATGAACAATATCAGCTTTCAAATCTGAATGAGCATGATGTGCATTCATATGCTGTCGCTCAGTATATTGATAAACATATTATTGAGCATTTTAATTTCTAACATATCAAGAAAATGAATAAATGCTCATGTACTATATTATTCATAGACTGCAATACAAATCTGAGGTTGCATGGCCTTCAGACGACAGAAAAAACGGAAAGCCTCTTAAAAAAAGGGTTTCAATCAAATGATTCTAGTTTTTCAACCCTTTCTTGTTACTCAGATCATCAAAAAGTTTCAACAATAAAAAAACTGCCATCTGTCCAAGGAAATGGCCGGTACTGCACTCATTATTTGAAAACCTTAAATAGGAAGTTAGATTGTTACCAATGTAGTAGAGGTTGCTTTACAGATCCTAGTAGGAACTAATGGGTAGTTGTTAATCGACCTTAACGCTCCCTTTATCAATTTTTCAATAACTTCTACCTCTGATGTACTGCTGTTTCTTACTCCAAATAATCCATCGGCAAGATGAGCAGACATTAAGTGTGCCTTGATATCCCCAACCAAAGGCCCCTTTCCAATCGCCTGTTCAAGTTAATGGCATGTGATGTCATGGATGTTTTGGAGCCAAGGGAAAACTCTACAAAGAGGTCGAAGTTTTCTCCGAATAAGTGCAGAGTAAAAATTCCTTTTTCTCATTTTTTTTGGTCGGTGGCACCATGAGAGGGGAGAGGGGGTGTGTTTCTTGTTGCATCCTGCCTGTACCTAATGATATATTATAGTTCTCCTAGAGTAAGTGCTCACAAGACAGCTTTATGGAGTACAAAGGCGAATTGATGACAGAAAGATTATTGATAGCATCCTGGCAAATATTTTCCCACCAGTCAGAGTCAGCTCAGGACATGGAAAACGCAACCCCTTCTCCATGAAAAAGGAAATCAGTAATTAAAATAACATAAATAAGATAAACTTATGCAGGAGAAAACCTTGTTGGAATCTGAAATCATATAAAACTGTGACTCAAATTTTGTGTCATATATCCTATCATTGAGCAGTGGAACATGCGGCTTCACTTCAGCAGGCTCTTCCAGCTTAAACTTGTAGCTGAAAACCGGACATAAAATATACAAGTTAAAAAATCGAAATCAAAGGGATCAATGTGTGCAGAAAGAAGAAGCATGAAAAAGCTCACGTCAATGTCAAAGCAAGGATCTGCTTGCCAGATGGTAACTTGTCACGATTATCTGGAAGCGTTGTAAGGTTTGATTCTACAGGTCGATAAGGAATTCTTATCTACAAGGTCAGAGAAACAGAAGGCGTTAATCCCTATGTGAGCAACGCATCTTACAATGAAAAGGGTTCATTTACCTTTTCCAGAGTAGCAGCAGGCACGAGTTTCTCAGTTGACAACAAAGACTTGGCAACTACTCTAATTGGTCCCTCACTTCCATCAAGTAGCACGGCCTCTTTCTTGATGCTTATCCCATGGAACACAATCTAGGAATGATCGAAAAGACAAAGAAAAAGTAGAGTATAAGAATTTAGTTTTAGATAGATAACTACATTCATGTAATTGGCAGCACATCAAACACAACTGCTGAATGCCCCGAATTCAGACTACACATAAAAAGTAAATATCCTATGAGAAAAAAAACTTTCGAACATGTTTCAGAAGAAAAAGATTTAGCGTAGGATGGGTAGATACCAATCATGTAAGAAGAAAAAAATATTTTCAGCACAACATTAATGAAAAAGATCATTTGGATATCCTCAAACAAATGAATAGCTTATTTCCCAAGGAATGGAGGTTAATATTCCTTTTCAATATTCTCCCTTTCTTGACAGTCATGTTTTTAAAACACCTCAGGTCACTCGACAGTGACAGAAGATAGCCTGTGCATGTTCGGTAGAGTTCTTTTTCCGTGATCTACTAGAATTGAAAAGAAACCCTTTTTGTCAAAATTCGGCTATGATATCCGATAAAGGTTCAAAGTTTAAAGGAGACGGGGCAGTTGGGAAAACAGCAGGGGAAAATTCATAGTGATGCACCACATTTGATGGTTTACAAGCAACTTAAACCATCATCATGGCCACCTCACAAAAGATATTCACTAACTCTCCCCTTTCAATGCCTTACCGACCTCTTCCCACAACTAGATCATTGTTATATAACCTTCTCTATTGGATACTCTTCTTGATCACGAGTAAATTATGTAGAGATCCAAACAATTTCAGAATGAGATTGGGTAAGCTAAAATCAAATGATCAGAGAGGAGTCTCATTTTTTAATAATTGCATCCTGTATTTTTCATGTTGACAAGTACAGTCAACATGAGGTTGCACAAAAAATCATCCGTAAGTCGAGTACCACAAGGAACTCACGGACAATGAAGGCTCCCCATTGAAGGCTCTGGTGTCGGGGGCAATGCCCCCCATTGAAGGCTCAAGAGCAATGCCCTCTGGTGTGGGGGACAGTTCACTAAGTGCTACAGTATATCAAAGGGACATTATGAAAAGGTATTCAGATTAGAAGAAACTGAAGGATCGGCCAATGAAAATGTCCAGTAAAAGCAAGAAACAAAAGGCAGTAGCACAGCAGAGGCTAAATTCCAAGCAATGGCTCAAGGTCGATATGAATTACTAATTGAAAAATTATCTTAGAAGATCTGAAGATTAAGTGGGATGAGGCAATAAACTCTATTGTAACAACAAGACTACAATTAGCATAGCTCACAATCCAATACAACATAATCGAACGAAACACATTGAGATTGACAGACACTTCATAAAAGAAAAGTTGGAGAGCAGATTGATTTGTACATCTTATTGTTACACATGACCAACTTACAGAAGTACTTACTAAGGTTTTATTAGTCCAATATTTCAGAATATTATGTCCAAGTTGAGAATGGAGAATATTTATCGGCTTGAGGGAGAGTGTTGGAAAGAACATGTATCTAGGAGTTCAGTCCTTAGTTGGACCGTCTCTTTGTGTACCCTTTTTGTTTCGTACTTTTTTGGTTTCCTAGTTGTTAGGTAGTTTTCTTGTTTTGTTGCTAGGGTACTTGTACTTAACAGTCACCTATGATCTGAATACAAAGTGAGGTTTTTCTTTTTGATATTTTCTATGGAATAAGGCTTTCCTCTCATGGCACAAACTTCTTTACATGTTGGCACTACAAGCAATATTCTGACTGCTGAAAATCCCATGTTACATAAATGCACAAAACACATTGAAATCAATTGTCACCACATACGTGACAATTAGGACCAAAAACTCATCTTGACAAAAACTTTGGTATTTAATCGTCATTGGCTTCTCTCCACCAAATTGTTATTGAAAGACTCCTAGCATTAATTATAGGGGAAGTAACATGCATATCCCAGGAAATCTATAGTACCTATTTCTTTCCACATTTCAATCGTTAACATTCATATAGACTAGTATCTTATACTTATGGTCCAATTGAATTCGATTGTTGCCTCCATTTGTATATTTGTAAAAACTTGGTAAAGAGGTTCGAAGAGTTCCTTAGAGGGCAGATCAATACAATCCATTCATGTTGTTTCCTTTCTCTTGGTCCTCTCTCATCTTGTCACTTATGATTGGCATGACTTTATTTTTTTCATAAAAACTTGCATTATTAATTAAAGACAAAATGCTCTTATAGCTCAAGATCATATATGGAAATAATTATTAATCTAGGACAAAGTTTTTTTTTGTATAATAAAAAAGCATAAAAATTAACAAGCATACTGTAGGAAGTTTCCACAAAGAGGAGAGAAATTACAAAAGAACCATCATTCATATGTTGGGGGGGAGGAGGGGGGGAGAGAGAGAGAGAGAGTAGTGCGAAAGAGAGATTAGTATGCATCCTGCATTTATAACAAATCTAGATACCTCCAAGTCGACCACAGTGGACTCATGGCTCCCTACGCCACTAGACCAAAATTGGGCCACATTAACTTCAATTACCAAACCACCTTTTACGGGGAAAGTGAAACTTTGAGATGAAGGTGATGAAAATGTCACAACACTCTCCCATTTAATGGGCCTCTGAAGAGGGCACAGCTGCAAGACATACAAAAAATAAAATCTGTGAAAATAAAATTGAAGCAACTTCAACTATTCTTCTGATTTATTGCAAAATATTAAAAGGTGGCAACAAAAGACTTTAGGCTAACCAACTTGAAACAGTTAGAGATCAAAAAAGTTTAAGGCTTGACATCCATTATCATTACATTTCCATTGAAATTTGATTATCACTGACAATGTTATATTCCAGATCAGGTTACAAATTGTAAGGTATTCTTTAGCGCATATAAAAAGAATTTCAGTATTTATGATGCCTTTTTCTGTGACTGAAGGTCAGATATGTGATCAGGTTTCTCAAGAAAGGATTAGAGGGTTATCTATCTGACTGCTTTTAGCAGCACGAAACCTTCAAGCCTTTAATATCCATAAGCCCTCTAGAAAGGACTTCAAGTATGCTTCTAGGAATGTGCCATCAGCTATATGGACTAGCCGGTTTGAATTGCTATCTCCTTCCTAATGTATGAAATATCAAAGAAATTGTGAGACAATTCCTCATTTGGCTCACAACTGGACCCAAAACAAAGGTTTTTTCTGTGTACCCATCTTCACCAAGTCATCTGAATATATCAACCAAATTAGCATAAGTCATCTCGTTTTTTTTCCATTTTTCTGATCTAGAATACGCACTAGGATCTGTTGAGTCACATAGTAAAAGGTTTTTAACACGTATCTGAGAGGCATTTGAAGATGTAGTGCATCAGAGCAAAGTTGGTCCGAGTCACTGTGTCCCAACTAAGTTTATATGATATGACTACCTTTTTCAGCTTTCAAAGTCTCAACGCAATACTGAGTCACCAATCAACTAATTTCAATAAATTTGTGATTATCATCTAGCTGCACCATCTGATGTTCATTCAGTTATATTTTGTATTTCTGATTGTGAGTCCTATTTCTTCTCATAATTTGAAATAACTGCTATTCATAATGATTTTATTATTTTATGTGTTGCAGTAATAACCACGAGTGCATACTATATGAAAAATACTAAAAAATAAAAATGTATCGGAATAAAAAATTACATTCAATTCAAAAATTTGGCACTTCTATTTGTGTAAAATCGAGCCCGTGTTTGCGTTGCAAACCTTTTCTTTGCAAAGATAATATTTTCTTTTCTAAATCGAAGCAAATTGGAAAACAATCCCTTTTCAATTTTTCAGCAGATAGCAACTTCCAAGGTTCTATTAAATGTATTCTGAATGTGATAAGTAAACGTTATGCATTCCTCTTCACTTTGGGGCTATGCTATTGAAACAGCTCAGGTAGTTAGTCGAAAATCCATATTTATAGTTAAAAAAATAGGTCTGAAACTAATGTGCATGTGCTTTTCTCTGGTTTCTTCCATTCTTATTTACAGTTAACAGCATGATACTCAAGTAAGGCAGTGTTCCCAAAAATGGAAAAGAATCAATATACCTGAACAGCACCAATAAAAAAACTACGTGCAGTATCGAATCCTGAAGTTCTCATTGTTGCTTCCACCCAAGTTGCACCAAGTGGGACATCAATAAACTTCCTCACAATGTGCCCTATATATGAGACGAATCACTGGTAAAGTAAGCACGAAAAATGTAGAAGCATAATGTCATGTCTATGCTCTAATCACCTATGTGCACACATTTCATCTAGAGGCATGCCAGACTCTTTTCAGTTCACTTGACATGTAATCAAACACTACACCTATCACAGCAACGGTTTGTGCACTATTATGCATTAAAAGAAAGCTTAGTGCGTTTCCACACCTCTGTGCATTATAGAAATTGAGACAGTTATTAGAGCAAGACTTGAAAATATAGACATGAATATTCCTTATGTTAAGTATGAAGAACAGGCAGCAGGTATTCTCGCTAAAAACTACAAAGGATAACCTCACTTCAGCTTTGTGGGATCTTCACATGAAAAATGTCTATGCTCCCCTAGCGGGGCTATTTTTTATTGGGTATCAGATCCCTTACTCATGGATCTGGTAACCCCTTATGAGCTGTGGCTCTTTGTTGGCCTCCTTTACATTACGTTATTGGTCAACGTTCCCTGTCCGGTGGAACTTATCAGGGGTGGTTTTAAATGTTATCCCATTAAACATCATAGCAAATTCATAAGACAGGATATCAAATGATAAAACAAGTCGTATTTCCTCTTCCTGTGAACAACCCCCAGTTCTGGGCAGAACTGTGTAGTCTCTTCTCCCCTTGTTCCTCTATTTCATCTTTCTCTAATTTATTTTCTTCAAAATACATTACATGAATACTTATAGATGCAAAAATAAAAGCAGAGATAAAGATAAAATCAGCCATAAAACTAAAAATAAATTAAATTAATCGATGTATCAGTAGACCAAAAAATAAGCTTAATTTATATTAATTATGCATGGAAATAGAACCAGTCTCACGATGGAGTTAAAATATATAGCAGTTACCTGGTAAGAAAGGAACCTGAGACAATGAAATAGCTGGGCGATCAGATTCCAAAACTGCAGGCTTCGTTATGGTAATTGGTACTCTAAAAAGAGGACCACGCCATGGAGCTTTACAGTCTGTGCCATACACTTCATGATAGTGCAAGCCTTCGCTGAGCTTTGAAGGATCGATGATAATGCTAAAAATATATATATAATTATTAAAATAATAAGATAAATAAGAACATTGAGATCCAAAAGAAACTGAGAACCATTTCCTTGATAGCTACCTCCTACGTCCTTCCATTCAACTTATGCTTTAAGTCGTAGCTTTTCAAGAACCTAAATTTACAATTAATTCAAAGCAACAGGAGGAGATTCTTCATACGCATCCAACATGGAGGCACATCCAACAATAGATGGTTCTTTTATAGTCGGGACTGCCCCAAAGATTTCCAACTTATACATGAAGATGGATCAAGTCTGTTTGCATAGAAACAAGAATCAAAGGAGCGTGAACAAGTACAATTCAATTTTCTGTAATATCAAAACTACGAGACACCTCCCTGAAAAATCTGGTTATGCCACTCTTTATTTGGTCTCTACCTGTGCCAAAAGAAACCTCAGAATGACACCTGACCCTGGACTACAGATTGATATTCGGGATTTCTTTTAAATAAGGCGTGTCCAAGGTCACCTAGATAAGCGTTTCATATAATTAATCGATGGCTGAAGAATCAATTTAATCTAGAATCGGATCTAAGGATAAAGTGAACAAATTGGGTCTTCAATGAGGTCTCATTCCTGAGAACCAGCCCCATATCGATCCTCAATGGTGAGCAATTTCCATTCAAGAGACGCTGGATAGAGGAGAGATATTTCTGGAGGTCCTCAAAGGCCACTAAGAAGAAATTCAGGTCAATCTTAGTGGTCAAGACGTGTCCATTCAAGGACAGATGGAAATAAGTTCTAAAATCAGCATACATTTTCTTCAAGGTTCAATGGTCGTAATATGATGTGTTTGTTTTAAAGTTTTATCCACGTATTTTTTTCCTTTTTGTTGTTTTCTCCCTCCTGTTATGAACCAAACCGGCCTGGTTCTTTCTCTCTACCTATGTCATATTAGCAGGCTGGTATGAATACCAGCCCCGACGTAAAAAAACTGTGTATAAATGAGAATAACCTTTTAGTGCTTCGACCAACTACTTTTTGTTCTTCTGGAGCAGTCGGAGATGATCAGACGAAGGAATTAGGGCTCAGGAGGTCAAGGAATAAGCAACAACTGACATGGTACCAGAGCTTCAGGTGTGAACTCTCCAGCGACTCATTTACCTTCTTCTTGCGGCCGTTGGTCTTCTTAGAGCGGCATTTACTTTCTGGTTTCCAGAACAGCAGATTTGTGAATCATTTGACACGAATCACTATTTATTATGTTGATTCGTCACCAATTTGTGCTAGAGTCAAGTATCATTGTCCCTGTTAACGCTAATTGTTGATTCTTATCCAAAAGCCACATCTTCACTCGACTGGTTTCTGTCAACTAGTTTGTGCAAAATCTTTGCAGTAAATATTGTCTTCGTCAACTGATTTACTTGTTACTCTCGGGTTCACTTATATTCAGCTATCAAAATGTTTGAGACAACTTAAAAATTCGGGACAATCTCTATCAAACCTCTTTCACTTTCTTGGAGCACTTGAGAAAGATTCTGTGCGTTCAAGATGAGTGGAGTTTTTGAATTCAAGAATGAGGAAGAGTCATATTCTCCTTACTCAACTCATGGTAGGGTATTGGTATTCATAGCAGGCCCTTACGAAAGGTTCTAGACACATGAATCGTAAGACACAAAAGAGATACACGTGAGACACTAAAGGGAGACATGTGCGATGCATTAAGTCAAGGTACTCCAACAATTTCGAATTCTAGGGGCTGATCAGAGCAGAAAACATAGAGACTTACCCATCAAACCCCAGATGCTTGGAATTAGTTTGAGTGGTCTCAGCGGGTTAGAGCTGTCCTAAAAGGACGAGGACTGTTTAGTTACATTCTAAATTCGGGACCTAAACCTAGAGATCCCGAATTTGAAACTTGAGATCAAAGGGATTCAAGAATCACAGAATGGTTGTGGACCACTATGATTCTGGAAATTTATAGAACGTATCTATATCTTCCTACATTCTGAGACATTTGAGAAAATTGACATCAGACATATTGACAACTCAGGGATGTAACATAAATCTACGAGTTAAAAATGAGGATGACGACATTGAGAAAATGACAGAAATCAGTAATTGAATACACAAATGAAGTGAGCATTATGACAGGAATTTGATCGATATAAAACTACTATTATGAGAGTTACAATCGGCACGGCCTTGTATAGAGAGGAAATGGAAAAAGATGGAACCTATAATATCCGGTCACACTGAACTCTGAATCTGATCAAGTTAGAATCCAGATTCTGGACAGAGATTACCCCCTTTAAATGAGGTGATATCTTTCATTAAGGGAGAGAAAATTCATAGAAGTTTTATGCTTGACTCACAAATTATAAACAACACGGTAGTTGTGGCCAAAAGTAGCAAAAATCTAGCTGCTAATACCAATAAAATCAGGGATCAACCTAATACTTATGAATTAGCCAAAAACTCAAGCCATGAATATATAGACACCCTATAGCGCACATATTGCAAAAAACCCAGGCATACTATAGAGAGATACTGCAAATTAAACAACAGACTTCAAAATCAAGAGTGGGGACAAAAAAGAAGGTAGTCCAAGGCCGGCGGTCAAGCCCATATCACTGTTGTGCAACAAGGAGAGAGAAGCACATCAGAACCATGCCAACCTATCATAGAAGAAAATTTACAAGTCCAAGAGTTAATAGCTTCATGTTCTCTAGCACGTTCAAGTAAATTTTCTACTTTTATTGAGTTAAATGCCTCAAAAAATATTTCTTCTTCATCATGGATCACTGATTTAAGAGCCACCGAACACATGGCCCACTCCTCCCAATTATTTACCATTTATTCTCCTTGTATCAGTAATAGGAAAATTACCATAGCTGAGGGCTCCTTAATCACAATAGCTGAAGTAAGAAACATTCATCTTTTCCCTTCCATCGTCATAAATAGTGTCCTTCATGTTCCCAGATTGACAGCTAATCCAGTTTCAATTAGCAAACTCACATTAGACCTAGACAGTTCCATCTTATTTGACCCTAACTCTTGTCTTTTTTTTTATGAGACATTTGGAAGGACGATCAGACACGCTAAAGAATGGGGCAGGCTCTACTACCTTGAACTATCTACCCAATCAAACATAACTGACCAGAAGATCAATCTGTCTGAGGAACCTCACTAGTCAAACTTAGAATTTGACTTCATCATCAAAGACCAGGACATTCATCATTTACAATCATTGAAACTCTATTTCCATATTTGTTTCAAAACCTGAATGTAATTGAATTCAAGTGTGATGTATGTGAGTTTGCGAAACATAGATGCAACTCATTTCCTAAAAGTAACACGAAAAGTTCAATACTTTTCTTTTGTATCCATAGTAATGTTTGAGAACCTGCTTCCATTCCTAACATTAGTGGAGCTAGGTGATTATTACCTTTATAGATGATCATACCAGACTTGGGTTTATTTCCTTAAAAGTAAATTTAAAGTATTAAACTCTTACAATTATATTCCGTCATTAAACTCAATTTGGAACAGATACTAAGATATTCAGATCTCATAATATTAAAAATTACTTTAATCAAATATTAACATCTTATGTTCAAAAAGAGATAATTCTATATAAATCATCATGTGTCAATGCACCACAACAAAATGAGGTGGCTGAATGTGAGAATGGTCACCTATTAGAAGCTATTAGGGAACTTCTCCTTCAAAATAAAGTACCAAAGTTTTTTTGGGGTTAGGTAATTCTTATAGCAACCTAACTTATAAATCATATATCATCTAGATCGCTTGTCTTTAAAACCTCAATAAAGACATTATTATCTTTTTATCTTCATATTCTATTAAAACCAGATCTCTCGTTAATTTTTTTTGGATGTGTAGCATTTATTCACATCCATGAACGACATAGAGATAAGCTGCACCCTAAAACACTAAAGTGCATGTTTATAAGATATTCTCAAAATAAAAAAAGAACCATTGCTATCATCTTCCATTGAAAAAAATCTTCATATTAATAGATATCACTTTCTATGAAAAAGAGGCATATTATATCAACATCTTGTGATGTAGGGACTAGTCCATTCTTAGAAGATCAAGAAACAAACTTTTTAATCCCTACTCGAGGTTCTTCACAAAAATACACTACATTACCCATATCTTCACCTATTCATGAACCCATTTCCCACAAGGTACCTAAAAACAAAAGATTTGGTCAAGTGTATTCAAGAAAAAAGGCGAATGTCTCAAAATATGTGTATGCTCAAGAGTACTCACGAGATGACATAAATGAAACTTTATTGTAACATTAACTCAACTATTAGTCTTGCACATAATCTAATGTAACATGAAAAAACTAAATACATTGAGATTGATCAACATTTCGTTAAAGAGAAATTAGAAAGCGATCTAATCTGCTCTCCATATATGCCTACAAGTGATCAAATTACAGATGTATTTACCAAAGGCCTTCACAACAGCGTTCATCAACTCATGTCCAAGTTGGGAATAGACAACATACATTCACCAACTTAAGGGAGAGTGTCAGAATATGATGTGTTTTTTTTTTTTTTTCATCCATGTAATTTATTCATTTTCGATGTTTTCTCTCTCCTATTATTAACAAAACCAGCCCAATCTGAGTTGGCTTGATTATTTTCTCACTATCACTCTCTCATAATAGCGGACTGGTATAAATACCAGCCCTGATGTAAAAAATTGTGTAAAAATAATCTTTTAGGACTTCTGCTGACTACTTTTCGCTCTATACCTTTCTCTCTTCTATCATTGTTGGAGACGATCAGACGAAAGAATATGGGCACACGATAAGAGGTCAAGGGTTTAGCAGCAAACGACATCAACCATAACCCTTCAATATGCAAAGCATACCACAAATGTGTAATATCTGTTATTTGAGATCAGAACTAAGGTAAAGTACCGAAATAGATATTGAGGCCTACAAATATTATACACTAGAAAATTAAAAAGCTAGAAGAAAAGAATGCCAACTTGAAGCGACGGCCATTGTGAGTGAGCAGGAGAAACTCAGGAGCTTGAATAATTGAGCTTTCACTGGAATGCAGCTGTATATATTCCTCAAATGGTACTAACTGCTCCAAATTGTTTGCACCTTCGTGAAACTTCACCTCAACTTGCACAGTCCACTGCAGTTATATAAATTTAAATACAACAGATTGTGTTATCATTCCATTTACTAAAATCAACCCATAAGACAAATACACAAGTGAAATGATACCCCTCAATAATCAACGGCGATTTCAAGTAAAACTCAAGCGTAGCATTAGCAGTAAGAAAGCAATGCATGACAAAAGCAATAGAATGCATGAGAAAAACTACAACAGGTTATGAGATGAATAGCTGCCACAGGAAAAACACTGGGACTTCGGATAGATACTTCTATATAGAAGTTCAACGCCAAAAGGAAGTAATCCTTGCCTGTAATTTTCTATTAGAAGCAAAGTCCAGTCAAGCTCTTATGAGAAAAATATTCAAATAGAAAAGGTATAACCGTTTCAAATTGAGATTATGAGAACGGACTTCAGACCGTATCTAAATCTTCAAGTAAGCAGAATGTACCAAGCAAGAAATAAATTACCTACCTCACTAGATTGCTGACAAGCACGAGATTCCCTTAGATAGATCCCTCGTGATATAGGAGCTGAAGATATAGAAATGTCATGAGACAACAAAAACTTAGGTCGCCTTTAGGATGGCATGAACCAGAACAGTCAACTCAATTGCTCAAAAAAACCGGATAGCATGAGTTTTCAACATGTTCCATGTAGGCCAGATATCCCTGCTTTCATGTCTATAGCCATATTGTTCCACACAAAAAAATATAATACCTCTTTCATAGATAAAAATGTGGATATATAACCAGATTAAATGAAAAACATTGCCCAGACGTCACCAGAACACTATATTGACATATTCTTCCACAAAAAAAATTATTACTATATATTGAATGTTAGCCCCACTGTCCCTGCATTCACGTCAATAGTCATAAGAGAAGAAAAGAAAACTATTGCCCAAATGTCACTAGAGTGCAATACATTGGCGTCCTCTTAAGCACGCGTACTTTATTTCACATCAATTTTAATAATATTAAGCATCAGAAGGATACAAATCAGAAGACATTCTGGATCCTCAGCGCAAGTTATATGAATGTAAAATCGCTAAGGTGCATGGCTATCTAATGAATTCACTAATCCAGAAGGTCGTGCGGCCCAATATCTTAAAAAATGAGTATAGATAGTTACGGACTTACAGTGACAAGAATAGTCTAGAAACAATCTTTTTCGTGCATTCTAACTTTTTATTTTGGTACTGTGACCAAATTTCCTCGGATAAGTGACCATATGTGAGAATATTGCGATCATTTAGTTGAGGTTCTAGGGTGTTTACTAGTATCTACACGGCTCCAAGTAAGGAAATCTTTTGTTTTATCGTCAATATTTTTTCTCCTCCATGGAGATCTATGCATTTTCAGATAGTCACTTCTACAAGCTTCCAGCTTTGTGGATCGCATTACGTTACATAAGGACAGCCTACTTCATTAAACTCATCCAAGCCATATCAAATTTTGAATTGGATCATAAGCTTAAACTCATCCAAGCCAAATCAAATTTTGAATTGGATCATAAGCTGAAACTCATTCAAGCCATATCAAATTTTGAATTGAACATAAACCACATGGGGATAGGCTGAACCAGCAAAAACAAAGTGATCAGCCCAAATAAACTCAGATTGCTCATAAAAAAGGCTGATTCAGTACAGAACCAATTGATTCGCAAGTCAGTATAGAGTTTAAGATAGAATTTTTTACTCAAGCAATTAACCACCACCATAATAAGGTCTGACATTAATGGGATTGGTCCCCAGGGTGAAATGGAAGAATTTGCAACAATACAACATATACTTACCAACCTTCAGATTAATGACGCAACAGAAGAACAGAAAACATTCATCATGAACTCCGTGACAGAATTGTGTGCTAAGTCGCAGGATATGAAGAAGAATTTAAAACTTGGAAGAAATATATAGAACCGGACAATATTATATCATTCAAACATATCTTCCTTCAAAGAATCATCAACAAAAGTCAGGTTGGCTAACTTTCTACAAAGGGTTACTAAGAAACCAAGAAAATTTTGGATTTGACTGCATTTGTCTAACTCCCAACTCTCATGGCTCAGAATGAGACAGCTCCAACGCATGCACAGCAAAGGTGGGAATTTCTTCCCTCCTATTTTGTTACTGTTGGAAGTTCTAGGTCGTAGGGAAATAGTGTAACTAGTTGAGGTGTTTTGGTAAAAGTTGTGTATCGTTACTCCCTATAGAATGGGGGTTACAGTTGAATGAATCTTGAGGCGGTTTCCGCCGTTCTCCCCTCCGTCCTTCGTGACGAGGTTTTTTCTCTATTTCCAACAGTTACCCATTGTTTTAATGCTATAATTGAAGCACCACCTTATAGAAGAGATCACATAAAATGTTACCAAATCAAGTGCGATGTGATCAACCATGTGTTGGGCTTCTTAAATACCGACATCAAGCTCTTCTATGCTCCCACAAAATCGGGTTTCTTTTTCAAACTAGGTACGCAATAAACTTTATCTCTTTTTTTTTTTACGAAAAAAGTTTAACATATGCCAAACAAGGTCCTCCATAATTCCTAAAACAACTAAAGTCTCGTTTCGAAGAAATGCAACAATTCATTTCACATCCACAGTTCAAAAATAGGAAGTCTTGATATCAAAGCTGGAAAAAACTCTTTAATATAAGTAGACATGAAAGATTAGCAAGCACAACTCACTTGTTTTTCCGACTTGATTGATCTTTAATTTATAGTAAACATTAGGGAGATTCCGAGACTGAATAATAGATTCGAATGCCCTGTTTACCAAGAATGACCAAAGAACAAGCGGATTTAAGAACCCTCAAGATGATCTCAGAAATAAGACAAACAGGCCAACAGTCCAACAAAAGTGGAGGATCAATGCCATGCGTAGCTTACTTGTCAACTTGCATTAATCCACGCCCTGCGGAGAGTATATCTTCAAGCCTATCACCAACAGAAATTGCAGTGTTCTCCAGAGCTTTTCTTACACTGTATGGGCTAACAGGAATACTTTCAGCCTGCAAAAAACGCAAAATGTCTCAATGTATTCCTTTACACATGCCGATAAAATCACATATCGTTAGAAATATTTAAGAACCTTCATCCCACTAATGAGCAAAGCGACTCCACCACACGCTGAAGGAGATGCCATTGAAGTTCCATTCATAAGCATGCGCCGTTGTAGAGTCCAGGTTGGTACGGGTGCAACAGCACCGCCTGGTGCACTTATGCTGACGCCAAGGTCTCCATCAGTTGTTGGTCCTCGACTAGACCTGTCAATCCCACAAAAAAAAGCTCCGCATTCAAATGTTTAATGTAGCAAGCAAAAGAACAACTTTCAGGCTGATCACACAAAGCATACAGAAGAAAATAGTAGGTAATCATGGCACATAACTTTAATGTAACTTCAAAACATGATTAGAACCAGCAACAAACACATCAAGATATGAAGTATTTATCAAGATCCAACAACTTGGTCGACAACTTAGTTATCCTTCTCTGGCTCAGCTCCCACAAAGTTTCATATGTTCCACTAATTAAATTCCTCAAAATTTTCGGCTCTAATGCACAGTAACTTTCAATCTGCGAATTGTGTCCCACAAAAAATGTTGATAATCTTCCTGTGCATCATGTTTGTTTAGCCACATTGCACAATATAAAAACATCAGCCACTTCGTGTTCAAGGAGCACATGAATCTTCCTTCATTAGTCCATTGCAGTAAAACAAGGATATCAAACGTTTTGAGTTATCCAGGAAAGAGAAGAAGTCGTATTAAACATTTTATTCAAGCATTCAACGAGGTGTGCTGCAGCAATATTCTCACCCAAATCAACCATATATTTGTGTCATAAAATATCACTCAACGTGATAATACTGTAGTAAATATGTGGTAAAACATATGCTTGCCATGCTGCAACACTATTGCCATCTGTAAGTAACGCATGATTTGGATGTAGCATAGCATGTCCGAATTGACTATATTAACTTAACGGGAAAATTGAAGCATGAATAAATTATTTGATATGAAACTAAAGACCATTTCATATGCTTTTATGTGACAGATTAAAACTCAATTAACTGACATTCTAATAAAATATTCCGCTTGGACCTACATACAGTTAATCAATAAATTGAAGACTTTCGTGCATGATAATCACCAAGTGTATTCTAATCCTTCTGATGGAGGATCCACAACACAGTGAGCTCCAGCAGCCATGGCAGGGGACAGATATGCACCAACTCCTATTATACTTGTAGCAGTACCACCAGGAGCTCCCACAGTAGTTAATGCAGGCCCGTTATTACCAGCACTGCTAATGAATATTATGTGATGTTTATCCACCGCCTAGATTACATGAAACACCAGAAATATTAGTACAAGTTGACAGTAACGATAGAGAACTTGTAAAATCATCGATATAGTGGACAGTTGCAACTGTTTAGCAGTAATACTTCATTCACAAGGTCAATAAAGCGTCCATAATCTGGCAGAAGCGTAGGTTCTCCATAACTCATGTTGATGAGATCACATTTATGCTGCAAATCAGGAAACGAAGTTATCATGAGTATCTCAATTAATAAGCTACAAACAATTTAAAGAAAGTACTTTCTTCATATTTCCCCATGGAAAGAAATAAGATTTAAAGGTCGGAACGGTACGATAGATACAGCACAAGCACTTGCAACAATAAAACCACGTATACACGTTTCTAAAAAAAGTAGTCAAAATCATAAACTCTTGTCAAGGAATTGTCATGTATAACAGCCGCATGCTTCAAAGTCAGCTCCCCGCAGAGATGAAAGTATTTATAAATCAACTGAATGAAAGAAAGGGAAAATTGATGTCTAAAAAGAATATAATGACACAAAAAAAACTAGTGGACGTTTCTTTCTACTGGTATAAAGTTATCAGAAAAACAAATGTAGTCAACCACAGGATATACTACTGCAGTTCAATCCATTTGTGCCAAGATTCTTCAAGTTCTAAGTTCCAACAAGCCAGCACCGTCAGGATTCTCCTTAGATGTACCCAGATGAAGAAGATCTATTCACAAAAGCCCCCCTCCTCGCACTCTCGATCAGTTTCTAGTGCAGTAGCTCTACGTACTTCTACTGATGTTGACAATAACTCGTTTACATGATAAGGAAAAACTGATCACATGGGTGGTATCCTGACAATCTTCTGAACCCATTTCTAAGCTTGAGACAAGAGATAATGACCACGACAAATGCCTTCCAAGTTACTAAAAAGGATAATATCAAAATTAGCGACCATCTGACTGTTTTGTGGATTATTCATATTCCTAATTTATCCACGAATCCTTTTTTGAGTTGAGAGGCAAAACTAAAACCATGAATCGAAGAATCATCTTTTTCCCTGCGAAGATAGGGATTCCTCTATCAGTTCACACATTCTCCAAAGAATGTTCACCTGAGAGTCGTGGATAATATGTTGAGGCACATTAAACATTCACCAGTAAGATGTATACTATGTACGAAGGACGAATGCCCTGAGATTGAAGGATATTGAGGTCATTGGTCATCATCTCATGACAACACTACCACTGCCAGACCCAAAGTCAGCCAACAAATGCACTTTTGAATTAGAGGGATGGGAATTATTAACAAAGAAGAGTATGGAGATGCAAAGGAAATAAATGTTTGGAAAAAGAGGGACATTTGATAAAAATATGATAACACAATAGAAATTTATTTATTATGTTTCGTTACCTCCATGCATGTATTTGTAAAGGTTGGCATCTGTTACATGTCAACAATAGTGTACTTCAGTATCTTAGTTTTTTTGTTTACCCAATAGCGCAAAGGGTCTTAGCTTTTGTCATAAAGTGATAAATTTTGTTTCCCATCTAATACTGAGCCCTCATATTTGATTTGTCTATTTCACGCCACATACTCGAAAAGCTTCATGTTCATAGAAACATGCTGGTAATTTTATAAGCTACACATATCCATGCATCCATGTTACGGCAACATATGCACACCTGACAAGTAAATTCAGGCTGTATTATTTAGATCAAACATAACATCGCACAATGGCATATATGCCTCTTAATGGTTGAGTTTCGACAGGAACTAAGCACCATTTGCTCGTTTCTAGGAAAATAGTTATGAGAAGGAACCAACTTTAATCAATGAGCATCCATTAAATCTGTCAGTTGACTGATTCTTCTTTTCATCTATCATAATTACGATACAGCATGACATTTCTGTAATTCAATTTGGCCAAACAGCCTGTTCGGTCAAACTAGCCTACTCCTTAATCCCCATGAAACAATGTTCTAAGGCTTCTTAGAATGCAATATACGCCTTGGCATTCTGCTAACGTAAATATATCATAGGATTCAAATGTTTCCTTTTCCCCATAATCAGTTCTAGTGAAACCCCAGAAACTGAAAATATTTCATACAATCTTCTTTTTGATAACTCTCAAAGATAACCCCAGAAGCTGAAAACATAAACATTTCCATAAATCAATTTTATTGAATGAGATATTGATGAAAGAATTTCATATCTTCTCGCGACTTGTTTATTTGTTTTTACCTATTAGACTATAATTTTTATAGAATATTACCTAATAGTCGAATGTCATTGATCTTCGAACGCTAGGTAACTGCAATTGCGTAAAACTTGCTCCAGCCAAAGTCACACTATCTAATTTACCATTAGAAAATTTTAAAATATATTGAATAACAGCTGACCGATATCTCTACATGGATATTGGTCTAGATCATGTTGTTGACACTTGATGAACAGATGTTACATAACAAAAAACACAAACACACAGGACACCATTTAAACCAGGCTCAAACATCAATTACATGGCAACACGTGAAATAAAAACTACCTCAACTGCAGCAATTAGTGCACGAACTAGTCCAGTTCCCGTTTCCATTGAACCCAATCTTGAGTCTCCAATCTTACAAGATATCAACTGGGCTCCAGGTGCAACTCCATTCAACAAGGGTTCCTGACCATTGATATCAATATCATAGCACAAATGCAGAATCACAAAATCTACATTCATTGAAGGAGCTTCTATACCTCTGGGTGGAAAGCAGCTGCAATACCAGCAACATGGGTGCCATGTGGCGATGAATCTGTTACGATACTTACAACATTCCCTCCTTCATAAATATTTATGACAAAAGAGCAGGCATCCAGTCTGCTAAATATGCCATACTTCCGTTCAGTCCTGCAAGGTTACTTATAAGTCACTTCTTCATTTAATTTATTAATTTATTCGGCGCCCAAGATTTGCTTCCCCACTAAGAACATAACAAAAGAACCAAAGTTAAAGGCCAGTCATTTCTATTTCATAATTTATTTTTATCAAACAGGACATGACCAGAGTACAAAGCTGTGAACTACGTTTTGAAGAAACTCTTGGTTGAATCGATATTTTTTCCCTTTTTCCATGGGGTTGTTAAATGTAGGAGATTCATAGGATTTCTGCCATAATTTGAGAGAGAAACACAAACATACCGAGAAGAAAGAAAGGGAACGAAGCTCAGAATAAGTACAATTTTCGGAGACTATTTTCTGCCACTCTGTTGAATCCAATCACGTGTGGAAGACCAACACTTCAATAAGATAAATTAGGAGCAACATGTCACAAACCTAAAGTTTGTCAGCGGAACGAAATCAACCAGTTTGCCATTTTCTGGGTCATCCTCCAGACTGTGTGTGTCAAGGGCAGCCCTCCATACGTTCCCATCATACCAAGCAACTACATCTATCACAGGTCCTCTGTCATCATAAATCTGAAAGAAATAAACATCAGAAACCAATGGAAATCATTATCATTTACTTTGTCATCTAAAGAACCTCACCAGAATCACTCACCTCGGCCTGTTTCCTTAGAAAATCAATCTTATTTTGGAGGTCATCCCTGACATTTTTAACACTCAAATCATCACTTTTGATATGTTTCTGTAAGGGAATTAGACATGGAAATAGTTAAGGAAATATGATTTTGTATATGCACCTTATAAATTAAAAGGATTAAAAGGTACACGTAAAATGACAATAAGTGAGAACAGAAACAGTTCGACAAATGACACAATAATCATTGTTCAAATATATAGATTAAAGATGAGACCGCAACTCTGCATCAAAACAAAAACAAAATCTGATAAAACCTCTTGGAATTTTTAGGTCGTAAGGAAATGCTGTAAAAGGCTGAGGGTATTTTAAGACAGTCGCATAGTGTTTCTCCTTATACAAGTGGTGTTAGAAGTGAATGGATAGCGAGGGGGTGATCCGCTGTTCTCTCCTTTGTCCTCCGTGAAAGAGGTCATTCTCCATGTGCCTATATTTTTCAACATGGTATCAAAGACGTCTTAGGGTTTCAAGCCCTTCTTTGACGTCGTCACAAGTTGATGCCGCTGTCACCGACATACTCTGCCTCCATCTGCCAGAGCTATTGGCATCGAGCTTCTTTCCGACAAGGCCTTCCGCTTCTGCCGAATACCTTTCTGGCAAGGGTTTCTACCTCTGCCATGTTACTTTTTGACAAGATTTTCTACCTCCGCCGAGTATCCTTCCGGCGTCATTCCTATGTAGTCATCTATCAGGTGTTATCTCAGTCTAATTCCATCCTCCGTCCAGTGACGTCCAGCACCAGCATTCTCGTCTAATGCTGTCCCTTCTCTGTCTGGTGTCATCCGTTGTCTGATGTATGTCCAGCGTCCAATGTTGTCCGCCCTCCTCAGTCCGACTCCTTTTGTTCTGCATCAGTCCAACATCCTTTTTAGTCTGGCGACTAGAGTCTCCCACAATCTGCGCCGTTACCATCCATGCTATCTGGCATTGTCCCTCCACCATCCAGCATTGTCCTTCCTCTGTCCGGCATAGTTCTGTGTCTAGTGTCATCTCGAGCGCGCCAAGGTCATCTGGGGCCATTTGACATCATCTCGCACAATCTTGCAGTCTGGCAACATCTCATACAGTCCGACATCAAAAGGCATCATTGTCCTATGAAACAGTCCTGCAAAGTCACAACCCAGCAGAAGAGTTGCTTTTCGATGCCATTACAAGGGAAATTGCTGTCACAACAGATCATTATTATCACAAATTCGTTTTCTAATAAGTGAATGCTTGTCAACGACTTTGTCAAAATGAACTTTAGAAAAGTTCATCTTGAGGGAGAGTGTTGGAAGTTCTAGGTTGTAAGGAAATATTGTAAAAGGCCGAGGATTTTTTGGGACAGCTGTCTAGGATTCCGCCTTATATAAAGGATGTTAAAGGTGAATGGATAAAGAGGTGGTTGTCTCTTGTTCTCTCCTCTGTCCTTCATGACAGAGGTCATTCTCCTTACGCCTATGTTTTCCAGCACAACCTAATTGATTCCCTTGTAAATACATATTTAGACAAAAAAACTATCCCAATAACGAGATATTGACAACTTGAAGTCCTCACATCTACAATGAGTAATATGGATAAGCGATGTATTATGAAAAAATCAACCACAATCAAATGCCATGTTAACTATTGGTAAGTTGATAAAACATTGGAAGATATGGGCACGTTGTAATTTTATATTAGAAACCATTTGATTGAAATTAGTATTGAATGAAGACAAGATCTAACACTGTCAAGAAGCCCAATGTTCATCTATCTAATTTTTGACGTAAAATACCAGATTGCTTACTCTGTCCCAGAAGAATATAGCATCCTAAAAAGTTGAAATAAAGTCTAGGAGTGCTTTTGCTAAGCTTCTGGCCTTAACTGACATGGCATCTTACAACCTAAATTTATTTCTTACAAAGATTTTGGACCAAAAAAAAAAAATTCAAAGATGACAAAGAGAATCGACCAAAAAATGACTAGATGTGCAACAATTAAGTTCAACTTTACATGACTTTCTGGACTTTTAGAGGAAACATGGCTTCACTGATACGACAGATTAGTGTATGCTATCATAATGAGATATCTTTTTCCTTTTTCCTTTAAAGTGATCTAAACCATTTATAGAACAGATATCACCTGCAACACAATCTTGAGCAGCAACAAGAAAAAAAAGCTTAAAACCAAGGAAAATGATCAAAATGGATAATTAACAGTAAAAGGAAAATTGAGGAAAATCCTTCAACAAAAACCTTATCAAATTCGTTTAGACATTTTAAAGCTTCTGAAATCGCTTCCTGGTTTTTCTCGTCCCATCTCTTCTTTCTTTCTTCCTGCAATGATGTTTTGAGCTGCATCCGTTATTATTTCTATAAAGTGCAGAAGAAAGGTGTTACCCAGAATGAATGGTGATAAATCCACCAAGAAAAAAGCATTGTAATATGTACCCTGATGCGAGAAGCCAAAGTGTTGGTAAAAAGCTCATAAACTAGTTTATAACCAACATGCCACTCCTCAGAAGGATTCTCCCATGATCGATTTACCTGTAGCCGTGCCCCTGTGGAAAAATAATTTAAGCATATTATCCATTTGGTGCAGAAGTAGCATAGGCTACAATCAAAAAAACTCTCTCTTTAAAGGATATAGGCAAGGTTGCGACCTATGCCATATGCACAATCAGAATGTGTGATCGGTTGAGGCATTTAATGGTGAAGATTTCATGAGCAATAATTGGTTCAACATCTCGCTGTCCAGCAAATATCAAGGTACCCCTTTTTAGAGATGAAACTCTCTTTCTGAAATGAGATTTACAATCCATCACCCCCTACCCCTAAACAAGTTTTTGAGCAACATTCACCAATTTCTCGGTCATTCACTAATTAATCATCAGTTGGGGAAGGGGAACAGAAGCCATCTCTTTCATTCCCCCACAACCTTACCACATCTATGGCCGTCATTGAGTTATTATAAAAACCTTTCCATTCTATTCCAAAAAAAAAAAAATCTTGAGAAAATGAGTCTCACATAAACCTTTATACCCGAGTAAAGAACGGAGTCAAGTACATCTTAAATTAAGCAATATTACGGAAAAAACGTGTAACTAGGATACCTACCTGATTTTCCTATGATATAACCTTCTGGATCGGCCTTGACAACTGTTGATGTGTCGATATCTCCACTCCCTGTACTGAAAAGAAAATTCGCCATCCTCCTCAAGATATGAAACCACTAACAAATGAATAAGGAGACTAAAACAAAAAGTAAAGGAGTGAAATAGTTACCAATCTAATACGTCCAGAATTTTGGGCTTCCCATCTGAAGTCACTTGCAATCCACCAGCAGCTGGATCAACACCAGAATCTGCAGAAAAATAATTACGTCGTACACATTTGATAGGTCTACGATATTAACCCAAAATAAATACAATTACTGCTGCTGTGATAGATGCCTTTTCCTTAAACCGTCATATATGGCCTATATAGACCGTCAAGTACCTCCAAAATATCTAACTCAGTCACATGCATGCACGTTTATGCCAAACAAACATCTGAAAAATGTCAACATCTGATTTTAGGATTATGAACCCAACAGACAATCTAGTCATTCAAAGAGAAACAAAAGTACAAACCTGTAGAATACTCGTAATCTTCTCCATAAATCAGCACAACTTTTGTCCAACAGCCCTTGCCATAGTTTTATTATTTTGTTCAGCCGCACACGATAATAGTTGAGATTGCCTTTAATGTTTCCTCAAGTGAAATTTTTTATCTCCATATCTGACACGAAAATATCAATCTCGACGAACCCATTTATCACTGCCCCAAGGACCTGAGCATAAGACCTTCAACGTCCAAATTTAAGATTAATTTTCCTTTTCTTATCATTACAATGTCGTCTGATATCCCAAGGAGTGATGAAAACATTTTCCGATGCCTTCAACAGTTCAAGATTATCAGTTTATCGTTTCTCTGCAATGGTCTGGGAACATGAATCTAAACACTGAGAATCTAACTTTTTATGCTGCTTGTTACATTAAAAAAGACGCATCAAGATGGTGCCTTCTAGATATACATACCCAAACTCGGTAATGAGCGTGGCAGAAACATCCAAGGAAGAAAACAACTTTGAACAAAGCTTTTCTCTTTCTTGCTATTGATTCTTCGCCTGTACAAGAAACTTCGGAGCAAAATACAACTCACAGAAATGTGAGACACAATCCGCCCCCAAATAATATCATGATGTCTACGGCAGTTGCTCGGAAGAGTTAACTCGTGATGGACGTGGCTAGTCTACTCATCTACTACATATCCGACGCAGCACCTTGGTGAGGTTTCCTATCACTAGTCATAATTTATTTTTCCCTTCTGTCACGAGCGTCCTGAACGAGAAGGCAACCAATCGAACCACGAACTAGATGAGACGTCCGACGTCGTGAGCCAGAGGAAATGCAAAAAATAAAAAGATAAACTAGTGAAGGACAGAGGAAGGACGTAGCAAGTTGGTGGATTCGAGCGGTACCGAAGATGGCAATGAGAGTGCCCCGGCCGTCGTACTCCGGATGAGACTCAATGAAGCGGTCTGCTCCGATCTCCTTCTTCGGCATGAGAGAGGCCAGAAATGTGGTCTCCGTCAAGTGGAAGGAGCGGAGGGCCTTGTCATTCTCGCCTGTTTCCCGCGTGGCGTCGTCGATTATGGCCGAAATGGTAACAGAAGAAGAAGATGGCATGTTCCCGACGATCAGCCTCTTCTTTCCGCAGACGCCGCCGGTGCCGGATCCTCTTCTCCTCTTCTGTTGGAAGCTGCGCAGAGACGGCGGAGAGAGGAAGGATCGAGGCGACTGCAGCGAGTGCGGAATTCTCTGGTTTGAGCTCCACGACGCCTTAAACACCGCCAGGTGCATCGCTCTGGTTTGGGATAAATTCTTTTCTCAGATATTTATTTTTCTTAGTTTCCTCCGTCGTGGAACCAAAATCGGAACGTTGGAGCCACCACGACGAGGAAGACCTCGGATGTGGTCTGGTGACCAAAATTTGGTAGCCTGCTTCCGCGGCAGCTTCTGGTTGGTCGACTGATCCTCTGATCCATACCCATTTCGATTTTTTTTCCCGCGTAATTTTATCTAAAAACGCCTCGTGATATCCATTTATTGCCCAGAAAAATTACGTAGACAAAGCAAAAATATATTTTTATTTTTATTTTTTTCAAAATCTCCTAAAATTGGACAAAAAAGCGACAAAAATTGTCATCAATAGTGGACACGAATTATTTTTTTTGTATCTATGCAACCAAAAAGAGGGACGTAACATATATTAATCCAATGATTACGTCTATTTTGTCAACATCAGAACAAAGTAGCGTCTCAAGTTAATTAATTAGCACCGTAAGGGCATACATGATATATGGGAGAGGGATCTCATCTAATATTAATCCATTAAGAGCCAATAATTTAATTTAAATGCATAAAAATACTTATTTATGGATTTTTCGCTTTATTTGTGTATGATAGTACTTTATGCGAGTAGTTTTATTCGCATGAAGAACCATGAAGAAGAAAAATGACGGATATACTTCTAGGATAGTTTTAACGACGCTTTAGTTGACTTGCAAGACTGGACTAGGGTTTGAAAAAAGTCATACACTATGGGAGAGAGTGTCGTATGATATAAGTCAACTAAGATCGAAATTTTAATTAAGGACGCATAAATAAAAAATATACCTAAATATATATATTTTTAAATTTATTTATAACTGATAGTACTTTATGCGAGTATTCTTATTTGCTACAGTAACATTCATTGTTTAAGATTGCATTGAAAACCGTAAAAAATAAAAAATCACGAATATACTTCAAAGATACTCTACCGACATTTTAGTGGAATAACAAGACCTAGCCTATCATGCGGGAGTTTCCTAAATTGGGTTTTGAAAAAGCCCTACTAAATAATATATTACGATGTTGTCATCGTTTCCTTCTTCCGCGGCAGACAGTGCGTCGTGTTCTGACTTCCATTTCAAGCATGGGAGGTGGCTAAGACTCCACTGTAGGCTGAGTCGAAGGGACTCTCGTGCAATATTAAAAAATATGAAGGCTCACGGATAAACGGAGGGGCTTTGTAAGGAGCGACGAGAAATAATATATTTAGAGCAATAAATAAATAAATCTACGGGTCGGTGTTCGATGCCGGACGGGGGGGACCCGAATAGCGAGCGACGACTCGAAGGAAAAGCTGCGACTGTGGATCGTCTCCGCGCTCAAAAGGAAAAGGCGAAAGGCGGCGCCTTTCCCTTTCCCTTTTTGTCGTTTAAAGAGCGGCCGATCGGACGGCCCCCTGCCTCTGAATGGCAGGGTAGGCTCATCGCCAGCCGTCCATTTTCTCCTGCTTTCCTTTTATCGGGCCTCTTTTCCTTTCTCCCGTGGTCCTCCAGACTCCGGCCCATCAGATGGCGGCCCATCAGAGAGCCCTCCTCTTTTTCGGTTCGGAATCCGGGCCGTTCGCCTTATCGGATTCCAAAGATTCGGCGGGTCACCTCGAGCGCGCGCACGTACGTATTTATATTTATATTATCTGTTGGTTATTATTTTGTGTGATACGCCCGTTGCGGCCTGGACTCGCAACCTTTGACTCCTCGAGAAGGGCGTAATTAAAAATAATTTAAATAAAATAAAAACCTTTGACGGCCGGGGGAGAGAGAGAGAGAGAGAGAGAGAGGGTCAGAGCATCTCTTTTGGAAGCCACGCAGGAAGAAGAAGAGAGAGAAAAAGGGAAGAGAGGGCGTTGCCACGCGAGCCCACATTCGCCACGTGACAGTCCGTGACCGGACTTTCTCTCCGCCGGCCTCGGCCCACGGCAGCAACAGTCCACTCCGTGACCCGAGACATGACACGGGGCCGGCCAAATGGCCCACCAAATGAAATGACTCATTTGCCTCTTCACAGCCATCTGGCTGAGTAACTAACTGGGATCCTATGACCGTTGTTAGTGTATAGTTGAGCGTTCTGCGAAGGCGATTTGCCACGTGATAGGAATCAAGACGCGTGGCGCGTTCGTTTTTTCGGTGACGTGTCAACTGGAGCTGGAATCTTTAGCTATCACGAAATCCAACCATTGAAGGGGTATTAAAGTAATTTGATGTGTTTTCTTTATGGAGAGGGGGAGTGGCCAAGCAAGTACGCACAGAACAGGAAAGGCGGAGAAAACCAGTCGTCGGCAGGGCGGGGCGTAAACTAATCTTCGTGCCGAAAGAAGCGGGAGGGATCGGAGCGCTTATCGATGCCGCCGCGCCTCAGAGTGCTCTCCGACGCTGCGGGGATCGCTCTCTCTGCCATCGTCGAGCCTCGTTAGCTCGATCGTCTCTGTGCCGGTGTTTCTCCAGCAGCAGTAGCACCCCGAGACGGCACCGCGGGTGAACGCATCTCCCGTCGCATTTTCTCTTATTTGCCTGCGTGAAGGTACTTCTGCTCTCTCTCTCTCTCGCTCTCTCGCTCTCTCGCTCTGTTAGTAGTAGGGTTTTCCAGTAGACGTGGCGCTCGAGATGGACGCTATGCAGGTTCGTTTCCAGGGGAGGGAGTGAACGATCCGAGGCCGGTTTCTTTGATTCCTAGCGTAATGTGTCCGAGATGATAATACTGGTGCTAGAAATGGTGATCAGTGGCTTATTTGCTTCGTGCATTTTATTTTTAAACAGTGAAGCTTGCCGCTTTCGTGATCAGGCGGTCTCATTTCTCGCTGCTCGCATTGATGCTGACTCGGGTTGCATTAAGCTGATTTATCCAGATTCGTGCACGAATGGCTTTCTTCATGAAATAAGAGGTGTAAAACGAGAAGAACGTTTCCGATTAGGGCGTTCATGCCTAGTTAATTCAAGATCTGTGTTTAATATATACTAGGACCGTGTGTGCTTCCATTTCGTTCTATTTTTTTTCTAATTTCTCTGATTTGTATGCAAATATATGTTTTCCGTTCTTGGCTGTAATGTTTTTCTTGTGTACGAGACTATTGCATGGTAATTTTTTGGATTCACCACGCCAGGTGCTTCATTCCCACTCCTTTTTTTCCGCCTTCCCCTCAGGCCAGGGCTTATGGGAAACTTGTTCCTAAGGTTGTTTTCCTATACTTTTTTTACTCTTCAATTGAGAAATTAGAGTTTACATCTACCTACGGTTCAGGGGGATAATACGGAATGTACGTGTGTATGCTATTTTCGGAAATGCCGAGTGAGATAACCGGAGAAAGTTGATGACGAAACATGTGGTTTGGCAGGTTCAGAAATTCAATCAATACCCGTTTACTCACGATTTGCCCGGTTTACTTAACGTACATAAATGATTAGCTTTTTTGTGAAAAATCTGGAATCCTACTTCTATGCCTATTTTCACCGATGAAAAAGATAGATTGGGTATTTTTGTGCTCATTTTTTAAAAAAAAGCATATGGACCCATCATATGATTATATTTGGTTTTGTAATCTTCAACGTTTTTGTGTTGGACATTTGAATCATCAGAGCGTGATTTATTTACTTTTCACTGCAGCCTAGCATTTCCATGGGACTTGACGCCAGTTTGGGGCGTGAAAATAGGCCTGCAGGGAAAACCCATAAATGTGTTCATCGTCTATATCGTAATAGCTCAAATGTAGCTGAGAGAGATGCAGAGGAAAAACCAACGAGTCGAGCATATCTCTTAAATACTCTTGAAGACGAATTTGAAGAGCTAAGCACAAGCCCCTCCCGCAAAAGCATGCCATGCAGGTTCAACGGAGTGAAAGTGGAAAGCAATGGCATGTTGAAAAGGGGTTCCGTATATCAAAGCTCAAGAGAGATAAGAAAGCTGATAAAACAGCGGGAGGTTAGGAGAAAACCAGAACTGGCTCTTAGTGATGAGTCATTCCTGTCATTTGAGATTGTCAACTCTCCTTCCAAGCGTTCCCCAAATGAGAAGACTGCACTTGATCAGCAGAAGAGGAGACCACATTCTTTTTTAAATCCTGAACGTAATTTGACGTCCTTTGACAATGCTCAAGCTGTGTTGACAGATACTACGGAATTCCTGGACCTGTCTTTCAGGCTTCTTCCGGAAGAGCAAGCAAACTGGAGCAGTCAGTGTCCCAATGTTTCCCAGGCAACACAGAGCTCATCAGACAGTTACTTGGAGATCAGCCTTTCTCCTGACATCAGCGAATGCTCTCACACCTCAGCAATTCATGGGAATGTGGAAGGTTTTCGGCGTAAAGAACCAAAATTCGGATCAAGTGAAGGTTTAGGTTCAGAAAATCTTGGTAGTACCCGTTCAGAAGATGGCGTACACATTTTACCCAAATCCTTCTCTGCCAAGGTTGGGACATGCAAAACTCTTCACCAACCGGAGATTGATCCGTCTAAAGTCACCCAGAGAAACCGATTTAGTCCAATTATGAAGATGTTTGATCCTATGAAGAAATCAAAGTCACAAAGGAACCCATCTCTCTCAAATACTGTAGCCTGCAATCTGACGCCTCCCAATCCTTCAAGCTACCGGATAGATACATCATCTCGCAAATCCTCTTTGAGTGGTTTGTCGAGCTCGATAGATCACAAGAGGATAGACCGTCATGATCAGTTGTTTAGTGGAGACGAGGAGATGGTGGTAACAGCTGCTTCAGCTGCTCATCTGCATGGCACTCTCAAACTGGAAAGCAAGCAAAGTGTTCCATCTTTTGAGTTCTCCTTAAAGGACGCAGAAGAGGTTCTTTCTGCGAAGACATGGAAAGCACAGAATGCATTCAATTGGGTCTACACCTTCCATGGCGGTAAAAGGCACAGTGGCAGCAGCTGGGGCTCAAAGGATAGGCGCAGACAGACCCTGCCAATTGTTGGCCAGATGCAGGTCTCTTGCTATTTTTGCTCAGAATTGAGTAGCAACGGGTTGTTGGATAATTTCGCTGTAACCGAGTTCGTTTTACAAGATATTTCCCAACTGAAAAGGAACAGCACTGCCTGTGATGAAAGATTTCCTTCACCAGATCTTCAACCTCGCAAAGATATTATTTCTGCGAGCATAGCTGATGGTGATTCCCGGGATTTGAATGTGCTGTCAGAGCCTGAAACCCGCAAGAATCCATCTAGGGTAGCCGATGCTGATTTCCCTTCTGAAGCTTCTGCCTCTGGTCAGCGAGCAGCGCCGATAGAATCGCGTCCTCAACTTGAAGTTGCAGCCATTGTCGTTCAAATCCCATTTGGTGGAAAGAGATCTTTGAAAGATAGGCTGAGAGATGATGCATGCAATAAACAGCTCAGAGACTTAACTGGTAATGGAAGGGATGGGGCCTCCATCGACCCTCAGCCTGTCAGTGTGAAGGTGGTGACCTCAAGCGGCAGGCACGGATTGCCGTGCACTGAAGAGACGGGCCCTTCACCACTACTTGATAGATGGCGATCTGGTGGGGCCTGTGATTGTGGTGGCTGGGACATGGCATGTCCAATCACTGTACTTGATAATTCTGGAGGCGAAGATGCAACGGAGATCAGGGGAGGTCATCTGTCCTTGAAGCTTTTTGTTCAGGTATGCTTTCGTTCCAATGCGGATTGTGAGATTCTGTGTATCTTGGAAATCACTAATGAGAAATATCATTAATAAAATAAAGTTTTAAAAAATATAAATCGGACTTGTTAATTTTTCTTCCACAATGTCATCTACAACTTCTGGGCATGCATTCTTCGGACTTGTTAATTTTTCTAGTTTTTTATTTTTTTTTTTAAAACTAATTCTGAATTGGATTCTTGGGGAAGGCTTACTTCTTCTTCTTTTTTTTGACAAAAAAAATAAAATTGCAATATCATCTAGAACATTTGGACATTCCTCAGATTCCAACCAGTTCCTGTCTCTCCTCTTACACAGGGAACCAAGGACAAGACCCCGGCCCTCATCATCACCACACGCGAGGACGGCCTGTACTCCATTCACTTCCACGCGCAGTTCTCCAAGCTGCAGGCCTTCTCCATCTGCGTCGCTGTTCTTCACAGTCTTGAAGCCTTCGGGCTACTCAGCCAGGAGAAGAACGGGCAGAGGCTTCACTCCAGCTCGCTGAAACTACTACTCGAGGAAGAGGTGAGGCAACTGCTAGAAGCCGTCGCCAAGGAAGAGCACCGAAAGGTCAACAAGAAGCAGCAACAGAGCCCCGGCCCGTACCAGGTCGACCCTCCCATCTCCCCCATCGGACGAGTGTAAATTGTCTATCGGAGGGATCGGTTTTCCAGCCTGCATAATTAAATATCATTTCGTATCTAACCATGCCCCCCAGCCGAATCATATGCGCCACCATGTCTCCTCTCGGCCACCATCTCTGGCTGGCTGCGACGACACCTCATCAAGCTGTCGGCGCGCAAGGCCTTGTAATCAGAGCCTCTGTCCCTTCTTCCCATGGGGTCTAATCATTATTGCTGCCTATTCTGTCAGGGAACCGATGGGCTTGGTCGGTGTGAGCGGGGAAGGATGGGGCGGGGGGCGGCTCTGTTGCTGCTGCTGAAGAGACTGAGAAAAGGGTAGGGTGAAGGGTGGTGGCAAGAAAGGAGCAAAAATATTTGAAGCTTGGAAATATTGAGAACAGGAAAAAAAATAAAAATTAAGCGCAAGTATGGGGTAAAAAAAAAATACGACACCATTATATTGACTGTTCATGGCCCAAGGACGCGGGTCCAAGGGTCCATGATTATTTTGGAAAAAGGCAAAATAAATCGTACAGTCACGATATGCCCTCCCGAGGGCTGGGAGCTCCGCAGTGGGATCTCACTTAAAAAAAGAAGAAACCTCACACATCTACTACCTCAGTAAAGCAGCTCTTCAAAAATGGGATCCACATTCCCTCCCCAACTTCCGTGGTACATCTCGAGTAGCTTCTCAGCTGGTGTCACTCCTGTTTAAAGAAAATCCACATTAAAGAGACGAAAATATGATATCTTGCGAGATCACCATTGGAGTAACTACCACCATTTATATTATTTAAGTTATGATAGTAAGTTGTTGATAGAACTGGAGAGTTCTAGGAATCTGATTGATTGCAAAGAAAGTAAACTTGAATTGGTCCAATGAAAGATTCACATATATGATAGTAAGATCGGCTAATCATGCACAATTATGATGCTTGTTTTGTTACAACTAATTGATAAATATGATTTAAACCATGCGTGAATGCTTTTAACAGCTCACGAAATTATTATACGATCCCATGCTTCAGCCAATATTGATATTATGACTTCACCAGTATTGATGTGTTTAAAATCGAGTAATAAAAAAAAATAGTGAAACGCGTTAATATGCCAGTGACACTGATACCTTTGAATGAGGATGATCACCATCTCTAATAGTAAAAGTGTCAACAAAAAGCTCGCGATTGTACACAAGAGGAGCTGGGAGATAATCCTACCAAATGCATTGCAAGCGGATGAAGAAGTGACACAAGCATGACTAATTGTAAAGAGGATTTATTGCACTCGAGTGTGAGATTGGATAAATGTCACATAATTTACACCAGAACAATAAAGAAGGTGATTAATCATTTGTGTACTCCCGCGGGTGTGATTGTCTCCAGGAATCACAATTGTGGCCACAGCAATAGGCATATTCTTGCGGAGTTGGTTTAACTCAGAATGAGACACTGAGTAACTGTTGCCCGCGGTTACCTATTTTCAGGAAGCATTGCCACTATTGATTATATTTAGTGGCATATCATGGTTCCTGTCATTGTATCTGTAAACTCTGAGATCAGACAAGATGAGGGGAGATGTACTTACTGGATCCCAGGAGTCACCACTGTTTTTTTTTCCCCAGATGATGACGATATAATTCTTTTGGCACCTTGAAGATTTGCGTCGTTAGCTACTACAGCTTACCATATGGGGGATACTTTCAGCTATGAAGCGGATCATGATCTTGGGATGTAAGTTTTTATGTCCCTCTATTTTTTGACCATGTAACATACTATGATCGGTGTAATATTAGACCCATATCCACAGCATTACAGATCTCACCTTAAGGCACTGTCACAGTATGTGTCGTCACTGGAGTGAGGCCATAGTGCCAGAAAAGGGCGACAGTTGTGACACCTATGCCATGTCTGCCAATACCTCCGTGGCTTTCATAGGCACTCCCCTGTGACAGTCGTATGTGTTCAAGGTTCTGTGACAAGAACAAATTTTACTTCTTAAGGGGACCGATATGGGATAGCTCTCAAAACAAGCTAAAAGTCTTGTCTGGGATTTGATTATCCATAAAAAACAGAGTGACTGCATTATCTGACCATTTTTAAAAAGGGAAGTGTTAACAGAGTGACGAGTGCGATTGTCTTAAGCTCAATTTATATACATAAATATCATATCATTTCAGTGTTCCATTTTCTAGTGTGGTCCGTTGGTGATGCTCTTAAAATTTCCAGAATCACCAAAAATGTGAACGTCACAAGATGGCAAACTAGTAATATGTTTTATGTTTATAAAAGTTTTTGGGCAAATTACCGTGCTAGACGCACATCAGTCTTTCATGCTCTGACAATTTTCTGTCAAATAAATTGTAGCTATGAATTAGAATTGGGACAATGAGGGACCCTTTTGAAATTATCCTGTCCATGTACCTAATGCTGACCTTTCAGCATTCACCCTAGTTTCCATTAGTACAACAACGGTTCAACTTTTTTCTCCAATTTTTCGCTTCAACCGACACGGAAAACTCATTCTGGATTTTATCACCTATACTGCACTTATATTCTCGTTGACCTTTACTTTTACTATGGACAGAAACTAACGTCATCATTCAGCACATGCCCCATCATTACCAACGTTCTCCTCCACTCCCCCCCCCCCCCAACAAAAAAAAAGAAAAAGAAAAAGAAAAGAAAGAGTAGAAAAATAAAGCGACAGAAGGCTTCAGATTTTATAGTTAAGGTAACTAATTACGAAATCTGTTACCTGTGTTGACAATCTCAGTCACCTCTTTTAGAAACCCAGCCTCTTTGTAACCTCTTCTTTCCAGGCCCTCCTACAAGGTTAGGATATCAAGGATAAGAGAATCAATCATTTTCGTGAGATATGGATGATGAACAAGAAATCTTCGTCTGTTATACCTTAGCCAGCGTTAGCACATCTTCAGCAACATGTTTCAAGAACCCATCACGAAACGGTGTATTGAAACCAGTCACAGGTACCTGATAAAAGCCGAGATTTCAAAGAAATCTGATGTCACAACCACATGCAGTTTTTCTTTTGCATTGTATCCAAAAATAAAACGTAAAAAATTACGTCATACAGTTGATATATTGCGATAATACAGAAATAAATACACATAATTAGCTACGAATATTTTGAGAAATTTATGTACCTTTCTCCTCAACATCAGTCTTTCTTCCTTGGTCCAGTCAGATATCATGTCAATTACACTTTGTAATGAAATTTCATCATATAGCAGACCAACCTACAAGGGAAAGAACAAGCATCAAAAGGAAGGAAGACAACCGGAAATTTGACAGTCGTATTTTTCAGGACCATTGAAAGCCATCTGGATTCCCTTTGAATGACACACAAGATAAACCCATATTTGTGTCTATGTGTGGAGGAAGAGAGGGAGAAGGTATGTGTAGATGTGAGGATGCTCAAAGTGACGGCTTTACAGAACACCGAGCCTCTAAACTTCTACAAAATATGACAAAGCGGCATGAAGTTCACAGGAACCCAATGAACACGAAGTTACCCAAAATGCTGGCAAGGCACACAATCTCCTCCAAGGTCCTCCGTCTGCACCCCTCATCTCCAAGTACCTTTTCAGTCTTACCTGCACCGAAAGCTCATCATTCGTTCATTTACCCTAAGCATGGTCACTGAAATAAATATAGGATTCCGTTTTCCTCCAAACCTCTGGAAATATTGTTGTCAAATGATTCTCCCAATCATTCAATGTAGGAAGTTCCCCAGGAACAGAAGGAAGTTTACCAGCCAGGAAATCCTACAAAAACACAATGGAAACATTATTCTCCAAAGAATATATCACATCAAGGTTACATTACAAATAAGAATATGAAACTGCTTCTGTGAATTAGAAAGAAAAATATATTAGAGCATAAATAAAAAAGAAAGAAATTACAAAAGAATACCCGGAAGGACATTCCAGTACAATCAATATATTTCTTGTTCCGATAGACAAAATACATCGGAACATCAAGAGCATATTCTACATACTGCTCAAATCTGCACAAGAAGCAAAGTAGAAGGTAAGGATAGAAAAACTTATAAAAAAAATATCACGACAGGAGACGATTCTCAGCTAATTTAAGTTAACATTAGTCAGATCACAGTATACTGAACAAAAGTAAGAAGCATAATGTAGCTTGATAACATCAGAGACATGGCGACTGGTTTAAACTACAGAACCGAGAACTTTATTGTTTTTTTTAAACTTTTTTTTTCAAGAAATCATTCCCTTATAAGTCATATTGATTTGATGAAATCAATAAAACTGGTATCATTAGAGAATTGTTGGATCTCATCTTAATTTACATATGAGTTTTATTAAAGATAACAGGAAGGAATACTTACCCAAAAGCGTCATCAAAAACAAAAGGAAGCATCCCTGTGCGATCATTATCAGTATCAGTCCAAATATGGCTGAAGAAGATGCCAAAGAATTAGGAATAAGATAAATGTAGGTCATTAAATCATTGTGGCACAATCCACAATAGAGAAAACACCAGCAGGTACAAACCTTCTCATACTGAGAAAACCATTTGGTTTTCCATCACTGAAAGGCGAATTTGCAAATATTGCTGTTGCAACCTTGATCCAGGCGTACATCAGTTTAGATGGATGAAATCTTGGGGAAAGTAAATCAGAAAAGCATGATTCTTAAAATTCTTACAGGCTGTAATGCAAGACCAGCACGAAACTTCCTGATCATATCCATTTCAGAACTGAAATCCAAGTTAACCTGTCAAGAATATACCTATATGCATTAATTCTTAATGTGATTAAAAAAATGGGCCAAACTAATTGCACCATAATCAAGAAAAAAAATAAAATTCACGACCTCACCTGAACAGTGCAAGTACGAAACATCATATCAATTCCGAGTGAACCAACTTTAGGCATGTAGTTCCTCATAATTTCATATCTTCCCTGCTTAGAGCAGTAGCAAATCAACACATTCCAAATAATACAAATAAAAAAAAAGGATAGAGAAAGATCACAGTATCATATATTATCAACTAAAATAGGAATTTCTTATTATTTGCAGGTTTTGCTGATTACTGGGACGGAATTTGATACCATATATCACCTACTTTTCAAAGAATTTGTCTATGTTACAAGGCAACAGCAACATCATTGGTGATATGTATGAAATACAAAAAATTGTCCCGTTATACTAAAAAAGTGTAGAGTTTTTTTGGGGGGGACGGGTAATGATTCGCACGCAATGACAGTGAAGCATCTCTACTTAAGTACCCAGAAACCAAAACTCATCTAAACTAAAAACGTACATTCGCATCACTTTCGAAACACATAAACATAAGTTCACACGTTTATTCACCCACTATGTCAGTATGTGTAATGAACAGAAACAGAAATATAAATGATCAACATAGAGTGATACCTTTGGCATCACTGGAATGTCTTTAAGCCCCCATTTTGGCTGAAAACCAACTCCTAGGAAGCCGATTCCCATTTCCTCTGCCACAGCTTTTACCTATTAACATTTCGTCAATAGATATCATTGTAATCAATAATCCCCATAGTCGTTATATCTACAACGAAAAAAAGAACGAAACTAAGAGCAATAAAAGGGAGAAGAAGTAAAAGCAGATATGCATCATAATAAATTTATGATCCAGTCCACTTTCCAAAAAAGAGTGAGTTCACAAACAGTTTGCCCACGTCCCACATATAATAACAGGGAAGGATTTTTTGTGCATCTGCAATGGTTCATGCGTTTTTTTCATCGAAACGAATAGCTCTGTAGGGAGGAACACAATTCATCTGAAATAATAAGAACAATAGGTGTGATCCGAACAGAAGATAGAGACGAACTGCTCGCTTTGTAGCGCAAGGGCTTGTACAGACTTAAGTGTTGCTCAAAAGTGAATGAACAGAAGAAGATTAGATTCCTTCGAAAATCTGGCAGCAGTGCCATCATTGTTTCGAAAGTGAATAGAACAGAATACGTATTAAATATTAAAAAGAGAGGGATATATACATATATACGATCAATTACCTCTCAAATTAACCAAGTATGCAACATTTCCATGTTTCTCACCATCTAAAAATCCCTAAAACGGCAGGCTCTTCAAAGGGGAGAAATAAGTATCTACCCATTACAAAAACTCGAAGCCCTCTCTCTCTCACACACACTACGGAGCATACGGATGGGAGTACCCTCAACCGATTATTTCCATCGTTCATGCATTGACTCAAGGGACCAATGGGACGAGCAATTTGGCAAAGTAGTAGCAACTGGTGGATAGAAGAGGTAGAAGGGATTTGTTGTTAGTGGTTAGTGAATAGAACAGTGTGAATTGTTGTATGTTATCCTTAAACAGTGAAGATGCTTTTGAAGGAAATATACAGGCTAGAGTGCCCATTGACTTACCTGGTAAAGATGTGAATTAACTTCAGCACAGGTTTGGTGCAGCGTCTCAAGCGGTGCACCACTCAGCTCAAACTGACCACCAGGTTCTAATGAAATGTTTTGTTTTCCCTACTCATGTAGACATCATAATTTTTTAATCAGATCATGCGAAAAAGGACGTCAATAATCCAAAAAGATTTCAACAACGACTTCATCAGCAAAATGATCATCCATAGAAAGGCTGAGAAGACGCAAAGATGATCCGAAAGAATAAAATGCAGGACGAATATTTATGAAGAATATTAAAGAGATCAATACAATCAATAAAAACTAATATGCAAAATCCAACCAGAAAAGGAGTGTTGTAATTCACCTGCTTTAGTCCAATAACGTTGTTTCCTTCCATTATTTTATCCCACTCAAATCTCTCTGCAATACCATTAAGCAAAGCAGCAATCTGCTCATATTTCATCGGGCGTAATGTTGAAACTTCAAAACCAAATTTCTCATGCTCTGTACCAATCCTGCATCAACGCACAATCATACACATACACACAATTTTCCTAGAAGAAAAGTATTTCTAAAACCAAAGGTGCTCTCATCAACCTTCAATTCTTGAAGATGGTCCTTATGTAGGCCTCTATTCTAGGCAGTTCCAGATGATTTTGAGAAAAGACTAGGAATCTTCTAAGAAGTTCAAAGCACTCCAAAAATGCAAGCAAATAATGTGGTTCAATTCGATCATGCCATATCACAAAGCTCCAGGCTTTGATTCCCATCTGACAATGTGTAATCCAATCCATTACGACATTCATCTCATCTATAGATATATTTTTTGAAAGTAACTCATCCATAGAAGAAAATTAGGTAGGTCCTCTAATCCAAATGGATGCGACCAAATGCTGCAGTCCAGAGAAAGTACATAGGCATTAATGTAGAAATAGAGAAAAAAATAGCTAATATAATATTCAAAAGCTTTAAGGATGAATCAATGAGTAACAGGTGCATTTGGATACATGTGATATTGCACTATCTAGATACACGTGGCAAAAAGTTCAAAATAGATATGTAAAAAAAATGCCATCCAGATTCTCATCAAATAAAAAATACACTGACAGAAAGCACTTACGAAATAAAGAGGAGTTGATAGCTAGAAACATATGACATCCTGGTAAAATATATTTATTACCAGTAGAAGGTAGTCAATGAACTAGAGAACTGAGAGTTGATAACTACAAATGAATGATATCCCAAGGAAACATATTTCTTTTGAGCCAAAGAGGCCGGTCACTGTGACCAACTGAGATAGTGAGCTAAGATATTTACTAATGGGGAAGGGCAGCACTCTTTAGTATAATCATTCCCATCTTCTTATAGGCAATAAGGTTTCTGATAGCATACTGAGAAAACACATATGTCATGAAAAAATAAGATTATTCACGTCTTATTGGATATTTCAGAAATCGGGTATCTTTAGCGTTTTATGAAATTTTCCAACTTGATCGAGTAAAATGCTAAGAGACTTTAATGCACGAATGTTGACCGACTTTTCCCTTATTTATTTATCTCTCATTTATGAATGGCGCATTCCATCTAACCATTTACAATGTTTTCTAAAGCCTTAAAACAGTAAGCATGGACGATAAGAAAACACTGAGATAAAAAAGCATCACGACAACTAGGCTTGAATACGATGTCAATTGACACCCCATCATCACTACAACAGCGATGCTCACTAAAATCACGACGGCTAGATATGGAGCCATGTGGAAAGTCAGAACGCCGTGTCATATAAAACTTACATCAACGAAAAGAAGCCATGGAGGACGAATGATGAATAGTTCTCACCTCCATTCCTCTTTGGGCTTGCATCCTGAAGCAAGATACCTAACAAGATCCTCTTTTGTCAACGGTTCTGTCCCAATCAGTGTATCCTCTGTAGGAGGGCTTGCAGCAACAACCATGTGATTCCCACGTCTGGACCTCACATCCACCAAACATGATTCCCGCATATTTTTCTTCATAGTCTTGGCCAGGGAATTATTCCTCAAGAATGCACGGCACTCCATACGGCGAATACAGTCCTGGTCCAGCGCATTTAATCGCGACGCCTCCAAGCGGAAAATCGGGAAAGGACTGGTGCGGGAATTAAGCGCCATTAATCCCGCCCCCTACAACCTCTGCGCGATGACAAGCACGTCCATCGATTAATTAGTTTCATTTTCCCACGAAGAGGAGCCGTGACTGTTTTAGCAAGTAATGTTAAAATCGCAATCGCGCAATAAAAATTCCAGAGAACATCACACGAATATCCTAGGAAGTACATTCGATTTTTAGCACATTCCTAAAATAAATAGGAACAGAATCAAAAGAAACTGAAGACGAGGAAGGAAAACTATGGGCCACACAGCAGGCTCCTCCGGGAAGGAGATTCGCTCAAGAACCAGTCATCGCACAGATAGATAGATATACAGACAGAGAGGTAAATTGAGGAGACAAAAGGGTGAGGGAGGATGGAGACAGGAGAACCACCTGACAAACGTCGCCGCCGGGGGAACCCTAGAACTGCTCCCCTAGTCTCTGTCCTCTCTCCGCCGCCTACCCGCTTCGTGGATGTGTGCGTGCGTGCCGCAGGAGGAGCTCATCAACAGAGAGAGGAGAGAAGAATACAGAGCGGGGTGCTCCGCTGTGTCGACTCCAGAACACGCTACACCGTGAATGGACAGGGGAGGTGGCAAGAAAGATCAGATGGCGACGGTACGCGAAGGTGGACCGGGCCTCCACGTAGCATGCGGGCCCCACATCCTCGTACTGTGCACCTCATGTCTCGAAGACAGATCACGATTGCTTAAGTCGGCGAGCAGCTACAGGGGTGGGGAGGGGACCATCCACTAAACCAACCACTCCTCCCCTCCGGGACCTGAGCCTAGGAATTGATTCTGCTTAATGGCGGCAATCGCTCCCAACCGTCGACGGTTCTCCGCGCTATCCTCACGTAAGCGGTGATGTCGGCTTGCTTCGGCCGCGCGAGAAGGCGGCTGGAATCCAAGACAAACGGAAATCCATTAGTCAACGCCCCTTCTGTACGGCATTGATAGAGAGAGAAACATGGGTTTGGTGAAGGGGGGGGCGGGTTAGCTTAGACTAATGCGGGAGTAAGCGCAGGGCTCAGTCGGCAAGCTGACGTCACCGATGAGGGAGAAGTATCATGATCAGTCGTTGACCAGAAGGTCTGTGGGATGGGGAAGCAGAAAAGACTCGGTTTTTTTGGGATTTTTTCCTTTTTTTCCTGTCTGCCAAACACTTTGAGGGAGAAAATTCGGCATTCCCGTATGTACAATGATAAATAATAATAAAAAAAGACAGACTGAGAGACACACCCACACTCATGAAATCTCTCTATGAATCTGCTACAGCTAATGAAACCAGGGCTCTCATGAAATCATCTGATGGAATCTCTACAGAACACAGCTGCAAAAGGGTCTCATTTCCCTTCCTCTTATGGAAGGAATCGCCAAGAAATATAGATACTTGCCTCCTCCTTTCGCCTGTTCTTCAGTTCAGTACCCGGGGCCACCGTTGCTCTTGGCTTCCATCTGAGATCCGTCCTTCAGGGCTTCTTCGGCCTCGTCCTTCATTCCCAGGGCGAACAAGGCGGCGGCTTGGAGGTAGCACGCGGTGGCCCAGGAGGGCGATATGACCAGGGCCCGCATCGCATCGCTGAGGGCTTGCTGGGGCTGATCATTCATCAGGCAGCACAGGGACCGACGTGCCAGGACCGTCGGTGAAATCATCGTCCCCCCGTCGATGAACTGCAGGGGGGCGGGGCGGGTGGGTTACTCATATTGGAAAAAAATAAAGTCAAAGTCGGAGGGAACATAGTCTTGGGCACACATATTACCCTTCTCGGAAAAAAAATTACGACATTAGGAACCCTGGATTCAGGTTTCTGACATGGAAAATTGCAGCAAGATGATATAATCTTGTGAGAAATGGATCGAAAAAAGAAGCCCAGATTTTATTTTATTTTAATTTTGTGGGTTTCTTACCAGAGGTCTCTACGGTCCTCCCAAGAAAGACTTTCCTAATGCCGACTCCAATCTATGACGAATGATTATTTTACATAGACTATATTCTGGCGACTTCGTTCACTCATATGCGCAGTTTTCACTTCTACCCACAACTATTCACGTTGGGCTGGTGAGGGCGAGTAAGTTGGCAAGTAAATATCAAGAGCTCGTGCAGACAAACCTGCTAAGATATCGTAGTAGTAAATGGGACTTACCTGAGTGTAGTACTCAATTGCAGTGCCGAAATCCTTTTGCCGGAAGGCTGTATCCCCTTTCTTCTTTGAATTCAATGTCTCCTGCATCTGGTTGGTCCACATCTGAAAAGAGAGCTGCAGAGGAGAAGAAAAACCAAGAAACATTAGACGAACAGCAATAATCTGTGATGTAAAGGAGAGAGAAAAGAGTATCAGCCTAAAATAAAAATATACTCTGGAGCAGGAAACCGCAATATAATGAGAAAAATTACAATATATCCTCTGTGTTAGCTCCTTTCTCTGCTCTGCCACTGTCTTGTCACGATTTCATCTGATTCCTCCTATTCAAGCATAGTACCGGAACCACCAAGGCGATCGCCAAGTATTTCATTCAAGGGATTTTTTAATATTACAAGAAAAAAGGATAAAGATCATTTATTTCTCCAACCCAATTGCTCTTTTGATTTTCGAATCCGTTCTTTATATGGGAGTGTGATTTCTTTCCCACACCCATCTCCATTCCATTCTTCTCTCTCTCTCTCTCTCTCTCTCTCTCTCTCCAATGGGGAATATGTAGGATCAAGAAAATGGTTGATGAGCCGCACGCTTTCTGTAATCAGGGGCCAAAAAAATTAACGCATAATTAGATTTAGATTGGATAACCATTCCAATTATGAACATTAGAGCGTGATTATTTCTTTTCCTACAATTGGAGCACAATAACTCAGCTGAACAAAGTGGGAAGATAAACGTTTCACTTTTGTCTTGTCCCCCTTCCCAAAATCAAAGTTCCGATTGAACAAGGATGAACTATTGACATCCTGCATAACTTTGTTCCATTGCCAATGAAGAGAAAGCATTACAAACTATCATCTCGTTCATCATTCAAGTCATAGAACTCCATTTCATTTTCTCCTACAATCCTTCGGTTCATCTTTTAATTGATAAAGCGTTTGGAGTGTTGATGCTAATTTCGAATAAAAAGCACTCAGGACATGGCATACATTCAATACTTTTTTGAGCAATATATTTGAGGAATGTGATTATAATGAGACCCGAAAATAATAGACATAAAAATCTGTATTAAGAAATGATATGTAGAAAACCTCATTTGCTGTTCCCTCATCATCTTTGTAGCCGATCTTCTCTAAAATTTCGTGAATCGCTGTTAAGTCCATTCTGAAGCAAGCCTCCCCAAGCGGAGACAAGGACAATGACTCCATTGTTGGTTTGTCACCATTTGAAAGATTCATCAACACATGAGAAGGAACCTGAAGTAGAGTGACTAAAGTCAAATAACTCTTTTTATTATTATTTTTTCTAGATATTCCAGGGATGAAGAAATAAGTAAGCCAACCAGCTACATCTGGAATGTAGGAAAAATATAACATATTAATTTCAACTAGCATGACTTGAAAACGACGCCAACCAGTTCTAAATTCTGAAAGGAACTTTTCCGAAGAACTGATGTATAACTGGTTTCATGAGGCAATGCAACTTCGGTGCCCAAACTCCTACATTGTAATTTTCAAAAAGAAATATAACCGACAGTACTCTCATTAAATTAGTTCGAATAGGACATTTCTTGTCTGGGCGGTCTTGTCAGAATTCACGTTTCACATCATACATTAATGCATTAAGATAAAATACAAAAAGAAAAATGGAGAAAATTCTCCGTCAAGAGTAGACACGCACAAAATATACGTGCATACATACATACATACACATGCGCGCATGTATACATATATATAAATGGATACATCTCTCCTGTGGTCGCATCAGTGAAGAAGTGTATTTACCAAAACAGAATCATTTTCACCTCTGGCACTTAAGAATGTGGGAAATGAAATGCTTCCTTGCATCTGATATTGCCCATCCGAAATATTACCTCAACATCCTTCTGAAGAGGAGCCAACGAAGACACCAAGGTCTTTGGATTAGGCCTTTCTCGAGGTTCATATTGCAAGCATCTAGAAGCTAACCGCACCAACTCAGTTCCATCCTCATTTGAAATTTGTCCCTCCAGACAGGAATCCATTAGCATATTAAAATTTCGGTCTCGTATCAGGTCGAGTGCCTGTACAGTATTTCCAAAAATAAAAGAATTAGGCTCAGAAAGTAAAGCATAATGGCGGAGAAAAATAGATTTATCCAGAGAAAATAAGGAAACAAGTTCAAAAGCTAAGTTTACTGGCTAAGATAGTAAATAATGTGGTAAGAGGTGAGGTGCACACGAACTACGGAGCACCAAGAGCTCGAGCAAAATTAATCAACGATAAAAACATTCAAATATGCTTTCAAAGGCGACTATGAATGATTAGCTTTTTAAAAAAATAGAAGCTTTCAAAAGATCATGAATCAACATAAGCCAATAGATAAGATCTCAACAGTGCAGGACAGAGCACAAATTTAAGGAAAAAGAAACCAATAAAAGTACATGTGGTTCTCCCAAGGCAGATTCTTATAGCAAGCCAACTAAAGACTGATATGATCTGTTATTCGATATTCCAAATCTAAATAGTAGCTGACTTTAAGAAATGAGTGATGTAACATCAAAATACCATGCCGAAAACCAACTAGAGAATGGCTGATAAATTGAACTGATGTTTACTTTTAGTCTTACTTTCTGTACAGAGACCACTGCCATGTTACTTAACCTAAAAGTGGAATCATCAAGTTTGACAAGAGACGAAGTCCCTGTTGCATTTTGGGGTCGACCCAAAAATATTTGATTTTGACTAGAACCACTAAATTGCATTTAATCTAAGTTTTATTTATACACAGAAACCAGAGCTATATTATTTAACGAAAAGGCAAAAATAATCAGAATTGACAAGATGAAGTCAGTATCGCACCTTGTGGTTAACCCTAAAAAAAAAATCATTATTTACAAGCAGCACTACACGTATGCAATGTTCATTTTACATGTGCAGTATCAATCAGTCGTGAGAGAGTAGTAAAAATTTTACATTACTAAAGATTGCATTTCCAACTCGATCAAAATATAAAAATGAATACTCCTAAATAATGTCAAAAAATCAGAAAAATGAGAAGTGTTTACCGATGTTTAACTATTTAATCCTTTTTTTGGAGAAAAATGTGATAAAATAAAAATTTTGCTGTTTTAGAATGACCATCATGGAAGAACGTAGGGCTAGAGAGCTTACATGGCTTGGAGGAATATGTTTTCCACTAAGAACATCTAGCAAGAGAGTGCCAAAACTATATATTACACTTTCTGGCGTAATTCTTCCTGCATATCGAAACATGCGGTCATATATGAGGATCAGCTTCAAACATTTTAGCTACAAATGTAAATCCAGGTGCATAAAAAATACTTGAAAAAAAACAAGACAAAACTATTAAGCTATTCGCCCACAGAATAGACCACGTATATTAACTGGGATAAAACATAAATTTATTTTTAAAATTAATAATATTAATAAATAAATAAAAACATGGAACATGGCTGAACACTCAGACACTAGTCCAGAGTCATATTCAAGACAATACGATATAGTACACGCTGGACAAGAAAATAGTAAATTTTAATTTAACAAAATGAGCACATGATAGTTTAACAAAGGAAATAAGTATTGCGCACAGAAATCATCTCATCAATCACGTGAGAGACTCAGAAGTTCTGATATTGAAAAGTCCAAAATAAGTCAGCAAAAAGATTCAGTTTCAAACGTAACAAATACACAATTAACAAAACTTGACTCTGATAAAATTTCCAGCAAGGATAATTGACCATTTCTCAAATACTCAGGGGGTGTAAAAGCCAAATTTGTGCTGTAACTTTTCCCATCCCGACTATTCTTCATCAATCCAAAACATGAAAGTCGAGGGTTGCCAAACTGCGAAAAAATAATCAATCAAATATTAGAGAACCAAAAAACCAAAGTGCAGGAAATAAACACATGGCAGGATAAAAACAGACAAAAATACTCACAGCATCAAACAAAACTCTATAGGCATGAAGATCATGATAAAGATCACGATCTTTGCTGGTGCAGTACTCTAAGGCTTCTGCAAGATAATATACTACTCTTAATCGCATAGACCATTTCATGGGCTCCGTTTCCCCTGTATAGCGAAAATACAAAAGACAAAGATGGCACAATATTTCAGAGACTATAAGGCCGAGTTTCAAGTCTGTTCATACAAAAATGATATAATGGCTTTACCGCAAAGCAGACATACAAGTCTCGATTAGCAGCCACATACAAGTCTACATTACGAAATGATTGTGGGAAAAAATAGCAGCAAGGAAATGATACAAGCAAATACAGCACGAATCGACAAATGAAATATTTCCCTTTCCAACAGGCATAAACTAGCAGACATCACATAGTTCAATTCTCTTAGATGCATAGAGTCAATTTTTTTGGTACAGAATCAGCCAACAGATAGGATCAGTTCAGGACTATCATGCACGGGTCTATGTGAGCAGATAAAAACCTTACACGTGGATAAGGGGTCGGCAAATACTGATGTCAATTTTCACGGTAGGTTTTTCAACAATGGTTTAAATTGGATGATCAAACAAATCATGATGAGGTTAGGATCTGACTTATATCTCAGTCCAATTCCCATTTCTGATTCCACAACATATCACTTAGTAAAAGGAAAAAACGGATAAAAAGACAGATAAAAACGATAATCCATATGAAAATTCGAGTGATAAATAATAAAAACAGAAACAGTACTAGGTGAATGTAATCTTGAGCTGGAAGCTTGAGCCAATAATTTTCCACAGGGTGGGGTGAACATTCCATTTAAGCACAAAGTTCCACGAGGATTATTGAAACAAGAAGTTCGTCACTTCTTCGAGGCTTCAAGCATTGAGAATAAAACAATGGCACAAGATGACAGCAACTCAGTAAGGTACTAGCTTGCCTAGTCTTCAGATGACTTCCTTCGTTAGTGACTGAATTTTTCAACTGGAAGGGAAAAGGCAGGAGGAGCTAGATCCGATAGAATGTTTCACCTGAAGCTTATTCTCCTGCTGCATAAAATTAACTATAATGTTCGTAATTTGGAATACCATCTAAGTGACAAAAGAAATCCTGCTTCCTTATTGATGGAGTTCTTAGCCTCTTCCATGCGAGCAAGTTTATTTAACCTGAGGCTCTTGGTGGCATAAGAAGGATGAAGATTAGATAAACTTTGAGTTGAGGCCCGTTTAGCAAGAAGGAATGCTGGAAAAGACATTCTTTTGAGAATCGAGGCAAAAACGAAGAATCTTAAGGATGATATACAAGAAAAAAGAAAGTTTCGGGAGTAGGGAGAGATCAAAGGAGAAAGATATGTTCTTCAAACCGTTCCTCTTGTACCAGGAAAACATTTCAAACTATGAAAGATACATAGAGCTGCTTTTCTGTGTAGAGAGATTACAAAACTCAGTGGTGCGTATGGCTTTCAGGCCTTACATAAGATAAGAAGATACTGGTCTACCAACTACATAGCTACCTAAAACCAGAAAAGCGTCACTGGCTAACTATCTATAACAATAAGGCCACCCTTCAGGATGCATGAATAAAATAACAAAGAGCCAAAAAACAAACTATCGAAATATTGATTTCCTGGGGTTTGTCAAGACAGATCGAAGGCTGCTGATGGTTCAAATTTGAATTTATGGAAATGAGAAATCCAAAACCCACGATTGAAAATATGTCATGGGGTAGTAACTTTTAACCCATGTGTACAGATCAAATGGCGCCTCTTGGTCCCAACCACTTTCAAACCAACAGACAAAAATGAGCATCCAGATTTTCTAAACATTACAAAGTTCATGTATCCTGAAACAATCCACAGATTGAGGGCTTATTTCATGTCCAAAGATACCCTCACATGAGGTGAGATAACCAAAGACGTTATCTATAGATCTCATTCTGTATACTTGATAAACGGACACCTTGCAGACACTCTTTAAGGATTGGCATCTTTTTTCAATGTTAGCAGGTATCTTATTTTAGCAATGCGATCCACACGACTGTAAATCTTTGATCTTCCAGATCTGACTTCAGATTCAAACTCCATGAACCAACTGAAAATAAAGCTTCTACCATCGCTTCCCATCCAATTAAACACATTTTGCATCTCGAACAGAATGATTTCGAGTCTTCAACATAGCATAAATTTAGATTGTTATCCATAATGAATTTGCTTAATGTGTAGTCTCCAACCCAAGTTTTTGGAAAAAGCGTTCATGATACCATCCTTCATATTGAAGAGGCCACATGATCCATATCCCCTAAGGTTGTCTCTCTCCACCCTAATGCTGGCATCCTGGAGATGCAGTCCAAACCAGGAAAATAGATTCACACATCACGGCATTGTTTGAAAATTCAAGACTTCTCTGAACTTTCCATGTCTGGTTAACATGGCCATTATCCATATCATTCCAATCTATTGTCGGATCAGTGGTGGTGATACTGGCTACGAGAGGTAGGTACAATAATGACATCGGCCAGTCTGTGACATTCGAGATTTCCGTGACTGCTCCTTCGGATGATTCACTTCAATCTCACAGTTATACAGTTCACCTCCGATGTGAGAATTGGGGACAAGCTCATCTTCCTCTTATATTTTCTCTCGTCCTCTTCCACTACTTCAATTTTGCTTCCTCTCCTTTTCTTATCCCATCATAATGGAATTAGGAGCACGTCTCACACCCTGTCTTCTTCTATTTCTTCTTCTTTTAGTATCACAACCTCTCTGGCAGCAAGCATTAAATCTCAAAGAAATTTCAAAGAGTATCAGACATAATTCTGCGTGACTAGGTTTTTAGGTCTCCATGTCAAACAGGTAATAATAACTCACACATTTTTTAAAAACCTGGAATTTGACAGTTTTCTCAATTCTGTTATTTTAACGATCATAATTTTTTCTTTACTGGACATGGAACGGGACAATATTTATTTCCCTGCAATATTAAATATTTAAACAACATGAAGTTTGTAACGGTATAAAACCACATTAATCTCTTGGTGTATTACTATGGAATTTCTTTGGAGTAAATTTTTATATAAATGGAAAAGGGAAAAACATAATGTAAATCTTCAGATGGGTTCCTGTAGGATTCCTCTATTTTTATGGGTTCCTCCATAAAGAAACAAGAGGATATGGGGAAAGACTCGCAAAGAAAATAGGAAGATTCATGTTTCTTTGGGACAACATAGATAAGCACAAGCATGTCTTCCAGTCTAACAGATGAATTTCTCTTTGCCTAGATGACAAGTATGTCCACTCCGGCTCCATGGCAATCATTTCGTTCCCTTAATACAAATGGAAAACTTTTCATCAGACTCTCTCCTCTTTCATTCTTATTGCATCCCAAGGCCACTTCCCTGTGGTATGGCCTTTGGAAGACTAAACCACGCAGATATAATCATAACATGATGAAGTGTTTGTGGAAGCCCCGTATGAACTGAAATATCATGTTCAAGTCATCGACATAGCATCTCTACATTTTATATAATCCATTTAATAAGGGTACATTTATGTCAAAAGAAAAAAAAAAGTGTTATAATTATTACAAGACTTACAGTGAAAAAGGTGTTTTGCAAGTGTCTCATTTGGCATGTATTCTGCTACAAGCAATCTCTCATCCCCTTCACAGCAACAACCGAGCAAATTTGCCAACCTATTGTTGCGAAGTTGACCGACAGATTTAGCTTCTTCCTACAAATAAAAGAGAAAATAGAATGATTCATATGATTAAGAAAATAAGATAATCCTCACTCTTTTCGGGAATATTTCTTAAACGTTTTCCTTCTAGAATAAAACCTCTGACGATTCAGTTCATTTTTGTTCAGGAAACTTTTATATTAATTCGAAAATCACCAAGCGACAGAAGCAAAATTCCAGGGGCATCCTTTTCAATAACTGATATTCGAAAGAGATTCTTAATATCTAGACATGAACTTAACACGAGATCCTGGAAAATTTGACAAAATGTATAAGAGATAGTTTCCCACTCAAATAACAAAGTCAGACAAACAAATAGATTATGAAAAGAAGTACTCCACACGCATTTCCAAACCAAGCTAAAAGACTAAAACCAGCGGTGTTTTAGATCAGGAATACTTAGCTCGATCTAAAACTTTCATATGGAGGTCATCACATCAGTTGTATCAAATGCAATGGATGCAAAAGAGGTAAAATGAGCCCAAATGAAGTACGCTAATATGAATTTGGACGTCAGAACTGGCTAAAAAATCAAAATCACAGCCAGGGCAGAAATGGGAAGAAGATGCATCTATCAGTTCATCCATTCTTCTTTAAATGAAGTTTTTTTTTTTGGGGGGAATTTTTTAAGAACTGCTTATAGTTTTAAAAAGCATAATTTTAAGATATTCTTCTTGTTTTAAGAAATAAATTTATAAATACTGATTATACTTCACCAAAGCTGTTCATTTTCCCTGGATTTAAACTATAATTGTAAGTTGCAAAAACTAATCAAGTGGCACGATCAAAGTGATCGCCATTTTAAACCTACTTTTTAAGTTTGGCCGTGCACAAAGGGTTTAAGCAATTTTTACTACCTAGCGTTTGATTGTGCCAAACCTTGAGAAAGTGTCAGATTCCTTCAGGCAACTTTTTGCAGAATATCACCATTTGAAAATCCCGTGAAGCCAGCTATAAGGTGTAGTCAGTTAGGATGTTTAAGCTCACTTGACACGGGTACATTCCTATTTTTAATTCCCTGAAAAAATGCAGAATCCCAGCGACAGCAAAACAACTGATACGAAATTCAATTATGTAAACCCATAAATTTCGAGAGACACGGATCCCAAACCCCAAAATACAGAATTACATGCGTACTGTAATTTCTATGCTTATACTCATTTAAAAGTCATAACAAAATCAAAACCATGCTTGTATTGCCTTACAATAATGCATATTTAACTCACAATTTGTGCTGCAGCCAAATGCACGATCCCCACCCTAATAAATTTTGAAACACTAATCTAAGAATAATTTTGTTTTATTTTCGTGTCAGAATCCAAATCATGTACCCAAGTTGATATACAATCAGTTTGGCTACGTTTTTTAAGAGACATACAAAAAACAGGTGAATCAGAAACCACCATTTGTGCTGCAGCCAACTTTGAGGAGGTTTAATCCAGTACCATGTTAGTATTGCGCCATCAGCAACATTATAGATGAGCCAATTCTAACATTATCAAACTAGAATCTTTACCACAAATTTTCTTTCTTCCGCTTTCTCTCATCAAAACCTCAAATGAGAAATCCAAGCTGATGCCAATTCAGGGTGGCTACATGTTGTATCTAACACAGAACATACGATTTAATTGTGAATTATATAATTCAATGTGAATTCACAGCTTATCAGAAGCAAATGTCGACAGCATCTCAGCCGAATATTTTTTTATGACAAGATAAAGCCAACTACTTCTGGAAATCCCCAGAGGCTAAGAAACAAATAATGCCTTTATCAGCATCGCATGTAATTTCACCTTGGCCTAGCATATTTCACCCATATTTCCTGCATTATTATTGCTTATTTTGTAGGGTTATATTTTCAGCGTTTGTTTCTTGACATTTCTAACTAGCTGAATCAGATCTGCCATCCCACGTCAAAGGTTCCTATATTCGTCCTCCTGCCACTGCCCTCCAGCAAAGTCCCAAAATATTTTATGAGGTGTAAAAAAATGTACCGGACGCCATTTAAGAAACTGACCCAAAGTCACTAAAATGCACAGGATTGAACTGCAAGGCAAATGAAAACGACGTCACAGCACTTTAAGGCTCAGGCTGATTCAGATTTGAATCACTTTTTAAACAACAGACAAACCAGGACTTTCTACAAAGAAATAAAAAAATAAAAAATGAACCCATATGTTACTCCTATCCGTTTTCAAAGATCTCTCGTTTTCAAAGAACCAGGTTCACTGGAACACAACATGGCAGTCTCCTCTCAGCAGAGTAACTAACGACACTCCCACTACTTTTAACTCTTGAAAGTCAACTTTATTTAAAATATACGGAGATTGAAAAAGAAGTGGATCGTAGCCAAGAATAACAGTGAGTCTGGACTGTAGTATAGACTTGTACCAAGAACTGGCGGGGATCTGGCCATGCAAATTTATTAAATCGCTTAACAGCAATCCGCCGCTGAGCATCCAACTTCCCTTTGTAAACAATGTTGGGAGCCTTTTCCCCGTGCTCAGACACAATGTTCTCTAAAGCGAAACCTGATGTGGCAAGCCTAAGCTGCTCAAAAGAGTACTCCTGGAACATAGGCAAGTCATTGTCTTCCCCTTTCTCCTCGCGGTCTGCAATAGAAATTAGCAAAATCCATCAATACCACATATCAATCTAATATCCACGAATTCCGACAAGCCACTCGAACAAGTGCAATTAGTCTAACCAAAATGACCAGTTTCGTCGACTGTTGCCTGATCCTGTGAACACCAGCAGCATCCTGTAAATCTAGAGAAATGCGAGCCCATCCCAAAGCGGTAGTACCCCAGAAGGTGCAAATAGTTAGCTCATCACGACACCGCCACCCGCAGAAATTTGCTGAAACCAAAAGAACAAGATCGATCATTCGCGAAGTTTCTATGGAATAGCATGGATTAGGGATACAGGTGCGGAAATGTCCTAAATTCAACAAATAATTGGCTACATATTTCATTCACCGTCGCACCATCCCCAACCATACAGTAACCAAGCCGGAATTTCCATTGAACCGTGAAGAAGAATTGAAGAAAGGATTGAACGGAGAGCCGCCGCCCAATCGAGGTAGAAAATTGACGGTACCTGGTTCGTTTGAATCGCATCAGAATCTGCGTTCCAACTCTCGCCGGGAGCTTATTCTGCGGAGGTTCCTCTATCTATCCGGTCAACGTCCAGAGACGAATGATCCCTCGCCGATCGTCGCTCCAGGTAATCACGCAGAAACAGCGCCAATAGCGACCTCGGTACCGGCGTCCCAGGGCCGACCGAGCACGAAGAGAGTTAAACTACTCGGAAAAGCCACGGATGCTCAGATGGGCAGGCGGCTTCTTCGTGGCACTTCAAGTTTCCACGAGCGTCTGCGATTTGAAGAAGAATTGGCCTTCCGGGGGAGGGGCGACGCGGGAGAGATCAGATCTCGAGTCCCGACGTTTTGTGTGGGCTCCCCACGCTGCCGATCCCCCCCCCTCAAAAAAACCTTTTTATCTCCCCCTCTCCCACTTTCCACCTCCTTCTTTAAATATTTCCACCGACGCGACCAGCCATCCTTCCGACCCAGAGGCTTCCATTTTTCTAACCGGCGACGGCCGATCATCGCAGCACTGCTGCTCCTGCTATCGTAGCTCCTCTCATATTGGCGCCGCCGCTGTTGATCCTTTTACCGTTACCACTCCCCAGAGATTTCCACCGAGCCAGACTCCCACCGCCAACCACCCCTCCTGCGGATATTTCGCATCGCCATAATCCTCTCATCTTCTCTGCAGATACTTAATTAATCGCTTGTTGATAACATGAATTCAATGCAATGACAGAGAGGTGGGTGCCCCACCTCCTCGTCCCCCCCCGCCCCAACAACACAACTGGACTCTCTCTCTCTGGATCACCAGAGGCGGAGCAATTCCAGAAAATTACCTGGAGAAGAGAAACCTTTTGCTGGCTGGCCTCCAGACGATGACGACGACGACAGATTTTGCGTGGATCAGAAGCTGACGTCATTTACCATGCTCCATCGAGAGACGTTAAAATCGGGCAATAAATCGGCCCGTTTTAACAGAAATTGGGCTGAGCAAGTCGTGGAGTAAATAATCAGTCAGTCTCGGCCCAGTATTTAACTGGGCCGGTCCAATAATCACCCACCCCATCGTGGTCCTCACAGAGCGCCGGTACGTGCGCTGGCTGCTGGGGTGGACCCCCGGGGCGAAGAAGGAATGTGAAGGGAGACGGAAGATCCGTTGGAAACGCAATCCGAACGGTCAGTTCTAGAAGTTTCCGCCGTAATGAGGCCCATTTAGGCCCACGAAAGGCGGGGGCTTTGCTCTCCCCGCCAGCGGCGAGGCCGGAGGATCCGAGGCGGCGGGTCCTCGCCCTCACCGAAATTCACCCTTCCCCAGTTGGGAAAGGAACGTCCTTTTCTCGGATCAATGAAGTGGGAGGTGAAGAGACTCTTTCTTCTTCTTCTTCAGCGGGTCGGTCGCAACTGGTAGTGGCCATCGCTGTTATTTCCAGACAAGGCCCATCAGCTTTTCCGCTTGACGGGACTGTCCGTCCCCCGTGACCCGTATCTCCCAGACCGAAGGGGCCCCTTCTTCTCCCTCTGCGTGCGCCACCGCCGCCGGCGTTCGGGCTGCGGCGCCACCGCTCTTCGGGGCTTGGAAACCTCGGAAGTCATGTCACCGGCGGCTGATAAATACAGACGAGCGAGTATAAATAAAGAGAATGGGGCCCATCCTTATCCCCCATCCCTGGGACTCGCTCGGCAACTAGCAGAAACGATAACGCCGTGCCCCGGTGGAAATGGCGACGGGGGAAGGATCCGACTCTGCAAATGACAACCCGATATGGTCAACGGCTATCCACCCGCCACCTTCTCCCGCCGCAGGAAGTCTCGCCGGAGAGGGAATACTCCGGTGCCGGCAAACGAGGGGCCGGGGTGAGATCCCGATAGGGAAAGGTTCGTCGCAACGACGAGTTAGCTAGCTCGCTCGTTGGGGCGGCGCCGTCAGGGATGGACCACCGTGGGCGGTGGGAACGGTGAAGGGGGTCCTCCCACCCCGTGGAGAAATGCCTAATTTCAACACTGTATATTTCTATTTGTATTAATGGCCCGTTTGACAAAGAGTTCCGCGTCTCTTAGTAAATTTACATCTGTCCCCCTGCCTTCCTTTCAATTTGCATCGGACGTAAATATTTTTTATGACGCGAATGCCCTGCTTCAGGGGTATTTATGACTTTTATCGTCGGAACAAACAAGTACCTGACGTGGGCTCTCCTGTGGGCCCCGCTGAAGTGGGCCCGCCAGCCGCTACAATGGAATGCATGAGGAGGAGACGTAGCGACCGCTAGCTAACTCATCAACCACCGCCGCCCCCACGGAGCTCAAGCGGATTGGTGGATGCTCCTCTCTTCCTCCGGCGAAGGGCTTCTTTCTTCCCGCCCGACTCTCCTTCCTCTTTCCTCCCTCCTCCCCACGGTAGAACTTAATGCCCAAACTCTCTGACTCCTATAAATATGCTCCTCCTCACCCCCCCCAACCCTCTCCCCCCCCGGACCTCCTCTATCCCTGGTATGGGCTCCTCAGGCAGCCGACGGAAAATTCCAAAGGGATCGCATTGATCCTCTCTCTTCTCTCTCTCTCTCCTTCCCATAGTTTACAGGATCATGCCATCCCTTTGGAATTTTCCGTCCAAGGCCTCTTCTTCTTCTTCTACTCCCCCTCTCGCTCGCGTGGAGAGGACTCGGACCCAAGGTGCGTCGTTCTTCTCCTCATCTCCCCGTGTGATTTTCTTCTGGCCGTGACGCTCTCGGGTTTGCAGCACGGTTCGTTTTTGTTTCTCTCCGTTCCCTTGTTGAGCTTGGAGGGTGAAAGGAGGAGATCGCTCGCTCGCTCTCTCGCCCTCCTCCTCCGTCTCTCCGCCGCCTGATCTGCCCGGTCTTAAACTTCGCCGCCGTGAAGTCGCCGGAGCCCTTTCCACGATCAACAACATCTACAACTCTGCAGTCTCGTGGAGGAGAGGATTTGAAATACGACCGCCCGCCGGAGCTGATTCATTCACAGCCGCGCTGAGAGCTGGCCGTCGTCCCCACCTGCTTCTTCCAGCTGCGTGGGCGCGCGTGTGATTTAAGCGGGCCAACCACCGGCGGCGGGATGTGGCCCGGCGGGCCACGCCGGCAGCCCCACCGCCGTCGGGATGCCCGAGAGAGAGAGAGAGAGAGAGATGGCGTTAATAGGCGCCATTACCGCGTCGCAGTCCGCTGCAGCTGTAGATGTCGGCAACGGAGCCCCCCTTCCCCCCGCTACCGCCCAGGGCCACGGCGGATCCGCCAGGCTCCTGGCTGCCTCATTTTTTCACCAACTTTGGTCGTTCAATTATTTCCCATAAGATTACGTCGAAATAATATTATGCGTATATTCGTCTATACCCTTGAAGAACGCTGATGTGAGTAAGGTTTGACGGCGACGATCGGTCCACGTACGATATCATACACACATTTGTTTGTTCTATAACGTAAACGGCTTATGGAGAATAATTCCACCGTCAATTCTTTGAACCCCCGACTATTATTTCGTTTCAGGTAAAGAAAAATTAACTATTAATATTCAAAAACTACTTAAATTAAATATTTTAAAACAAAAATACGATATATACTCATAGAAGGGAGAGAAGTCTGTAATCTATGTACGTTAGCCTTTGTCAACGCCATGGTCAACTCCTACTAAACTACAAGAACCACACACAAAAAGTGCCACTAATAGAAAGAGACCATAAAATGCTCTAGGGGCTGAACTCTTCAAGTCCAACCTCAACACGTGTCCACTATCAACTCCACTTGCAATTTAATAATAATACCCAATTAAACAACTTATTAAAAAATAATTTCTCAATTAACCTCCTTTGGTTCATATAATTGATATTGGTTCTTGGCCTTGGTTCCCTTGTTCGATCGAGTTGACTCCCACACATAAATCCCTAGTTTATGTTTTATATACATTAAATTTATAGATATATAGTTTAATCCCCCCATATCATTATTGTGAATATCTGCATTTTTTTTCTCTACATCCTTCACAAGTAGTTGAATGTTGTGGCAAATACTGATTATATTTTATTAAATATTTTTCATTAACTAATTATACGAATTTGTGCTTGTAGGCAATAACAGGTTACAACCAACAAGATTTCTTGATATTTTTTCGCACAAAATATTATCTTAAAGTCCGAAAAAGGATTTTGATGAAAAAAAATCGTAATGTTTCCTACTTTCTCAAATCCTACTCGCCACATTAAATGCTGGTATTTTATATACACCATGAAACATGTATTTAAAGATATAGTGACAATATTCATATTTAAATATCATTAGAAAAAGAAATGTCCATGTTATTAACTTTATATGCTCCATTAACGAGCATATCCTTCAGCACTCTCGTGGGAGAGATCACATGTTCTATGTATTTCATATGTAGATAAAGATATATAAATCTTTTACGAAGACACCGAAGTTGGGAAATCCAAGGCAAAAATGGACGAGGGACTTTAGATAAATTTACCGTGTTGTAAGGTGAAGATATCCAGGAGTATTTGTGGATATATCTGGAGGCGGCTCGGGCTCGAGCCCGTGGCTGGGACTGGGCCGAACCTGGTCGGTTGGGCTGGTCCGGGCCAACCTTCAAAAAGTTCGGCCATCAATATTACTGTGATTTAAATCGGAAACTTTTGAGAGCGTCCAGAAGAAAACTAGGGTTTCGGGCGGGACTGTTCGAACTCCAGGGCACGACCGCGGTGCCGGCAAGATGTCCAAGAAGAACAATCTGGGAAAGAGGAGAAGGCAGCACGAATTCGAGCTTCAGAGTAATGATTCCACTCCCGATAGAGATGATCTGCCCTTTCCTCGCTTCTCATGGCAATCTCCTTCCCGATACTCATATTTTTATTTTCTCCTGCCGCATCAGAAGAAAAAGAAGAGAAGGAGAAGAGAGCGAAGAAGCTGCAGGCAATAAAATCCAAGATGAAGGTCAGATCGGTTCTTCTCCTGGACACGTATCTCTTCTTCAGCTATTTTCTGTTTCCTTCTCCCGCTTATTTCGTGAGATGCCGACGACCAAGAGCAAACCGTTCAATCCGATATGCTTTCACATTCTCGTTGTCACCATATCGACCATCTCCTCGATTTTTTTTTTCCATTTATGTTGTGGATTTGAGTCTCATCTATGCGAGTCTCGTCTTCCATTTATGCCTAAATTTTGCTTCTGGTTGTTGGATAATGCAATCAATTTTGTTCATCCGTCACCGTGAACTTGTCATCCTCTTCATCGACCTGCCTTGATGACTTTTATTGCTATCCCCATAGGTTGATGGCTGTGAGAAGAAAAAGAAGAAAAACTCGGGTGGATTTCAAGTTGGAAAGAGAAAGGTGAAGACCAAGCTCTCGGCATTGTCCAAGGCTAAGGCCGCCCAGGCCATGGAGATCGTAAAGTAGATACATGTGACCTCTATTCGCTAAATCACGCTGACCCATGTCAAAGGGAAAGGGGCACCGATTTTGCTCAAGTTGTTCCTTTTTTTTTTTTTTTTTTCCTACGCATCTAAGAATGCTGTTTCGAATACTCAGGCACCTATTATAATGTTTATTTGGTACAAGCTCTGGTGGTTTTCCTTTCACCAAATCAGAAGCCTCTCTCCTCTTTTGAGCATAACTTGTCTCGCTTATGGGCAAGCTTGATCATATGGTGTTCATACTATGAAATTCCTGCGAACTTTATTGCCGGGGCTGTCTATTTTTTTCCTTAGAAATCACTGCAAACTCTCTTGACGACGATCTTATTTTCGTTTATTTTTTTATATCCATACCTCTTTTTGCAATCTCGTGGTAGAGCTCCTTTGTTTGATCCCCCTCACAGTTCAGTTTATCCAAGATTCTTTCTTCACTGGATGATTCCCAGTTCTAGAATCATGGGCATCGTTCTGTCCGATTGATCTGGTGACCAATCGTTGATCAAACCAGAGTTGGACTTTGGGAATCAAAACCCGAATGAATCATGGAAAGTTTGACCTCTGGGATCAGTTTCTGAATATAATCCGCCGCACTCTCATCAAAACTTTCCACTCAGAATCGGTTATTCAAAAACAGCTACTGGTAACTGGCACCTTTTTTTCTTCCCTTTTTTTGTTTGGGCTGGTTGACTTTTCGGGTGTTCATCTTCCATCCCAGCTCATACCTGTTCTCGGGAGGATGGATGTATATGGTTTTGATGTTCTTCGTGGCAGCCATTGCCTGAAAGATGAAGAAGAATGTCATAGTTCTTGGTGTACCCATTCCCTGAAAGATGACCAGGCAGAGTCCTCTCTGCCAGGTGGGGAAAGCATCTGCTGGCCTCTTCAGATCCTCTTCATCTGTGAACTGAGAACCAGTCATAAAAACTTGTCTTTTTTTTTTCTTCTGGGGAAGAACAATCAATCATCTGGGTCGGGTTTGAAGACCAATATTTCCCGTAAGAAGGTTTTTTTGTAAGCATAAAATCCTCGCGGTTTGTGGGCCCAGCGTTAAAAGCCCAAAATTGACACTCCGTAACAGGCCTTTGGAGAAAGCGACGTGTCGGCGGTAAATTCTTCGAGTTCGGAGGCCAAGTGGCCCCGGATCCCACGTCAGCATTCCTCTCGAAGCGCACGGCCACAGTGGAAGCACTGCTGCCACCAACGGCCCTCAATCTCTGGGTCAAATCAGAAAAAGTCTGCACCGCCCATCTGTTGGGCCCGGCCAGAGATCATGTTGTTGGGCGGCTGAGATAAGGTGGGACTTAGCGCCAAAAGCATGCCGCCGACGCGTGTGGGTCGGTAGATCACCGTTACCTCCCCCCAGCTTCCTTAACTGTCAATATTTACGCTTAAACCTTGTTAATGTGACTCGATATTTCGTATGATTGGGGGGGAGGGGTTGGCGGTGTTCGTCGACTTATTCGCTTAGAGGTTATCCGATTCGAACCCACGAGACGGAGACAGATATATCCTTCACACTCTCTCTCTCTCCTCTCTCTCCTCTCTCTCTCTCTCTCTGTCTATCTTGGTGTGAGGCCAGCGTCCATTGTGATCTCCTCGCAGTTGCAGACTCTCATCTCTCTCGGGGAGGGGAAGCATTCGAGGCGTCGAGGGAGGAGGGCAAAGAATGGAGAGGGGGAGGGGGAGGGGGAGTAGGAGGAGGAGGGACGTGAGGGGAGTGGAGATCTGATGGGGAACAGAGCGAGCTCGGGGTACGGTTGGTCTTAGCGCATTTATTGGCCTCCTCCGATGGCGATGATGGTGGTGGTGCTGTCGGTGGGGTCGCCGTTGCGGTTTTGGGTGGGGGGCAGTGGAGACTGAATCAGGTGGAGGTCAGCTCTGGAGATTTTGCCGATTATTGGCGCGAGTTATTAGGTCTCCTCCTGCCGTCACTGGGCATCGACCTCCTCTGCAACTTCTGCGTCGTCCGCGTTTGAATCTGCAAGCTGCTTCTGAGACCTCTCTTTGGCATTTACGCATGGCCAGTGCTCTCCCATCTCTTCTCCCTCGGGTGCAGTCTCATTGATGGCACTTCACTACAAATCTGCTTTTCTGTTTCCCAAGGAAGAAGTCTCAACGCTAGGGTTCTAAAGAACCGCTCGCACTTGTAGTAACCTCTCTGTGTGTGTTTCTTTTATATTTTTATTCAACCTTTTGGCCACCCTCCTACTCTCCCTCGTTCGTCTGAACTGTATAGTCTCTCTGTTGTCCGCTGAAGGAAAGACTTGTTTTTTCACCCCTCTCATGATCGAGATCGCAGAGGTGTGATATAGTTCTCACAGAGCTGACGTTATAGAAGGCTGGATGCTTCTCTGGTCCCAACTTTTCTTCCTGGGAGTTCCTTCTTTGTTCCTTAGGTTCTGAGGTGGCTGAAGGATTTTTTTATACTCGACTTGCTTTCCCATTTTAAAGCGATTATCCACAGAATCTCGGCGCCTTTCGGAGGGTGGCAAAGGGCGAATCTGGTGGTCCACTATGAGCTCCTATTCTGGCATTCCGCTTTCTTCTGCCACTTCATCTTGTGTCTTTCTGCCCAAGTTAAAAAATTGTTGGTGAATCTTCAAGCTTTGTTGGCTACCTCGTGTTGAATCTCGGCTTTGTTAGTACTTCTCGATCCATATCTCTCTTTCTCTCTCCGTTTCTCTCTCTCCTTTTAATCTTGTCAATCTCTTCCATCTACCTGCAGCCTTTGGCCTCATATTTATTTACTAGAACCGAATAAATTCGGTTTCGAACCCTGAACGTACATCTATAAGCTTCCGTGTAGTCCGTTGGTCGTTTGTACTCATCACATTTCTCCTGCATTGGCCTTCTTCGTTTCGCATTCTGTTCTCCTTACCTTGTGCACCCTTCGTGCAGAAGGATCTCAGGTTGCTCTCATGCGTTGCCTCCTTATCGAGTGAAACTTGCTGATCAATTTTCTTGATCAATTTTCTTTCACGGGGGTACTTTCTATTCTATGCATGGAAGGGAGGAATGGAATGGCGATGTCTGGACCCGCGTCTTACTACATGCATAGAGGCATGGCGACGTCCGGCTCTGGATCGCAGACGGGGTTACATTCCCCGCCAGGCATGCGGCCTTTGCCCAGCCCGTCAGGTAGCTTGCCTGTGCGATCAACAAATATAAGTGGAGGGTCTGTCGGTCCAGGATTTCAGGTGGAGCCTTCACCCACCCTTTGCCAGCCTGGTGTCAACATCGGGAATCAAGGAAGCAGTGTAGCTCAAGTGGAGCCTGTAAAGAGAAAGAGGGGAAGGCCTCGAAAGTACGGACCCGACGGGACCATGTCTTTGGGCCTCTCCCCTCTGTCCTCTACTGGCCCTGGTGCTGGATCAAGCCCTGGGAGTTCCGGAGTGGTATCAATGGCTGGATCTGGGTCAGCCCCGCCTCCTCAGAAGCGGGGCAGAGGACGCCCACCAGGAACGGGGAGGAAGCAACAGCTAGCTTCCTGTGGTGAGCTTATGCATGCTGTTGTTCAGAGTGCTCATATATTGCTCATTTCGTTTTTGTATATTTCTTGTTCCACATGTCTTTTCATTAAATATTCTTTACCACTCTCTCTCTCTCTCTCTCTCTCTCTCTCTCTCTCTCTCTCTAAGTACTGTTCATTGACGTTCCGAGTCCTTTTACCTCATTACCAAGTTGCTTGTCTTTGTTTCCCGGTAACGCATGGACTTGCTACTCGTGGGCGATTTAATAGTACCTTCCCAGCGTCTGTAGTTTTGATCAGAGTTACTTGGGGCATCCATTTTCTAAGAACTTCTTTTTGTTCACGCTTCTTTGAGATTTCTGAGTTTTGCTAGAATGAAGTGATTCCCTTTGTTTTCATGGTACCGATCTGTTCAGGCCCATGCACTTTTCACGGGGATAACAGATGCTTAGATCATTTTTCACGGGATCATATCTGAGAAGGTATTGTGCGAGGACATTGGCTTTGTTGATCCTTTGAACATGAACTGCATAAGTAATGATTTGTGGAGGGGAACAGTTGGGCTATGAGTGACCTAATTGATTTGAACCTGATGGTTTGCTTGTTGTGTGTTTTACTTTGTTTCTCCCTTCACCGATGCTATATTTAGTGACCAATGGGAAGACATGCGATTTCATCCTTCTTTTCTTATTGATTTTGACAATTACTTTTCTGATTCTGTTGATAGGTGAATGGATATCTTCTTCGGCTGGGGTGGGTTTCACTCCTCATATAATAACAATATCTGCAGGAGAGGTGTGTTTATAACATTATAATTCACTTTAAAATAATTTCTTGATAGGATTGCGGTTTTCATGAAGCTTTCCACGCCCATCTGTTCTTATGACATCAATTTTAGTATCCTATTTTTTTGATGCTGTTTAACATCATGGGCGTGCTTCCTCCACACCCTGATTGCTGGATTTAAGTTTTCTCTGTTCATCTACGTCTTTGTAAACCCAGAGTCACTCAAATCACAATTTTAGTCTTCATCAATGAATTCCTATATACTGACCTGGGATTAGTTATACATGAAGAAGCCTTATGGCTTCTATTTCATTAATCTATGGTAACATTCAGCAAAAAAAATATAGTTCTACAGATTTAACTGCCAGTAGTTATATTCATACTGTGTGTCCTTTAAATGTTATACGTTCTTTTGGTCGGGCACATCCATCTCTTCCATTTGATCATAGGATATTTTGTTAAGCGTATCCTTGGTTAATATTGAATCACTAGACGCATGTTTCATGCTATTATGCTTTCTGTCTAGATCTGCATATGTGTACCGAGGTGAAGAAAATTAATTGTGGTGTCACGTTTTGATTAGGACAATAAAAGTTCTCCATGGTCTGAAAATATGCTATGCAATGAGCATACATTTTTATTTTTATCAGTTATACTTTACTAGATTCTATAAATCATATTCCCGAAGCGTATGATATATTTTTTTTTGTTTATTCTAGTGCAATGCTTCATTTGCAGCGTTGATGGCATAATCAAAATCCCCTTGATTTTTTATTTTTTATCCTTTTTTTATTAAATTTTCTTTTGTGTGGTTTTCCTCGACCAAGTGTTCAGTGGTTTTCCTTGTTTAATGATACAGACTGGATTTTTTCTCACTCACGGGGCTCTTATTATTCTCTTTCTTGAAGGTGTTTGTCTCCTTAATCATATCTGTCACATATCGGATCTCTTGTGGTGGATTTCCATTTGGACTTGCAGTGTGTTGTTCCTCGCGTAGATTTTCCATACATATCTATCTTTTATCGTACATCATATGTGCCAATATTTCATTCATCTTCTACCCAGAAACTCAGTCAATTTTTTCAGTCTGTCTTAGATCGAGATTGCTTAAGGCATTGGCTGTTTTTCCTTTGATGGCACCTGAAAAAAAGTCATGATATCTGGAGTAGAACAAATGATAAAGAAGGAAATAGGCTGACGTGGTGTTCTCTAAATGGATCTTTCCTTTCTCAGGACATTGCGTCAAAGATCATGTCATTTTCCCAACAAGGCCCCAGAGCGGTATGCATTCTATCTGCAAGTGGGGTTGTGTCCACAGTCACTCTCCGCCAGCCTGCGTCTTCCGGCGGCACCGTCACCTATGAGGTTCAATCACACGGACTTTTCTCTATTTATTCCTACGCCCTAAACCCCCTGATTTAATATTTACAAGGCTGAAAACTGAATACTTAGTAAAATCCTCTCTAAATGCAGTAAAGTTTCTGTAATGTACTGACAAAGAAGACCCAGAATGCTTGCCGGCAAATAGTCAACCGTCTAGTCCATCCTCGTGTGTGGTCAACCATTTAGTTCTTATTTATTCTTGAACTGGGTCAACGTGTTTACGACTCAAACGTGTTAATAGTCAACCTGAGCCGATGCCCGACGGCAGCGCTGACTTCATTTTTCCCGGATGCTTACCTTGTGAAATGGGTAATGACGAGGAGTATTGTAACGAAGTCAACGCTCTTGTGCTCTGCTGTTTTTAGGGGCGCTTTGAGATTTTGGGCTTATCTGGATCGTTTCTGGTCACCGACGAGGGTGGAGGATCCCGCAGCCGGAGTGGTTCCCTCAGCATATCTCTCTCCAGTCCGGATGGCCGCGTGATTGGCGGCGGCGTCGTCGGATTGCTCATCGCCGCAACCCCTGTCCAGGTACCCTACCTCTTCAGACCCCCGCTTCTCTCTCTAGCCTCTCTCTAGATATATATGTGTAATGTATAGGGGTGTGGGTTGGCAGGTAATAGTGGGGAGTTTCATATATGGGAGTATGAAGGCGAAGAGCGGCAAGCCGAAGCCAGTGGCCTCGGACGGCGGAGGCGAGCCCGAACATGCAGCTGGGGCGAGGCAGATGACCCCCCCGGCCACCGCCGGTGCGCCGCCCAGCCCGGGGCTGAGCTCACTTCTCGCTGGGTGGCCTGGGCCGAGACCTCTGGATATGAGGAGTAACGCCACCGGCGGCGCCGCCCACATCGACATCGACCTGACGCGGGGTTGACCTGGCACATGCTAATTGCCACGCGTATATTCATGTAGGGGTGAGCCCCGTTGACCGCCGCCCTCCCCCCCTTCCCCTTTCTACTCTTAACTCATCTCACTCGGCGACCGGTGGCCAAACTCTGCAGCGCTACTAACTAATCTTGCACAGAAGATCCGACCTTGTCTTGCCTAGTGACTACCGTCAGTCTCTCTCTCTCTCTAAATAGACAGGAAGATATGAAGTCATGATTTACTAGGATCATCTGAAAGCTAATCTGTCATGATGTGGAAGGAATAAAACATGGTGAGAAGAGGAAGGTGGGTTTATAGGGGGAGGACAAGGGAACTCATTCTTCTTGGAATCCCCCCAACGCCGCGGCTGCCGCCTGAGACGAAGAAGAGAGAGAAGTATTGAGACAGACCTGGCAGCTGGAAATCGAGTTAAAGAGGAGGGTGTTCGAGCTGGCTTACCAGCAAATAGAGGAAGATCCAGCTACTACTGCTCGCCATGGCACGAATCAAATAATCCATCACCGCTGGCTCCACGATTTGTTTATTTATTTTCAGAGTCGTCTTCTTCCTCGCCATCTCTGAGCTTCACCAGTGCAGAAGCTTGAGGAATCGACTGCAGCAGACAGACGGGGAAGCTCCAAGAACACCGGAATATTTGCTGTTGCCAGCTCCCAAGATGAACCATGCAAGTTCTGTCAGACATCTCCCCTGGGGACCTGCTTCCGGCAGCTGCCCTCGAGAGCGATTCGGGAGATTCAACAGAGATACTGTCACCTAACCGAGCAAAGGATCCCCGCCATCTTCCTTTTCCCTGAGGGTTCCTGCGAAGAAGGAACTGGGAAATCCACAGGTTCTGTGTATGAGACGCTGTCAAATAAAAAACTTATTCTTTAATTAGTAACGACAATTTGATTTGGGTAATTCCGGGAAAAGAAAATTACGGGTCCATGGGAATGGCCGAGTTGCGGGATTCATGTTCCTCGAGAAACCCACAAGATCAAGTTAAACTATTGGCGTGCTTCGCTACAACCACAGAGGCTGCTCAAGGGATTTCACTAAAGGGATGCACAGATACTAATTCGGATCAAGAGGGGAGAAGCGTGAAATACATCTCTTCAATAATCGATCCAATTCGGATCACGGGTGACGGTTGTTCCTATGAAAAAACGTCAGTAGGATAGAAAATTTTATTAAATGCCATTCAACAAAATAGCGAACTGTATTTTCGTAGTCGGTTGATTTGTCTAAAATAAAATCTAGACAGACAATTAAAATATAACCAAGAGGGCCCATGGCTCGGCTCTAATATAACAGCAAATGACATATTTTCTGAGAAATGGAGCTTTGAGATTTTCTATAGCCCAAAATGACAATATTCTATAATAAAAAGCATTTCACAGGGTGGGACTTCGGTTCGTCAACAACAACAAAAATTGATCCCATTCTCTGTGCTGTTTACTAAAAGAAACTTGTGACAGCTAAATCTTTCAGCTACATTCTGCCACAAGAGGCTGCTAGAAGTTCTAAGACACTATGGTATGCTAACAGCAAACTACAAACTCGTGTCCTGTATGCATTAAAAGAATTAAAATCAAGCATCATGACACTTGGGTATCATTTAAAGTTAGCAGGAAAAGAAACGAAAAGAAAAAATCAAGGTAAATTACCTTTCAGATAATTGGATACGCATTTTTTTGACAAACTGCTTCCATTGGCTGGGAATAATAGGATCTTAAAATTTATCGTCAGATGAAATACCCCTCTGCAGCATTTCATCGTGCAGCCTGATGGCCTCTCTCAAGTTGTCCCCAGCAACATACCCATTTATAAGAGTCATATAGGTCGATCTATCTGGTGTAATTCCTTTATTAATCAGTCTTTTAAAGACCCAATCCGCTTCCTCCATTCTACCTTCTCGGGAAAACCCAGAGAGGATCACATTATATGTGACAACATCAGATAAAACCCCTTTGCTATCCATCTTTTCAATCAGACAAAATGCTTCACGGATTTTTTCTTCTTTAACTAAACCGTGGACAAGCGTGTTATATGTTACTGTATTGGGAGCAATCCCATCGTCCATCATCTTGTTCAAGAAATCTGCTGCCTTTGACGCATTCCCTGAACGACAGAATCCTTTAATAATAGAGTTGCAGGTCACAACATTAGGTAAAATACCTTTTGCGATCATTTCGTTCCATAGATTAAAGGCCTCGACCATATGCCCTTTACTACTCTGTTCATCAATTAGAATGCTGTAAGTTATGAGGTTCGGAAAGACTTTCTGGTCGATCATAGCATTCCATAGCTCTGTAGCCTTATCTATTTCCCCTTGCTTGCATAATCCGTCGATTAATGTATTGTAAGAGACAACATCAAGCTTCAGATTCCTCTCTCTCATCATTTCAAATACTTTTAGTGCTTTATCCATTAGACCTTCTCTGAAATAGCCGTGTATTAAAGTGGTAAGAGTATAATAATCAGGTGTCATTCCTCTTTCTATCATTTCATCGAGAAGCTGTTCAGCCTCAGATAATTTCCTATCCTTGCACATCCCATTCAGAATTGTGTTGTAAGTGACTACATCTGGAACACATCCTTGGCCTACCATTTCGTCTCTGACCTTAAGAGCCTCGGATGTCAAATTAACCTTGAAAAATCCTCCAATAAGCATTGTATATATAAAACCATCAGGAACTACACCCAAAGACTTCATATCTCTGAAGTACATAACTGCCTGGCTGAGATCTCCTTTCTTTGAAAACAAGCTAATAAGATAACTAAAGCTAAGCAAATCGGGAGCAAGACCTTGGCTCCGCATTTGCTTATAAATATCTGTAGCGTCTCCTGCATTGCCACTTCTGGAGAAGCCACCGAGCAAGATATTGTAAGACGAAGTGTTTGGTAGAACCCCAGCAATCGTCATTTCATTCAATAACTCTTTTGCTCGGTCAAATTTCTGGTTCTTACAAAGACCGTTCAGTACTGCGTTGTAAGTGACAATATTGGGTTTTATTCCCTTCAGTGACATCACGCTGAGGAGCTCCAAACCGTCATCAAGGAGCCCTTCACGACAATGCGCATCAATCAAAGTATTATATGTTACCATATCTGAAAAAATGCCTCTCTGTTCCATATCGGTGATAAATATTTTAGCTTGTGCAAGCTTCCCATCCTTGCACAGAGCTTTCACCATGATATTCAAAGTATAAACATTCAATTCACTTCCTCCTGCAACTTCTCCGTATATTTCCCACGCCAAGTCCACCCATCCTGCCCGGACCAATCCAGAAAGAAGACCGTTACAAGAATTGACTGAAATGCATATCCCTTTCTCCTTAAGAGCCCTGAACGCCTCGCTAGCTTCTCTAAGCTTACCTGCCTGGACATAAGTACGGATCAAAAGATCAAAAACCTGAGGGCAGGAATCGCAAGCAAGGTAAGTCGTCACCATTGCCTCGACAATTTCCGATCTCGAGGCTCCCCTGCGCCGAATCATGCGCAGTATCAAGGCCTGAGCGTCGGAGACCCTCCGGTTTCGGAAGCACACATGGATCATCGCGCTGAGCGACTCTGACGAGTGCCTGATCTTCGGTCTTTTCATCAATTGGTCGACAAAATTCTGCCCCAAAGCGGCATCGCCAACCTTGACGCATCTACGCAGAACATCAAGCACAGTAGAGTGGCTCGGAACGGAAGAGCTGAGTGAGGAGTCGGCATTACCGTTCCTTAGGGCGCAGAGAATCCGGTCGGAACTCGTCGAGAGAAATTCAGCTTGCCGATCGAGCCGAAGATTCAAGAGCGGATTGCGATTCCGCAAGGCGCAAGATGAGAAGAGGCGGGAATCAAGCAGCGCAACCCTCCCCGTCTTCGCCATTCGGAACCTGCCTCTCCCCGCCCGACGGTTCCAGCTGCTGCTCACTGGTAATGAACATAAACCCCTTGTGGGCCCGCTTTTTGGGGCCCAATTGGCGCCTAGGAAGACTGCTTAGAAATTTTCTTGTTGGGGTTGGAAGATATAATTGGGCCGACTAGTTCCACTTTCTTGGTGGCCTGAAGGCCATGTTTGCTTCTGGGCCTCTCCCCGATACACTCCAGTTTCGGTCCATTCGACCGGATTGAAGAGAGGTTAATGAATAATGGTATTTTATTTTTTATAAGTAAATTTTATTTGTATTAAAAATGATAATATGATGTCTTATTATTCCCATTATTTTTTTGAATAAATATAGCATTTTTTTGACCATCAGAAATTCTCTTGTTGGGCCTGTATGATATAATTGGGCCTTGGAATTTCACTACTGAATGGGCCTAAGCCCATGATCCATCATTTCTGGGCCTCTCCCCGATACATTCCAGTGTCGGTCCATTCGACCGATTGAAGTGGTGTTAAGAAATAATAGTGTTTTAATATTTAGTAATATTATAAATCAGCAGTTGAGGTTATTATTCTTTCCATTTTTTATATTTTTTGAAGAAATAAAGCACGCTGGTGACGCAGCCTCGAGCGTAGCAAAGTAGCTGCTTCCTCCGTGACAAACGGCACTTGCACATGGGTTACTCGATTCTTCATCTCTTCCATACCTTCGGTAACAGATTTTTGCACTGTTGATAACTCAATTAAAAACAAGACGGCTAAAAAAATCATATTTAAATGAAACACCTATAATTATTTAATTATTTATTGTATTTCGATTTTTATGAAGGCAACTGGGCTGTGGAAAATCTGGGAATAGCCAAATGTCTCACGGGGGAGAGAGGGAGAGGGAGAGGGGGAGAGAGAGAGAGAGAGAGAGAGAGGCAGGGAGGGAGAGGGGGAGGAGGAGAGCGCGGAGTCGTCGTCCATATCCACGAGAATGACACGGAGGATCGTCATCAGCCATGGATGCCGTCTACCCCATGTCGGAGGGATTTTTTTTACTCCTTGGGCTTTCTGCTGGGGAAGACACGTGTCCAGGACCTTACCAGACCCGCCTGGCGGGCCCCGCTGACTTCGGTCCCTATAAATTCTCGTCCCCCAGCATTCTCCATCGCTGTAGCCTTCTTTGACCGTCCACCGTCCTCGGCTTTTTCGGAGTAGGGGAAGGACGGAGTGAGACGGAGCTTCGCTTCTTGATTGATATGGCCATGGCGATGAAGAGGAGGGTCTTCCTTCCTTCAAAGCAGCTTCTCCCCAGGTTCATAACATCCTCGACAGCGTCTTCTTCTTCATCTTCCTCCTCTCCTCCGGCGGCGGCAGAGCTTCCGCAGACGGGCAGAAGCTGCGCGCCGCCCGTCACCTGCGAGCGGGCCCTCGACTTGCACGACACCGAGAAGCTCTTCGCCTCCACGCCCAGCGGGGCCCTCCTGCGGTCGCTGGCCAACCTGAAAATCATGGCGTGGGAGCCGGTGGTCGACCTGGGTATCGCGGTGGTGAGGTCCAAGGCAGTGGAGCACAGCGCGGCGGCAAGGGCTGTGGTGGTGGCGGCGCTGAAGGCGACAGCGTACCGGCACTTCTGCGCCGGCGAGAACGTGGAGGAGGCTTGCAAAACTCTGCAGGGCCTGTGGGATGATGGGTTGCAGGGGATCCTCGACTACGGCATGGAGGACGCCGAAGACAACGCCGGCTGCGATGCCAACCTGGCGGAGTTTCTCAAGACCGTGGAGATGACCTCCCGCCTCCCCATTTCCTCGGTGAGGAGAGTCCCCATTCTTTCTTTCTTTCTTTTGCAGTAATTGGTCAACCATGGTCGAAGGAGAAGCAGAAAGTTCTGCTCTTTGCCATGACGTTGACGGGGACCCAGTTCTTGTCGCACCCAAAGTAGAGAAATGGAAGCGATTTCGACAGGAGAATCTCGATAAGCCGCAGGAGTCGGTGGCGAGTTCCGTGTGGGCGCACGGCTGCGAGAGTTGGTAGTCTGCTCGTATTGTCTACGTCGCTCTCTGGTTCTGCGGTGGCGGTGCAACCGGCGACCATGGATTCCAGCTTGGGCACGACTCACTGACGCCGTTCTCGATCCACAGGTCAGCTTCGCCTGCGTCAAGATCACGGCCATCTGCCCGGTTTCGCTGCTGGAGCGCGTCAGCGATCTGCTGCGATGGGAGCAGAAAGATCCGGCGGCGGCGGCGCCGTGGCGTCGCCATCAGTTTCCGGTGCTGTGCGATGCCAGCCCTCTCTACCACACACCGTCGGTGCCTGCGCCGCTGACCCCGGCGGAGGAGCGTGACCTGGAGCAGGCCCACCGGAGGCTCGCCGAGCTCTGCGGCAGGTGCGCAGATGTCAATCTCCCGCTTCTCGTCGACGCCGAGTACACCTCCGTGCAGCCGGCGATCGACTACCTGGCTTACGACGGCGCCGCTCGATTCAACCGGGGGCCTACTCCGATCGTCTACACGACAGTGCAGGCCTACCTGAAGGATTCCAAGGAGCGGCTGGCGATGGCGACGGCGGCGGCGGAGAAGGAGGGGATCACCATGGGCTTCAAGCTGGTGCGGGGAGCTTACATGACGAGGGAGGTGAAGCTGGCCACCTCCCTCGGGGTGGCGCCTCCCATCCACCGGAGCATCCAGGAGACCCACCGTTGCTACAACACCTGCGCTTTGTTCATGCTCGAGAAGGCCGCCCACGGCGGCGCCGCCGTCGTGCTCGCTACCCACAACCTCGAGTCCGGTAAATCCTCCCTCTTCTTCCTACGCCGACGGCGCTCTGGCGGAGTGTCTCACCGGCGGCGGCGGCGGCGGTGGTGATCGCAGGGAAGGTGGCGGCGGCGAAGGTGGACGAGCTGAGGATGGGGAGGGGTAACGAGAGGGTGCAGTTCGCGCAGCTGAAGGGGATGGCGGAGGGGCTCTCCCTGGGGCTGAGGAACGCCGGTTTCAACGTCAGCAAGTACCTTGCCTTCGGCCAAGTCGACAAGGTCATCCCTTACCTTCTCAGGCGAGCCGAGGAGAACAGAGGCCTCCTCTCCGCCTCCTCCATGGACAGGGACCTCATATGGTAAGGCCCTCCCCCTTCTCTACACCAAGCGTTCTCCCTCCCAGTCCAACCCCGCATTTTGGCTCTTCGCAGGAAGGAGCTCAAGCGGAGGCTGACCGACGCAGTGCTCAGGAGATGATCGTCCTCTCTCTCTTTCTCTCTCTCTCTATATATATATCATTGAATGTAAAATCCCCCACGGGACCAGGTCCCTGATGATCTGTGTATATTACTAGGCTCGTTACATACCAAAAAAACTCGTTCGAATGACGGCACCAAGAAGGACGATCAATGGTTGACCACTGGATCGGTCCCATCGGGGGTCGTCACCAGCTATCGGCTCGCTGACTTTGGGCCTATCGCCATTTTCCGACAGCAAACAAACTGTTCGGCAAGCTAGCTAATCACTCCAGAAGAGGAAAGTAGGAAGACGTGTCGGGAGAAACAAACGCTCCAATGATCCAGAAATAGGGTCTTATAGATTATATACACACTGATGGCAGATTGAGCTACCATTCGTTCCACCACGCTTATCGGTCACAGAGGAGATACGAGAGATCCGCCAAAAAATTTCCCCGCCGGTCGACAAATGGCGATATGATGCAAAGCATTTAAATTATTATAAAATTACGAATTGCACAGCGACGGATTCAAAGGGCAGGGAAGGGCAGGCCTCCGCCAGCCGTCCATCCAATTTCCTAGGCTTCTTTCCTCGTGATCCTGTCGTGAACAGACAAACACGCTGTTAGAGATTACCCCACGAGATGGAATCAGCACATTCTTTAGTCTAAGTGATCTCTCTCTCTCTCTCTCTCTCTCTCTCTCTCTCTAACCTGAAGCAGTAGATACCCAACGCAGAGGTGATCTCATGGATGACAGATGTTGCAAAATGCACGTAGAGTATCACTATTATCAGATAATATCACACTTCAGTCAGTAAGAGATGAAGCTGAGAGCAATATATAAATAAATATCACAGTAGAACAAACACACACTATCCAAGAAAAAGATAAAAATAATATATATGCTGAAATGAAAGCAAGTCGAAAAAATCTTACTCGTAAATGCACAGTATCCAAGAAGAACCAAATGCTCATCAAACAAAGGAGATCTACAGCCAAAAATATACGTCAGCAATAGCGTTGAACAAGAGCTATGCTAAGAAAACACCCGAAAAGTGATCGCATACCCTCCATTGAGCTTGGCAGTGAGTGCATTTGCAATAGCAAGAGGAAGATACAGTAGAGACTGTATAAATAAACCGAAAAAGTTAGTAAGGATGATCGATGTCGCTTAGTCATAGGGAGAACATATACGAAAGGAAAATTCTGCCACTGCATCAGGGCAACAATTTTTCGAGAAAAAAAAGTTCAGAATTTAAGGCACCACAGAGGTAGTTACCATGCACATTCCGGTCTTCAAGCCTTTGGGCTCGTCACAAAGATGAGCCAGAATCATCCTGCCCTGAAGAAAAAAAAATCTTTTTTTAGTTTCTAATGAAAAATACAGCAAAACCCAAAAAAGGAAAATTACCCTATTTTCTAGTTGTTCTCTTGTTGATGTATGGAGAAAATAAACAGACAGGATATCAGATGAAGAAACTAAAACAATCAGATAAAGTGCTTGTATATAAGAACAAACAAAGGGAAAAACATGATATTCCCTAGAGGTTGCCTAGTTTAAAGACATAATAAAAAAATTACGACAAAGATAAAGAGAAGTAAATGTCTAAGACATTATTCATAGCATGCACTTGACTACAATAATCATACATGTAAAACTTATTTAGCTAGTTATATCATTTCCTTGATAAGTTATGGTTCGGGGTTTAATAGCGGGTCACATCAACAGATAACATAAAAATAAGCATTTATACTGAATATGCTAGATTGATTCCACAGAGATGTACCACAAGGAAGCCAAAGGCAAATCCAGTTCCACTTATTAGCAGATGTGGGTAATTTAGCATGACATCATCAGGAGAGATAATGGACCTGCATTGAAATTCCAGAATGAATTCCATCAACGTTAATATCAATCTAGATTTATTGGAAACAGCCAATGATAATTCTGGAGCTCCCACGTACCAGATGAGAACTCCTCCCATAAGCACACAAAAAGGGTAAAGCTGAGAGGAGACAAAAATTGTCAAAACACAAATGAGACTCAGATTTTCCAGATCTAGATTGCAATCCTATACTGCTTACATCAACATCAAAAGTTAATGATTCTAACTTTCGACATGTTGATGGTAAAAGACTGACGAAACGTCAGCCTGAACCAGTTTTCATTATTTTAGTCCTTATATGCTCGCCTGGATTAGGAAAAGAAGACGCTCAACAGAACATATTGGCAAGAGATTATCATCTCATGTTACCATTGCTAATGCCAGCAGCATACTTCCTTTTCTAGCTTGGACGACCTTGTAGACATTGCTAATGCTGCAAAGGAAAACAAGGAATCTAAATGAATAAAGTTATTGAGCAAACGATGCTAGCAATCTCAATTGTCAAAATGATTCGAAATCATATCAACCCAGATTTTATAAAAAAGGCAATTTAATTGAAAGAAATTGTTCCTTTCCTAAGCGAGCAACATAACAAGAACGGTCCTTTAATCTTCCATCAGAAAGTGAAGGAATAGCTTATCTAAAAGAGATAAGACTTTGGAAATTACAGCCAACAATTTTATTCTTCTTGGCATGGAGTCACCATCAGGCAGGCTGGAATGTTCCTCATCATCCACTTACGATAACCAAATATCATTATTCATATGAAGCCAGAATGAACAATAATAGAAATAATAAATAAATAACTAAAAGTAGTATGATTTCAATAAGCGAAATGTACATACTTGGACCAAATGGTAGGTAGAACAGCTATCACAATCATAAGAAACAGCACGAGCTCATACAACGGAATTTCTGGAGAACAAAATTTGGCAGAGAACAATTCAGGTGAAGAAAAAAGGAATGAATAATCTAATAATAACAATAAATGAAGAAAAAAATCCAATCACCACTAAAAGGAGTTAGTTTAGCTAAAATAGGGAGCAGAAAAGAGGAAACTTCTAATACCGAAGCTCTCTGTCAGCCATGCAAACTAAAAGCCTTACATTACCAAAGGTTTATCCAGTAAAAAATTAAAAGATTTAAATGAAGAAAATAGTACGGAAAAGAGGAGGCAGCAAGGACATAAAAGTAAAAGTGAAAAATGAATAACTATAGAAAATATAAGAGGAAGAAAAGGAAGAGTGGAGGAGAAGAAAACCCTTGCAGTGTATGCTGGTTCCCTTGGAGATGGTCTTTCTCACCTAGCAGACTACACAGAATAGGTAGTTGTGCTAATTCCACATGGAGATACAAAAGACCAAAGTCCTCATGGATAGCACACGAGAGTAACAGGATCGTGGTCAAAAAGGGAAATTCAGGAAAGATCTAGGCAGGAGCATGAACCTTAGGGGGCACGCACAGGTGGCAGTGAACTATCTACACATAGGCAGATGTGTGGGCGGGCACTCATCAACCCTGTTGCGGACGCATGAGCACACATATATGCATATGCGTACGGAGGTATACACAAAGGGATGAATACAACACCCCATTATGGGTTATTGGATTCGGATACTAATGATGCCACTCTCGGAAGGATGAGCCCAATCAGTTTTTTTGCAATGACTAAGACAGAAGAAAAGTCATGAGAAAAAGAAATGTGAGACAGAAGAGGGGGAGAGTTAGAAAAGAAGAAAATAAAAGAAAGTGCTTATAAGCCAATACATTCTTCAATTTCACGTCAGCTAAAATTTTCTGACGAGTTTTTCAGAGGAGAAAGAATAATATATCAAAAGGCAGAACACAGAAACAACTAAAGTTCACAGCAGGACATAACTAACAAGCAGGGACAAAACAGGAAGTGTAAAGAAAGATGCTATCCTTTATCAATACATAGGTTCGTAACTATTGATGCTATAATATATAAGGTTTGGCAAAGAATCAAACCATAATTTAGAGGGATCCAACCCAGAAAACGGACAGACTTTCTAAAATCTTGCGCCCACCATTCAGCACCTGAAAGCAAAAACATCAGAAGTGCAACAGCAAGAAGAAATTGGAGCACTCCTTTTAAAGACGTACATAAATTAAGTCATTTAAAACAAGATAGCCTGGTCAGGTAAATTCAAGATGAAAGCGAATCAAGATGCTCACCAACAAAAAATGTGAAAAAGTGGGATAGATAAATCAGCATGAGCCCTTCAGTCGGTCCGTTTATTATTGGAAGAATAAGCGTATTTGTAAAAAAGCTGGAACATGAAAAATAAAGCATTAGCAGATATAGGTTAAAAATCCCAGAAAAATCACTCGTTAGATTGCACAAAGTTAACAGAGCATACCAGGAAATCTGACTAGATATAGAGACCATTTAACATGTAGTGACTACATATATAAAATCAAACAGTTCATCTAGACACTACAACCTCATGACATGAACAGTTACATGAAAAATATACACAAGTTGGATCAGAGTGCTGAATAATGAATTCGCCACAAAGTTCGATCTGATCCAGGGAAGCACATTCTCAGGAAAAAGGGTAGTATTATCACATTAAAACTGCATATAATTTTTATTAAACGGTTTTAGTTGCATCAAATAATGAGGAACCTCATCAGAAAATTCATACTTTATTTACCCCACCTTCTCCTGGATCGCCCGAAAAAATAAAATAAACAGCCTCAGAAAATTGCTGATCTACATTCCCCTGTTGCACTAAATAGGGAAATTCTGATATTGATTGGCTGAAACCATTCTTGATCATGACTAATCGGGTCTGAAATGCCCCCAACATCCTTGTACCGTCTGGGGATATTTCAGCCTTTCAAAAGCCCAAAAGGCTCTATAAAAGAGAGTTTGAATTCTCTCCCAAAAGAGGATAAACACGCACACACTTGATGAGAAGAAGAGAGTGGAGTTAACCAAAAAAATATAAGAAAGCAAAGAGGGAAAAGGAGGTCTTGGCTCAAGAAAGAGGCAAGTAGTCACCCGCAAGCTCATGTAACCTAACTCAGCCCACTTCATGAAGCTAGTAATCTTAAAAAACATGGTCTAATAAGGGCCTATGTGCTTCTGACCAATTTAAACCTTATATTCAGTGGCCAAACTCATTGCTAATGGGATTGCTTATGTAAGGTAGGCCTTATGATTAGTAGTCCAACTCAGTAGCAATTAGCTTATTGGTGTAATGTGGATATTATGTCCAGTGGCCCATTTGACTCAATGTATAGTACATATGAGTCAACTGCATTATTAATGGAAATTCGCAGAGTATCATATCTAATTATCAAACTCAATGACAGCGGTTCACATAATCTTACGTAAGTCTCATCCCTAGTCAGTAAGCTCAGTGATAATGGACCCACATACCCCTACGAGAGTGAAGTCCAACGTTCCAAGTCAGTGAGAGGATCCCAAACGAGACCAAATGAGATACATCCTAGAAACTTATCAACGAGTTTTATCTTATAAGCCCACAAAAAAGATTTCGTCCAAGAAATCTGTAAATTGAGCTTCATCTCATAGATTTTCAAACACGTTTTAGCATAAAAAAATATTAAAAATGGGATTCATCCTATAGAGTCTCAAATCAGCTTCAACCAATAAAGTTGTCAATTAATCTTCATTCTAAAAAAACTGTCAGATCGACTTCATCCTATAAATTCCAGCATGCCTTTCACTTCAAGGAAGTTGTCAAAAGGACTTCATCCCATTAACCTTCAAATGAGTTTCATCTCATGGAGTCATCGAAGAGGCTTCACTCCGTCGATTCATCAAATAGGTTGGAAGTCACAAACTATTAAGGTTTTAGATCTACATCCAAATTTACATCAGTTTTAATATGAAATGAAATTTTGCACGATTGGGGAATCATCTTATCAAAATTAATTAATGATGTTCCCAAGTCAGAAGGATGGAACTGACGCCTTGGTCGACAGTGAAGATCCAACTTCATACAAACCCACAAAGCTCTAACCCAACAATGGGCTTAAATACAATAAAAGGAACAATTTATCTCTTGCCTTTATCTTGATTCCCTATTATCAGAAAAATCGTTTCATGCTTCTTTTTGACATAGAGTTCCCAGGTTTCCTATAATACCACAGAGAACATCAGGATAGAAAATAGAAACAGAAAGAAAACTAATGCATTAGAGGGAGGAAAAATCACCTACCTAACTGGAGTCCTCTGTTTAGGCATATTTGCACTCACAGACAAATGAAAAAAGAAAACATGTGCATTAAAGGAGTGATAAAATTAACTAACTGTTCCCACGTAGCGAAGTAAAACGGGATAGCCGAAATCACCCAAAACCAAAAAGTTCTTGTACCACACATAGCAGTGCTTCCGAAAGCCAGGGCTTCAAACTGAGAAATTGAAGGATCAGAAATTGTCACTTAATATTAGAGTGTAGCATAAAAGGACCGGAGATAGCGATAGTCAGCATACCGCACATGCAAGTGCATCGCATCCTGCAAGTAGAAAAAAACTAAGAACATCAAGAAATAAGAGCAAAGAGCCCATTGAAAGCATCCAGTTCTTCATCAGTTTTCACAGGAACTAGAAGGTAGACGAAATTCACCATGGTCAAAAAGTTCCCCCAATGGACTTGACGAATTCGTACGCCTAGCTTGCTTGCCATCAACAGCATCAAAAGTCTGAGATGAGTATTTAAAGAAAAAACGTAAGGATGGGTGCGTGCAACATTAACCATTTACGCTTAAGTCGTACTGCTATGCGTGGTAGAAAAAGAAAATTACGATTAGAGAAAGTCGTACTGCTAAAGGAGAGAATTCGAAGGTTAGAAAAAAGAAAATAGAAAGATGGCACTTCCACTGTTGCTGATGGCATAAGTGCATTTTGGAATGTTTGCATCCTCTGTAAAATTTCAGTTCCTTAATGAGGTGAAAGCGGCAGTGTAGGCGGGAGTATGGAAGGTCTTGGGAAAGGGAGAAAAGGGATGCAAATCGTGGGAAAGGTATCTCCAAAAAATTCCGTGTTAATATTTTTCTTCTTACCTCTGATAAAAATATCAGCTGATCTATAAACTACATTAAAAATATGATTTTTTTTTGGTGATTTTTAACTGAGTTGACTTATGATAGACCATAGTCCTACGTATGAGTCTACACAGGTCAAATGTAAGTTGAGTCTATTAGTAACCAAGTCGACAAGATTTACAATCTATCCAAGACCGTACACGTTTATCTCCCAATGATGGGTGACTCAGTCCACACCCACATGAATCAGAGCTCGGTAAATCCAAAAATGCAGGCTGTCTCAAATGTATCGGCCCAAATGTTGGCAAGTCATGTAAAGTATGATGTAACATATCTTCTGACATTCTAACTAAAAACTAATATTTTTCTTGACAGGGTTGGGAGGTTGAGGTTTATATGAAGGGAATAAGGGTTGAGAGGAGTTATGAAAATGAACACCTTCATTAGTAGGACTTTAGTTTAAGTACCATAATTCAGAAAAGCAAGTGCAAAAACATCGAAAGTAAAACCCAAGAAACACATCAAATATGGAATCTCTTGCTTGCCTAACCATCACTCCAACAGGGAGATCTGTCCCTTTCTAAAGGACTTTATCACCAGCCTTACTGTAAGTGAGAAAAATATGAAAGATTGATAGATGAATATTCATTGCAAGTAACCTGGTCGCATGCATTACTTACGAGGAGCTATAAAAACTACGTTTTGAAGCATGAAATAAAACTACAGCTATTCAGAATCGAGTAAATTTGATGCATAATCCAGGGGAAGATCAAGCCATCACAAACGATCAGCCCACAAATTAACTATGACAAACCTGATATAAAAATAAGAGCAATCCATGAGCGAGGTGTACCCATCTTGGGGGAGCTGTGTCTAACCGAGGTGAATATATCTGCAAGAGTCACGTGATAAAAACGAAATGTATTTCATGTGTCATATGAAAGGTCCCTCATATAAGTGACAACAATAGTAGCCCCAGAAGATCCATTAAAGACCTTGTTGATTAGCACCAGATACAATTATCGAAAAATTGAGAAATACAGAGTGTACAGATTATCACTTCCACGGAAACAAAAAACATAACTACTATCCTGCTGTAATTAAACTTTTGAGAAAGGATATTAGGACAAGAACCAGTACAGTAAGAAAACTTAATTTTTCAAGTGCATTTTATTGGTACAAACAAACTATCTTTAGTTATGATTTGAAAATCAATACTTTTGTCAAGTTAAGATCATGTAGCTCCTAGCATAAAAAGTACAAGCTAGAGAGTTTAGTTCGTAGAATTGCTCCTTTCCTTGAGTGGCATGCAAAAGAGATAATTTACAAGAACAAGGGCTGTATAAACTATGAGATAATACAGCAATAAACTCATGTTTGACTATTCAAATTTAACCCCTTGAATATAGAGTAAAAGGAATTATTCCACTCGCCCAAAGCTTTGCAAAACATCATTACTTTTTCCCTTCATAAGCAAAAAATGAACGAGATCAAGTAGCAACTATGCAAATAATATTCCATATCTTAATGAAAAGTATTTATTACAAACAACAAGATGTATATTCTGGATCAAACACTCTACAATGTGGAAAATGCAAAGCAACACTAATGGGCGCCAAAGAAAAAACAAATGCAGCATGCCTAAGATTAGAAGCCAATTTTTTTGCTTTAGCATACAATTGAAAGTACTATGATTTCAGTACATTGACTTGAGAAGAAGAAGAAGAAGACAAAAACACTTACATAACCAAGCACAGCTGATGTGACTAGGAACAGAAAGCCCATAAGTGTGATCTGGGGAAGACAAAAAGTATCTAAATGTTCTCTCAGAGGAAAATAATAAAAACTGGAAACAAGAAGTGGAACAAGATGCGCAGAGTAAACTCACCATATTTGGCCTGAATTTGCACCCAAATGCAGACAGAAAACGAACAAAATTGAGTCAGAATCCTTAGCTATCCAGTGTGTAAATAAATCGAACTAAAATGTTTTCTGGGGCTCTCTACTAGGAAAAGAAAACAAATCATTACCAGGATATTCAGGCTCGTGGTTTTGATTGGGTAAACTTCAAGTTACATGGTTCAGTGACATTACTACGGTGACAACCGAGGGTTTTTGCATGTTTAAGTTATGTTTCCTTGGATGTATGGCTTTAGACCAATACTAAATCTAAGACACCCTATTTAATCATTCCCCTTCATGATGAACCAATAATCAATGGGTAAGATGGGCATATTTCATGTAAAATGGTGGTCAGTTGTCAACAACTACACAGAATTGGTTGGTACAAGGAACTTTCCAATAACAGGGAAATTTAACAGGATTTAGAAAAGCATACTACTTTTGTAGAACATGTCTAAAAATTTTAAATATGTTGTCAGCCAGTTCTTGATACATTAATGAGCTCACCCACAGTCCCAAAAAATCCATCTTGTGCAAGACACGTATGACATGCAATCATTATTCTTGAGACGTGTTCACTTGAGAGTGAGATGAATCATGCAGAAGTGAAGAAGTAAGGTGCTCCTAACATTTTTTAATTTATTATTTTTAGTAGGGGTTGGGTGATGGCAACCAATTTCACCAGTTTATATAGAGCCATGTGGCATTTAGATCAACCAAATTAAAAACAGGTCAGTCCCACCATAGCCTAACACCTAATCAAATAAAAGTATCAGGCTAAGCTCAAAACAACCAAAAAAAACTGAGTACCATCTGGGTCAGATGACCTCAATCCTCAAATTCGGTTCAAAAGAAGGCATGAACCAAACACAATTAAGGCGAAAAATTTAATAGTCTGTTGGCATATGTTCCAAGGAAAGAAGTGAGAAGAGAATTATGTCTACTAGCATGATATACTTAAAAAATATAATGGATTCATGAATATAAAGTAACGGCAATAACTGCAGCATATGGACCTCGCTAGTTTGGGCGGCTTTGGGCCAGTGAACTGAATTAGACTTAACCAAAACTCTGAAATTTGGGCAGGAATTTTTGAAGTTGTTCAACCAAATCGATATTTAGGCTAAATGATTGAAATAAGATTCAGTTTAGGTCGGCCAGAAAAATCATAGCTGATTTGGCGACTAAGCCAAGGGACAAAGTAGCCTAATTCCTTACTACTTAAATGACAAGTTATGGTACCTAAGCAAACTCTAGCTTCAGCTAGGGCTCTACGAAAATGTATAATTAAAAAATATCTATCTTCTATCTCAAATTAACTTAGATACAATGATCTTTATGCAACACACCTGTTTTTCTCGCATGAAGAAAAAAATATATTTGAGCATAATCCTAATACTTTTCTTTTTTCCATTGACGATAAAACTAGATTTAGAGTACATCAAATGGTCTTTTAAGCAGAAAGAAATAGCATTTTTAAATTATTATATTTTATTTTTTAAAAAAAACTTTTAATGATCATGAACATTTTTAATATTACACATAAATAATAGAATAATCTTTTGGTTTATTGCGTAAGATGCATAACATGCTGACTAAGGCTGCAAACAAAGCAAGACACAAAGATGGTTGAGGAGAGAATCATTTAGGTGCCTCAATGAGTTACCCTTCTACAATGGCTCACTACCCAGGCAACTCTTGGATTACTACGATTCTGGCCCATCCTGAAGTTTGAAGAGTAAATATCAACTATCTTCCACAACACGAACATACTGGAAAAGGCCACACGATAGGACTTGATTAAGGTGCTTTTAACAATGGTCTTTATTTTCTGCTTTAAATAAAGTATGAGAAGTGAGATAGTAAGTTCCTGATATCGAATGATTCATATGATTATCTTACAACCATTTTCTCCTAGGTTATTTGTCTTCTGTAGTTCCCCCTACCATCCTGAATCGTTGGCCCTGCGCTATATTAATAGAGTACGTAAATTACATTAATAGACCAGATAGATGAATGAAGCACTTACGGCATCCAAAGAGGGAATAACGTAACACAGCGAGTCCAAAAAGGTTGCAAAATATATTTCGCAACCAGAGAGTTGTCCACACCGCTGTACTTGTACTTGTGCAGCGTTTCAACACCATGTCCTCCAATATAACCCATCTGTGCACCAAAATAGCATCGGCTTAATTTCCTCTTACAGGAGAAATGAACCACGATATGGTGAGACGACATCAAACAGTTTCATATTGGCGAAAGACGATGAGGGCAACTGGTTAGCTTTCATGTTGAGCAAAAAATTCATAGACGATGAAACGAAGGGAAAGAAGAAAATCACCCGATATTAGCAAAAAAGTGTCCACGGATTTGGGTTAAAAACCCATCGATGATCGCCGACCTGGCAACCCGGTAAAACCATTTAGAAAGAATGGGCCACAAGGAATACGAAGAACAGAGAAGAAAAAGCTTCAGAAACCGGTAAACAACCCCAGGAGTGTAGACGTCCCTCGGGCACCACAACAAAACAAAATACCATCCATTACGATCGAAGCAACGTCCCGTCATTTTTTAAAAAAAAGGCAGAAGCTTCACACAAAAAGGAAACAGCAGTTAAGAGGCTCAGATCACGACGGAGTCGTGGAGCAAGAAGGAATCACGTACGACGCGTGAGTTGAAGCCGCGAACCGGACGAGCAGGCGACGAGCAGGCGACGAGCAGGGAAAGCGACGGCGGTGGCGACCAATCGAAGAATATCAGAGGGGTTAAAAGAGGCCCAGATCCTCTCTCATCTTCCTTTCCTTTCCACCACTCTCCCGCCTCCCTCGAAAGAGAGCATGAAAAAGGTTTTAAACGACTAGTCCACAACACAGATCGATGCAGCACGTGGCCCGCAAGTTACCTGTTTTCTTTTTTTTGGGTCATCGCAGCGCATCAATGGCCCAGTTAACACCTAGAAAATTCCCCAGTTGGTCTTTCACATTCATCTCGAGCAGGCTTTTAGCCCCAGCTTAAACCCAACTTAACCATAGCTAGATCCGGTTCGGGATCCTCTCTCTCTCTCTCTCTCTCTCTCTCTCTCTAACTCGAGTGCGATAGTGGCAGTTGCCTTGAGAGGAGGCCAACATTCTGTCCGACCCTCTGAGTCGCTAGGGTCTGATAATTTTTTTATCTTAAATTAACCTCATATTCTAATTATTTTACAGAGAGAGGAAATGGAGTCAGGAGAGGAGGATTGAAGCAAACCGTGTGAACCAACCAGATCCATCGCACGCTTTACTATATGCGTGGCGTCATCAAACCTGGACAGAGGGCAACAGGCCGTTCAGCAAAATGATAATGTTGGAGGTCAACCAGCTGACCTATATGTTCGATGATTTCGGGTGTTCATCAGATCTGGTCAACTCTCGAGAGAAAACACGACGAGAAGTGCAGGGAATGAAACCAGTGAGCTCACCATCCCTCGCTGGCGAGACTTGTCCCACTTTCAAAGAACCATGCAAGCCGACAGTGCCGAATGGTCACATAAAGTTACAGCTTGGACGGAGAACCAAAGCGAAATTTCCGAGGAAGAGAGATTCTCGGCATCATAGCTTTGACTTCAGTTTGACCGGTGTCGCTTCCCGTTTCAATCTTTCCTTTACCTCGTAAAGAGTCTCATGGACTTGCTCGAAGTGGGGGCTCGTTGCGTCCTTGAGATTCTGAATCCATCGCCTGACTTTCTCACGGGGTCCAAATATCCGATCGCGAACCGTTTCATCCAGGATCTGAACGAGAGAATGTGTTTGGAAATCACTCGGGTATAATCTCTCCCAATAAAAAAAATTACGACGACTAATCTGGCATGAGAAAGCCGGGTCATTTTCAGGAAACTGTTCATCTGAGCCAAAAACTGCTCAATCGAACACTTTATGCGGGAAAATAAACAAAAAAGAAAAGAAAAAAATCAAGCAGCATTTCCCGAACTAGAAATATAATTAGTTCACAGCAATCAAGGGCAAAAACTGGTTTCCAAAGGCCTGTATGGGAGATTGCCAATAAATTGCTGAAAAGCGAAAGAGAATAAAAAAAAAGTATACTTGGGTATGAAAATATTTCCTTTGAAGATTAGACTTTAGTTTAAAATATTTTACTTCTTGAGGGGTTAAACAGAACTTAATCAGCATAAGTCAATCATGTGGTTTAATGAAAAAAACTTTAAAATGTGATTATCTAGATATTCATGTTTGAAAGCTTTCCATAAACTATGAATGAAAGGAAAAAAAAAAAAAAAAAAACCGATCTCCAATCGAAGGGGTGAAAGTGTATTACATCGGACGGAATATATCAATGAGCTCACCTCCAGCTGCATGATTTCACAGACAAGGCTGAGGTCTGCAATGGATGGTCGGGAGCTTCCCAGTAAGAATTTTCCATCCCCTCTCAGCCAAACAGTTTCGATCTTTGACAGAGATGAGACCACAAGCTTCTCAGCTTTAGCCGCTGCCTGTGGGTCCAATGGAAGCCCAAGTGTAGGCCCTAGAGCACTGTTTAAAACCAATCTTACTGCAGGAGAATACATTGACCAATGAGATCCAATGAAACCAAGAGACTCATGAAAGTTTAGCGAGAAGATAAACAACTGTCCGGCCACCAACTCCGCCACCAAGAGGGGGATTGTGGCTGTTATTGTCTAAAGAATTGGGGGTTAGCTTTGAAACGAAGGGAATCTGCGTATATATTATGCCCAGTCGTATGATCTAGCCGTGATAAATCCAAAGCAACGCTAAATAAGATGGTGGACCTTCTGCAGAGGCAGACCAGAGAACAACTGGGATGGAGACAGAGACACAGATCTTGGAAAGCCATAAATTCTGACAGAATATGGGGGATTGGCTTTTAATTCCTCAAACTGATCCTTAGTTCTTCTTGACGATAAAAAATACTGACTTCAGACCAACTCCGAGATTGATTATTTTCAATTAATGATGCTGACCCACGACGGTTGTACATCTAAAACTTCAGGTGATTCAAAGCATAAATTTCTGGACATAATATTAGATCAGCACAGGATTTTCCAAATGATAAGAGAAGGCTTCAAGATATGGTCACGGTGATTGTGAACAACTGTTAATGAGGATAGCAGTGTTTGTGTCTCATCCGTTTTGGTTTTGATATGTCCTAACGCAAAGACTAACTAAAGAGACTTATATGCTAGATGAAACAACTAGTAGATTGGATGAGAGATCCTATAGATGGCCCTGATGCAGCAGAAAACTGGCAGAGAGATGGTTTAAAGAGACCTAGGAGACTGACGCAAAGCCACGGTTTCTGTTAGGTGTAATACAATGTTATCTCCTTTAAAGACTAATAACCACGCACCTCTGATGTTCAGTTGTCCCAGTGGGTCATGAAGGACTTTGCCATTACACAAAAACCCCACATTATAGATATATAACATAAAATAAATCTACTACAATGTTATTTCCTTTAGTGATAATTGTAATGTTTTCGGTGGCAAAGACCCTATAAAATATGACGAGCCCTCTTGGAATGGCGACTTCATAACTATATATCCTATTGTTTCACAGCTAAATTGTATCATTTTTCTAGTTTCTGTCTCTGCAAACAAAAAAGATGAGGCGCGCGCCCAATTAGAAGCTTAAATCGATCGTGCAGGGACACATTAATATAAAACCAGCTCTCAGAGTCAAAGATCGCAACAATTATCTAGATTCTCGTTCGATCCTGCGTTATGGCCCTTGCAATTTTCATTCCGTGGATGCCCCTTACGTGGCTAGTGTTATGGCAAAAAAACGTAAAGTACAGCATGTAATTTAACAAAAAGTACACATTCAATGTCAGATCTATGCACACCAAAATTACCTTTGCTTGGAAAGTAAAAGAGGGAGATAATTTCGCAAAGTATTTCTGCAATTTTGTTTCCTGAAAAAATCTGTGTTGCAATGAGGTGCTTATATGGTCTTTCTTTCTTTCTTCCCTTTCATTTTTTTTTTGGAAGTTTGACTTTTCCAGACCGCATTATCTCTAAGCTAAAAGGTTAACTAAATATGCCCACCAGTTCATAACATCCAGACCAGATAGTTATCTGCCACTAACTCCCTCACTTCAGTTTCACCCGACTGTTCTCCTATGACCTATACCAGACCACAAGTAACACATAAAATTGGGAATAAACTGAAGAATGGACATAATTACACGTTCAAGACATTTCATTTTTCGTCATCTTCAAATCACTAAATCTCACATTCACGATCAAATGGTTGTCTCGGGTCATATCCGAGTATAGTGTGCTATAACACATTCGCTCATCTAAATGATTTTTATTTCATCCTCAAATTAAAAAAATAAAATCAAACATTATGTTTCCCATGAAAAGACGGGAACAAATGTTCTCCAATAAACGTAATTCATGAAATGCAACTGGATGTTCTAAAATTTATTGCACCTCCGCCTACACGGAGATTGGAATGATGCCAATCCAAGATCGAATTGATTTTAGCTTGACTGGAGACATCCGCTGGATACCTTAAAAAAAGAGAAAAACATATAAGAGAGTACATACACCAATACATGATCATAGTTCACCGCAAAGGCAAGCACATTAACAGACTAGAAGTTCCAGAGATTTTGGGTTTCTAAAATATATGATACTTGCAGTCATCAAGTTTAGAAGACTACAAAATGACGGTAACTTGGAGGAGATAAACATTGAGCTTCCTTTCTCCCGTCACAGGAAAGAGTGGATGCCGTTCCTTACCGTATTCGTACAGAAAATTGTGTTTCGTTGCATCCTTTTTTCCACAACAATTATTTTTGACTTCTGCATCAAGAGAACAACAATCAACTGTTCCTTATCTTTCTTTTTTTTTCCTTATCCCTCTTCATATTCTCCATTATAAATGCAGGTACTCGGCGGTGGAAACTGAGATGCAACTCAATTATTTGAGTAGCAATATGGTACTAAATGTAGAAATATCTGTTTTCTACGTGTCATGCGTAAGAAGTGACACAAAATGTAAGATATATGAACAATTTCATTGGAAATTATACAGGATTGACCTAAAGAGATTCGAGAGTTCCCAAGGAGATTTATGATATCAGTTTATCGGGGAAATTCTTATGGCTGATTAAATGTGACGACATCAGAAATATGGAAGATGTTGTACAGCGTCAACAAGAGGACAGGTAACACCGTGTTCAGCTAAAATTCTGATGATGTCCTCTACTCCACTGGTATGACTGGATAATAACCCAGTAAGAATACAGAGAACCTTCAGACCATTATTGGAGATGTTTGACTAATTATGATTTCTATTTGCAGCGTTCAGCTTAGATGGCCCAGATTAAAAATTAAACTTGGCTGTTTTAAGCTGGAAAGAATTCCATATGTCACTGGAATGAGACTGCCACTTTTCCATGTTGGAAGCTTCATAAATGGTTCGTCACTGTTCAACAACACAAGAGAATTATTCTATAAATCTAGCGTCCAACCACAAGGTAGATGCTTTGAAGACTACAGTGAGGAGAGAGAGAGAGAGAGATAAAAAATCCACGACATGGATTTTTTTTCTTTTTCTAGTAAGTGTTATATTGATTCATTAAAACTAGAAGGAGATAGATTCTCCCCCAACCCAATGGAAACATTTGCAGCAAATATTCTCATAAAAATATCGTAAGGAACTCCATGAAAATATAACACAACAATATAAGCTATTCATATTTCTGAAGTCTGTGAACATATTGGGGCAGAGGTTCTATGATATCCCAGGTAAATGACTAAAAAACTAGCAGATGACATATATAAAGTATGTATATTAATGATTAGTAACATTACTTTGATAAGATTTTAATCATAGCTGCTTTCACAGACAGCTAATTATTTTCCTTTCTTTTCATGAAATCGTGGCATTGACAACATTTTAACACAGCTGGAGGAGAGCAAGGTGTTGTGCCATTCATACAATAATCCGGCCAGGTTTCCTTTTGTAAAGAAATATGAAAAGGTTCAGGATATTTTAGAATAATCTTAAAAAATGTGGTCATCATTCTTATACAGATTTCTTTGTATAATAAACGTATACGAATTATCTTCTAGATCATCTAAAATCAAAGATTTTATCAAGCTAAATATTATTTTTACTGTGGCATCCAATTCCTACAAAATTTTAACTATCTTTTAATTCTATTCTAGCTCTAGACAAAAGTAACTACCAAATAATTCTTAAATCCTAAGTTTTCCACCTAAAGATGGTCAAATAAATAAAAGAAGTAGTGGAAGGACGTTTCGGCTGTCAGCTTACCAATGGTCTGGAATCCCTGGGAACGTGTACGCAAGATATCTCAGAATAGCATGACTGTCAACGCATTCAAATGAAAACAAAACAAAAAAAGTTAGCATGAAGAGAATGATAGAAACAAGAAGCCATTTCAAGAAAGTATCCGTTTACAGTAGTTCTCCATACAATCAACATTCCAATGTGGAAACAAAAACAAAAGGGAATAATTTTTTTAACTGTATATAAGCATACAGTTAAAGCTTTTGCAACAAAGTGCATCACAACAAACACAGGGATAATGGAAAAGGGCAAAATGACACAAACAAGTTGTTAAAGCAGCATACATTAGTAAAAACTGTTGGGAAACAGTCCTGTGTCTCAAGCTAGGGTAGACACCTATGTGTATTAGAAAAACCCTTTTAAGCGAATGACCTAAACAGGGCTTATAAAGAGGAAAGGGAAAATTGGTTGCTTAGCACCTCAGAAGCAGATTCATGGCAAAGAAGGCCAAGGCTGATTTCATGTACCTCCACCTTGAGAGGAGGTGGTTTGTAGAGGTCACAGAAACATAGTATTGTGTATTTCAAGCCTTGAAATTTTCACATTTGTGACGCTCATATCGTCATGTGGGGCATTTTTATTCGCGGTATTTCAATCTTCAGATTAGTTTCCACATTTTCCGGGTTCTTCATGATGTGCAACGAAGAAGACACGCTATCGTGCAAGGAGAAAGATTTTCGGCAAGTTTTATACGAGGAAAAAGATGAAGGATCACACATGCGATCCGGAAATACCGAGAGCTTCCAAGGATCCCAAATGTACCTCTCAAATAACTTGAAACGCCCGTCAACAATTGCTGGAACCTGTTCCATCGGGTTAATTTCTGTGCAAAAAAAATGATGTTTAAAAGATGGGACAGAAATTCTCGGGGATTTTTGTAACAAATATTTTCACTTACTATTGGGATGAATAAAAGATTTAATACAGTGTTTAAGGAATGAGTACAGATAAATCAGACATCTGTGACAAATTAAAATATGCCGAATCGTTAAAACCGACGTTTACCATTTATGTCTATAACAACCAGCTCCACGTAGCTCAATAAATTTATAGGACAACAGTATCACATGCAAAATCACACATGACTGCTGGTCGTGTAGGATCGTGTAGACTGAAGAAACGAGGCTCCCTCCCGTCACCCGCCAAAAAACATTCAGAGCGAAAATCAAACAACGAACTGAGGCGACTCAGTGGCACCTTCAGCGTGATAAAAAAGAGAAATAAAAACTTGGAAGAAAGGAGGTCTAGATACGTATGCAAGGGGTCACCTTGGAACTGCGGCGACTTGTGCTGACCCTCGGCAAGATCAATACGCACCTCTTCAAAATCGATTCCATTCACCCTGATGACAAGCAGTACATGCATGATTACAATTCAGGTCCGATCGCACAGCGAACGGCAGAAGGAAAAGAAACGAAAACCGGCGCTAATTATTCGAAAAAATATCGGTGAATTCAGAGTACACTCGTGAAACTTGCAAGTCCTATGACCACGAATGCAGATAAACGGAGAGATTGATTACGAACTTGCAGAAGATGAGCACGGCGCGCGAGGGCTGGGAAATCCGATCGGCATACACCTTCAGTTTCGACATCATCGATCTTCCCTATCGTCCTGCTCGCACTTCCTCTCCACAGACGTTCCCCCACCCCTTCGAGCTCGTCGTCGCTGCGGACTCCACGGTCGATCGTTGACACTCATTTATCAGTAAAATCCATACGAGTATTAAGAGTTGACTCCATTAGAGGAGTTCGGAGTTAGGAGTTGGGTTCAGTTTCCTAGGCCAAATTAGGGATAAATTGGCCCACGACGGCCTGGCCCAAACCAAAGCCAACTTAATCTTTGACATAATTGGGCTTTGAACGGCCGTGTAATGGTCCATATCATATTCAAATTAAGGTCCATGAATCCATCATCAGCCCAATACCACGGCCCATCGGACGTCCAGAATTCTCCGAAGGCGACCACCCTCAACAAAGAAAGCCATGGCATTGGCACCACCGCCGTCGTTTCGCGACGCCCGCAGGCCGCCGCCGCCGCCGCCGTGTCGTCGAGTGGGATTGACGTGTCCCGTGGGCCCCACTTTCAAACGCCCCTGCTTACGTCACGATAACGTCTGAGAAGGTCGGCCACACGGCCTCTCCGATCACGCCCACGTCAACCCCCAACGGACGGCCCAGACAAATCTCCTTCTGAAAGCGACGATCCCGTCGGTGCCGCCCCAACGACCCGGCCGCCTCTCCCTCTCTCTCTCTCTCTCTCTCTCTCTCTCTCTCTCTCTCTCTCTCTCTCTCTCTCTCTCTCTCTCTCTCTCTCTCCGTGATAGAGATACTAGAGATGTATAGGCGGAACGTGCTCCGTTCGGTAATGGTTATTGGGTCCTAAATGGGGACGACCGCAGTGCATGTGCGCTGAGGCAGGGGATGACGTAAGATGGCTCGAACTCAACGGCGGTGAGCCAGCGTGGGCGTGTGCTGGGAACGCACACGTGGGAGGAACCTCCGACGACCACTCTCTTCGTATGGTGGACGAAGCTTCCATCAATCTAAGTGTCTGGCTTGCTGCCGAGTTATTTTCCCCCAACTCCAAACCCCTGAATTAATAATTTACTTAAACTCCCTAAATTTTTAAGAACTTGCATGTACCCCTTGTGTTTTGGCGGCACCCAAGACAAAATACCTTCCTGCTCATGTTTCCTCTGTTCCCCCCTTCGTTGACTTTTATTTCGGGTCTCCGTAAGTTCTCGACTATAAATAAAAGGGATAAATACCCGCATAATAAACAACGTCAAAGCCCCTCGCACTAACACCCAACAGACCGGCTCACCTTTACCCAATCGGGCTGCTCGTCCCCCGTGTGCGCCGCTGTAACATCCAAGGTTTCGTCCGCCCATTTTAAATATATATTATTATTGTGCATGAAAAATATAATATTCTGAAATTTAAAAATTAAAAAAATGCATGAAGCGTGTGGTGACGGCCACCACGTAGTATATTGTTGTCCACGTCTACCATTTTTCTGGCACCGAGAAAACGCCTGGGCCCATTAGAACGGCCCACAAATCGAGGCGATTCTTTTCTTAGTTTCTTCCCGCCGGTCTCCCGCTGCGAGACACGTGCGGAGACGCAACATTTTACCGATCCGGCAAAGCGGACTGGGCTGACGTGGCGTGGCCTTCCCCAGTACCTCCTCCGCCCGGAAGAGCAAATATTGCGAAGCCTCCGAGCGGCCTCCGAGGGGCCTCCGCACTTCGCCCTTATAAATCCACTGCCCCCCTCGTTCTCCTCTCCCCTGCATCAGAGGCAACGAAGAACAGAGAGGCTACCTTTCTCTTGCTTCTTCCCGTTCCCAACCGGGCCTTCTTTCCCAGAGATAGAAAGAGACAGAGAGAGGCAGAGATTTGGCTAGAATGGAAGGACTGACCCTGACGGGCATCCTGAAGAAGGCGGCAGGGGAGTTCCCTGATCGCCGGGCCATCTCCATCTCCGGCAAGTTCAACCTCACCCACGCCCGCCTCCACCAGCTCGTCGAAGAGGCCGCCGCCGAGCTCGTCGCTTCCGGCGTCCGGGCCGGCGACGTGGTGGCCCTCACCTTCCCCAACACCGTCGAGGTGAAAAGGACAACACCGTCGTCGAGTTTTCATCCTCGTGTTCTCGTTATGTTTTTCTCGTGAACGATTGGTTGATGGGTTGTTTACGGTCGGCGTTCGTTTCCATGTTCTACAGTTCGTGGTCATGTTCTTGGCGGTGATCCGATCCCGCGCGGTGGCCGCCCCGCTCAACTCGGCGTACACGCAGGAGGAGTTCGAGTTCTACCTTTCCGACTCCGAGTCGAAGCTGCTGCTCACTAACGTCGAGGGCAATTTCACTGCCCAAGCGGCGGCCGCCAAGCTGGGTCTCCCGCACGCCACCGCCTCCCTCGGTAGCCCCTCCGACTCAGTCAAGATCGGTGCCGCCGGAGAACGCGCTCCGTTGCCGGACGTCTCTCGCATCCTCAACGACCCCTCCGATGTGGCGCTGTTCCTCCACACCTCCGGCACCACGAGCCGGCCTAAGGGCGTCCCCTTGACTCAGCTCAACCTCTCCGTGTCCGTGAAGAACATCAAATCGGTGTACCGACTCACCGAGTCGGACTCGACCGTGATCGTCCTCCCGCTCTTCCACGTCCACGGGCTCATGGCCGGCCTCCTCAGCTCGCTCGCCGCCGGCGCCGCCGTTTGCCTCCCGCAGGCTGGCCGGTTCTCGGCCTCGACCTTCTGGGCGGACATGCGGGCCTACGGCGCCACCTGGTACACGGCGGTCCCGACGATTCATCAGATTCTGCTCGACCTCCACACCGCGCGCCCGGAGCCCTCGTACCCGAGGCTCCGGTTCGTGCGCAGCTGCAGCGCCTCGCTGGCGCCGGTGGTCCTCGAGCGGCTGGAGGCGGCGTTCGGCGCGTCGGTGCTGGAGTCCTACGCCATGACGGAGGCGGCGCACCTGATGGCCTCCAACCCGCTGCCGGAGGACGGGCCCCGCAAGGCCGGGTCGGTGGGGAAGGCTGTGGGGGTGGAGATGGCCGTCCTGAGCGAGGACGGGGAGCCGCAGCCAGCGGGCGGCAAGGGGGAGGTCTGCATCCGGGGGCCCAACGTGACAAAGGGGTACGTCAGGAACCCCGAGGCCAACAAGGCGGCGTTCCGGTTCGGGTGGTTCCACACCGGCGACCTGGGATTCATGGACTCCGACGGGTACCTGCACCTCGTCGGCCGGATCAAGGAGCTCATCAACCGCGGAGGTAACTGCACTTTTTTTACTTCTTCGCCGTCTAGGAGAAGCCTTGGCAGACCTTTTGAGGAAACTAACTGATCACATCCTTTCCGGGTGACTTTCCCCAGGGGAGAAGATCTCGCCTGTGGAAGTTGACGAGGTGCTGCTGTCGGTGCCGGGCGTCTCCCAGGCCGTGGCTTTTGGGGTCCCGGACGATAAGTACGGAGAGGAGGTGAGGGCTTACTTCTGCGCCACACTCCCAGCCAGTTGCCCGGTTTTTAATCGAGAGAGATATATATATAATCTGGTGAGCTCTTTATTCAGATAAACTGCGCGGTCGTCCCGAGGGAAGGTATTGAGGTAGGGGAGACGGACGTGATCGGCTACTGCAAGAAGAATCTGGCGGCATTCAAGGTGCCTAAGAAGGTCTTCGTTACTGACACCCTCCCCAAAACAGCGACGGGCAAGATCCAGCGACGGATAGTGGCCGAGCACTTCCTCTCTCAAATTTCGGCCGCCAAAGTCTCCAAGTTTGGGGCTTAAATCGGAGAATGCGACCCAAGTTCCCCGATGGGCTCACCTTGGCCCCTCCCGCTCCGATTTCGGGAACGCCGTCACCGAAAGCCCGCGTGCAGCCGTAGGGGGCCACAGCAATTGATCATTCGATATATTATGTGGATGAAGAGAGAGGAACGCAGAACCAGAGAAGAATCGGCGTCCCACCGACTGGAGCATCCAATCGATTTCTCATCCTCAAAAACAGAGATAGACTGCGATAGGTCATCCTCCTCTGTATTGTATTATCCCCAAAACGACGTGCTCCGCAGCTTGTTCATATTGATAAAGAATCTTGAGGAACACTTTGTTCCTAGTCAGCACACCGCTATGCAGCTAAAAAGGAAGGCACCATAGTGGTTCATCGATGACCGAAAGGACGGGCCAACCCCTAGTCAGATGCTGGGTCACCGTCTCTACAACCACACAGACGGTAATTACGTACGTCATCTTAGCAGAAAATCAGGGAAGACGAACCGAGAGAGAAGAGTCATGCCGGTCGGTGGCAGGACGATTCCACGGAGAATCCAGGATTCAGGGGATCACGTTCGACTGCAATTACCGTAGCGAGGACGCGTAAGGTCGAGGAAAATTCAGGCCGAAACAGACTTCAAACCAATAAGCGCAGAAAAAGGGCGCAGGGGCAAACGAATAAGGGAAGAAAGCCATGTCTATCTAGCACATAGGCACGTAATAGAACAGGCAAATTAAGGAGGGGGGGTGGAGCCCTCCGAAATCACGCCCATATAGAACCGAAAGGAAAGCCACGAGCAGTCAGTGCGTCCTGAGAAGGCCGAGACATGAGCTCGTATTCGCCGGCGGGTCTAATCAAACGCGTCGTCGTCGTCGTCAGGGAGGGGCTGCGCGGCGGCAGCGGCAATCTCAGCCTCGTACCTGCGTCATGGAAAGGGTGAATGGTGGAGGGGAGCCAAAAGACGGGAAAATAAGTGACAAAAATCAGAGCCGGGGTATCCGTGAAGGCAACACAGCGTCTAATTATCAGGCGCTGTCGTCTCCATTAAGAGAGTGTCTATCGTAAAAGAGGGTCTAATTTTATTTTTTTCTCTTACTGTTGCTGAGCAGCCATGTCGATCTGGACTTCTGGTGGAGCAAGAGCAGGTGATTCGACGAAATGTAGGTTCGGATCGCTGGAAGGAGGACGAAGCAGATTGGAATAAGCGTGTAGCCGGGAAACAGGCTAGGTAAGAGTACCAGACTAAGATAAAAATCGAGGTGTTACCCGGCAAGCTTTCTGGCAAGGTAGAGGAAAGGCTTCTCAAAATTGTAGTTGCTCTTCGCGGAGATCTCATAGTACTGGAGATTCTTCTTCCTGTGGAAGGTAACCATCTTCGCCTTCACTTGCCTGTTCTTCACGTCAACCTTGTTTCCGCATAGAACAATGGGGATGTTCTCGCACACTCTGTTTCCAGTGAGCAACAGAATGAAGCCGGTGTCAAGTGTCGCAAAGAGAAGGCATCACATTTAAGATTAATCTCAAGGGAAGCTGTTGTCTGAACTGACCGGCAGAGGTCTCTGTGCCACGTGGGAACATTCTTGTAAGTCAGGCGAGCAGTGACATCGAACATTATAATGGCGCATTGCCCATGTATGCTGCAAATAAGATGTAACGTGGTTTATAATGTGATTCTGAATATAAAGAGAGAAAAAGTACCAAAAGGGTGAAATCCCAGAGGTTTTCATTTGCGTCCTTGCTTCAATAAAAGAAGGTAATCATCATAAGTTTTAGCATACTGTAGTCTGGTTCCCTTGGAAAATATAATAGGACTTAAAATGGTAAACAATCTCAGTTGCCCTAAGACTGCCCTGACTTTCTATGGGAAAACAAGGAGCTAATAAATACTCCACAAGCTTACAAGTAAACATCACTAAACCATGGAATCCTCGTATACAGTTAGACAACTATTTTAGAAATGCAAAGTGAAAAAAAACTCTCGAATTTTCAAATCAACAAGATAAGTTATTCCCTTTCAATTTTAAGAAAAAAGAGAAAATGGATTTGCTCTTTTTTTTTTGCCATTTTTTCGAACAATGATACCTTTTAAGCAACGAAGACCTAATAATCGCCCATATGTGGAATGTTAACTCATCATGATTAAAAAGACACGCAAATGGGATGTTTAATATGATAGATAATCAAACATTCTTGTCCTATCTCAGCTCAAAGAATAGGGGAGATCTTTCTCCTTCTGTGGGTGCAAACACATTTTTAACAGTGTCTCAAACTGCTCCCAGTAAGGTCTCAACGTACTACCAAGGAGATAAGGCACTACAAACTGCCTAATGCTATAGAGATCCACAGAAGCATACATTTATCCAATTGCCAGTCACAATCATCTTTTGATTGCAAGCCTGCTGCAGATGCTATACAGTTCAGTGGCATTTCAGAAAATTCTGGAAAACACAAATTATTAAAGAACAACGATGTTATGTGAACGTTTTAGGTAGACAAACCCTAGTATGTTTCTATATTCACCCAAACTCAAGTAATTAGGTAAATAACGCGGTGAAAAATTGCATTAAATTCGAACTTGAGCCACATGTTTCGTGTTTACTTTTTTGCAAAGGCCTGTAGCACAATACAAGATGTTATTCGCTATGCCTCTAAGATAATCATGATAAACTGCAACGTTTAAAAGGGACCACTTGGAAAAAAATGTAAACCAGCTACAAATGCACTGTGTGGTTGATGAACAACAGTGGAAGAAAACACCAGAATATAAACCAACTGCACGAAAAATTCGATATTTTATATCCAATCTAATCGACACAAGCACTGAAGAACGATCTAAAAGCACGACAAGGAACCTTCAGGGGGAATGAGATGGGCACAAAAAACCAACATTCTTGACAACAAGTGGCTTTCATCAGTTCCATCTTCCATTTCATGTGAGATTTAAAACAATGCGAAGTCATGGAGAAACTACCGCGGTACTAATCATATAAAAAACTAATTAAAGAAAATCAGTCAACACTATGAATCGATGGACTAGAAATCAACAACTTGTCATGAGAATCTCGTCTTGGGATGAAAACACATAAGATCTGCGGAATATCATCAGGTTAGTCTATGAATCTTGATGAATACGTTCTGCTGCTATGCATAAATTTCAGAATTGAATAAGCTAATGTTTGCTCTCGGTAAACATGTGACTCTTACATACCAGAATAGTAATCTCAATCGTGTCGCCGAATAATACATGGACGCTATATTCTCACAGTAAAATATAAATAATTAATGGAGAAAGGTTTCAAACAACATTAAATAATTATATTCATTGCTGGAAATTAAGGGTATCCCTTATGATACAAACTATAAAGTAAATATGAACAAATGACTCATTGAAACAAAAATACTGTTTGAAGTTAAGCACCAACATACGTCAGATGATAGTTTTACACGAGATGGATCTTCTACTCGGCCATCTCACGAACTAGAAAGAGAAAAGGAAGAGAGCTATGGAGTAGTACACAATATAACTCAAAATTCTATCAGATAAGACCATCGAATGTATAGAGAGAGATATATTTCAGTCACGTTGTGGTACTCGTGAGGAAACGTAGTGATGGATCCCAGCAAACTATGAATTTTGACGGCAGCAGTGTTTGTAATCAAAAGAATCCCCGGCCTTTAATATTCTCTACGATACAGGACAGTGAAATAAAATTATAAATACAGTGTAAGATACTGAGGATAACAAAAATATTAGATCCGCTGATATTGTAAATAGAGGACGCAACAACTGAAACTTAAGTGGCCTCAAAAACAATGAAAACTTTCAAAAAAATTGTCACTAAAGCAAAGTAACTTCATCGGCGTCAGATGAGATCTTATAAGTCAGTGCTGTAGCTCTCGTAAATGATAATGAACTGATAAAAAAGTTGAAGCACGGCAAAAGGCACTGCCGCCTCTAAGGATAGACTGAATAATGCTATTGAGGAGAACGAAAGAAATATTCGCAAGACTCACTAATATCCATCTCTGAGACCACCGAACTTCTCCTGACCAGCAGTGTCCCAACAGTAGAACCGAATCTTCCCGCAATTGGTGAAGAAGTCCAAAGGATGGACTTCGACACCGATGGTCGCTGGGATCGACCACAGAAAAGTATTAAAGTGAGATCTATAAATCATTCAAAAATCTTACACTAGAAAAGTGTGCAAGTAGAATACGTCGTAGAGGAACATACGCTCGTATTTCTTCTCGAACTCTCCTGTTAGATGCCTCTTGACGAACGTGGTCTTTCCTGCAGCAGGGGATAGTCCAGGTAGAAAATGAGATCGACATGTTCCTTTTTGACTAGGGGGAAGCCAGATTGAACGAAACGAGAGAAGGAACGTGCAAGTTCCTTAAAACGCGACGACGGCCCGAGAAAACCCGAGTCGTAGGCGAACAAACAGCAGATCGCGGAAAAAAGTAACCAAGGAAGCAACAAATATAAAGATAAACCCTAACCATACCTGTGCCGCCATCGCCGACGATGACAAGTTTAAAGCTAGGGTAATCCACGGTCTGCTGGTTTGGAAGAGCCTGGAAATGAACAAGATAGGAATATATTATCAGATACAAATATTGAGAAGCGAAAAACCCTAGGCAACCGCAGCATGAAGAACGGGTGTCGATTTACCATTTCTTTTTATGATCTAGAGGCACTCTCCAAGGGAACTCTGAAGATATATATGCGAGACGAACAGGAGGACAAAAACGGAGAGCGAGACTACCGCCTCGCCGGGCAATATATGCGGACTATGACTCGAGGGGAAGACTGTCCAAGCGGCGTTAGCTTTCGGAGGACGCGAGATTTTGGGCCACTTGATGCGTATCCCGCCCTCGCACGCATATCCAGATGCGCGACGTGATTCAGTCACCCCGCACGTGCCGGATCCTTTTCCCGCGTCCCTCCTACGCATTACCCAACTTAAAAACCTCGAGCTACGCCGCCATGACATGAATTTCCGATAATTCAATCGACGATTAACATATTAAGGAAATTATGCCGACTTTCTATTATTTCGTGGACGTACGTCTGATTATAAGCATGATATCTGCTCCGAAATAATCTGCATATCTGCGAATACATTAGATCACGCAAATATGCTAAGCTTGGACGAAAATACTCTAAATTCGTTTAAAATAAAATAAATAAAAATCCCTAAATATAAATGGAGAGAGAGAGTGTGTGTGTGTGTGAGAGAGAGAGATAGAGAAAGAGAGAGGGAGAGAGAAGAGCAGAGTTCGTACTAGACTTTCTGACGTGGAAAAAATAGGATATATATATATATATATATGTTTTGGAGCTCGTACGTTTTGAAATAATTTTGGTACGATAATTTAAATGCATTATTATTAAGCAAATACTGACGTGGTTTGGTCGAGAAGATCACGAATCTGGGTAAATAATTTGTGAAGCTCTCGTAGGTGACGGATTGGTCGGAAATTGGAATAAACGCAGACAGACAACAGGGCAGCCCAAAATAGCCGAAGAGGCGTGGGAAGACCGTTTAGCGCCCGCCTTCTCAGGGTATTTATTTATGCGCCGGTTTTCTGCGCCTCTGCTCTCAATCGCTGTGTTTTTCTTCTCTGTTTCGTTCTTCATTTCTTCATTTTCCTCTCATTTGGATCGTCTCAGCTTACGGCGACCGCAATCTCTCGCGACGATCTCCTACTGGCACTGGCATCTTCACCACGAACGTCCCGACTCCGGATCGGAATCCGGCGGCCGGCGGGGAGGTTCTCCGGCCGTCCGCTGTTAGTCGCTCCGCCGCGCTTCTTCCTTTCTTTCCATTTTACTCGGTCAGATCTGGGCAGCTGCTCATCTTCCTCTTTGTCTCTAAGACACAGGTGTCAGGTGAAGTCATGTGAATCGTCCCACTCCTAGACGGGACCGAGGTCACGATGGAGAGTGAAGATCGAGAGCGTCCGGGGCAGGTCTCGGAATCCCCTCAGTCGCCGTCGCCGCTGCCTGTCGTTGTGACACCAAGGCCGCAGTCTCCCGGGGGGCTATCCGCGACACCTTCGGAGCAGGGCATTTCGGGAGCAAGCCCCGGGAGCTCCTTTTCCGAAGAAGATCTCTTCGAGCCGGTCTCTTTGCGCGATCTTGATACGGGCGCCCCTCCCGACCCGGGTCCGAATGCCTCGAGCGATTCCGTTCGTTCTTCCAACTCCGAGGAAATGAGTCGCTCGTTGGGCAACGACGCGGCATTGGATATGTTCTCTGTTGCCGTCGCAGAGATGGATCGTGCCTCCAGTCCGTCATCCTCGGATAGAGCCGTAAAGCCGTCATCCTCATCAGTGAGTTTTGATTCATACTCTTCTCCCGTGGATTCGCCACAGAAGCCAAGGGCGAGGCTGGCAATGCCAAACCTTCCTACAGAGTTGCTTCATCTGGTTGACTCCGCAATCATGGGCTCTGTGGAGAGCTTGGAGAGGTTGAAGGACGCGGTCTTGAATGGGGGTGAATTTGAGGGCATCTCGAGGTCTGTGGTGGATGCAATTCTTGCGACGATGGGTGTTGACAGCCTTGACGAGTCTACCAGCAGCAGAGACGGCACCAGTGCTCCGAGTGTGATGGCTAGCTCTCGGGCTGCAGTCGTCGGTGCAGAGCTGATCCCGTCTCTCCCTTGGGAGGGGGATTCGGATAGTTGGATGTCCCCAAGGACGAGGATGGTCAGGGGATTGCTTTCGATTTTGAGTGCTTGCACCCGAAACCGGGCAATGTGCTCGGCATCTGGCTTGCTCAGAGTGCTGTTGGGATGCATAGAAAGGTTATCCAAAAGTTCCATCAACGAAACTTCTTGGGAAACGGCGCCATTGTGCCAATGCATTCAAGTTTTAGCTCAGCATTCTACGAGTTCTTCTGATCTCCATCACTGGCTTGTTGTGTTGAGGAAAATGCTCGGAACGGATTGGGCAACTTGGATGATGTTGGCACTTGAGAAGGCTATATCGGGTGAGGAAGGCCGGGGTCCCAGATGTACTTTCGAGTTTGACGGTGAAAGTTCTGGCCTGCTTGGTCCAGGAGATAGCCGGTGGCCATTCTCCAATGGTTATGCATTCGCCACTTGGATTTACATTGAGTCATTTGCAGATACTTTGAATACAGCCACTGCTGCTGCTGCTATTGCTGCAGCGGCAGCAGCCAAGTCAGGAAAGTCTTCTGCCATGTCAGCTGCTGCAGCTGCTAGCGCACTCGCTGGAGAAGGGATTGCTCACATGCCCAGACTTTTCAGTTTCTTATCATCTGATAATCATGGTATTGAAACTTATTTCCATGGTCAGTTCTTGGTCGTTGAAATCAGTGGTGGAAAGGGAAAGAAAGCTTCTCTCCATTTCACCTACGCCTTCAAGCCTCAGCGCTGGTACTTCGTTGGCCTGGAACATACTTGTAAGCAGGCTCTGATTGGGAAATCGGAGAGTGAACTGAGGCTATACGTGGACGGGAACTTATATGAGAGTCGCCCCTTTGAGTTTCCACGTATATCAAAGCCGCTTGCTTTTTGCTGTATTGGGACAAACCCTCCTCCTACAATGGCTGGTTTGCAGCGTCGACGACGTCAGTGCCCACTTTTTGCTGAGATGGGGACTGTGTATATATTTAAAGAACCTATTGGGTCAGAAAGGATGTCACAACTAGCCTCAAGAGGACGAGATGCTTTGCCTAGTTTTGGTAATGGGGCAGGTTCAGCTTGGTTGGGGATAAATGACCAAATGAGGAATCTGGCTGAAGAAAGTTCATCATTGGATTCTGAGATTGGAGGCAGCGTGCATCTTTTATATCACCCTATTTTGCTCAATGGGAAATTCTGTCCAGATGCTTCCCCCTCTGGTGCTGCAGGTTGGTCCAATATGTTATCTTCATTTCCTATGATCTGCCAGCGATGTGAGATGGATGATATCGCATTTAATGTTATTGGAAAATCATCTCAACTGTTTCTCCCTCAACTCATATGGCATTAAAATCTATGAGAAATTTCTCGAGGGATTCCAAACCATCTGTCATAACAATCTTGTGAATAATGCGCAGGCTGATGTGTCTCATCCATCAAACATGTAGATTTTATCTAAAAACTCCATCCAGACCTCATGCTGGGGATGAAATCACGTGTACATATTCTTAGTATACCAGGACTTCACAAACTTTATGCACTGACTTGCAAGGGTTAAAAGCAAAGTAATAATAATAATAAATATATATGTAGAATAAGGTTGTTTAGTGATAGTAACCTTTTCCTCATCTGGGTTCTAATCCACAGCTCTAAATGGACAACTTGTACAGATAAATATCAGATCTGAGAATAGGGATTCTTTATTATGTTAATCAGTGAGAATTTTGGCACCTATTTTGAATTAGATGTTAAGCCATTTTTCTTGGCTTCACCTCAACCCTTTTCCAACTAATATATCCCATTCACTCTCTTCCTTGCCACCTGAATATAACTTTGGGAGAAAACTATTGATCCTTAAGGTTTCAGGCTATTATAATGGGATAAGGTTTAGGGGAAAGGTGGAGAGTGTCAATACACAAAGCGATAGTATCGCATAATACCTAGGCTTATCTCCTAGAAAGGAGCAACAATTGACAGTATTATTTTTCTTCTTCCTTTCTGAATAAGGTGGAGGAAGTGATTCTATCCAAATGATGAGCCTGCCGATCATAGCCAGGAAGATGTTTTTCTGAAATTTTCAGCAACAAGATCTTCCCTTTCAAAGTATATAGTATCTGCTAAATCCAAGATACCACCCGATGCTTGATTCCCCTGTTCATTAATATTCGGTGGGTTGGTTTTACTGTGAACTTCTTCAAACTTGGAGATTTTTCACTCAAAGTAAATATGTTTTGCAGGAAATAGCTTTTTAACATTCAGAAATCTTCAATGGAACCGTAGTCTTTGTTTTATTGCTTATTAGATTCTAGTGCATCCTGAATATCTTAGGATTTTACCACAAACTATCGATTATCATTGGTTTCTTAATAATCTAGCTGATTTTTGAGGGCTTTGAGTTTATAATTCTGTATGTCGATTATGCCCTGGTGGTGGGATATGCCTGCTCTATGAACAGAAATACGGATCATGAGATATTGGGTTGAGGGGTAAATTGGAGCTCTCAACAAGACTGTGACTGTAAATGATGCTTATTGAATGAACTGGATATGTCATAATGGACTGGGTTATCTCACGCCATTATTTCTATCCTCTGTACCACTGTGATTCCGCCGTATCTTTTATAATAAGTTTTCCTGATGAAATAAACTCTTTCTCAATTTAAAAGAGATTCTGAATCTCAAGCACTTAAATTTGTTTCAAGCTTCTGGAAAGGAATGTCTTCGTTTGTGTTACAGAGATGTAAAGATAAAATTATAAGAGAAGATCACAGTAGCAATTTCACTATTTGCATTTAGACATTCACAATTTAGATTTTTGATAATTCCCTGCTTCTGAAAAATTTCGTTGGAGTGGGAGCTAGCCACTGAAACAATGCTTGTACTAAGATTGTCCCAAGTACATTACCTTTAGTGGTTCCTGATCATTGGTCTTTGATCATCTGTAACTGTTTTTTCTTGTTTTAGTTGAATGCATTGGGGCTAGGAAATTTTCTTTAATTTGACTCTAGGCCAAAGATAGTGTATAGGTTTTGGTATACTTGTGTTACATCAAATTTTATTATTATTTGCTTCTGTATGTCCTTTCCCCCGTTGATCATAGTCCTCATGAAGTAGCATCAGAAAGGAGTTTTGGGGGTCTTCTTCATTAACGCAAAATTCCACGAGAGCTAGTCCAAATTAGGTTTGACATATCAGATATTAGGCTGATCTAATCATCTGAGTTTTATGCTTAGCCTAAATTTCAAGGAATGTGACCATGAAGATGGTTTGAAGACTACAATTATTATCCCATGGGACTCAGCAATTATAAGAAAGAAGCAATAATGTGACCGTCGAAAAGTGTGGGTGGATTGGGCTCACTCAACAAAAGGAAAAAAATAGAATCAATCCAGAAAACATCAACGCTTTGGATATAAGAATTGTGTGACATCTGACTGCTCAATGAGATTCCTGAGGCCCAGCTTGTGGCTTGCATCCTTGTCGTTTGTTGCAGCTGGTTGTGCAAAGCACGTTAATATTCTTGATAGCAAAGATTCAGTGGAGGTATTTAAAGATGATTATACAGAGGGATAATTGAGACTGATTGAAATGAGAGTCCGCTAGTTGAAAAAGTCGTCGTTCTTCTGGACCTTATAGACATATGGGAGCATTTTCTTTTAAGGGGAGTGTCATTTTCGCAAGTGTCATTGTCCAGAACGAATAAGAAACTTTCGTAGGCCAGTGTCAGCTCCTGTTTAATGTAAGATTATCATTTTGTAGCACTGACATAAAAAACACATCCTGTTAGAGGCATTCGTTCCTCTGGGCTCCTCACAAATACGTTAAATTGATGGGACAAGCCTTCAAGACAGTATTGTAAGCACGCCAATAACTTTGCACTTTGAATGAAGAAAATATAATGAAGCCTGAAAGTCCTATGATTCGTACTTTGTTTTCTGTAGAATGGTTATTTTGACTACAGGGAAGTTTAGTTTTTTTATCATTTTTATGATATCTCTTGAATATGAATTTCTTTTGTGATGAATTTTTCTCCTCTGCTTTTTGATACTGTATGCGGATTAACTATCAAGTGTCTTTTTTTTATTATTGTTGTCATTTTATTTACTATCAAGTACCTCTTTTTAAGGTACACAACGTAGACCTGCTGAGGTCCTTGGGCAGGTTCATGTTGCCATTCGGGTACGTCCTGCAGACTCACTTTGGGCTTTGTTCAATGGTGGTCCAATGGCTTTGCTTCCACTTGTAGTTAGCAACGTGCAAAGGGATACCTTGGAACCAGTTCCCAGCAATTCTCCATTGTCTCTTGCCATTTTTTCACTTGCTGCACCCATATTCAGGATTATTTCTTTGGCTGTAGAACATGCTGGGAATAATGAAGAGTTTTTCCACTATCGTGGCCCTGAAGTCTTGTCAAGAGTTCTGCATTATCTTCTGCAGTGTTTGTCTTTATCAGACCAAGGAAGACAAGGTGGATTGAATGACGAGGAACTTGTTTCTGCTGTTGTATCTCTTTGTCAATCTCTGAAAAACCATTCGCTAAAAGTTCAACTTTTTAGTTCTTTGTTGTTGGACTTGAAAATGTGGAGTACATGTAACTATGGGTTGCAGAAGAAGCTTCTATCCTCACTTGCAGACTTGGTATTTACAGAGTCATCAGTTATGCGCGACGCAAATGCTGTGCAGATGCTTCTTGATGGTTGCAGGAGATGCTATTGGCTTGTCCGTGAAAAGGACTCTGCAGATACATTCTCACTACGCAATACACCGAGGCCAATGCATGAAGTGAATGCTTTGGTTGATGAACTCTTGGTTATTATTGAACTTCTAATCGGTGCAGCTTCTCCTTCATTGGCAGCTGATGACGTTTCATGCCTGATAGGTTTCCTTGTAGACTGTCAACAACCCAATCAGGTAGAATATGAAAAAAATATCGGTTCATTCTGCTCAGAATTTGTTTATCATTCTAATTTGATCGTAGAAATGTTAATATAAATTTGTCGACACATTCAGTTTTTCTGTATATGTTATGGTAAGTATTCCCTAGAGCATCATAGCTTTTTATAACCTACGGAATATTCCTCTTCTCTCTTTCTCTCGATTTTTTTTTCTCCAGTTTTGAGCAATGTTCCATGTTTTTCACTTTTCATAACTGTTGATGAAAGCTTTCAAGTGAGAGCGTGATGAACTTGGCTAAGGCATCTATATTATGTGTTCGTTAACTGAATTGACTGTATTGAGGGTAGGATAGTCAAATGAATGGCCTAGAGTGAATTCAACATCCTGTACATCGTGATAAAGCTGAGAAATATCTGTAAATCCTGTATGTTTGTCTAGGAGTCTGACGTAATGAATGCTATTATGTGTTTCTTTTCTGTTCGATTTTAACTTTTATCTAATCGATATGCTAAATGAGTGGTATCTTGTCTAGTTGTTAGTCAAAGGTTTCTGGGGAAATGGAAAGACTTCATCTCTTTAGAGGTTCTTTGGTAGCTTGAATCTGCAAGCAGATTTTGGCAGATTGTACATCAGCAAGAATTTCGTTGTTCACATTCTGGAAGATGTGATCACGACGTTGTGGGTCCTATTGTGACCTTAGAATACAATACCCAAAACTGAAGACGAGTTCTCAAATAGGAGGAGAGATGCCTCATTTTGGAAAGCTTTAGTTTGACATTCAAGCTATGGGGGAGGGGGGTGAAGGAGAGTAGGGTAGTAGAGGAAGGTAATACCTCATAGAATATTGGCATTTTGAAAGATTCATTTTTTTTTTCCACCATGCATTTACTTTTAGAAAATAATTGATGTGATTTGTTTTAACGCATATTTGAATTTTATTTTTCATGTTCCAGTATATTGTCTAAGGTTAGCTATATTTCGTTCCATTTCTGTTTGATATCCATTCAAATTTAATAAGCGATGTTAACTAGGCCAAGAGCACCTCCTTTAGTTTCTACAGCCGGTAGACCAAAATGACTTTTCTGTTAGAGTTTGATTTTTTTTGTTTCTTCTATAGAAATTACTTTATTCAATGTTGTTTTTTTTCCTGAAATCACGTGTTCCTGGCCATATCACCTTTGTTCTCTGAACGATTTAAACACGAAATGCTTGAATATAGGAATTTTATAGAAAAGATGCGGATACTCTCCTGGGAATCTCGATGAAACAGATACTGCAATATATTTTATGGACCTGATTTAGATCTGAGAGGTTTCTAATCCACAAGGTTTTAGATGTGTGGCATTTTTCTATGCATAATCTGAAGAAATGAGGCTTAAGGATTTGTTGATGGAGGGAAGAGGGATAAGTATAAGTTTGTTACATGTTAGTTCAAGCTGACTAGCAATATAAATTTAGACTATGATGCAGGGGGGATCATAATCAGTTCACCGTATGCATAGAAGAAGCTTCAGTGGAAGGACAGATACTCTACAATTTCGCATGGATGATTTTCTCTGTGAGTGAAAGGGAGGAAAAGACGTGCCCATGGAATCATCAATATTAAGTAGTCCATAAGTTCTAGTTATTTTAATGGAGTTTGCTAGATGTGGCAACATCTTTGAATGAATTTTTTTAACATATTCTGTTTCTTACTGTTCACTGTTTATCGTTCTTTCCATGTTGGCAAGTAGTCCATAAGAGTGTTTAGGCTCAAAATTTCTCCTCATTCCTTTGTGAGCCTATTTACGAATGTTTTGTTTTGCTGCTTCAGTTTGAATATCAACACAATTATTTTTCATTTCTTTGACTGAAAATTCATTTCCAGCAACATTGATTTATTAATTTTTAAGTTCTTCATGGGTTTGTATTGTACATTCCATTAAGCTTTGTTATTTTAGTAGCATAAAAATTACTTGTTGCAATAGATTTCGTTTGTATTTTCCTAAGAACATGAACGGCTAACTTTTTCCTTAATTCTCAATCATTTTTTTTGCTTTTATAATAAATGTTATTAAAGTTAGTTTTCTTGAAGTTGGAAGCATTTTGCTAATCATCATCACTCTCCAGGTTGCTAGGATATTGCACCTAATTTACAGACTCGTTGTACAGCCAAATGCATCCAGGGCTCATGCATTTGCGGATACATTCATCTCTTCAGAAGGGATAGAAACACTTCTCGTCCTTCTACAACAAGAAGCCAAATCCGATAAGCAAAATACTTTTGATAACCTGAATGTGAACAACTGTGAAAAATCTTCTGTGGATTTTGGACTTGAAATTGGAAGCCCCACTTGTCATTATCATGAACATACAGAATCACTTGAGGAACCGGGAGCTATTTCTCAGGGTGGCTTTCTGCTAGAATCCTTAAATGGTCGTGGTACTAAGCCTTCTGCTGATAATCAAGTGTTAAAGAGCTTAGGTGGTGTGAATTTCTCAATAAGTGCTCAGAGTACCAGAAATTCTTTATACAGTGTTGATAACGGTGATGGTATTGTTGTTGGGGTGATCAGTTTGTTGGGTGCTCTCGTGACATCTGGTCGTTTGAAATTTGGTTCATCTATTCCAAAAGCTTCGAGCAACAACTCAAATATTGTGCTGACAGAAGATGGAAGTACCATGTTCAGTGACAAAATCTCTTTATTGCTTTTTGCCCTACAAAAAGCCTTTCAAGCAGCACCACAAAGGCTGATGACGACAAATGTCTACACGTCTTTATTGAGTGCAACGGTATTACTGTTATTTCTTGAAACAGTTTTGGAGTTGTTTGTCAGAAATGTCTCCTTTCTCATGTGATTTATCTGTTAGGAACTGGTCCAATAGTTCATACCGGCAGTTCCACAGAATATAACCATCAGCATGAGGTGTGCAGGATGCACTATTATCCATGTTGCCTAATCTAGGGGACGGTCATTCTCAATTTGCAGCTGGTCTGTACTTCGCAGCATTATATCATCAACTTGAATAATTATGAAAATAGTGATTTAAATCTCCTGGAGAAAGATTACTTCTTGGGGAAGTTTCGTGTAGCATATAGCTGGGGCGTTTTCAGAATTTTCTTATGGTTTTAGTAGATAGGCGTCACAAATAGTTCTAGGCAACTAGAAGTTTCTCGTTTTGATTTCTTGATTTCACAGCTACAGAATTTTCAATTTAGTATATTATGGGAATCCAATTGGACAAGAGAAGTTGATTGCTCATCAATATTTCATATTTATATTTCTTTACGCTTTCATTCTCTTTTGGTCGGTTTTTGGTAGCTTTCATGACATCACGCGACACTGCACTCTAGGAGGGCAGTGCATTTGAAGTACATAGGGAAGGAAGCCAAAAACATGCAGCCTTTGGTCACTTTGGGCACAGATATTGCCATTTTTATCACCTTGAGCATCTTATGAAATTATTAGTTTGCCAACAATGTTCTGGGCGGACCAATTGCAAGGGAAGGAATCGAAGGAGGTGGGCATTTTGGAAGTCCTTAGAAGATTCTTAGGAGAGCTTCTTATAGAGGACTGGTTTTGGCCTACCAGTAATGAGCATTCTTAGCTAATGCTTGATATTACGAGATGGAAAACTTCAAAGGATGTAGTGCCCTAATACCTGACTTAAATCTCAGAAATGAATAGTTCGGTGAGAAAGGGTGAGATAGTCTTTTCTTTTTGACTTGCTTCATCAGAACGATGTAAAGGCAGTTTTTGGGTCACTGGGGCCTTTCTAATTGAAAATTTCTTCTTCATTAATGTATTATATCATGTTCCTCTTCCTCATGATCAATTTCTGTACATGTAGAGGATCGTTTGGATTGTCGACCTCAATGAAATTTGGGCTGACTGGTGTTTTATTCATCATGTGAACTTTTTGTACCCTGATAGTGGCCTGAAACTTATGCTTGCCAACTAAGAGCTGCCATATCCATTACCCTTCAAAGTTCTCATTAATTTTTGTTATAGACTATTATAAATGTGTACTAGGTCCGCTACCATGGATACACTTACGAAAACATCGGTCAAAAAAACCATTTTTATTCATTTAACATAGCCAATATCTAATGTTGTATCCATGCTCTTGGATATGTAAATTTCTCCCTTATTAACTTGGTGAAGATACGTTGCAAAGAAATCAAGAATCTTCGGAAAATCGTCTCCAAGGTGTCTGGCATTTCATCATAAGGAGTTTTGCTGTATTGTTCTTTAATCCCCTTCTAAAATACAATGAGACTGGCTGGGCTGCCTTTTTTTTATGATACATATATGATACTAGCTGAATTTGGATCATATCCAAGATCGAGTTGGTCCGTTTTAGATCTGGATTAGTCAAATTAGTAGTTTTGGTTCGGACTAAAGATGAAAATGAGCATCTTTAAGCCGTTTTTCTGTATATCTTCAAGTACAAATAATTATTTGGAAATAAGTGTTTGTGCGGTAAGTTGAATAGGGTGATTCTTACAGCACTCCATTTGCTGTTTATCGCTCTGCACCCATCTCTGGGGGGGGGGCTCAATAAAATACCCTATGAGATCGTGCCAATGAGTGGTGGCAAAGCAAGTCTTTCGTCTTTTCTTCTTTTTCTGTTGCTGCTAGTGACCTTTCTCCTCTCTTCTTCTCTGAATGTATATAACTTCTCTTTCCTTATTCATCTTTTTCTTTTCTTTTCTTTTCTTCTTTTGGCTCTTCTTTAAGGACTCGACTTGGCAGGAATTAGTTGATTAATTTTTTAGGGACTTAGCCTAGTAAGATGAGCTGATTAATATCTTTCTTTTTTATTTTTGAAATTTCATGTAGTGATGGGGCTTTTCCCTGTGAAGTAGGATGACACTTTCCCATCGATTTGTAGTTCAGGGTATTAGCTGCATAGATTCTGATGATGCTCCGCGTCCATTGTAGATACTGTTTCGTGACACTCGATCAGGAAATATACTTAACCGAAGGTATCCATTTTTATCGGTTTCTAGATGTCTTCTCATTGATTAATTTTGTTCATGTAATTCTGTTACCATTTCATCTGATTTATTGCGATTATCATTTTCATTTTATTCTACTCAGAGTTTTCACCGAACGAAAATATTGAATTTATGATTTCCTTCACATGTTAAACGTAATGATCACATATGCTTTTTTCTTCGTTCTGCGCTTGAATTTGAATATATGCTGATTTTAACGGCTTCAATCAATAGTCGTCTTACTGGTTTTTGCAGCATACTTAATTTCGTCTTTATAAATTGTATCTATGATTATCTGTGATTTCTAATTCTCATACATGATGATTGCAGATTAATGTTTCCTCAGCAGATGATGGCCTGAACCTTTATGACTCTGGTCATCGTTTTGAGCATTTAGAACTCTTACTGGTTCTCCTCCATTCACTTCCGTACGCATCAAGAGGATTTCAAGTTCGCGCTATTCAGGTGTGCTCATCAAGATCTTCGTTTAATAAGATTTCGCTTAACCTTTAGCTCTTGGTGGAAAACATCTCTGTCTTTGAGTTTTCTCAGTATCTACCATGTTGAACGTTGGTTCCTGATCTTATTTTTACTCTCTACTCAACCATGATATCATAACTTGGAAGCTATCAGTAACGTCGTTTTGGAATTAAATGATTGGTTTTATGGGAGTCTTGAGGAAGTATTGCACTGACGTTTCAGTTTGAGCTGTTTAATGACCCTGCACCCTAGTAATTGATATAACTTCCTGTAGTTTCATTTTTATGGTCACTGATAAGTCAAATTATATCGACTTCTGCATCTGTATGGGTTACCATTGTTATCCACAATTAGTTCAAGGCTCATGTCTTTCTTTACTGGAAAGATTCGGGTGTATAATTGTTTGATGTTGACCACATTTTTTTCGTGTGATCTATGCTAATTTATATGCATATCTTTGTATCTGATAACACCACTATAACTAATTATTGAAGAAGCACATAAATTATATGGACTGCATGGATGTTGCTGAAAGGAGCCTTTCATGGGAGACAACATTTTTGAGAGGGGGACTGTTACTAGGGTTATCATAGTCCTAACAATCAGTCATTTTTCCCGCCCTCGATGAACTTTATGCAAGATCCCATTTGTTTTCATTTGTGGTGTATGAATTTTTATTCGCATGCTATTTATTCCTGTATCGATTGAATGGATTTACATAAATAGCTAGTTTCTTTTTGATAATTTTCTTGTACGCATGATCTAAAGTTTTAAGAAACAAATTGAGATACTTGCTGGAATGAATATCTCATCATATCGTGCTCACGTATTAGAGAGGGTAATGATTTTCTGTAATGTAAAGATAAACGAGTGGCCTAATTTTAATAGTGCTGATTTCTTAGGATTGCCTGCGCTCTCCTTATGCAGGCTTCGTCTTGGTCATATATAGGGAGATTTCCTTTCTTTTGTGAAATCTTCTCTATAGACGATCATGTGGTACTATTCACTTGAAAAAAAGTAATCCTTTTAAACTCCTGATATTCTTTTGCACGGGTTTGTTCTTGGTTCTGAAACGAATCCTTAGATAACATGATAAAAAAAATTCCAGAAACTAAGTGGTGTACGATTCCGGAAATATGTTATCGACTGATTTGTAGGTTCCTGACAAGACAATTAATACAATGGAAAGTCTACTGCAAGGTATGGGTGACACAGCCTGTGGTGTGGTACACGTGGAATCAACGCTTGTAGGTGATGTGAAGGTGGGGTGAAATCCATTCTTTTACTGTGTTAGACAAATGCTGTGGTTTGTGGTTGATGTAAGCTATATCGTGTAGTGCGGTTAGGGCTCAACAACTGATGTTATTGCGTCAGGGTTTGGGTTGGTGTAGTCTGTGGGAGCATGGTTTCTTTTATTGAATGACAGTGTGACATGCCAAAGATGTGTCTCACAAAAAGATTCTATTGAAAGTGGCAGGCTGTCGCATGAAATGTTGTGGCGCGCAGCGAATATGAGCAGATTGAAATCGAGAGATAGATTGAGGTTGACTGAAATCTGATGGGGAGGTATGGGTGGGTGGAAGGCTGCATTATAGCCACAGTGGTTCGTGGGCCCATCAGAATCTGGCCATTCTCAAATGATAATATTTGTTTGGGAATCGCTTGTAGTATACCTGTTAGCTTGCTCTTTTTCTTAAGTCTGATTTTTTTCATCATTCTACCATTTTTTTTCTGTTCACTTGCGTTTTTTTCTCCATTATTTGTTCATCACTCTTAAGTCCGGAATGTCATATAATTAATATTCTTGTGTGATGTTTTAGCTTAAAATGCAAAAGGTGTCATCTAGGAGACGGACAGTTATTAGAATGGGAAGAGATGCTGTTAGACTGTTACGGAATTATTGTGCACCATAATAACAATACAGTTGGTAAAGATCATGTTCTGTAGTGCACATTTAAAATTCTCCCGACGTTGTATTTATTTACTGAAGTCCTGTTTACATTCTTATCGAGAAGTTAAATTTGCTCAAAAGATGTTAATTCTTTTTCAACATTTTAAAATACTACCTGTTTTTTAATATATTCTATCGATCGGAAGTGTTTTTTCAAATTTTTGGATGGGTTTAATGGCTGATCCATCTTATGGTGATCCAGTTTGCCCTTCTTCCTCATTCTTCGTATTGTATTGCCTCAACTTTATCCTTTCTTTAAGGCTTCACTGGTTTTGGCATCTCAAAAATATGCCACAGTCCTGCCATCGATTGTAAATGAGTTGACGTAGTTGGTCTCTTCTCTTTTTTGGAAGTCTGGCCCAAGAAGGCGCACTTCCTGCCATCTATTGTCCATCTCGTATAATCGATTTTCGACGGAATATGTATCAGAATTCTGGAAGTCAAAACTCTGGATTCTGAAGTGATCCCAATGGAAGTCGAAGTCCTGGGTGATACAAAGTTCCTACTAGTGATGGTGCTTGATAAATCTGCTTCTCTGCAGTATAATTTCAACCTACAAACGGCCTATAAGGTTTATTTATCCCAGTTTGAAATGGGCTGATTCTTTTAGGAGGATTTCTTGATTCATTGGAGTTTTATCTTGTGCACAACTGGTGGAAAACGTTTGATGTGAGAATGGGTTCCCACTTTTCACTTGTCTTACTTCGTGCTCTTTTATTTAGTTTTGTTATTATTGGAACTCCATCTCTTTGTTAATGTATTCTTCATTTTTCAAAAGTTCTGAAATGACAGTCATTCTATCTGATTTCAGGATCTTCTATTTTTGGCTTGCACTCACCCTGAAAATAGAAGCATTCTCACCTGCATGGAAGAATGGCCAGAGTGGATATTAGAAGTTCTTATTTCCAATCATGAGGTAAAACTAATTTACATTTCATTTTTACATTTTGTTTTCCCAGCTGCTTGTCTGTTTTTGGCTATTTCTCAGATGATATCTTAATTTAGTTTTTATGTTCTGGACTTTCGTGTAGCTCGGTGCTACAAAAGATTCATCTGGTGCAACAATTGGAGATGTAGAAGATCTCATACATAATTTCTTAATTATTATGCTCGAGCATTCTATGCGACAGAAGGACGGTTGGAAAGTTAGTTTGCTCTTTCTTAACTCCTCACTTTTGGTGGTTTTCTATTGTTTTGGTTTGGTATTAGCTGTTTGGTGATCCAAATATGGTTCAGTGTACTTTCCAGTGCTTTATCTTAGTTGGTTTTTAGTAGACTTCATTTTCCGTCTGTTTTGACAGTCGTTGATCTGCACCCACTTTAGGAGGGTCAGGGTGATGTCTGGGATATATATCATAGACACGTGCGATGTTATGGAGAAGATTTCTACCGAAAGCTTAGTGTTTATTGAGGGTCAATAGACAGCTTTGGAACTGACCTTACCCAACATAATTCGATTTCTGGTCCATGTGCTTTGTCAATTGAGCTCCTTCGTAACACGTACGTCTCTAATATAAAAGGATCATGATAAGAAATGGATGGCTATCCAATATGAAAGTGGATGGTTATTTTATGGTGAATGGTCATCCAATATGAAACTGTTGAATTTTCTTTTTAATCCTTCCGTGTCAAATAGCTGAGATTTGATTATGACAGCTCTGTATAGATGAAAATTGTAAAAGTGAAATACCATAAGGAACATCACCGTATTTTTCGACTGGTGATTGTAGGGAAACTATTAAGTTGAGGTACTATGGATTAATTTTTTATTTTATACTAGTAAACGTGAAAAGGATGCTTATACTTTCTGCATGCAAATTCTTTACAATTTATAATTTGCATGTCCTTCATTATTCTGTAGGATGTAGAAGCAACCATTCACTGTGCAGAATGGTTGTCAATGGTCGGCGGATCTAGCACAGGTGACTTGCGAATCAGGTACCTAAATGACATAAAACATTCATGGAAGAGTACCTTATCGGTATTGTTCTGTATTTTTCTCTTTTTGTTTGGCAACCAAGCCATCCCATTATGTCTGTTGCAATTTTTTCTGATATTTTCATTATTTTCAGTAGCTCAACTCATGATCCTTTTGTGCTTAGCACGCATAATTTTTGCTAAGGAAAAAGTGCAGCAGCGAATGGTGCAGGGTTGGTCATATGTATCTAGTCGTTTTATGTATTTTTTGGTTCGGTTTGGTATTCTGTTTCGTTAGTCTCTTCTGAAAAACATGACAACAATTAGATTGAAAAAGTAAGATTCTCTTTTAGTCAGTCTCTCAAAATCTAATTACCAGTCTTTGACATGTTTCGAAACTAATTGATGTCCTTTTGCTTTTTAACTCACCGTTTGACGGCTTACTTATCAGACAAATCAGTTTGCATAAAGAGCTGTCATCTAGACCACTATTATATAATTTGCTGAAGTGAAGGTTAATCGCTCTCCTGCCATGACAAGGGAAATATACCTTCATATCAGTTCATTTCTTGAGGTTCTCTTGTGCTAGATTTCTTCTCGGTTATATTCATTAACTCTGCCTCAGATCCCGTCATGTCGAGGGGCATTAATATCTGGATATTTATTAAGGAATTATGCTCTGTTTCTTCTTGGTTTTCTTTGGTGATTATCCTTAAGGCTTTTATTCACTCTGCCAATGGAAGTGAATTTGTAAAACTAGGTAAGGAGAAAAGCATTGATCAACTTAGGAGTATGTTTATAAATCATTGATGTTCTACAACAAGAAAGAAATGTCATTTTCCATGTAAAAAGTTCACAATGTTGCTAAAGGTTACCGTGTTAGTAGCCCCATATTGGCTATTAGAAAAGAAAGGTTGCAAAAATTAACCCACTCCTTTTATTATCAATCAGTTTTGAGTAAGATGGCTCAATAACTCTAAGATGACATCAGAGCTGATGATTGCCTTTGAGATAAAGGCACCTCATTTATATTGTCACATGGTATACGCCAAAAGTCGGATTACAAATAAAGGGGCGTACTAGAATATCTCTGTAAAAATTCTAAAAGAAGATCCGTGATTCTGAAGGTGGACGATCTCCATTGTTTGCTATATAGTTTTTTTGGATGTCTCAATAGCTCCAATAGGTATATTATGTCAGTCTGAAAAAAGACCGTGCCAAGCCCATGTAATAGCAATGCTTGAACTGTCTCTGCATGCAAAACAACATCAATCGGAGACAACTCTCTCTCAAAGACTTCCTTCCCAAAAGATTGATTTCGTCGCTAATTTTTAGATCAAAATAACGAAATCATCGGTTGAAAAAGGTGGATCATCGCTTGGATTTTCAAGTTGGTTTTACTAGTAATTTAGATTGGTATATACTTTGATAAGAATGTTTTGTTAATTTTTTCTGGATCAACCAGGGTAATGCTCTAATAATATCAGTTCTTCGCAATGATCCAAAAGAGATTAAAACTGAAAGTTGTTTTATGATCTAAATCAGGGTTAGCTGTTTTGGACTTTGGATTACTCTTAGGTAACTAGATAGCTGAATTGATTCAACCCATATCATGTGACGATGCTAGTCGCACAAGTCAAATCATATGACTCCTAATTTTTAATCAATTTTACATTTTTATTAAATTTCACCGAATATAGAGTGCCTGCAATAATTTATCGGGTTGGTTTGGTTTCGATGAGACCAGGACCCTCACCAGTTCTACATCAGGGAGGGGTTTTTTATATCAAAATTCAATTGATGAGAAAGGGCATAAAGGAAACCAAAATGAAAACGCTGTCATCTTCTGGAACAAGATATATCCATTCATTCAGTCTTTGTATGATGTCCCCTGACACTTAATATTACTGGAGCAAGATTTGTGTTGGTAGAGCGTTTAAGAAACCTTGTTAGAGGGTGCGGATGATTTTCTTAATTTGTACATTTTGTGGCAACATAGTGGGTTTTGTACATTTTTGATGGTACATTACTTTGCTTCATTTTTACCTCATTTTCGAATTTGTTCTCCAGTTTTTTACTTACTCAATTCTATATTTTCAAGACGTGAAGAATCATTTCCTATTTTCAAGAGAAGGCTCCTTGTTAGCTTGCTTGACTTTGCTTCCAGGGAACTACAGGTTCAGGTAATTGTTTTACCACTTTTTTTTTTAAATTAAAGATTTCAGTTTTAAGTTTTATCGAATTATCCAATTCATGTTATCCAAAGTGTCATTTTGTCGCCTCTGCATACTTTCTTTCATTCGTTGGTAACACCATCACCTTTTTCTATCTAGAGGACTCAAAACGACTCTTATGTGATTACATGTACTTGTTGAACTCTAATATTGGTACGATGATCAGCTGCAAAAGAAATGGGACAATAATATCTAGGGTGTGATCCACATTTTGTTTGCCAGAGATGTTCTTCCCATTTTTACTGCCAATGTAATTACCTGAGTTTGTTGATCTATTGGATTCAATTATGCCGTACCCTTCATTATGGATGCAATTCATGAGCTCCAGTGAAATTTGTTCAGCTTGGGAATAATGTAGATGTAAATTTTTTGATCTGCTAGTTAGTGTCCAAGTTGTCTATATACAGTCGTGGGAAGCTGATATGTTTATTTTGAATGCGCTATTCATCACTTGGGAGCGTGGAAAACGGTCATATGGATATGAAATGATAAATGTATCAAGTTATTTTGGTGACTTATTATTATCATGTTGGCAGTGGAAATGAAAATACCGAATCATCAAGATATCTAAGTCTAATTTGAAGCAATCTTATGTGGTTTGAAGACTGGTCTAGATTATGGTATTAATGGGATGGCTGGCACTAACCTAAATCTGGTTACTCCTGCCAATCGCCAAAGAGTATCACTTTATTCTATCTATCCAACATTGTCAACTGATTGTGGTTGGAGAGCCTTTTTGAGATAAAACACATGTGAACCTCGCTCGGATTTTATTTCTTAACGTTGTAGTCCCCCATTTTGTAAACTGCATTGCATGTACATGGCTTCAGCTGTTTCCTCCAGTTTTGAGCCTACAGGATGTGTGGGGAAACTGCCCCACTTAAGCATTCAACCTACTTTGGTGAAACAGTTGTGCTTTACCTGTCTGGATTTCTCCTCTGATGGATGTGAATAATCTTGCTAAAGTTTTCTTTCACTCTTTCACCGCGTGCTGATGAATTCTTCTGCTCACCCGATTTGATGTTTCTTAGATTTATGACGAAACAATTTTTTTTTACTTTCAAGTTCCTGGAAAATTACATTATTATGCAAATCACTACATCCATATTTTTCTATGCTGCAGACTCAAGTTATTGCTGCTGCAGCAGCTGGTGTTGCAGCAGAGGGTTTGTCACCGCAGGAGGCTAAAGCAGAAGCAGAAAGTGCTGCTCATCTTTCTGTGGCTTTGGCTGAAAATGCTATTGTAATTTTAATGCTTGTAGAAGATCATCTACGGTTGCAAGGTCAACTTTTTGCTGCTTCTAATTCGTTGGATGGCTCTTCGTCTCCCACTTCGTCAGCTGTTGGCCACTCAGATTTGCTTGATAAAGCTATTGGTGAAACTTCAGATATTTTAATCTCTAAAAAATCTCAGTTGTCCAGTGACGCCGGAGGGCTTCCATTGGATGTATGTATATTGCAATTTTTTTGCGTTTTCAACCTTGCCACTTCTTCTAACATTTCCTCAGTTATTTACTTAAAGTTTTATTTCTTGTGTTTGCAGCTTTCAATATTTTTTGAAATCTTACTCATTTATTATTATTTTCCCATCAGATCCTCGCTTCAATGGCTGACGCCAATGGCCAAATCTCTGCAGCAATAATGGAGCGGCTTACTGCTGCAGCTGCAGCGGAGCCTTATGAATCTGTTCGGTGTGCCTTTGTATCATATGGGAGTTGTGGATTAGATTTAGCTGAGGGGTGGACATATAGAAGCCGATTGTGGTATGGTGTTGGTCTTCCCTCCAAAACCTCTTTATTTGGTGGTGGTGGAAGTGGCTGGGAGTCCTGGAACTCTGTTTTGGAAAAAGATTCTGATGGAAACTGGATTGAATTTCCACTGATAAAGAAATCAGTTGCCATGCTTCAATCATTATTGTTAGATGAAAGTGGCATTGGTGGTGGCCTTGGTATAGGAGGGGGTTCTGGCACTGGAATGGGTGGGATGTCACAGCTATACCAGTTGTTAGACAGCGATCAACCATTTTTATGCATGCTTCGTATGGTACTTGCATCAATGAGGGAAGATGACAACGGTGAAAATGATATTTTCATGAGAAATATCAGCGTCAAACAAGGAATATCAGAAGGATTATATTGGCATGGTGCAAATACGATGAAAGTGGACAATCCTAGCCGTATGGCAATGAGAAAACCTCGTTCAGCTCTGCTCTGGAGGTGATACAGTTTTTCACATCATTACATTTTTCTGATTTACTTTGATTTGACGAGACTAAGATAATAACCACTTGGTTGTCCGCAAGTCAATCGTCGTAACCAATTTTATATGATAAGAATTGTCTATTGACGGGTCTTTATTCACTTTTGTTATCTTGCTAGTTGACAATTGTGAATTTCGATACATTCCTCACATATTTCTCATGTCTAGAAATCTGTTGATTTTTCTAAATCATTGAATAAATGCATGCAAATAAAGCACATTTTATTAAAGCATGTTTATTCTTTGTCACTTACTGGTCATCACTTGTTCCTTTAACTTGAAAATAAAGACTATTCAACTTGTTCTTTCCGTTGTCACTTTAATGTGGGACTTGGAGAGTTTATTTTTGCACAGTACCTATTGTTTTCTGATGGCTTATGCTTCTACTCTTTCCATGCTTCAAGCGGTTCCATGAGACAAAAATGGGCTACAATATTTGTTAAATGAAAACGGGAATAGTTGGCACACACAATTATAAGGTGCCTCAGTGAATGTATCTTATGCCCTCGTACGCCAGTGTATAATCTTAGATCGCTGATAGAACATTGCATATCTCGTCTGCAAACCGTTACCACTAGGGATGAGAAGTCTGAAGTAAGTTAGGAAAGTTCGGAAATAACCAGCTATGCTGCCTTTAAGATATTTATCAAAGATCGTAGCTTATTTTCTAAAAATCTTTGCTGAAGATCCTCTTAGAAATCTCTTGTGTTGGAACTATTTCAAGATATTTTCCCAACACCGCTTCTATTGCTAGGTAGGCTTAAGAGTTGGAAGGCAGAGGGAAGAATTATTTCCCAGGTGATGAACTGTGGGTTAGTTTGTGATCGACTTTAATAAAATAACAAGTTTATAATCAGTGATACGTTCAACTGGATGCTCATTAAAACTGCGTGGAAATTATTTCATTTGAAGACATTAACCCTCCCATGGTTTAGAATTACGCACTTTTTGTGCCTATGATGGAATTAGCTCTTATTTATGATGCTGCTTTTCTGGTATAGAGTCTACAGTTTGTAATACGACTGTTACGCTCCAATAGGTCTAAACTTTTATTATGATTAAGCATAAAACAATTATAATTAATCGTATTTAGTTGTCTTGCAAAATGTATGTTTTCAACGCAGAGGACTTAGGTATTTGATTGGTAAGGCTATCATTATTCACAGGTTTGTAGCTATTGACTAGAACACGAAAATTTATCCCAAATTATGGCTTGCCGCTATTTGTAAGTTACCTATTTCACATTATTTTTTGAATGCCATCAGTCTGATGATGTGATAAAAAGATGTCTCAAGGAACGTGTGTGGCAGACTCATTTTACACCACCTGGTAACCTAAAACAGGATAAATTTCATTTGCCACGTGCTTGTGGCCTATATGAAGGTTGAGGTGGAAGAGATGTTGTTTCTGGGATCTGCAGCCTTTGTTGTGTCACTCCAGCAGTCTGAGCAAATTAGTGACTTTCAGTGCTATGGAATATTGTTTCTCTTTAATCTAATTTTGTAATTTTTTTGTGTGGAAGAACACGATCACATTTTATGGATAAAATATTCTCGAATCAAAATCAGCACCTTTCTGTGAAATGTTTCCCTCAAAAGTCTTCTAATAGACGACAAAATATTTGTTCTGAATAACAGAACCATTGGATTTTCTGTGATATTTGTACAGAAAATGTGGCTCTTATCTTTATTAGTTGTTGAGGGTAATGTGTATAGCCTAAAACTTGGAAAAGTTTACAAAAGTCCAGGAGTTGATGAAATTGTGGTACCTATTTTTTCTAGTCGCCACTGGTCATTTTGTTTCATGAAGGATCTTCCTGCAACCTGTTGTACTATCTTGTGGGAAATGTATAGGCACATATAAGAACAGCTTTCCTATCCCATAGAGTTGTCCAGCTACTGGAGGATTTCGTAGGGCTTGTTCATGGGCAGAATCTTGAGGATTTTGCTCTGCACATCAAATTGAGAAGTTGGAATTTTTTTTAACTGTGGTCCTGTTTCTTGGAACTCTTAGAGTTTTTGCAGAGTGGGCATCCCTGCCTTGTGTTGCTTTTGTTTATTTTGGAACCTTGTTGTCTTCTATATTAGTATTTTTGTTCCTTAATGACACGTTATAAAAGTATCTTGTTCCCAATGAATTGCTGCTTTTGGCCATCCTCCCCCCTCCCTCTTACGCTGATGTGAATTTCAGTATGTCAGTTTGGGGCTGTCTCTATCTGGCTGGTCCATTGACTTGCAGTCTTTGGCATCAAAGTCTCTTTGAAACTATAATATACAATAACTAATTCCGTATTTAATCATTTGCAGTGTGCTTGCACCCATTTTGAACATGCCAATATCTGAATCCAAGAGACAAAGGGTATTGGTTGCATGTTGCATTCTATACTCTGAGGTTTGTTTCAGCTGTCTTATTTATTTATTTTTTCTGTCACCATTATCCTGTTTCCTGATAGAAGAATAGGGTATCTCGTGAATTCCAAGTCTTTATCTTTTTAGAGATTTGCTGCCGGAGCTTTGTGAGTTTGCATTTTATTTTTTACTTTTTTGATTCAGTCTTAAGTTTTGTTTAATATGATTTGGAGGACTCTTGTTCATTGACTAGTTATGCTACTCAGGTATGGCATGCTGTTGGCAGGGACCGGAAGCCTCTACGCAAACAGTACTTGGAGGCAATTTTGCCTCCTTTTGTTGCCATTCTAAGACGTTGGCGTCCGCTTTTGGCTGGCATTCATGAACTCACTTCTCTAGATGGCCAGAATCCCCTCATTGTAGATGACAGGGCCTTAGCTGCTGATGCACTCCCTCTTGAGGTAATTTCATTTGGACCTCATGTTACCTTCTCTCATGTTAATCCTTATTACTGTCTCATTAACACTTGGTGCAAAATAATGGACATTCCCGCTCGTAGCTTTGATTTTAATGTCCACAATTCAAACGGAAAGAAAAAATCATGAGAAAACCATCTCCACTCTTGCTTTTAATTTTTCTTAAAATACCAAATTACTTATATTTGGTATATAAAACTGAATTGTATGCATCGAGAGAAGCCCAACTTTTTACATAGGGTTCTGTAACTGCCGTCAAGGTTCAAGTAAAATTGTCTTCCCAGTCAATTGGGCCACTGAATCAAGTGATCTTCAAGATGCCATCTGAAATGTTTTTTGTATCCTTCGGAAACATTTCGTTGTGTCACTGAATCCATTGTTGGAATGAGTCACTCGTCGTGGGGCATTCCATCTGGTAAACATCTAGATTCGTAATAGTTAGTATTGTTTGTTTTATTCACTCCTAATCCCAAGGTGGTGTCATATCATTATCCGGCTTCACTTTCGGCTTAAGAGAAGCAGATCTTGGGTTTTAAACTGCGTGTAGTGGCAGAAGTTTTTTAGGGAGTGGGCATATGTACTTACTTATATTGGCCTAAAACAACGGAAAGGTAGGCAGGAAGGCTGGAAGGCTATTTTTGCTTTTCAGTTCCCAATAGGCTTGCTACACTGGTGAAGATGCGCGTATACCTGCTGCCTGCTTGCTTTGGTCATTCCATGTTTATCCCATCTTAATGCATTTTGACATTGATATTGAAAACGTATGAAATGCTTGTGAATAAATTTCCTCTTTTGGTGAAAAGCAATCCCATTCGTTGTTGACCTGGGGTTGGCAGTAAAACTTCTCTTGGTAAAATAGGATGGTAATGCAAAGACATTATCTAGATAGGTCGGAGGAAGACCAAGTTGATTAGGGAGGGTAATTTTTTTACTTCGCATAAAGGAGTGAAAATAGTGGATAGATATAGAGTCCATCCAGAGTGTCCTGTGGATTATTGGGTAAGGTTAGTGGACCTCGGATTGGTGGGAGTGGAGAATAAGAGAGTGAGAGTTAAAAGTTTGTAGGGATTCCGTGGATCTCCTGTTTTCAAGAGTCTCACTCCCACAGGATGCTTGTCGAGAGGTATTAAATTACAGAGGTATGTGGTAGTACTCTATGACTGCAGGAAGGGCCCATTGGCTCATCATGTATGCCTGGCACTCGACAGATTCCGGCTCACATTGACTGGGCTTGATGTGTTAATTCCTGATGGATTGACCAGTAGTTGACTGATCTAACCCCAATTGGCTGACAGAACTCAGTCTGACTGGGGCAAAATTGTAGGCTGACAAGGATTAAGGAATCTCTAATCAGCCAATCTGGTCAGCCATTCTGACTCTGTATACTGTGCCTGGATTTTACCCTTTGTGCAGTCATGGAGGGAGAAATACTCGGTTATTCTGAAGAAAAAGTTATTTGATGGAAGGGGTATTATTTTTTTATCTGAGATGACATGCTAGATGGGTATCATTTTGCATCTTCTGCATGTAGTTAAGAGTTTACTTTCGACTGATTAGGCTAGGGTTGCTACCTTATTGGAATCATTTAGCAGGATATGGTACACAATTTGTCTGTTTGCTTTTTGTGACCCAATAGTACCATTTATTATCAAACCAGAATGCCAAATTTATGAAAGCAATACTTGGGAGTCTTATTAGGAATTACAGGACATTTGTACGGTTGTAGAACATCACTTTGTGTTAGCATGGTAGATATAACCGATTTAGTGTTTCAAAGTCCCAGTCGGGTCCTTGAAACTAAAAGTGAGGCACTGATTTTTGTTTGATTTAAAATGCTGGTGTGAAAATAAAAATTTCCTGCGAAATGATCAAACACACAACACTTGTATTGGGGGTTGCAGTCTGACTTAACACTTGTTCTTCTAAATTAGATACCACTTCCTTTTACAGATTGGCAACCCAACGTGCCGATTGTACCATTTTATAACTGAAAAGTATTTACCATTATTAAGCTTCAGCTACACAACGAAAACAAAACATAAATCAACGTTTAAACTTCTAGTGAGAATAAAAATGTTTGAAGAAGCGTGGTTGACGGAGGAAGCGTGTTTGAAGCATGGCTTCAATGCTTTTGAGTTCCAACGATAAACTTTTTGAACGGGCTTTTTCTCTTTTTTTTCATCATTATTCAGGGTAAACTAGCCATTAGAAGTTTTTGTGTCAGCACTTGGGTGTCAAGTGGAGCTCCTATACCATAACTCTCAGGCCTTGGGCTCATTAGTTTTCAGTACCACGTAGGTGTCAACTTGTATGCAACATGATCCTTTCTTTTCCTTAGGTGCCTTACTCGTAACATGCAATGACCGCACATGGACAACCTATCTCATATTTTTCTACATGTATTGACCCCTACTCTTCCAGTGCTTGCACCATACATCTTTGGTTAAGGTCTTAGTTCCTGTCATTTTGAATTTTGCATGTTTCAACAATAAATAATTTTTAAAAAAAATGCTACTCAAAATGGTGTAATTAGGCTATTTAATGTTAACATTATTTACACTAATTAATAAAAAATCTAGTAAAGACAATAATTAGGATTTTCTAATATTCGAAATCACTTTATCTGGATCCACAGAAATCACCTTATCTGGTTATACGTGCAAATCCCTATGTGATAATGTTCACTTTAGAAAATGGAGACTTTGCCGTTTCATATACTCTTTATACTGCGAATTCTGTGGATCCAGTCTCAGTTTTCCAGTTTTAAATTCTTTTTGTGTACTTCATAAACTAGGTAAGTCCTTTGGTTTATTGGTTGCATGCTTAAGATCATGATGTTTACATGCCATTTGGAATTTGGTTTTGATAGTTATGCTCCTTATCTTCCATTGTCGTATAATTTTTGGAATGATTGATGCATCGTTTAACGGGTGGTTTCTTCTTTTCAATTTAGGCTGCTCTTTCAATGATTGCCACTGGATGGGCTGCTGCTTTTGCATCACCTCCAGCTGCAATGGCATTGGCAATGATAGCTGCTGGTGCTGCTGGTGGAGAAACTGTAACTCCTTCAATCAATATATCACTCAAACGTGACAGTTCCCTGCTTGAAAGAAAACAAGTCAGACTGCATACATTTGCCAGCTTCCAAAAGCCTCTTGATCAGCCTGACAAATCTCCTCCTGCTCCAAAAGATAAAGCAGCTGCCAAGGCTGCTGCTTTAGCTGCTGCACGTGATCTTGAGAGAAGTGCAAAAATTGGTTCTGGAAGAGGTCTTAGTGCTGTAGCAATGGCTACCTCAGCACAAAGGAGAAGTGCAAGTGATGTTGAACGTGCCAAGAGGTGGACTGTCACTGAAGCTATGGGAGCAGCATGGATGGAGTTCTTACAGTCGATCGATACAAAATCTGTTTCTGTGAAAGATTTTTCTGCTCTGTCATATAAATATGTTGCAGTCCTTGTGGCTTGTTTTGCTAAGGCAAGAAATATGCAGCGATCCGAGGTAACCGCAGAGTTATACTGATCTGGTAATTCTAATTTAGCTGTAGGCTCAACCCCGTTTCTAACTCCTTGCAGATTGATAGGCGTGCCCAAGTTGATATGATAGATCAACATCGAGCATCTCTTGGACTTCGCAAATGGCGAAAGCTTATTCATTCGTTAATTGAATCAAATAGATTTTTTGCTACCTTCGGTGACCACCTACTTGATCCTGAATATGTATGTATAATTTTTTGCCACTCTAAAGCAGTCTTTCAAACTTAAGTTTCATTTTATTGTCTATATGAAGTCATTTTAAGATTATGGACATATACTTCTTTCTGGCCAACGTATGGTCTCGAGTCATGTCACATAAGGACACTTCTTGTCTAGTTAGTGTTTTATTTTTTCTTTTGTATCCTCTGACGGTCATAGTTGGTGTCATAACTAGGATATCCTTATTTTCGATAATAGTTAATTAATTATGTATGGCTTTGCTGTTCAATACATTCTCCGGCCATTGAAAATTGTAAAAATGAAAATATATGCAGGTTTTCTGGAAGTTAGATTTTACAGAGAGTCCTTCAAGAATGAGAAGATTCTTGAAGAGAAACTACAAAGGGTCTGACCATTTCGGCGCTGCTGCTAATTATGAAGATAATCAGCATCAATCTAAACTTGACGAGCAGACAGCACCGTGCCAAACTGTTTCTGAAGCTACAATTACCACTGACCTTTCTTCTTCTGCTTCTATTCTTATGGCAAATGCAATGTCCCTAGAGGAAGGAGACGAATATGATGAGCACATTGAATCTGAGATTGCCGACGACAATCGGAGTGCTAAACACCAAGTGCAATCAGGATCCTTTGAACAATCTGTGAAAGGGGAATCACAGATTCCATTGACCTCCAACAATGAGAATTTGACACATATGGAACCAGTTGTTGCCCCTGGCTACGTGCCTAGTGAATCTGATGAAAGAATTGTGTTTGAACTTTCTTCTTTAATGGTGAGGCCATTAAAGGTTGTGCGAGGGACTTTCCAAGTAAGTTGTAGATCTCTGCTATGCCTTATCTCATTTTTCTTTCTTTGAGAACGTTACCAGGAATCTTTTGGTTTTTTGATTAATAATTCATTTTTAAACCTCTTGTCGATGTTTGCGTACCTCAAACTTGTCTTTGTACTTTTAGTTTTTGCTTTACTTTCAGTATGAATCATATTTCTGTTTGATGGCAACTTTGCGTTTTTAACATCTGCATAGTTCTCAATTACTGGTGAATGAAGTGTTCGAACCTGATCAGATGGTAGTTGGATTTGGCCAATGAAATATTTTATTATTTAATATAATTTATTATTTTGACGCAGCAATCAAGTGTTGTATGCAACTCTATGGTTTATTTTGTTCTAACATGGCTGTGAAATGGCATCCACAATTCAGATAACAACAAAGAGAATTAATTTCATAATTGGTGTCCAAGACAATGACATGGATGATGAAGTGTCTCCCATTAAAAAAAACAACTGCCAGGAGAAGGACAGGAGCTGGCCAATATCTTTCCTTTACCAAGTTTTCAGCAGAAGGTAATTATATCTTTGTCATCTCTTATCATATCTGGATACGATTCCTTTTTGTTTTCGCAATGGAATGCTAATACATATTAGTTTTTCATTCATTTTGGTGTCATCAAGGTCATGGTTGTTCAACTGTTTCTGCTTCCATAGAACGTCATTTTGTAGATGTTATTATCATATCTGCTACGTTTTGTGACTAGATGTAGGGTCTCTGTTTGAGTCGTTCTAAATAATTGTATGATAAACATGTGGTAATTATGATACGTTCTCTGTTTCAACCTTGTGGAAGGTTCAAGGGATGTGGTGAAATATCCATAATGTCTAATCTCTGAGAAAAGCCAGCATTAATCCATAGGTGCTGCTTCTTTGAACTTCGAGTCTTGGAGTGGACTGCTAATTTGTCTCTCTGTACCATTCCAAACTTCTCTCACTATCCAAGTTTGCTGAATCTACTCCATTCTTGTCATCGTCAGGGTCTCATTTGTAGTGACTTAATCTCTGCTCATTTCTGTCATAGCTACTTTATGGTAAACATATCCTTTCTTACTTATGACCTTTTGTTATTCATATTCATCTTCTACACCCTCTCAAGTTATTACAAATGCTTTGACCGATTCAATCATTCCATTTCTACATAATGAGAGAAATAATATTATTTTCTATGAATGCCTATGCCATTTTCTAGACGCTGGCATGTTTTGTCAATTCCGAGATAGATATATTCTGGAATTAAAGAATTATAGTCAGGCCTTCTTACTTCACTGTTAATTAGTTATCATTGCAGTTACCGTATTATTTCATCATTGCAGGTATCTTCTGAGGAGGAGTGCTTTGGAAATTTTTATGCTCGACCAAACAAACTTTTTCTTTGATTTCGGGGTATAAACACTGCCATGCCTTCCTTTTGTTATTTCCGTTAAAAATCAGAATGCCTGTGACTGTTTTTGTATGAATGGGCCATAATAATATTTAATGGGATTTCCTCCAGAGCACTGAAGGACGTAAGAATGCATATCGCGCAATTGTTCAAGCACGACCACCTCATTTGAACAATATCTATCTTGCGACTCAGGTTAATTATTAGAAATTTAATAGTATGCTCTTCTATGATGGGACATTTACTTTTCAAATGCTTTTATTCTGATTCTTCTGGTGACAATAGAGACCTGAGCAACTTCTTCGAAGAACTCAGCTTATGGAACGTTGGACCAGATGGGAGGTAAACAGTAGTATTTTTTATGCTTCTTTCCTGGTTTTTTTTTTTTTTTTTTTTTAACCAAAGCCATTAGAACTGAACAGGGTAATGCCTTGCTGACAGATTAGCAATTTTGAATATCTAATGGAGCTGAACACTCTGGCTGGGCGTAGTTATAATGATATTACACAGGTTGATATGCTGGAGTCCAATGCAGGTAAAACTCTTCATTTGGTGGGTTTTATTGCTAATTTTTTCTGTATTCTATTGCAGTATCCGGTTTTTCCATGGATTTTGTCAGACTACACCTCAAAAAGCTTGGATCTTGGAGATCCTTTGTCATATAGAGATCTCTCCAAGGTAGCCATTAAACATGTACACGTATACTCTGTTGTTATTGGCATCGACTACATTATGATTCCGTTCATTGATTTTTTCCCGCAGCCAATTGGTGCATTGAATGCTGAACGACTAAGGAAGTTCCAAGAGAGATACTCCAGCTTTGATGACCCAGTCATTCCCAAGTTTCATTACGGATCACATTACTCCAGTGCAGGAACTGTAAGCTTATATTTCAATATTGTTTTTCGTAGTCTGTCCTTATTTTGGACATGTATAGTATTTTTACACGAGAACCATGTTGACCTCCGTAGGTAAGGGCTGTCAAGAAGTTAAAAAGTTTCGTTGCAATCAAATAATATTTCTCAATGTAGTAACATCATAAATATTTAGCTTCATTGCTGCATTTTCAAATGATTGCTTTACTCTCTAATCGACTAAAGAATTTTGCTAAGTAATTGCCCAAGTTCCGAAATAGAGTGATGCATGATCATAAACTCCAATCCAGGGTCTTGTAGAAACCCTGAATCTGGAAATTGTTCTTTCCTGGGTTTTTTTGTGCGGTACATTTTCACATCATTGCTGTTTTTGTCGAAACATCCTCCTTGATGTTACTCGAATAAAATTCAGGTTCCTGAATTTTGATCTGACCTATACTTCTCGACACTTTCCCTTGTAAGATATGATATAAATCAGATGTTTTGGTCGTAACTTCGTAAATGACTCGAGTGGATATCATAAAAAGGAAACTAATGTGAAATGCTTAGTGGTATCCTTAAAATTGTAAAATAAATACGTCCATGGCAACACGATGGGGATGTCTCCTGGGTTTCTGGTTGTAACGTCAATTGTCCAGGAAATAGAGTTGTCAATGATCGGGATATTTCCATAGCAGGAAATAGAATTGTCATGATAACGTACGAGAAGACCCATGCCATATTGAGCCCGATAGTTCTAGTAACATGTCGGAAAGCTTATTTAACTAAAACGTTGCCATGTTTTGTCTAAAATCTCGGTCAGAAGTTAAATGACGTTGGCAGCTATCATTAATTTTCTACTATAACCAACTCTGTTTGTAGTTTTGTTTGAATGTCATGCTTTTGTCAACTATGACTTGTAGTCGTCAAAACTTTATCAAAGAATGAAAATGTCACGACTAGATGTCCATGCTAGATATTTCTTCCTTTCCATCAAGAGCTCTTTCACTGCTGCCACTAATGTTCAGTGAATCTCTATTTACAGTGAATCTCGTTCATAGTGTCTATAATTTGGCTGATATGCATCTGCTACATATGACTCAAGGTTTTCATTCGTGATTGATTATTGCATATTTTTTGAAAGCACACCTGTCATATCATTTAGTCTGTTTACTGATTTTGGAGCTTGGTTCACCACTGTGCCGCCGGTTTCATGTTGTGATCACTTATTCCTCTTCTTTGTCTGAACACCTTGCTTTTTGCAGGTGTTGCATTATCTTCTTAGAGTGGAACCGTTTACAACTCTTGCTATCCAACTCCAAGGTGGAAAATTTGATCATGCAGATCGGATGTTTTCAGATATTGGCGCCACCTGGAATGGTGTTCTTGAGGACATGAGTGATGTAAAAGAGTTGGTAAGAATTATTATGCCATAATATTATGTAATCTGGTTTCCTTTTAGACCTCAATGGATTCCCCAGCTCTCTTCCAATTTCTTTCTTTGTTGGAATCTTTTGTTTTTGTTTAGTCTGCTTTCATGTGAAGTATGCTGTTGTTTACTATTCATGGTTGAATGTTCTCAAGGTTCCCGAGCTGTTTTACCTACCTGAAGTCTTAATGAATGTCAATTCTATTGACTTTGGTACAACACAACTTGGAGGAAAACTAGGTGCCTACTCGTACCTGCTCAGACCTTCAGTGCTCGTACGATGTCTTGTTTCATAATATGCATCACTTCTTCTTTTGTAGATTCTGTTCAGCTTCCTCCATGGGCTGAAAACCCTGTTGACTTCATACATAAGCATCGCATCGCTCTTGAGAGTGAGCATGTCTCAGAACATTTGCATGAATGGATTGATCTGATTTTTGGGTACATCTCTTTCACTCCGTTATTGTACAGGTTTTTTTTTTATGTTTTCATATCCAACATGCTCATTCTTGACGTTTCTTCGCTTGCAACATGTCTCATCATGCTCCATTTCACCAATTTTTTTTTTCCTTTTTCATGATCGTGAGTATCTTACAGGTACAAGCAAAGAGGAAAAGAAGCGATTGCTGCAAACAATGTTTTCTTTTACATAACATATGAAGGAACAATTGATGTCGACAAAATTTCTGATCCAGTATGCATATTTACCCTTTTAAATTGGTTGCGTATTTCTTAAAAAGATGCTGAAATTTTCTTTTGTTAAATGCCATGTATAGGTTCAACGACGTGCTACACAGGACCAAATTGCTTACTTCGGTCAGACGCCCTCACAACTTCTGACTGTCCCACACCTGAAGAAACGACCACTGGCAGAAGTTTTGCGGTTGCAGGTACATCACATCTTCTTTTTGAACTTTGTTTTCCTCTTCCCTTTAGTCTAGAAATATCTCTGGTTCATTTATCCATGACAAAAAAAACATTAAAAATTCTCGAATAATATTTCTATAAGCTGTTCTCTGTCATAATTTGTTGTTATAGTAACAACTCTATAATGCTTTTTCAAATCAAAATTGAAGTTTACATAGATTTTTCTCCTCCTGAAGTATGCAATTTTTTTGCATTTTTAATGGAACTTTTTTGCTGTGAATTGCTATATTGACATTAATAAGCAAGGGCTCGATAAACACTGTTTGAGGAAATCATAAAGATTAGACCTCGATCTGATATGTTGGGGCAAGGTGAAGGATCCCCTCTTCAAATCGAAAAAACAAGCCACGATGAAAAGTATCTGCCGGAAATCATCTGCTCTTCCCTGAATTAGTTGTTTCCTTTCTGGTCTGTCATTTCAAAGCCCTTATGCAACGCTGGAGGAAAATCCTTGAGAGAGCAAGAAGAAAAAGAGGGAAGGGAAGGACAAGAAAGTAACAGAAAGAAACTAGGATTGCAATGCCACTGGCTAGCGTCTCTTGTTGCGAGCTGCTAGCACCGACCATAGCTGTCCACTAGGTACCATTTCATCCCTGTTCTACCCCCTTTTTATGAAATATGATAACGAATGATCGGCATACAGGGAGAGGGTTTAGTAGCCTTAAATGACGAGAAAAGGCAGCGGATATTGGCATTTAATAGAAAAATAACTGTTTTGGAAAAATCATGGGGACCTGCCTGCCATAGTTTGGTAGAGTATCAGTCACAATGATACGATGGCAGCTAGTTGGAACCGTATACCATCCTCTTGGATCATCTTTAAAAGGGAGAAGGTGTGCTACTCAGTTATGAACTCATTGAAGAGTGCTTGATGCCAGCGTAAAACCCCTTGCAACATTTTTCCAATCGCATTAAATAGTGTTGATGGATCTGTTCTCTGGAAACACTTTAGATGAATCGAAATCATGTAGTTGTAACCAGATATCAACTATTTTTATACGAAAATCCTTTTTACACTATTGTCTGTCTTCAATAGTTTTTATTATATCAAATTCTCGTTTTCCATCGATTAGAAAAGATTCCTTCAATCAGTTGATTCTCAAATCATTTTAGGATTTCTGAAAATTAAATTAAAATTTAGGAATTCATTCAAATTAAAAAGTTATAATCATAAACTATATCAAAAGTACGTCTATTTGTCAGTAGAACCTACTTATTTTCTCTAAGATACTAATTAATTATTAATCTATTTAATAAGTCTAGTGTAATGAATAATATATATTTAAAACCAGTTTCTTGTCTAAGTGGTGCATTTGCATGACTTTACTATCGTCTTGATTGCACTTTTAATGTCATTAGATTGTTATCATAAACACGAAGTGAAGCATGATTAAGTGATTTCTAGAAATCAGAAGATCCAATGTTAGCATTTTGGATGTCAAGTGAGTGGTATGGATTGCTGTCGTGAACGGTGGCTCAAGCCCTAGGAGGATATATGGAGGAAAAATTCAACTCATATTTACATAAAAAATGACTGTAATATACAAGTGCCAGGGCCACAAAACATGGAAAATATCTAACAACCAAGAAACGAACCAACAAACTAGGAAACGGTTCGACTTAGAACCGAACTCCTAATTATACATTCTTTCCCATAATATCTACATGGAATCTGGGACAAGTGTGCTCTGGTGTTCACTTTTAATTTTAAAAATTAAGATTTTTGTGTCATAAAGTTATCAGTTTTCGCTGGTGATGATGTCCTTCATATTGCTTTTGAATACTAATTTTTACTCTTTTATGTTATCCAGACAATCTTTCGAAATCCTAGAGAGATAAAACCCTATGTCGTTCCAAATTCAGAGCGCTGCAACTTGCCTGCGGCTGCTATTTTGGCATCACAGGACTCCCTTGTGGTTGTGGATGTCAATGCTCCTGCAGCTCATGTAGCGCTGCATAAATGGCAACCAAATACACCTGATGGATATAGGTTGCCATTCCTCTTCCAACATGGAAAACCTGTAGGAGGATCCACCGGTGGAGCATTCATGCGTATGTTCAAGGGACCTGCTAGTTCAAGTTCTGAAGAGTGGCAATTTCCTCGAGCATTAGCATTTGCGGCATCTGGAATTAGAAGTTCAGCTATTGTTGCCATCACAGGGGACAAAGAGATAATTACAGGTATATATGTGTTGTTTTTTCATCTTTTAGTATTTCATTAGGAAACTCCAACCAGGAAGCATTTTTTCATTTATCTTTTATCAAATACTTTTTATTTAATAATTGGAAATGTCTTTTTGACATATGCTGAATTTACTACATCTTGGACTATGATTGCTGATGAGAGAAGAAGAGCTTCTCAGATTAATATAATTGTTGATAATTGAGATTTTGATGGAGCATACGACACAGTCTCATGAGACTAACACTTTTTTTGCCTAGTAGGAGAGGGGGTGGGACGTACTACTAATTTTGTAGAAATAGAAAATAATTATGGTTAATAGAAGAGACACATTTTACACAAGCTTCATATGTCTTACGACTGCTACAGACTCGACAGAAATGTTTTTGCGCGGACATTTAACCAAAAAAGTTATGAAACTGGCTGCTATAACTTCACAAGAAGTTGACGGAATGAACAACGAATGACAATGAAGCTTCTCAAGGAGAACAAGTGTGGTATCTGCATGCTATTTATGGAAACCCAATCTCCATTTATCAATGTTGATGGTAAAATAGCTTTACCCGTACATTGCATAAGAAAGCCAACATTTCAAATCTTGAAGGATACACAGAAATCGCGAAATCAGTGACTATGAAAAACATCGGTGGCATCAAACCTTTTGTATCAACCAAGGTTGAATTAAGCTCTATTCCCTTTCCAGTTCCTTCCATTAACTCCTTTCATACAGAACACAATGGCATCCCTAAGTTTCCATATCAGTTACCATGTCCAATCCTTGTTCCTTTAGAACTATCTTATTCCTTTTATCAAATAGGCCGCGTCTTTGTCGGAGCCTATGGTCTTCTACAATCTCCATAACTCGTCCAGCTTTCCATGCACATCTACCCTTTGTGCTCAACCTTTCATGATTTTTTTTTTGAAAAGAATCACAGGAAGTGTCATGCTTTCCCAAGTTTTACTGGCTTTATAAATACAAATAGTATACTTCGTTTACCTGGATGACTGTTAAGCAATTGAGCCAAAAGACTGTTCTATCAGTTTTTTTTCGAATGGTGAAATCTAAGAAACATTAGTGAAATTTTTTGGTTGAAAGAATGTTCAAATGAGAGACAAATGCCCATCTTTTTCAGTTGATGCAGCCTTGTTGACTTCGTCTTTTTAAAATGCAGCACGTTATTGACATTCTCTCGTATGGCTTATAATTTCTTTTTCTCTTTTTTGAATTTTTCAATCTGCCCACATTTTTAGATCGCGACTGCATGACACTGCATCTATCTCTGACTATGGACCATTCTCAATTGGTAAAAAGGAGTCTTGTGGTTTTTATCACCTCTTATTTTCCTGTAGTACTATCGCGAAAGGTCTGTATTAGCAGTGTTGCCTTTATCAGGACTAAGCTAGCCGTTGATGTCGTGTAGTTTCAGTGATGGCCTCCAATGAAGGTCTGGTGTTGTTAAAATGTTAAATATATATGTCTGGTGGGAAGAACTAGCCAATGGTTGAACACTATTAAGAAAAATGAAGCTGTTTATGTAATATCCTAGAATGGGTAAAATTGAATAATTCACCATTTCGTAAAAATAGAATCCCCATACCTATGACTGTCTTGCGATGAACATGCGAGACTCATCATTGGCATCGTTCTAACAGACTAATCTGAATCTTTGCATGACCTGTATATGCATTAGAATTTGCGTCCATTCCTCTTCTACCCACGCGGACATGTTTCGTGTCAGACGAAGCTAAAGTTCTATTGTATGTCACCCGATTACCTGATATCAAACTATCCTTGTATAATACAGGTGGGCATGCCGACAATACGGTGAAGTTGGTTTCAGCAGCTGGAGCAAAGACCATTGAAACTGCAGCAGGACACTGTGGACCTGTCACATGCCTCTCATTATCAGCTGACAGCAGCTATCTGGTCACAGGATCTCGGGATGCGACTGTCATACTCTGGAGAATACATCGGAAATCTCCTTCTGGTTTGAGCAATGCTTCAGATCCTCCGTCCCCACTGGCAGCAGCCCCTGCGAGCCCTCAAGCAGGCGGTAGCAACCTTCACAGTCTCTCGGAGATTAGTGGGAGGCGCCGCATTGAGGGACCTCTTCGCGTTCTAAGGGGCCATCTTGGAGAAGTAACATATTGCTGTGTCAATTCTGAATGTGGAGTCGTTGCTTCCTGCTCTGATGCTTCTGGAGTTCTCCTTCATTGCCTGAGGAGGGGAAGGTTGATGAGGAAGCTGGACATTACCCAGGCGCACACTCTCTGCCTTTCCTCGCAAGGTGTCTTGCTGGTCTGGAACAATATTGATCAGACGCTCAGCACCTTCACCGTCAACGGCCTCCCCATAGCGACCGCCACGATTGCACCCCTTCAAGGAAAAATCAGTTGCATCGAGATCTCTGCCGACGGAGAGAATGCTCTGCTAGGGACTAGTTCTCTTGTGAACGGTAAATTCCTAGGCCGAGGCAGTGAATCAGAGAATAAGAGTACGGCTGGGAAATCAGACGAGGAAAGGGATGCAGATATTCTCAATAAGCAACCTGTTTCTGTGCCTTCAATCTCCTTCGTCAATCTGCATAATCTCAAGGTATTCAAAGCTACTTCGTCAACATGGCTTCTTTGTCTCTGTCCCCTTCAAGTCCTAACCGAATGAGCGATAATTCCTTTCGCAGATATTCCACACCTTGAGGCTCGAGCGGGGTCAGGATATTACTGCTTTAGCCCTAGACGAAGACAACACCAATCTTCTTGTTTCAACTGCGAATAAGCATCTGTTGGTCTTCACCGATCCAGGCGTAAGTTTCTTTCACCGACCCATTGTTCACGTTACTGCTTACAGCATATTTATTTCACCTTTCGTCCCAGAAGGGCTTCTAGGGCTCAACGATTCCCAACTCTTTCCCATAAGATAAGCCATTTTCTGACTTCTCATCATTTCCCATTCGGAAATCGAAACCCATGAAGATTAAACCCGCTGACTTCGCTGCTCAAGCTTTTAAACCTGCATGAATTAACTGGAGGTCCAACCATAGGCTTCTTGTTCCATGGGCCAACTTGAGCATGATTATTGTTTGGAAAAGAAGAATAGAATAGGAGAGAACACCATCCCTCATCTTGAAAGCTAAATCTTAAACGAGAGTGGCCCACCCGCCATTACCGAAAGGCAGGTCTTTTCACTCGTCGCTGATGATTCTCCTTCACTGTGCAGTTGAGCTTGAAGGTGGCCGATCAAATGCTGCGGCTCGGTTGGGAGGGGGAGGGGCTTTATCCGCTCATGAAGTGAAGCACCTCGCCGCAGCCTTAGTCCTCTACCACGCAATGCTCTTCCAAGCTTCCAAGCTTCTCGGAGTGAAGGAACTCGGCGAATGAGAGTGTACATAGCTTCAATGAATGCCCACCTGCTTCAGCAAGGAGGGCTTCCCATTCCTCGAAAGAGAGGCAGCTTGTTTCAGTTTTTCCCTTTTCCTTTCTCGTGTAAATCAAAAATTTTGTCAATGTGAGCATACCCTGGTTGGCTGACTTCTTTTACTCATGATAGCATGGATTTACCAAATTTGTTCTCCTTGAGGAGCTTCATTGTCATTCGTTTTTTATTCCGTCCAACTTCTTGTGAACTTATAACAGCTGATTTTTTTAAAAATAAATGGGTTAAATGACCTATGCGTAAAAATATTTTTATTAAATCTGTAGCAGTCATAGCACATATGAATCGTGTCATGTGTCTCGTCAATTAACCATATTTATTTATTATTTCTAAAAAATCAGTGGTACGTCCCACCCCCTCTGCTACTAGAACAAAAAAATTGTTCTTCTCATGAGACTTTGTTGCATGCTCACATTAAAATCTCAATTATTAGCAGTTATATTAATCAGAGAATATCTTCTTCTCTCATCAGCAGTCATAGTCAAATATCATGAGACCAGCAATCCGTAGCACGCCCAAGTGGTTGCCTAACATTCTTGCAATCTAGAACACGTTGCATAAACACGGATGAATAATTGCCACTCTATTCCACTCAAGAAACGAGGGCCTGGAATAGATTGCAACTCATGGATCTCAACTTCACAAATCATGCAGAGTACCCCCTGACTTGTAAGGAAGAGTCTAGGGAGTGATAACATGTGGGTACCTTCTTCAATATGACGAGATGTGCCAAAACATAGGCTAGCACATGCGTAACTACAGTAGTTACATGGCCACGTCTAGAAAGTGCCATAATTTCCGCAAGAGTTATGTATGAGCACTCTATGATAGTTATGCTTGTGCTATGCCCCTATATTACGACGCCGAAGTCTGCTCCCCACCAATGACGGCACTCTCTGGTGTTGTGCACCTCCATGCGCTACCCACACCGACATTTGGCAGGTCGAGCTAGTAGGCCTCCTCTCCCACCTTGTCCACGATCTTGAATGGTCTTATTATATTCGAGGATCAAGTATCAATAGCCATTAGACCTCTTGATGGTCTTGCACATCATGGCCTATTTGTGGAGCATCACCTGGTCAACGACTTGGTACTCCTTGTCACACCGACTCTGATATGAGCTCTTCTTCCTCTAATACGTCCCTGGAGCCGGCTTCTTGTGCGGCTCCTCTTCATGCTCCTTGCGCTCTTGCATGAATTGGTGTGCCACCTGATAAAGTGATACACCTGCTTGGTTCGTTACGTCTGATAACGCCGACAGCCGTTGGCTTGTCACAAGCCAACGGCTTGTGTAGCTCATAACTACCACATGAATTACGCTTGTGTAGCGCGCATGTCTTGTGCGTCCTTGTGGCAAATACGCATGTGTTGTGCCTGCAAGAAGATGCCAAAGCCTCACTCCACACCAATGAGAGCATTCTCTGGTGCCGTGCACCTTCCATGTGTTGCCGTGCATGCTATGCTGTCAGCCACTACTGCTGAGCGGCCTTAGCATGCCGCCGCCATGCGTTTGCTCCTTCAGCACATGATGAGATTCCGTTGTTGGAGCCTCATGTCAAGTAAGTGGGTCGTGACACCAAACTATAGTAAATTCAGCATATGTATGTATGACATTTCTTATTGTTAACAAATATTTGATAAAAATTGTATTAAAAAACCTTCTAGGTTGGAGCTCCCTAATGAAATACTAAAAGATGAAAAAAACAGATATATACCTGTAATTATCTCTTTGTCCCCCATAATGGCAACAATAGCTGAACTTCTAATTCCAAATGCATCAAATACTAATGTTCGAAGAAATTCCCACTCTTCAAAACTTGAACTCGCAGTTCTCTTGAACATACGCATGAATGCTCCACCAATGGATCCTCCTACAAGTTTTTAATGTCGGAAGAGGAATGGCAACCTATATCTATCAGGTGTATTTGGTTGCTATTTATGCAGTGTTACATGACCCACAAGAGCATTGACATCCGCAACCACAAGTCATGTGATGTCAAAATAGTAGCTGCAGGCAAAGTTGCAGCGCCCTGAATTTGGAATGACATAGGGTGGTTTTCTCTTTAGGATTTCGAAAGATTATTTGGATAGCATAAAAGAGTAAAAATTAATATTCTAAAGCAACATAAAGGATATCATCACCAATGAAAAATTATAACTCTATGATAAAAGAGAATATGAAGTTTTAAAATTACAAGTGAAGATCATAGCACAATCACCCCATATTCCATGTAAATATTTTAAAAACCAATTCTGGGAAGGAACATATAATTTGGAGTTCGGTTATAAGTTGGATCGTTTCCTAGTTTGTTGTTTGTTTCCTTTTTTTGTGGCCCTAGTACTGATGTATAGCATTCATCTATAATGTGAATACAAGTTGAGTTTTTCCTCTGAATATCCTCCTAAAGTTTGCGCGCCCACTGTTCATGACAACAAATTATACCATTCACTTGACATTAAAAGTGCAATCAATACAAAAGTAAATACGTACACATGCACCACTAAGACAATAAACTGGTTTTGAATGGATATTATTCATTATAGTTTTATTAAATGATTAACAATTCTATAAATTAAAATATTAGCGAAAACAAGTAAGTTCTGCTAAAAAATAGACACTTTTGATATAATTCATGGTTTATGTTTTTAAAATTTTCATCATAATTATTAAATTTCATTTAATTATCAGGAATCCTATAATCAATTGAAATCAAATGATTGCGGGAGTGTTTACAAATAGTTGGAAAATGAGAACTTGATAGGATAAAAACTATTGAAGGCAACTTACATTGTAAAATGTTTCATAATGGGTTTTGATATAAGAATAGTTGATATCTGGCTACAACTACATGCTTCTGATTCATCTAAAGTGCCCCAAAGAATACATCCATCAATACCATAAAATGATTTAATGCAATTGTAAACATGTTCCAATGGGTTTTACTCTGGCATCAAGTACTCTTCAATGAGTTCGTAACTGAGTTCGAAACTTCAATGAGTTCGTATACGGTTCTAATTAGCAGCCATCATATCATTGTGACCTGACACTATACCAACTATGGCAAACGCAGGCCCCCGTGATTTTTTCAAGACAGTTATTTTTCTATTAAATGTCAATATTCCCTGCTTTTCTCGTCATTTTAACGCTATAAAACCCTCTTCCCGTAAGCTGATCATTCTCAATCATATTTCAGAAAAAAAGAGTAGAACAAGGATGAAATGGTGCATAGTGGACACCTATGATCGGTGCTAGCAGCTAGCAACAAGAGACGCTACCCAGTGGCATTGCAATCCCAGTTTCTTTCTTTTACTTTCTTGTCCTTCCCTTCCCTCTTTTTCTTCTTGCTCTCTCAAGGATTTTCCTCCAGCTTCGCATGAAAGGTCTTGGAAATGACAGACCAGAAAGGAAACGGCTAATTCGAGTAAAAGCAGATGGCTTTTTTTCCCCAGTAATTCATTTTAAATGCTGTAGTTTATCAAGATTATCTAAGAGGCATAGCGAAAAACATCTTGTATTGTGTTACAGGTTTTTACAAGAAAAGTAAACGCGAAATATGTGGCTCAAGTTGGAAGCGAATGCAATTTTTCACTGTACTATTTACCTTATTACTTGAGTTTGGGCGAATATAGAAACGTACTAGAGTTTGTCTAACTAAACCTTCACGTAATTTCGCTGTTCTTTAATTGTTTGCGTTTTCCAAAATTTTCTGACATGACACCGAACTATATAGCATCTGCAGCAGGCCTGCCAATCTAAAGATGACTGTGACTGGCAACTGAATAAAAGCAGGCTTCGGAGGATCTCTGTAGTATTATGCAGTTTTGTGGTGCCTCATCTCCTCGATAGCATGTTGAGACTTCACAGAGAGCAGGTTTGACGCGCTGCTGAAGATGCGCTTGCACTAAAAGATCAGGTCGGGATGAGTGATCTCTCTCTCTCTCTCTCTCTCTCTCTCTCTCTCTCTCAATTTCGGTATTTCTTTTTTTTTGGTATGACCCATTTAGTGTTCAGGGGGATGAAAAATGAAAAAGTCATTCTTTTCACTGATTCTCTAAATACTACGAAATTCGCACGCAGAGTTCTGTATACGAGGCAAAAAAACCGAGGATTCCGAGATTATTTCAGAATACAAGTATGAAAAACAAATAACCCGCATCTAATGCCGACGAGAGAAGTGATTGTCATTCGGATTTCTTTTCCCCGTGAAGACCAAGACGGCCTTCCCCACCGGAGGCTTCAACGGAGCTTTTCTCTCGGATGCATGCGAGAATATGTCCTCGGCACCGAAGCCGTCCTTATCCTGAAAGAAAAAGTCAACATGGAGGTCAGAGAGATGGGACAGTTGGGAGAAGGATAAAAAAAAAATAGAAAAAAGGGAAGACGAAGAGAAGTGAATAATTACCTGTTTGTTATTTTTCTTCTTCCCTTTTGGGTAGAGAAGCTTGCGCGGGATCTGATCCTCACGCAAGACGAGGTTCTTAGAGATGCCGTCTCTTCCACCTTGAGGCAGAGGGATTGAAAACTGTACAACAATGAAACACGTTATCAACGAATCATAATTTTAAATTTGATGATGTGGAGAAGACAAGCGGAAGGCGAAGTGACCAAGAAGATCATCAAATTCTGTGAGGTGGGGCAGTATGCGATTATACTGGAAAAAGCCCTCCCTTGAGTACACCAGAAAAAACGTTAGGCGTTGGAGGCTGCTCGACAAGGGTCTTCCAGAGTAACAAGAGATCAACCAGACAGAAATTTGTTCTATATCTGTATGCTTCACCAATGCTTCGGATGAACATGATACGGTGCATTTTTTCTCATGCAAGAACGAGCCAGCCCCCAGTTTCTGACCCACCCCTTCTTTTGCTAGGAACTACCCAAATAACCGCTGGATTTATTTTATTTTTCGAAGGTAAAAGTTTCTTTTTCAAAGAGTAGCACACCTTCCAGGATCATTTTTCAAAATATAATTGATGTGGATCGTACCCATTCCCCTTTAGAGACTTTGGTCCAACGTAAATTGAGAGCTTTAAACATCAAGAAAAATAAATAAATATATATATATATATGAGATAATCAGTGGGAAGACCGATGCGTCCTCATCAGTTGTCCATGCATTTCCTAAGTGCACAAACAAAGTTTGAAAGAGGCTAAAGAAACCAGGGGAAAACAGATGACTATTCATTAAGAATTGAAACAGAATAAGTAACCTGACACAATGATGGTCCTCATATATAATTGTCCTCATACATCAAGTAATGAAAAACTATCCCAGTTCCCAGAGGTCCATAGTTGCAAAAATACATTCAACAAAGTATAATATCAGTAAAAAAATATTATCAATGGCATGACAAACAAAAGAGAAAGAGTGTGAAAATAAGGGAATAATAATAACTTTTTGACGTACTTTGGTTCCACGAAGGTTGACGCGGGGTCGACGTGACGCCAGAATTAGTCCATTTTCACCCACTGTAACTGATACTTTGCGCAAGGTGCCCCCATTACCACATTTGGGACAGAATAATCTCCCTATTTCAGATGTCACTTTATTGCAGGCGTGACATTTTAATACCCACCTGAAATGAAAAAAATATTTAGGAAACCAATCCACCAAATGAGCATTGAACCTTTTATGTAAATACACTTGAAAAAATTCCAGTGCAAAGATAGAACTTATTTATGCACTACATCGCATCATAAAATTCAGTCGGTCTCAAAGTCTTGAAGAATCTCCTTCATTAATGAAACATGAAAAGAAGATTAAACCATTACAATTATTAACCCACGAAAGCTAAACATAGCATAACGTACCTATGCAACTGACGTATCTGCATTCCACTTGGTGCCAGTAGTCGCAGACCCATCTGTAGAATAACGTTTTGCATTGCAAAATCCCCAGTAACACAAGCCACAGTCGAATTGGAGAGGGATTGTGGAACACAGCTCGGCTCTGTTGGACTACATCCCTGAGGCGCATTAATGCTTCCATCAGTCTCACTGGGGATCTCAATCCTTCTGTCGTGGTAATTTTCAACATCAGCCTTATCCGTCATACCTAACCCCTCGTCATCTCCTGGGCCAGGTCTAACAGAAGCATCAGGACCTTCATCTTCCAATGACATATGCTCTAATCCATTTGATAGAACACACTCCCTACTTGTTTCCACTTCTTGCGCGGTGTGCACTGCCCCAGGCTCATCTGCCTCTGTACAGCCCAGCAAACTGTCATCCGATGCATCAAATGGTTCAAATCTTGCTTTTCTTCTTAAATATCTCCTCTGTGCGGCCCGGCTAACAGCAGGCTGCCAGTCATCAGCATTATCCGTATCTTCCCCATGAGAAGCATCAATTCCATCAACTACCATCTTATTCCCAATTCTCATTTCTTTCTGATGAGAAGAAACCCTCTGTGTATTTGGAGAGGACAGATGTTCCGCTTCCTTCTCAAGTTTTCTGGCATCTTCGTTCACATGAGTGACATTTAAGTTCAGATCCTTTAGTGGGAGAATTCTAGATCCATTATTTGACTCGTTTTCTGCCTGTTCAAGAGCTTCCCATTCTTCCAGATTAGGCACGTTTGAACCCCAACCAGGCATCTCTGATTCCGGTAAGGATTTCAGATTCACCATTTGGATGGGAGGGGGAACGCTTTTAAGGTGATCTGTGCCGTGTATCTGTGCTTCTAACATATAAGTAAGAGCAATGAGTTTGATATCGACATCTGATAGCGTCTGTAAGTCCCCAGTTTCTCTTGCAAACTTGACAACTGCAAACCAAAATAAAAATGAACATACTTTCATTAGTCCACAAAATTTCACATGTGACTAAAAAACTCCGAGCATCAATAATGCGTAATGTGTGCAAATTTATGTTCGTCTGTAATACAACAAAAAAGAATGCTCATTTCGAACCACATTACTGGCCCAATTTGATTATAGCAGCGGATAGTAAATACAGAAAGAAATAGAACGATGCAACGATAATATACACGTCAGAAAAAAAAAACTTTGACTATAAGACAATCAACAGGAAAGCGTTCATAATTCATATTTAAGCGGTCCCCTTTGATTATAGTCAGTTATATCCGGAAAAAGCTCACCTTTCTTTATGGCATCGGGGGCGGGCTCCATGGTTTCAATCGTGAATGGCAGAAAAGAGAGCCTCTGGCGGGAGGTGGGATCTCTCACCTCCTCCAGCACTTCACGAACGGTCACAAACCGGTCAGCGGTGCTTGACATTTTGTCCCCCTGGACGATGGCACTGGCATCGAGAACTGCCAGGGAAACACCTTCGCTCGATCCGCAGTTCCCGAACAAGCGACATGAAACGGGTTCATCATTCTCCCGCGGTGCCTTCTTCTGCAGTAGCTGGCTCCACTGAGTAGTTCCGCCGGAGCCGGGAAACGAAGAAAGGGGAGAAGGCTCCATCCGCCGCCACCCGGTGGGGATGACGAGAGGGGAGCGGGGAGGAGGACGCCGGTTGTTGCTTCTGATTCCCCTTCCCTCCGCGGATAACGATGGGGTGATTCCCCCGCCGAGCTCGAAGACACACCCGGCTGCTTAGCCTTGCGCCGCTCGTGGTATTTGTTCCCTTCGGCGAGCCTGGCGGGAGAAGGTGAACGCGAATATCAGGGCAAACGGAAGCGCCCAGGTTTTCGGCGGCCGTAGCATCCGATGACGTCACATCGTCCAGGCTCGATCTAATTTTTAATCTAAAAAAGGCTCAAATCAAAGCCCATGTGCGAAGATCTCTTTTCTCACTTACTAATACTTCTAATAATCAGAATAACTGAAATGAACATGTTTTTCTAATTAAATTAAAATGAAGAAATATGTTTTTTCTTATAATTTACGAAATAAACCAGGTTCGGGCCCGGTTGGGCCCCGATACATATGGTCTGACCTGATAATCTACGCTTAACGAGGATATCTAGGCCCATTTCTGCTCATCCCCGGCCCACGGCACAGCAAGTGGTATTGCGCTGGTGGGTTCGGATCTCGGAGCGCACCAGGACAAAAGAAACCATTTATAATAATCTTTCACGGGGACATGGGAAAATGATGTGGATTTTTATGCTCGGCTGGGGAGATGAGATGTCGCTGTTTCACGTCCAATTAGCGTTTATTAATTCCCGTGGCAAATAAGATCTACTCTTGTTTTAAGTCGTCTTGCTTGCCAGAAAATTGATTAAGACTATGAACTAAGATTTAGATAGTATACGTAAACATGACCGGCAACATACTGCTGATTCAGTGAATAACTTAGCGATTCGCTATCACATGAGAGTAAGGTTCATCACACGAGAGAGAGGAAAGAGGAGGACAGTCAAAACTGCCGGGCTTCTCGCAAGCATTGACTATGTTCAGTTGCCGACACGCCGTCTTGTCGTCGTAGGACCGGAAATAAGGATGACAGCAGTCCGAGCCAGGCCGGGCCGTCTCGGCCTTGTTCTCCCCATGCATGCTAGGCCTGGAGTAGCCCAGTCGGCTCCGAGCTCCGAATCCACCAGCCTAATACCACTTGCTGGGCCGCGGGCCAGGGACAAGGACATAGAAGTGGGTCCATACGGCCTCATTAAGCGTAGATTATCAGGTCATACCATAGATTTCCGGCCCGAACCAGGCCCAAATCGGGTTTCGTTCGTAGATTTTAAGGAAAACATGTTTTTATATTAACATAATGTAACAAATGCGGCCATTTAAGTTATTCTAAATATAAAAATTATTAATATGTGAAAATTTAGGTGCGAAAAAGAGATATCGGCACGTGGGCTTTGAATTTAACATTTTTAAGTCAAAAAATTAGATTGAGGTCAGACGATGTGCTGGCGTTGCCTCTGGACTTCACTGAAGGGTATAAAACCCGAAAATGTTCATTGGGGCCGGCTTGGCCTGGCCCAGACTGGCCCGTTTGTGGTACTTTTACGATAATTGAGAGAGAGAGAGAGAGAGAGAGAGAGAGAGAGAGAGAGAGAGAGAGGAAAGAGGCAGATCAAAATTGTCTGGCTTTCGCAATCATTTACCATTGTTCGGTTTCCGACACGCCATTTTGCCGTCGTAGGACCGGAAATAAGGATGATAGCGGTTTGTGCCGGTCCCATTCTCTCCGTGCCTGCTGGGTCGAGTGTAGCCCAATCAACTTTGAGGTCCGAACCCACCAGCGCAATACCACCATCTGGGCCACCGGGGGGGAGGGGGGGGTCGCCCAAGGACGGAAAAAGTGGGCTTAGACGTCCTCATTAAGCGTAGATTATCGGGTCAGACCATATATTTCGGGCCTCAACCAGGCCCAAATTGGGTTTCAACTCATAAATTTTAAGAGAAAGCATTTTTTTGTTTTAGTTTAACGTAAAAAGCGGTCATTTCAGTTATTACGAGTATCAAAAAATTAATATGTGAAAAATTAGTTGAGAAAAGAGATCTTTGCACGTGGACTTTGATATTAACGTTTTTTAAGTTCAAATTTAGTTTGAGGGCGGACTATGTGCTGGCGCTGCCTCTGGGCTTGGGTGAAGGTTATGCGAAAATGTTTAGAGGGCCTAGCATGGGCCGGCCCGACCCGTTTGTGGTACATTTATGGTTATTGAGAGAGAGAGAGAGAGAGAGAGAGAGAGAGACCGCTCATCCCGACCTGATCTTATATCTCGTGTAAAAAAGGGAACGTTTTTACCCTAAAACCTGAGTGACCCCTCTGGAGTTTTGAGCTGTCATCGATGGGTTTGCTAGTGCTCTCGTCCATGTTAAATTCGACGAAGACCTTGTCGCTTCGCGCATGTAGCTCAAACTCCCAGACGAGCGGGCAGCGCGCCAGTTCCAATTTGCTATGCAAACGCGAGGAAGAAGGGAATTGCTGATCCTGTAAAGTGACTCCATGACGGGTTCGGATTATTGTACCAAGGCTTAATAATCGGCTATATATAATGTCAACTCATCATGATTAAATAGACACACAAATGGAATGTTTTATTCGATAGCTAATCAAAACATACTTGTCCTTACATCTCAACTCAAAGAATAAGAGGGATCTTTCTTCTTAAGAAAGATCCTGGGAATAAGATTAAGAACTATTTCAAACTTATAATTCAATAATTAAAATAAAATCTTCTGCACGTTCATAACATAAATTAACATCAAAATTCATATAATGAATCAAAATATTTTTTCTTAAATTAGCCTCTTAACCATGCAAATTTCTTTGAATAAATACAACAATCATAAAGGTATACCAACTTTTCTCTTAACATATTTTTTTACAGAAAAATATAGCTAAGAATCATATTTTGGTTCTTTTATGTACCTCACATATTATCAATCAATGAATGATAATGCATAAAAAAACTTAAAAAGTGTCAAAATTATTGGGAGCTTAATAAATTGTGATGTTCATATAAAACACAACAATTATAAACAATAAACTTCCATGGTATGTGCCTTATGGAACCTTTCAAGATTGATATGCTGGTTTAAAATTTAAGTGGAATCTTAAGTGATAATTTACAAAATATGTTCTTATCCAAATGAGTTATTACATGTAATAAAGTGATTGTTTGAAGAACTTCAAGCTAATTGTGTTATATGTCTTGTTGTTATCCTCTCATGGGCTATTTGAGGAGTTGGGCTAGCTCCATGACTTTATTAAGCACCATATGAAGGAATAATTAGATTTGACAATTTATTATTCAAATAAATATTTTTTAAAAGTACAAGCATTACTATCTTTATAATTTTAGTAAAATTTTATAGAAGATCTTTGTATAGTAATGGATTGATTTTGTACTTACTCTTGTAGAACCCCACCCTCCCACATTATATAACAAAGGCTGATGTCATTTGGGGGGTTTAAAGGTGTGTCATAAAATATCATCCAAGGTTTTCATTCTAAACATCCCCCTCAAGTGACAACAGATGAAGTCATCTCTTGTTTCTTCATTTCCTAACTCTAACTATGCCCCTTAGTGGAGCCATCTACTATATAAGAAGACATCATAAGAGAGTGATAAACTTATTTTAGGTTGCTTGTTTGAAACTATAGATAGAACAATGGTGTTTTCGTGGTAGTTGTCGATGCTAGTACAAATGTCCAAGGGGACAAAATGTCAAGCACAATCAATTAGTTTGTGACCAGCTATGAAGTGCTAGAGAAGGTGGGAGATCCCACCTCCCACCTTTCACCATAGGTTCTCTTTTATGTCCTTCACAATTGAAATAGTGCAGCCCACCCTAAGGTTGTAAAGAAAAATGAGCTTTTCTCATATATATTTGACTCTAATCAAAGTGGACTGTTTAACTTTGAATGACAAAATGTTTCATATTGATTTATCTCCTTTTATTTTTCTTCTTTGTTGGATTATCAAACTTTGATATCTCTAATGTTTGATTATGTGACTACATTTTGGAAAGTTTTAATGTATTTCTTGGGGGTGGCTCTTGACAACTATAGAATAATGGTAATAGAGTCAATCATTCTAGCTTACAGATATGTTTGGCAAAAATATAGTGATATTATGTGTATTTTTAATGTTTCGAGTCTTCAACTTGTGATGTAATCTACTTGTCACTTTTTATGAAAAAAATAACTTGATGAAGAAACCCAAGACATAATTGACTTGTTCAATTGTCTAATGAAGTTTGTGTTTCTAATGTGTATATTTTCATTACATAGTTTTAGTTCTTATTGTATTTACTATGTGTTCTATAATCAAATTGGGCTAGTGATGTGATTCGAAATTAATATATTTTTTGGGTGTACTATAGATGAATATAAATTTAATCACATGGCACATTATTCATATGCCATGTCTTTGAGCTTGGCTAGGGAAGGGATATATGAAATGTGGTAGTTTGAAAATTAGATCGTTAGCACTTTTGTCATCCCTAATTTTTGTAGTCACCTTTTAATAAGAACACATTGACGAATTATTAAGAAGAAGATGACATGTCTACAAAATGAACCTATTTATTACATTTGACCCTGTAATAAAGATCTTGTGGATAAGTACAACATAGAGAGACAAAGGGAAGGAAGGAAAAAAAAACTTAGGGAAGTCTCACGAGGGTACACAAAGGAGATAGGGGAATACACTATTGAGACCTCTTAGGTCTTAGAGCAGCCAATGTTAGGTGGCCAATCTTCAACTCCGTTTGAAATCACTTAAAATGTTCTTTCATTTCCTGTGTGGTTATTTGATTGTTAATATTGACTCCCTCTATCAACATTAGGATGGATCATTTTCTGATTGTCATTAGACTAGTTGTTAAGATTCAATATAATGGCTAAATTTAATGGAATGTAATCCGTGATGTGATTTGTATTAGTTGGGTCTTATAACTATTTAGAGATGTCAACAGATCTATCTATTGCCTACATGACATATACTGTTGGATCCATTGTACCATTATTCTTTACGAGATGTATTTTAGATGAATCA